CTCCCCTTCCCTCTTCCCCCTCCACCCCCCAATCTGGACCCCGTCCCCAATTCCTGTCCCGCTCACCTGGGTCCCGCAAGGTCAGGGGTGTCGGGCAAGCCGTATCGTCGCCTGTCTCGGGACAGGGGTGAGCTTTTGGGATGGAGGTGGGAGGCGACTAGGCGCACGATAGGCACGACGAAGGGAACAAGATCAAGGAGCCACGTTGGACAAAGAGGTGGGGAGAGGCGGGCCAGAGGGGCTGGGAGGACCGACTGACCGATCGGAGTGACGAGTCAGAAAGAAATTTCACCCTTCTTTCCCCTCTCTCTGCCCTACTGCTGTGTGTGTGTGTGTGTGTCTGTCTCTTGTCGGATCTCGACCTCGACCTTGGCCTGGGGGCGTGGGATGCGCGCACATGTAGTTTGTGTACTGTGCAGGCCGGCTAGGTTTGTTGCGTGCGGGTTGGGTTGGGGAGAATGTGCGTGCGGTAGATCTGCCCGTCCTCACGTGGGCGGTGCGGGCCTGGCTGGCCCTCACTGCCTCGCCCTCCTACCCACCCCCACGCCCCCGTGCAACTATCTGTCATGTCGAGCCCGCCCTCTTTTCATCTGGTTTTCCTTCTTTTTTCTTGTAATTTTTTTATTCCTCTTCTTGGCCCTTTGGCCGTCCCGCGTGATAGATTCCAGGGGTTCGCACCGGGCCGATGATGCAAGCACCATGTGGATGTGGGGTGGGCAACCCTTGTTCACTAGGTATTCTTTCTGGGTGGCAGGCTGGGTTGGCAGGCATGGCAGGCATGGCAGTGGCCCGCACAGTGTCTCGGCTGCGTGGGTGTCCCTACACCCCTGTGGATAGGTACCTGGGCGGGACTGTTTAACGCCGACGGGCGCTCGGCTGGCACGGAGTACGGGGGTACATCATGTATGTGTCTGTGTGTCTACGAAGTACGTCTCTGTGTATGTACATGTACGGTGGACGGTGGACGGCCACGGCGGCAGGCGGTGCAGGCCAGTCAGTGGTGGGATGAGGAGATGCACGCCCCGGGTGTCTCTCTGTGTCTGACGGGTCAGATGGCGGTGAGGTTGAAATATTTTTTTTTTCCCCTTCCTGCTGTTGTATTGTTGAGTGTCACGATCCGTAGGGACGACTCGGACTGGTTGTGATTGACGGTCCTTTCTAGATGTACGCTGGGCGTCTTTTTTTGTGTGTCGGTGTGTGTTTATATGGCACGCGCCTACCGCGGGTAACGGTAATTCCAGGTCTGAGCGACCGGCGCATCGAGACCATCTATACAAGGCAACTTTTATAGCCTTATGAGACTTGGCGTGTTCATATCCAGTGTAGTATTATGAATATACTTTTTTGGATTCCTTGTTATACCGTATGTACATGCGAGCGTCTGGGGTCCATCGCTTGGACCCCTGGGGCTGAGGGCTCCGCATAGCTGAGCCTCGATGTATTACATGCATATGATTGCACCTTGCGCTTTCTCGTTCAAGCCGCGGTGCTTGCTTGTGAAATTGGACCATGTGAAATCCCGTCGGTTAGGCATTGTGACGATGTAGAGAGTGTCAACCATTTCTACTCCATCTGATCTGCACAACATGAACAGAGACACAAGAAGGGACGGGCAAAGTGTAGGCCTAAAACGGAAGAGTAGAGCCCCAATCGTCTTCAAATCTGGCGCCACTATATGATTTTACGTTTCTGTTCTCGGAAGCGGGATATTGTTTGTTACTTGGGGGACGCGTTCCTTAGAAGGTTGACTGTACACACCATGCTACAATAAATCTAATTAGCTCAGGCATCTGCGATACGGCTCTAGTACTTTTGGATCTATCCTCGGGGCTTCATATAGCACATTGTTCCAAGGAATAATTTCCCAATAATATCATCCCAAGGAACAATCAACGATCTCCTGTAGAACGATCTCCTATTGGACAACCTTTTGTGAAATATCCACGTTTAGGGATAGCTCTTAGGATTGCCTTCCAAGGAATAGCATGCTTAAACGGACGTGGAGATAAAACATGTTTAGAATATATCCCTCTGAGTTGCCAAAACAGATACGGGTGAGCAGTGAGACTCCCGCATAATATTTTACAGGCTGTGGAGGTGTGGTTATGTCCAGATGTCATGACAATAATCCATGCGACCATCCTCCTGGCCCCGAATATCAATGACTACCTGTATCAACACGAGAGTGCCTTTAGTCTAGAGACAGGGCAAGGGAGAGAGCAAGTCACCAAATTCACGGCATACCCAAAAGACCGACCTGCTCACGGACGGAATGTGGCCCAGACGGGTCTGACTTGGCAATTTGTGCGCAGACGAGGAATCCCAATACCAAAACCATTTCCAAACTCACCCCTCTCATACACGGGTGTCAAACACCTCTGTCTCACTGACCACGAGTTCAAACGAGTTTGCACATACCTGGGTACCTTGAGCAAGAGTGATGCCTGCACTGTTCCCGGACATCGCCGTGCTTGTATTTCTCTAAGAACAGACTCATTGTGTGATCTTACATCCTCGGTGCAATAGCTATCTCGGGGGCTTTAGCCAACCATGAGTTATCGAACTGTTTGCCAAACCTGGCCTATGTGTCGTAGACTCGGTACGCACTTCCAAACTATCCATCATACCATACCACAGATCGGGTAATGTACCGTGACTGATGCACAAATGAATTGGAATGGAATGCGCGTCATTGTGGAGAAACGCATAACGTTGCGAACCCGTTTTGGATGTGCTCGAACTCGTGAGCCTGGACGTTCGTCGCTGCCCAGGTGTTTCCGAAGCCCTGCCGTTGGTGCCCCCGGCGGGGCCTCGGGGCGCTCACGTAGACGCGCGCGGGCGCTTCAGATACTCCGTCCCGGAAGTCGGACAAATGACCATACTCAGGAGCGCGCGCCGTCGAGACGGTACGCTTTAGCCTTCCAATTGTGTGTGCGTTGTAAGGCTGAGACTATAAGCACCTATTGTATTGTAACTACAGTTATCAACATCATATGTTTTTTTTTCAAGCGCTGTCTTGAGCGTTTACCACCTTATGAAGGCGCCATGTATGTCCTCGGACGTTTACGGAATAGGAGCGAAACCAGTCAGGACCGCGCGGCTGGGGGAATTGGAATAGCTCTTGCATCATGAGACCTTACTCTCACTGATCTGAGTGTCAGATGGGATATTCAAGACGATGTTGTATATTCTCTTTAGCGAAACTAGGTCCTAGTCCAAGCTCGCTTTTTCAATACGTCTGTGAGTTGCTTGGTTTTTTTTTCTTTTTGATGTATTTTTTTTTGGGGGGGGGGGGAGGCTTGCTTTGCGAATCCTCGTCTCTATTCTGGCAAGTGGTACTCCTCAAGCTGAGGTTGGGTTCAAAGGAGTGGACGTGACTTCTCGGTAACACGGTATGATGAGAGGACAGAGTTGTTCCGGCGCACTACAGGCCTGCGAGACTCAAAAAGCACCGATGGACATTTTGTTGGCGCGTCATGAAATGAAGCATAACTCCCATGGAATAGACCTTTTGTCTCTTCTGCTACAAGATTCTGATGGCCGAGTACAGATCGAGGCCCCAGATACCGTACTTTGCATACGCATGGCTTTGGATCAAATAACCATGATAAGAGACTTTGGCGGCTGGGGCATATGAATTCCATGAAAGTTTTCGAAAAGATATTTTACCCTTGAGTATGATTTAAATTTCGTTGAATATACATGTTATCTTAATGGGTGGTTTCGTTTTTAATGCCTATACATATAAAATGTATGTGGCGCCTTCATACAGTGGTAAACGCTCAAGACCCAGCGTTTTTTTTTAAAAAAAAATGCAGTGCCAATAACAGTGGAAAGAGAATACAGAACGTATGTGGGCACGTGGCTCAGCCTCGTGCCGCACATGTTATCATAATATATTCTTACAAATTGTTCGCGGGTAATTAGTACGTGAGAACGAAACTACACACATCTCAGAACGCCAACGCTGTCCATAAGGCACTGTCCCAAGTCGGCAGAAGAGTTGCTACTGCTCAGTAAATGGTCCCAAAAAGCTGTTCATCCGAGATCGACAGGTTGAGATCGGATGGCATCCCATCGGGGCTGTGGAAAAACGCAGCTGGTGATGTACTATAGTATATGTAACGCGCACGTCAAATTTGGCCCCATCCCTAGCTCCCCTCAACGGACATTTCTGCTTCCTTGCCTTCAAATTCCTGCATAACTAGTTCTCTCTCTGATAGGAAATCACCAGTAGAAATATCAAGGTCGTGATTCTTTCCAAGTCAACCTTGCAGAGGCCCCTGAGATATCTTGTAATGTGGGCCCACACCCCTGCGCCCACAACTCCAGCCTCGTGGCTAGCACAAACATGAGGCGTGCTGCTGTCTTACCCACACAAGAGTATCTTTTCCTTGCGCACGTTACCGCGAAACATTCCATTCTGATTCCCTAGACACAATGCTTCATAATCGTTTGTTTAGCACATCCTGGGGTTCCATGCAGAATATAGTCGAGCCTCATCGTACCTGGCCGGGCACACTGTGTCTTGGTGAACGCAACCGCCCTCAGACCGGGTTGCTGCCTAATTGTCTCCTGCCGCTGCTCGCGAAAAGCAGACAGTACGTGAGACCCTGTTGAGCACATAGGGTTATCCCTTGTGGCCCCCCTGCCTACAACCCCCCCCAGGCCCAAATGATCGTACGTGGACCTCGTCGTTCTACTATCACTGCAGGTGCTAGACTAGCCGTCTCACATACGAATAACGCCCCAGATCGCGTGTAAACAACAGACTGTCCCTCGCTATATCAGTCCTCCGGCTCCTGACTACTTGTCAAGGCCCAGGGACGGTACAAGGGATGGATCAGCCTCGAGGACAGGGTATCCCATAATATGGATAGGGCGAGGCAGGCGGTATGAACCACATCAACCGGCCCATGTATGAGAAAGGAGGATGACGGCTGGGGCAGAGACGAGACCTACCAGTGCGAGAAGAGGAAGGAAAAGAGCTCAACGTGAAATAAACTCTGGCGTAGGTAGATAAATGCCAGTTGTATGGTCTAATTGCTACCTCAAAATGCCCAATGTACAAGCGATCAAATAAGAACCATGAATCCGGTAAAAGAACCCGTCCTCGCTGAGAAACGCCCTTGCTCAATGTTGGTTATGATGTGAGATGCTGCGCTTATCCTGTTGTGCGCACCGTAAGAATGACCTTCCTCCATTTGACTTGACACAAGGGCCCTGCCTGCCCAAATTCCTGTTGTAAAATGACCTCAATATGCTTCTGATATGCCCATCTCCCTTTTTTGTGAATCCAATTCGGTTATGCTAGCGAGCAATGCAATGTTTTCCTCCCATGGACATTCTGGAAGTTCTGTTCTTCGCCCTTGATTAAGTGATCTTTCAATCATCGTCGGAGGACATCTCCTCGTCCTCATCCTCCTGTTCTTCGTCCTCCTCGTCCTCCAGCTCAGGCGTAGCCTGCCGGCTGGCTTCGACAGCAACCTCCTCGCGGACGCTCATCTCGCCCGTCCCAGCGTTGCGCTCGAGCACAAAGCACCGCTCGGCAAAGACGCCGCGCTCGTTCTGCCGCCGCCAGGGCTCACTGAGGCGCCGCACCATCACCTTCTTCCACCCGCCGACGTTGATGGTGATGGAGCGCCAGGGGACGGCGCCGGCCTTGTGCCTCACGAGGAAGTGCAGCGTGCGCATGCTCGCGTCGCGGTCGCGGTCCGAGCCCGGGTGCACCACCTCGAAAGGGTGCAGGACGGTCTGCACGTGCAGCGTGAGGGTGTGCAGCGCGGGGAAGGCGCACACGGCGCGCAGGAACTGCGGCGGGTCCGTGTGCACCACGTCCATGTCCAGCTCGAGCACCTGCACCTGTCGCATGTGCGTGGCGAGCATGGCCAGGTCCTCGTGGTAGACGGTCGGGCAGCGGCGGTCCTCCTCGCCGAAGCCCGTGTGGTCGCGGAGGCGTAGGGTTGTTAGGGTCCGGGCGTGCGAGAGAAGGGCGTCCACGGGGAAGTGGTACGTGTGCACCGTGATCTGCAAGGTCGACAGGGCTCGGATGTGGGACCGAACCAGGAGGTTAAGCCGCCTCGTGGCCTCGATCCGCAGGTCCGGGAGGTGTGCGCTGAAGTCCTCGCAGTGCAGCGTCTGCAGGTTGGCCAGCTCGTGGAAGCTGACCGAGTTGAGGAAGTTGAACACGGGCACCGAGATGAGCTCCAGCGAGGTGATGCGCGAGAAGTCCCAGTGCCGGGAGACCTCGTCCGCGCTGTGCCGCCAGTCGTAGGAGCGGAGGGTCAGCTCGCGCAGCGGGGGGAGCCGCTCGTGCGGCGCGAAGTCGAACTGCGTGCCCTGGCCCCGGTCCTCGAAGTGCAGCGTCTCCAGCTGACGCGCGGAGAGAAGGAGGTGCTTGAGCGAGTTGAGCCGGGTGACGAGCGGCGGCGCCGGGTGCGCCATCTTCAGGGACACCAGGAGGTTGATGGGTATGGCGCGGAGGTAGGTGTTGCGCATCTCGCCCTCAAAGTCCCGGAGAGGCAGCTCCTCGACATACAGCTTGGTGCGGTTGTAACGGGTCTGCTCTGCGCTCAGTATATCGGATGGCAGCCAGAATCGGCCCGATCGGACCTCTCTGTCTACGTATCGCCATCTAATTTAAGTACGTTGGTCAGTACGTCCGGAACTTTGATCTGGAAAAGGAGGGTTGCTGGCTGCTTGCAGGAGCAAACTTACCTCACGGAACAGAGTCTCCGTATCCTCTCCAGGATTCGTTTGATACCGGCCGGGTCCAGGTCGCTCCTGGCAACAACGTGGTTCGTATGATTACTGATGTGCTCGAGAGCTTGGGGGAAATGTAGCACTGCATCCTGGGCTACTATCCGCTCCGTCAAGACCAAAGTCTTGTAGGCGATAGGTATGGCTATCTGGTTGAACCGTTGGCAGAGAAGCCGAGCGGTCGAGACATATTGGGTGTCGATGTCCCGGAGCTGCCAGATCCAAGTCAGTATGTTGGTCAACAGGAAAGCGGCCTTCAACAAGAAGGTATCACTTGACAGGCCACGGGCGTGCTAGGAGAGATGGCCACAGACCTGTTCGAATATTAAGGCCAGCAGCTCGGTGCTGAGGTCGTTCAGAGACCACCTAGGCTGATGCTGATGATACTGCTGCTGCTGCTGCTGCTGTTGCGAGTGGTAACATGTCTGGCATGCGCCTTGGGCATAAGAGGCCATTCGCTTCCTCCGCTGGCGAGCACATTCAGCCAGGTCTCTGGGGAAAGAAAGGAGTGTAGAAGGCATGGACATTAGGTTGAGGTGCCTCGTGGAGAAGATCTCACACGAAGCAGGCGGGACGGGTAATATTAATTCTGGAAGATGTTTCCATGGGATCCAATAATTGATATGGACAGGGGTGGGTGACCCAGAAGTGAGGTTGGGTGGATATGTGGATATTTCCGATGGGTAACAGCAAAGGATGGGCTGCAGGGGGGGAAGAAGGGTCAGATCTTGGCCCGGGTTGGGTGCTGAGGGTCGACGTGGGAAAAGGAGGCTATCCTGCTTTTGGAGAAAGTAACGAAGATGGAGCGGTTGGGGGATGGGGGCGGAGGTGACATCAAGGACCGGCGATGGTCGATGTAAACGATCCACCGGCTGCGGCAGAGAGCTGCAGTGCTAATCTGCGAGTAGCGTGACACGGCCGTAATAATGCACGCGAGGAAGGCGGCCGAGATCGAGAGGGGGGCGCGGGCACAGCGAGGCCCGGGTTGCGGATCTCACGAGGCTTGGGGAGGGGGGGCGGCTCTGATGGGTCCGTCGCGCTGGGACTGACTGTTGCCTTTTTGCGTGCCCAGGACGGCGGAGACGAGACGTCGATAGGATTGCTGGTTGGGCTGGCAGACTAAGATCGACGCGCTATGTCATGTCCCGAGAGGTACTGTGCGTGTTTCCGTACCTCGACCTTGGGGAACTGGACTAGGACCCAGCCCGGGTAAAGCACAAGCCCGAGACGAGTCGGAGGGAGAGACAGCCAGGGCCGAATAATATTCTGCCGTATGCGGGTGGGTGGATATGCGGGCGTCGACGCAAGCGAGGTGGCTTCCACCAAGAAGGTGCATGCGTCGGAGGAGGGGGTGGCCGTCAAAAGAACGAGCGAGTGGGTGGATGGTGGACCGGAGAGAATGCCAGGCAAAAGTACGCAGTGAGTGGCGGTAAGGCTATAAAGAGCGTGGATGCCACCAGTTGACACTAGACTGGCAGCCCGGCTTGGAATGGAGAAACGTGGCACGCACGGATTCTGGAATTGTGGGTTGTTGTTGTGGACCAGACAGAAAAAGAAAAAAGAAAAGGGCTAGAATCCAAGGCCCAGAAGCTAGAACACTGACGTTGGGCGGGAAGAGAAGCGATTCGTAGAAGAGAAAGAAGGAGCGGTCGTTTGAGAGTAGTGTAGACCGTGGTAGCGTCAGCTCCAGCTCGAGCCCAAGAAGAAGGGGCACGCTGCTGAGTAGTAGCAGTCCAGGTTTCCACGCCCGGCTATTCCGTTCCAGTCCAATCGAGGCGAGGCCACTTGCTGTCTGCCTGTCTGGCAGTCAAGGCAGTGTCTGTGTTTTGCCTGCCCACCGAGCCGCCAGGACAGGCTGTTGGTGGGCGATGGGCCACAGCATGGCGAGGCCGTGGAAGAAGATGGGATGAGGTGAAGCAGCGCGCACACGAGAAACGCCGCCAAAGCAGCCGTGGGGCGGCGGCGGCGGCGGCGAGGAGACACGGGGCAGATGGTCTGGTGCGGATCACGACCCAATCGCGGAGCAGCACAGCAGGGTGGACAGCAGCCAACATCAGACGGGCCGGCCAATGCTTGTCCCGTCTCGGACGGTCGTGTTAGACCCAACGGAGAAGCTTATACGTCGTCTGATGTTTGTGGCAGAGTCGTCGTCGAGACGAGCAAGTGATTGTTGCGGGTGTGGCCTGCCTGCCCTGCTGTGCCCTGCTGCAGCCCGTGTGGCCGGATGCATGCTCGCTTACTTGCTCGCTGTGGTGCATGGGTGCATGCAAGTGAGGCTTGTTGGTTGGTAATTGGCCCGTCTGGGGAACGTTCTCAGTGCTGCTGTTCTTCCGTGACATGTCATGCCACGCCATGTCAAGTAATGCCACGGTCTAGCTGGGCTGACGCGACTCGACCTGCCAGAGCAGCAGGAAGCAGTATTTCCATCCCATCCGTAGCGACTCGTCCAGTCCCCAAGCGGGTGATCTCAATTTGTTTGATTGCTGCCTTGCTCTGTTGGGCTGAAGCCTTTGGGGGCCTGTGTTGTGCTGGTCGAGGTGTTTCGTGTCGTGTCATGTCGTATCATGTCACCTAATCTCGCGGCACATCTGGGCTGGCAGGCAGGCAGGCTGGCTGGCTGGCTGTCAGTCTCTCCATGTCCACCTGGCCCTGTCGGTGCGTGCGGGAGCATGTATATCGCTCACTTGGTCCACTGGCTGGCTCACACGGCTGCCGATGGCGTGCTGCTGGCCAAATGGTGATGGGCAGTCGGCGGATGTGGAGAGGTTTGTCGAGGCGTCAAACGAGTGTTGCCAAAGTGGACGTTTCGCAAGGTCCGCCCAAAGAAGCAAGAGGCGTTTTTGGCTCCCGCCCCACCATCGAGCAGCCGGGGGCCGCCCCACCGTGGGAGCTTGACCGTTTTGGGCGCCTGATACCACGTCGCCCCAGGCGGCCACGCCCCAAGAGGCGACGCTGGCACATGCGATTCCGCTGCAGTGGTAACGCATGTCCAATCAGGGGTCCTTTGTGCATTGGCTCTGCAATCTTGTGTGGGGAGGGGGGGGGGGGCTGGCCGTCCCTGGCCTGCAGCCTGCAGCAGTTTGCCGTGTGGATCCGAACGAAACGCATTGTCCCGCGGCAAGTATTCTCGGTACCCTTTGTACCTGGGCACATTGCGGCAGGCGAGGGGTACATGTCGAGTACCAGCAATGCGGAATACTGAAGCACACCTCACCCGTCCGTGGAAGCAACTGCTCCTGCTTGTCATCACCATCATTCGAACAGACGGCATGATATGCTGCAGACAATCAATCTGCAGCGTCTATGCATGTTATGGGCCAACCGCTGCATATCCCACAGCATGCTGGAGCTGAATCCAGCCAAAAGTACTCTGTATTGCTTGGCCACATGGGACCATGCGCGCCATATTGCACACCGACGACTCGTAAACCACGTCTATCACGTCTGACGACACCAATAACTCGGCATGCTGTTCGATAGAAACATGCAGGCCGGGGTCGGGCCTGGGGCACATTAGAACTTTAATATGATCATTCAGTCAGTCGATCAGTCGGTCAGTCGGTCAACATGCGTCATGTCAATGACCCCATCAGAGAGAAAGAAGCAAAAGCACTGGCACCACTATTGTGCTGCACGCACGGCATCTATCTTATCCGAGAAACCTGTCAAATGTCTGCATGATACCCCTGCATACCTACTATTCCCCACCAAGCCCATCCTTCATCGATGGCTGCCTTGATGTGCATACAGACACGAGGAGGCTAACGAGGCGTACTGGCTTGCGACTGGGCTGGGTCCGAGGCACGACGAGGGGACAACGACGAGCCGGGTCGCCGTCTACCGCGGTACTGGCCAGTGGCGCTGGCGCCATCATGCACGCCATTGTCCGAGTGAGCTCCTAGGGCCCATCAACACGGGTTGGCGACCATGGAAGCCAGCAGCCAGAAGCGTTGAAACAACCACCGGGCGGGTAATAATGACGATAAAAACGATGGAGTATACCATAATACCCTGAGATAGCGGCTCGATTTTGTTTCCGTCCCAAAAAAAAAGGGTGCCACCGCCGCCGCCGCAGCAGGTCATCACACACCAAACCGACCGACCAACAAACCCCCACACACCCATCCACCCACCATCATCCATCCACCTGGGCACTTGCTAGCACTTTCCTACCTGGGCAGACGTGTGACTGGGGAAGCCCAAGACATCGGATGATGTCTTGTCCTGCAGACAACTCTGGCATTCCAGGAACCTTTTCTGTTCCTGCTTTTTTGGTCTGCCCTCTTTAGCACGCACGCGTGGGAGAGCAAAGATTGTTCCATATGCCGATCAACAATAAGACTGACAGGGCAGCGTGCAGCCTCGGCGTTGATCCAACCAGCTTGGCCGTTGGGCCTTCATTGGGTCGCCGCTCGTATAGATATTGTACAAGCCTGCGTATAGGTGTACAAGTGTACCAAAAAAAATCGAGGACACAAGGGGGGAACTGCCTAGGTTCCATCCTCCAGGTTGGGGGCCGGCTTGCTACTGTGCATACCTTGCTTCTTCACAAACCTGCAGTTGGGAGTACGGATTATGCAACTATCCGTCGGCTTTGGCCAGCCGGCCAGTGAGCCGGGACAAGGGGCCAAGTCGCAACGGCCTTGGAATGACTGGCCTCTGAAAAGCAGGGCCAGCTTCATCCCTTCTGTACTGTGTAATATCTCCGGCAGTAGTCCACTCTCCAATCAAACTGCCAGACTGCCGCGATATTAACCGCTTTCATCTGAGGGGTGGTCGAGGGGGGGAACAAAGTGCAATATAATGGGTGGGTGACATGTTGAGGCGTCGATCACCTGGGACGACACGCGACGGGCACACCCACCACACACAGTACCCTACCTATAGAAACACATACGGGATGAAGATGGCGTCAACACCAAGGCCTGATGCACCATGTTGGAAGGCGCCGAGGTCCATGCTGAGGATCGCTGAACTGCATCATCCATGGCATTCCTCATTGCTGTTCGACTTGTGAAGGCGGGGAAGGGGGCGGTGTCATCTTCAGACAAAATCCACGTTGATCACAGGTTTCGCAGGTGTTGCCGCAAGCTCTTCCAAGAGCAGAACAGCAACGCCTGCGCATTTACCAACCAGCCAGCCACAGTTCGGTCAGCCAGGTACGGCTCGGCAAGGACACCCGATCTGCAGGGCTGCAGGGCTGGATCGGCCCCCTGGGGCACAGACATGAGACGGAATTTTCTGGTTTTGATGTTTCTTTCCCCTTTGGCGTCGATCAACCAGACTCGCATACAAGAATCCTTCGCCGGCCGGTCCAGTCGCGTCTCTTTCTTTGCAACAGGACCATCACATCGCACCAACATGGACGGGAGGCGGCGCCTGCATAACGTGCGTTTCGCAGATGATGATGTGTCGATGCAGCAAGGCGTCCAGCGCTGCCGCCCCCTCAGCCCCTCCGGAGGGGCCTATCCGGAATTGTCGTCCCTTGCTCTCTCTCTCGGCTACGTACGTACTGTGCGTGGTACCTGTGTCCGGGGCACAGTTCGCAAAGTAGCCCCTGGATTCGCTTTTGGACGAGCCGCTGCGAAGGAGGACCCCACAGAACGCGAAAGGAACGAGTGGACAAAGGTGTGGGGTCTCAAGGGGCAGATCTCGGTGGAGCCCTGGATCGAGGTTGCACTCGCGCACCCGCGAGATAGTGCGAGTATAATTAATTAACTGAACTCTGGGGTTCCAACAGCCTTGGTCTGCCCTTTGAAACTTGCAGCGGAGGTCCCGACGTTTATCGTTATTATGGGAGTAGGCCTTTTCTCAGTAGGCATCCGGCCGTTGCACAGATACACTGAAACTTTAGGAAGCCAAGAGCGACGGCCCTCGCCCTCGGATTCCTAGGTCGGGAGGAGCGGAATCTTCTTGACTCGCATACGGTTACAACATAGGCCAACGTGCAGAGAGCCTATATGACTTGCATCTGCAGCTGCAGTCGTGTGTGTGCCCACAACGTCTTGGGCTGGCTCGTGGGGCATGGACCACATACATTAATTTTGAATCTTTAAGAGATTTGTCCTCAGTCTTGGACGGAACTCGTCAAGATGCGAAGGATCACGTCCACCGCTGGGAAAAGCAAACTCACCTCCCCGGCTTTTCCGGGCAACCACCACCGGAAACATATTTAAGGTTCTAGGCAACGTCTCCTTCTACTCTGTTTCCAGGGCCAATCCTCACCCTACGTCTCAGATCCCCACGGGTTTCGACTGTTCTGCCGGTTTGCGCGGGGGAGGGGGGAAAGTTCGGGCGACATTTCCGAATGCAGTTTGACTTGCACACTTCCAAGCGTCAAGCCGATTCACCTGCGACGGGTGAGCCGAGACGGGCCTTGCGCTCTTCCTTTGCCTCATCCCCTGCGAATCCTACATCCCTAGCTTGTCCTGTAGACCGCATCCTATCGTTCTATGTGTATATCCGGAGCAACGTATAGATGCAGTGACTCGAAATATCTGCGGCCACTCAAGCGCAGGCCGCCAGCACTGACTGACCCGGTCTATCATCCAAGACCCTCCTAGCGGCCGGGGCTCCCAAGGTTCCCCAGCTGGGCTGACGCCACGCTGCAGAGTCCTTTGTTCCCTGGTACGACACATGTGTATTCACACCTCACTCGTAACTAGACCCAACACACCGGGCCATGCGGACCAAGGCCGGGCCAAGAGACGACGGAGCCTGTGGACGCCAACGAGTTATTTTCGCTCGCGCGCGCCTCAAATGGCCAAGAAAAGGAAGGGACGAACACATGTTCGCGAAACCGAACGGCGGCGGGCGAACCTACCCGCCCGCAACCCGCCAACGAGCGCGGCTTACTTGATTCGGATGTAGCTTGCGATGGAGGAGTGCGTACTTACGGAGCCTCAAGTCCACCGGTGTGGGACTCCCAGCGGGGTGGGGAGGAAGGGCAACAGAAATGGCCCCCGACATGTGAGTCTGTCCGTGTGAGAGCTGAAGAGACATGCCACCAAAAGACGAGATTTCGTATCTATCTCGTATATGCTTCTTGCCGCGGTAGGGAGGAGGAGGGCCGAATGCTGACGTGTCTGCCTGTGTATTCACCGCCCCTATCAGACCGGCCTCACCAACCACGTTCCGATATGGGGCGATCTGTGACGACGGCATCGAGCCCGCCGCATCGGGGGACCAGGCCGGGCTTCCACCCCCTTCCACCCCCACCCGGTGAGAGCACATTTTTCACACCGGGCAATAATACACGCATTACGCCGCAACCACCACCGTGGCTGCTTGTGTTTCTGTTCCACCTTTGTGGATATCTGGAGGTGTGATGGGGGGGGGACACTGTGCACCAGCCTCTCAAGTGAGCGAGCGGATGGGCAAAGACAGCCAAAACTCGTCCCCGATAGACGAGGTTATGCATCTCGTGCATGGCTACTGGGGATTTCTGAGGCAGGCCGCAGAGACTCGCCTCCCCATGATGGGAAGCAGAAGCCGCAAAAACAAACTGCCCCAACCCACGTCTGCATATGCGCGGCCAGCTCCCCTGGCGGCTCTTGCAGCAGCAGCTTCAACAGTTGTCGTGCGTCCACTCGCAACTCATGCCGTGGTCAGAGGAAGACACGCCTGTCTTCTCTGCCCACTCGTCCTGGCGCCCGTTGATGGTCGCCGTCGACAGGGGATAGGCCGGCCAATGTCGAGGAAATCACGCACCCTCCCACACAGAAACAAATGCATAACACGCACGCATGCAAACGTTTTGCTTTTTCTAAGCCCCTCCTTTTTTTGAGGCGCGTGTCCACATGGCCCGACACGAGGTACGTGCATGAGAAACGTGCATCGGGAGGGAGGCGGGCAGATCACAAACTGGGCACTGATACCAACACCACGACGCCGCCCACACCACAACGGCTATGTCAAGTCCCGCTTCCAAAACTCTTTCACTCACCAGGAAGACGGGAAGAATTTCGTGCCGGAAAGTGGGGAGAAGATAGGGGGGGTTTACAACTGAACAAGGAAAATATCAATAGACCTCAGCTGGGCAAGGGGTGGTGTGTGTGTCAGCACAAGACAGGCACATCCATCATCTTTTGGAAAGACCCATGCCGGACACAGATGGATACCTTCTCCAGACTCCCTCCGAGATCCTCAGGTCTCAAAAACTGCCACTTATGATAAAAGAAAAAGCCGCCGATGAACCGCACTGCTTCCCCTTTCCAGGTCGTCGTCGCAGAGAAGAAGAAGAAAAAAGAAGAAAAAAAGACAGATCCGAATGCGAGGAGACAGACGCCTCGTCCCGCGGCGCAAACGAGAGACACTGATCTGCGGACATAAACCCCCGACGCAAGCCAAGGCGGGCACAAGAGGCCGGGGGGGGGGAGGCAAGCGAGAAGAAGCAACATCGTAGGAAGGGGACGAGACTTCCAAAAAGAAGCAGGAGAAGAAAGAAAAAGAAAGAGAGGAAGAAGCAAAAAAAGAAAGTTATTGGAGGCAGCCCGCTGTCCGTTGCCCACATTGTGTCCAACACCGCCCAGTGCCTATGCACACGTCAACGCGCATCAGAACCACACCATATCATCTACCGACGACACGAAACCACACGACATGCACAAGCTTGCGAGCCCTTCCCCGGTCTGGCCGAGTGTCATGGGGGACTGACTGACTGACTGACTGGTGACTCGAGCAGTCGGGCTCAACAGGTAGCCCGAATGAGAGGGGACTTCGGGTCTAGGAGGCTCTCGGGGCCAATATATCGAAGACAGACAGACAGACAGACAGACAGACAGACAGACAGACAGATTCGAGGCAGAGCCGGGGACTCTGGAGAAGAGCAGGAAGTCGTGAGAAGAGAGAGGGAGGGAAACGTGTCGCCGTTCTGAACCGCTGGAACGTGCCGCATGTTATCCTCAACCTCACACCACACGCGCAGTTTGTTGGTTCCATGCCCTGAAGGGCGGGACCGCGAATGCGATATGTCCCCTCCCCTACTAGGTGTCGTACGCAGTCCGTGAAGGCGCCGAGAGGACAAAACGGGACAAAGGCCCCCGGAGATATGACCAAGGATGAGCCAGATGACACATGGACGAGCAGGTAGGTAGTCACGGATACAAGACCGTGGCCGGCGCGTAGGTATGTAGGTATGCTCGCTCACTCTCTCTGGCTGGTATTTCTTCTCATGCCCCATGGTAAGAACTGCTGTCTGTCTGTCTGTTTTGTTTTTACTATTATCTTTCATCCATGCCAACCCTGATGCTTCATCCTCAACCACAACCCCCTTCCCCGCATGACATCGCCACTGCAATCACACATCCTCATGTCTCTCTGTTCATTCTCACCCGAGAGGGGGGAAAAAATCCATAAACAAGAATGCTGTTGGTTGACCCCCCAGGTAAGTACCTGCCTGGGTAGGTGTAGATAGATCTGTGTGTTTTAAGCTAAACCAAAGAAAAGAAAAAGGGCAACCTGGGTATTTAGGTGGTAGGTAGGTAGGCAATCGCGCGGAAACCACATTCCATGCATCCCTCCTCCCCATGCAACAACATATGTGCAGTTAACCAGCCCGTAAAGCAAAGGCCGCTCGCTCAGTACCGATAAACCGGCCTCTTCCCGGACGAAGACCCGCCGTACGAGTCCGAGGCGGTCGGCGCGTTGTAGATGTCATCGCTCAGGTCCGACACGGCACGTGGCCTGCTCGACGAGGAGGACCCGCCGTACCCGCCCGCGCTGCCGCCGGCGACGACGGGGCTCACGACCTCCTTATCGCCGTCCTGGTCCGGCGGCCCGTAGCCCGCGCCGTGCATGGTCACCTTGTTCATGGCGCTTTCCTGCCGCCCGAGATAGCTGCGCGTCGGCTGCTCGCCGAAGCCCGGGTGGAACGGCTCGTCGGCCAGCCGCGGCTCGTCCAGGTGTGGCGCCCCAGAGTTGGAGGAAGAGGACCCGCCTCCTTGCTGCCTCCTGCCGCTGCTGCTGTACCCCGCCGGCTCCGGGTCGCGGAAGGGATCCTGGCCCTCATCCAACGGCGTTGCGTTTGCGGATCGGGATGGGCCCGCTGTTGTTGAGTAGTGGTTGTTCCCTGCTGCAGAGTGTCCCGGCGGCGGTCCCGGAGGTGGCGGCACGTAGTCCGCGGGGTCAGGCTCTTGTCTCCCCTTCCCTTTCCCATTGTTGAGCGGCTTCCTTGGCACCGACGGCGCCGATTCGCTCACGTACCCCATACCGGCGGGTGGGAATGATCCCCCCTGTTGGAGAGAGTAAGACGCCGTCGCCTGGGGCATGGGAGGGCGGTTCGAGCCGTTCACCTCGGGCGCGGGGCTGACGTTCTCGGAGCGGTCGCCGACGCCGAGTTCCTTCCTGGCGCTAAGCCGGGCGCGCTTCTCGTTGTTGAGCGCCTGCTGCAGCTCCTCGTTGACGTCGATCAGGCTCTCCATGGTCTCGTTATCCGGACCCGGGTTCTCGGCGGTCATGTAGCCCTGTATGCTCCTGGACGCGCTCAAACACCTGTCGGCGAACTCCTTGACCAGGTCGTTATCCAGGACCTCGGTCGATGGCGTGTTGGCTACCAGCTGCGAGAGCAACTTGGCCGACGTCCGCGCCTCCTCTAGACGGTTCGCCAGCTCGACGGGGTCGGGAAGACGCTTGTTGCTATGGCTCCTCGCGAAATAGTTTTGCGAGTGCATGTCTTGAGGGGGCATGTTGAAATTTTGTGGACGCGGTGGTGGCGGCGGTTGTCCCTGAAAACCATTAGCAACTCTGCTTCTGACATGGATGCAGTGGTGCCGGTGCATACCTTGTAGGCCTTCTCCTTCTCCTTCTTCCACAGCTCGTTGAGCGGACCAAGGTTCTCGTCCCAGCCCTTCTGCTGCTCGAATGTGTCCAGCGTCTCCATGAGCATGTGGCGCACAGAGAGGTCTTTCCCACTCCGCAGCAGCTCCTTGACCACGTCCAGGAACTTCCCGTCCAGGTTCCGAGTAAAGGTCGGCCCGGGGTTGTCAGCGAGAATCCTCATGAGCATGAGCGCATTGTACTGGTAGGACGGCTTCGTCCAGTAATCCTTCTTGAGGTACTTGCGTATCGTCCGCGCGCACTCGGCGGCTGCTGTTGGCGACGACTCGGCGGACTCGACTATGGACGGCAGGTAGATGACATCGTCGCCCTGTACTCCCACGCGATCAGCAACTCTGCGCCAGTAGTAGTGTCAGACAAGGGGGCACAGCGGGCGGGCGGGAAAGACGACGGCAGATGGGCAGGCCAAAGATGCGCAAGCAGAAGTGTTGTGCCTGTCCCTCCCGTCATCTCGGACAACGATGCCGACCTGCGCACCGCCCAGTAAGGCCCTCCTCAGCCCTGGGGAGAGATGCCGCAGATCTCGCATCAACCATGTCGTGCGACACTTGCGCGGCCACCCAAAGCTGCCCTAGTCCGGATTCCACGAGTGCGCCCCCAATGACATGCAACATACCGAATTACTACTCGACTCGCAGAAAGCTTTCTACACACACACAGCAGCATCAGCAAGCAAAATCCCCCAGCGACTGGCGGTTGGCGGGAATCGTACCACGCTCCTGGCGGCGACGGCCTCGGGCGAGTCGCCCTGCAGGTCGACGGCGGAATCGCTGCCTGCTGCGCTCGCGGTGTCGCCGGAAGAGTCGGTCCTCTTCTTGATGCTGCCGAGCATCTTACTGCTCAGACCCTTCATAGACTTCATCGTGGGCGTGGGAGAGGGGGCGCGCTCTGTGCGGCCACAGTCAAGGTATGACGTCGGGTCGGGCAAGAGGAAGAGCGGAGGTGGGTGGGTGGGCCCAGATGGGCAGGCAGAGTGACGCGATTAGGCTGCTGTTGCTCGAGTCGAGGTTCGGGGTCAGCCAAGGCTCCGAGTCGAAGCAGCAGCTGTGGAAGCTGTCCTGATGGTCGTGGCGGAAGAAGCAGTAGGCAATAAGTTGGGAGAAGGCTGTTCAAAGAGAGAGGAGAGAGTGAGGGTTGGGAGGAGGGGTATCTCAACAAAGAAGAAAACAGAAAAAGGATCGATGCGAAGGAACGAGGCGAGGAGCGGCGCAGTCAGTTTGGATTGTCGTGCAGTCGTCGTAATGAAGTATGGGGGAGGGGGCGGTGATTGTGCACGATAATAATACCGTACAAACAGTCAGTCAGGCAGTCAGGCAGGCAGGCAGGCAGCCAGTAACAATAATAGACTGAGACTGGGGGCTGTTAGGCGATGGGCCGATGTAATAATATGCGTGGCAGCGTACAGGCATGCAGGCGTGCAGGCATGCTTGCGCAGGTGGGAAGAAAAGGCAGCCTGGCAGCCTGGGATCCGCGAGGTCGCGTCAGTCAAGCAGTAACCAAGAAGGCAGGAAGGGTGCAATGGGGATCTGGTTCGGTTTTCGGTTGACCAACAAAAGCCAAGCAAGGGTCCTGTCCTCGAAGCTCTGAGGGGCAGAGGGGAAACCCACCTGCCCACCTGCCCACCCACGTACGTACCACCTGGTCAGCGTCCCCACAACGCTTGATCTGGGCTGTGCTAATGCGCGTATAATGCTGTGTTGGCTGGCCTATCTTGTCTGTCTGGCAGTCTATCTGTCTGTCTGGGTGGCCCGGGTGTGCTGGCAGCTAGCTGTCTCGTCTCCTCCCCCACTTCGCCTATCAGCTACCAAAGCAGCCTAGGGCCAGCACTCCTGTCTGCGAGACCAAGAGACGGCAGTAGTTTCAACGTGACGGCCGGCCGTTTGAGGCCAGTGTTTTGACAGCTGCAGGAACAGGAAATCGGAGAGGTGTGTTTGTGTGCCCTGAGAGTGAGTTCGGTCAACAGGTCTGTCAGGGGGAGACCAAGCACTCGGAAACAGTAGGTGCGGGGATTATAATCTTCAGTTATACACTTCTGCCGAGCAGCATAGATGGGATGAGACGGGATGGTTTGGCGGTAGGCTCTTGTTGCTTGTACAGTATAGCCCGCCCCAATGGTCAAAGTAAGACCCCTGTTCGTCTTCTCTTTCTCTGTCCTTCTCTCTCTGTCTCTCTCGTTGCTGCTGGTCCTGCCGTCGTCGCTGCTGACTGATTCTTCATCAACGCCGACCGACCTCCATTCACCGGCTGCACAGCCTCAACCTCCACGCAACCCGACCACACTTCCAAGCTTCCTGGCGGGGCCCCCCAGACCAGCCGGCACATCATCTTACGGCTTGGTCGCACTTGGCTGGCACATCACCTGCCGCCCGCCTGTCGTGGCCTTGGGGGCTGCCACCTCCCGTGCCCTCCCGTGCCCTCTCGTGCAAGCTGATGTTGACCCATAACTGACGAGGCCGCCATTGCATGCTTCCGCCCCGGCCAATCACAACTTCCCCGCTAGTTGCGAAAAAGCAACATCAGTAGACAGGGGTCGGGCCACAGCATCCTGCGAGAGACGGCTTTTTTGTATTAATCTTGCAATAATGGTGCACCCACTCTAGTTTCTATCGCTGGCAATGTTCCTCAGTCTCCAGACTCCACTTTGTACCGCCGTGGCAAGCACTGCATCGCTTGTTCCTTGACTAGATCCATGTTGAATGCTCCCTTGCCATCCGTCCCCAGTCAGAATGAGCTGTGCTCCCACATGCGGCGGACCCTCCGGACCAGACATCACCTGCACCGATTCCATGTGAACCATACTGCCGGCCTCGCCTGTTCCCGAACGGCTCTACTGGGTCTCCTCCACGGTGGGCAATGGGACCGCCTTGTACAGCAGGATCAGCGCTGAGTGCGTCTCTCCGCCGCCGGCAAGCGTCTCGATCTTGTCGCCGGCTACCTCCGACACCCTGTCGTCGTTGAACCAGTACCAGTTGCCGTCCTCCTCGCCGACCTTGCCAGTCTTGGCATCCTTGGAGCCCGGCTTCTTGACATACGCCGTGTAGTGCCCGCTGTCGGCGCTGGAACCTTGATGAGTAATCACGGCCCGGAGTTCGTAGAGGCCAGACTGGTTCGCGCCATCGTCCTTGGCCAGGTCTTGGTTGACCAGCGAGAGGAGCTCCTTCTTCGCCTCACGGAGCGCCGATGCCTTCTCCTCCTCCCACTCCGCGTCCGTCTTATACGTCTCCATCGACGTGTCGCCGTCAGCATCTGTAGCAGGCTTCTTGCCTTCCTTCTTGTCCTCCTTCTTGTCCTTCTTGTCAGCCTCGGCTGCCTCAGCTGGGGCATCCGAAGATGTGGGCTGTGCCCTTCTCCTCTTGCGCGCCCGCGTGATGTCCTCCTCGTCCTTCTGAACCTCTCGAAGCCTGTCCCTGACTGGGATCAACTTCTGCTTCAGCTCGTCCGTGCAGAACTCCATGATGTCGAGGTCCTTTGGGAAGGTGACCTTGCGGAGGATCTTGGCCTTCTTCTGCGTGTCTCTCCTCCAGAAGAAGCGAACGAATTGAACGGTCAGGTACAAGGGCAACCGCGAGATCTTAGACGACCTAGTATAAGATACGTCCCTGCCTAGTACCTCGGACCTCTTTTCGATCTTCTCTGTCAGGCCAGCCAAGATTCCGTCTCGCAGGTGGTTGGTCTCGGCATCGATATGACAGTTGAGCTTCAGGTGCCTGTCAATGGCCTCAATAGGCTGCTCGCCCCGCTCTCGGGCTTCCTGCTCGTCACACTCTAGCTTCGACTCGAGCTGAAGAGACATGTATCGGTCGACCCACGAGACGGGGGCAGAATCGTTTGGGCCCTTGATTTGCAGGCTCGTACGGACCTGGGAGAGGATGTTGGTCCAGGCCTCCTCGGCATCCTGCTGCGCATAGCCCTGCCCTGTGCGAGACCTCTCCGCGAACTGGGGGAAGCTTTGACGCAGGGCCTGGATGAAAGCAAATGGCGCAAAGGAATCCTGTGTCTCGCCCATCGCCTTGACAAGGTTCTTCAACTGTGTCGTGATGTCGAACTGGGGCAGGACGCCGAGGGCGCTGGAACCCGGTTGGCTCTTGTACTCGTACTTGACCAGAGATTCTTGGAGCTCGGGTATCGCCCGGAGCGTCTGCAAGGTCGAGTTGAGGTAGCAGGTATTGCCCAGGTTGGTCAGGCCGCTTGGGATCGCGCCCACCTGCTGGGCCCTCTCGGCGTCGGTCATGTCCTCCATGAACTTGATCTTCTCCTTTGGCCGGGCCAGTTCTCCTCCACCGGCGCTCGGGGTGCCCATCATCATAATCTGCTGACCATTCTTCAGGCCAAGCTTGCCCATGTCCGCGTCATCTTTCAGCTGACCACCCTTGATCAGGATCTTTTGTCGTTCGGGCTCGACGGCTGTTAGGCTGTAGACGATCTCCTTGAACTCCGCACCCGTTGCGGAAGGGTCCACCTCGACATCATATTTGGTGCCCTGGTGTTTGATAATGACTGCGATAGGCAATGTTAGCACCTGGCAGTCGATCATAGAAGGGAAGCGATCGGGGCATCTGAGCATTTCCGACCTGCGTGATTCGGAGGAGGCAGGGAGCTGAGCGCGGGGGAGGGTTGACTTACCATTCACCGCCATCTTGTCAGTTGCTGTCTGGAGTTTAACGTGCTGCAACTTTCATTCACAGGTTTGATGCGCAATGGGGATGGTGGAGAAAAAAAAGTTGGCAGTTGTATAGACTTTCTGGAAGAACCAGGTAGATGTATGTCGACGTGAGCTGCAGGGAGGCAAAACCGCGGGAGGCGGGCAGGCAGCTGGGAGCTTGTGTCATCAATGGACATGGCGGGGCACACCAGACAGCAGTGTGTAACTGTGTAAGGGAAGGCGCGACAGGGGGGAGGGGGCAACACCCGAGCTCCAGCAAATAGGGTACGTACCTCCAAGCCTTCCCCTGATTCCGCTGGCATGTCCCGCCGCTCCTGACGCCCCACACCGGGCTGGGTTGACGTCGCTCCATTCGGGGACAGCTCCTCTGGACGACCACCTCGACCTTCACCACGCCAGCCCGGCATCTTGGACACAACTGGCAGAGTCCCCGCGCCTTCAAGATGGTACGGGATGACCCCCATACCCGTATATTTGCATTGCACCGCTGACGAGTCTCCTAGTCTCAATCCCTCAGGCCGTACCTTCAGGCCGTCCGCAGCAGCCTGACAGCCGCCCTCTGCCTTTCCAACTTCGCATCCCAGACCGCCGAGCGACACAATGTCCCCGAAGTCGAGGCCAGGACATCGCCCGAGGTCCTCCTGACGCCCCTAACCATTGCGCGAAACGAAAACGAGCGCGTCCTCATCGAGCCCAGCATCAACAGCGTGCGCATCAGCATCAAGATCAAGCAGGCTGACGAGATCGAGCACATCCTGGTACACAAGTTCACCCGATTCTTGGAACAGCGCGCCGAGTCCTTCTTCATACTGCGGCGGAAACCCATCAAGGTGCGTGGTTACGACGACGGGTGTTCTGCCGACCTCTCGCTGCCTCCCCCCGGGCAGGCTGCGGCACCCCTGACTAAGGTGGAGACTGACCGACCGTCTGAGTAGGGATATGACATCTCCTTCCTGATCACGAACTTCCACACGGAGGAAATGTTGAAGCACAAACTGGTGGACTTCATCATTCAGTTCATGGAGGAGGTTGACAAGGAGATTTCGGAGATGAAGCTATTCGTGAGTGACAACTGCCATAGCCTCCTCGTTGCATCGACTAACCAGGTGCAGTTAAACGCACGAGCACGATTCGTTGCGGAGTCCTTCTTGACACCTTTCGACTAAGGCTTGACTTGCCCTGTATTTGGTTTGTGGGAGGGGGGGTGCTGTGACATGCCATGACGGGTTGGGGTGGTAGATAGCGCTCAGAAACGGAGCAACTCGGCAAGCATGCCTCCTTCCTTTCAATGACCCCGAGCCATGGTATGTGGCTCGAAAATGGCTGTATTGCACCAAAGGAGAGGTTGCTAGGTGCCGGTGAATTGGCACATTGGCAGTATTTTGGCCCAGGCTCAGCACTCATTGCTGCCGTCCAAAGGCTGACAATTGAAATTAGACGAGTCAGATTCAAGCTCATGAGGGAACTGAGCCAATAAAATATCAAAAAGTTGTTTGCAGCCAAGCGGTCTCCCTTTAGATGCTGATTCTCCCACGTCCACAGCAAGGCTACTGGCACGGCTGACACTGCAGGTAGGCTTCCAAGTGCTCATATGCGAAGTTGTCTTATAGGAGGTCATATTAAAGCAAGTGATCTTTTCAGAAACCATGGGGATGTCTTTAAGAAGGTTGGTCCACCAGGTTTTGAGTATAATAATAATTTCGAGTCTGACGCGGCTGAGTGGGCGGGCTGAGTGGGCGGGCTGAGCGGGAGGGCTCAGTTGTGTCCAAGGAGACAGTGCAGCCTTGCCACTCTGCATCATTTCCGAGCTTTCCATGTTGGTTTTCTGTATACTAGAATCACTCTTCGCTTTATTTTGGCAGAATCCTGGTGTCTGCTGGTCATGCGTTCCACCGAGTTCATTCACGAGAGGACCAAGAACAAGACTGTCATGCAGACAAGCTCCGCAAGCCATTCTATCAAGGCTGGCTTGAAGACGTAGCATGATATAGCTCTCCTTTTGAAATTTCTTATTCTCGATGGACAAGATCTAAAGAATGCACAGCTGTGCCACCATGTGTGGTCGAGTCTGAACAATGGACACGACAGTGTTATTACAGTAGATCTGGAGCACACCCATGGACCTAGGAGACATATTGGAGTCAAGGGACCCAGCACGCTGTTTGATATTATAGGGCTTTCTGTTTGTCTTGGGCAACTCATAGCCCTGTCCACCTCATCTGAGGTCCAAGACCCAGATCAGACTTTTTTTGACTTTGGTTTCTTTTTTGATCTCACTCCATCTTGTGAGCTTTTCCCCTTCTCTCTTTCTGCAATTTCTTTTAAAGCAACACGTTTTCATTCTGCCCCTGCCTATATCCTGCTTTCGTCCAAACTCTTGCCAGGCCTCTCCCAGTGCACCTGCTGCTGCCAGGTAGGGACGCGTCGAAGTCCACACCACCAGCTTAAGGTGAGTTGACTTTCTTACTTCGCCCTGGGCTTGCCTGACCTCTTCTGAGTACTAATTCTTTTGCATTTTCCGAAGTGCCCTGCCATAACTTCCATCACTCGGAAACACCAACTTGTACTCTCAATTTCACCATCGTCAAACTTCACTGTTGCTGGACGAGCTGACCACTTCCCTGATCAAGTGAGTATTCGCACCATTCTCTTCTTCTCTTCGCCTTCCTCTGATACCACTTCCACGCTTTGTCCTCGCCTTGCCATCCTGGCATTCCATCATCCTGCCGTCCCATCACTTCCACTGTCACTGTCCTGTTGGCAACGTGTCCTCTCAACGTCACCTCTTTCCTCATCACGTCCCATACTTCCGGTTGATTCCGAGGCACTGCCTCTGAATCACAGGGCCTCAAGTCTGTCCTGTTTGAGCCGGTCTTCTAGTCCAACTGTAAAGACGGAGCTCAGAAACCCCTCCTTCGAGAGTGTAGCAGTTCTCTGCCACAACAGTGGCGTTCCTCCCCTTCCACCTTCCCAACTGCCCGACTTCTTGCACATTGATATAGCTGTCTGGCACTTACTCCACCTGAAGAATTGCTACCTGATTTGTTGATTGGAACGATCTTGATTTGCTAAACCCCGGTAGCCACAGGCCTGAATTGCGATGTCGTCCTCTTCCCACACCACGCCGACCAAACCCGGCTTGGTGAAGACGTTCGAGACGCCTCACGGTCGCCGCACTCATATCCAGCGGCTGCCTCCTGTCCAAGAGGGCTCGAACGATTCGCTCGACTCCTCTGGCGGGGGTGTTCCCCTCAACACCTTTGCCTTCCCTGGACTTCCGTCCCAGAGCAAGAGTGAGACCAACTCGCCGTTGTCAGACCGCTCCTCTTCGATCAACCAGGCTTCTCACCTCAGCGAGCCCGCTGGACTTCAGTCCAGCCTTCAGAATGCCAGGTTCAACATGGGTCTTCAGCAGCTTGAGGCATCGGCTCAGCGAAACTATGGCCAGCTCAACCCGTCTACCGCGGAGTTTCAACCTGCTGGCATCCAGCAGGCCCCTGTTGTGTATGCCCAGCAGAGCTCCATGGGCGTCACTCAGGGTCAGAGTAACATGGCCATGGGATCAACTGCCTTCCAGCCTCAAGCAGGTGACCAGCTTGACGGCGCTGCCCTCACCCCATTCACCACCGTGAGTGTTCCCAGTCAGACTGGCAACACGTTCCCATCCCAGGTTGGCAGCGCGCAGCTTCAGCCCCAAGTGACCTTTCCCAAGACGAACGGTATGACCGTTGTCAACGGATCGACCCCTCAATTCGCCCGAGTTGCATTCGACCCAACCAGTGGAGTGACTTACAACGGTCCTAACGGTGGCAGCCACCTGCAGCAGCAGTTTATTCAACAGCAGCAACTCTTGCAGCAACAGCAAGCTTTGCAACAGCAGCAGCTACTGCAGCAACAGCAACAGCAGTTCCTCAACGCGAGTGGAATGACTTTCGGTGCACCCCACAACAACAACAACCCTCCTGTTCAGTACGCCGCGAACAACACGAACCAGACCCTGGTGCTTCGAGATAGCAACGCGACCCAGCAGTACGCCAACAACACCAAGATGGATTTCAGCGCGCCTCACGGCAGCGGCCCTCAGTCTTTCAACAACGATGGACAAAACACTGGTGCCCATTACGGTCAGGTCGCCCAGGGTATGTCTTCGATCTCCTCCCCACCAGCCAACGGTATGGCCAACGACGCGAGTGGCATGACCACTGTCGCCAATGCCTTTGAGCAGATGTCCATGTCCACTCTGCAGGCCCACCTGGTCCACGGAGGCCAGTACGCGCAGGCGCAGACCAACGCGACCCCTACTTTCCCACAGGGTGTTGCTAGCCCTGCCCAGTACTCAGCCCAGTCCACACCCTTCCAGCCGCAGAGCAACGTTGTCATGCAGCAGCAGCAGCAGGTGGGCAACCTCTCCAGCAACTCTGGAGGCGGCCCCAATTACGTCCAGTCGACTCCCGCACCGCCGTCCACCATGTACAACAGCCCTGGAGGCGCAGTCCCCCAGGCTCGTTACGTGGCGCCCCCCTCCTCTCGTGGATGGAGCGAGCCTCGCAAGCTGGACACGCGCCCCAACATCTCGAACGAGCCTCCTCCTCGATTCGATCTGCAGACCACTCCGACTGGTGTGTCTCAGCAGGGCTACAGCAATGTGATGTCGCCTGCCTCGACCGCTGGCACCATCCCGCCCCGCGGCACCACAGCCTCGACTGGACCATCGTCCTCCGCCAACTCGGTGGTGGACCCCTTCAACGGCCCGCCTCTGCCCAGCGTCATCCAGCCGATTGAGCCCCAGTCTGCCATGGTCCTCCACGAGAACCGTGTGCCGGAGGCAATTCGCAGGATGCGTTCCAAGCAGTTGAACGCGCTGACGGACTCCGGACCAAACGGTCGTCCCCGTCTTGACGTAGCTCTGGATGCTGCCAACTTCCCCTTCGTCGAGAGCGCTCGCAACGCGCAGCCTGGCGCCCACTGTGGTGTCATAAAGCTGAAGAACGTGAGTCTGCGAATCCCTCTGCCTTTCATGAATCTGGACCTGAGCGTGTGAACGTCCCGCTGACGGAGCTTTATCAGATTCCCTTTGCCACCAAGAAGTCCGAGATCCTCGCCTTTCTTGGGCGCAACTCCAAGGTTTTGAATGACAGCCAGGAACCCGTCCACATCATTATGGAGCGCGTTACGACCAAGACCAATGATGCGTTCGTCGAGTTCATGAGCATGCAGGCGGCTTCCAACGCTGTCGAGAAGCACCACAAGACCATCGCGAACGGCCGCCTCAGCCGCCTTGGCGACCGCCCGATTGAGGTGGAGCTTTCCAGCCAGGCCGCCCTGATGAAGGACCTCTTCCCTCACGCCAAGGGTGTTCGCTGGGAGGGAGCTGTGCCGATCATCCTCGAGGACCACCCCACTGAGCCGTGGAACTGCTTCAAGGGATTTGTCACCGAGGAGGAGATGGTAAGAGACTTCGTTTCGTGCCCGGTTTGTGAAAGTGCTAAGAAACTGTGCACAGGCGATGCTTGTGAAGCACGTCGAGGTTCCCCAGCGTGTAAGTTAACAAATCATCCATCCACCACGGTTCCTGCCTTGAACAGTCAGCTGATGGTGTTTTTCACACAGTCCCCCTACTCCCGTGATTGCCCGCAGCGCCCCTTTGAGTGCATGATCAGCACCCTCCGCAAGCTGCCGTGGTACAAGACCGACTGCATCACCATCAAGCAGCGCCACGCCGTGTACAACGCCTGCATCCAGCTGATCCGTCTGCTTCAACACTCCATCAACGACAGGAAGAACGAGGAGCACCTGACGCCGCAGCTCCTGAAGCGCCTCTGGACCTCGGCCATGCTCTGCCACGGCTTCACGGTCACCCAGCGGGACGACATCGCATACGTGGCCGGCATCCCGGAGAACCGCCTGCGCGAGTTCAACATGCCTCGCTTTGCCGAGAAGTGGGTGCACGCCTACACCTTGTGCCCCAAGCCTGGCACCCCACTGGACATGATTGAGGTATGGTTATTGCGCTTCCTTTCATTCCATCCTTTGTGTTGTTGTCACCCGAAAGAAAAGTGTTGCTGACCAAGCCGGCCACAGTGGTACATCGCCATCATTCGCGAGGAGACCAACCGCACCGTCAGCATCCTGCAGCCCAACATCCAGGCTCAGATCTACAAGGAGGGAGAGCACACCGACCTGTACTGGGGCTTCTACTTCAAGGAGCTGAACCTCCCCCAGGGCCCTGACTTTGACAACATGACCCTGGCCAGCATGGCGGAGCTCGAGTTCCGCTGCCTGACCAGCATCCTCACGCGTGCCTTTGGCTGAGGTGCCTGTCGAGAGCTGTACCGAGATGGAATGGCTTTCTTGTTGGAAACCCTTGTTGGTTGTCCTTGATTCGAAGGTGCCTGTCATCCACAGATGACTGTTGAGTCCGTTCTAAACCGGACTGTTGGTCTACAACAATCTGCTCATCATTCGCTTCTCTGAGTTGGCTGCCGTGGAAAGAAGGCGGCTGGAAGTTTCATGGCATGGAATTCTTCTTCGGAAATCATTCCCTATCCCAGCTGAGGCTGAGACCTGGAGGACTCTTGTCCGATTTGAATGATGCGACACATGGGTCGGAGTTGTTGGCGGCATCTGCCTCTTTTAATTCGTTTCTTTTTAGTTTCTCGTTTTCTTCCGTCCTGCACCCCCTGGCCGCGGGGTTGGCGTTTCCGGATGGGTTGTTCTCCCACAGTTGTGGTGGTGATCTTGGAAAGGGGATTCAGTACACATGGATGGATGATGGGGCGTCACTCCATCTTGACACATTTCCCCAACATTAGATTAATACCTTGAGGCTTGCCACATGGTGCGCACAATGGTGATGGAGGACATTGATGGACTCGGAAAAAACTGCCGATTAGACTGATGCACAAATTGAAGGAGTTCATTGATGACTACTGCATGCTCAGTGGTAATGTGTATGTGCCGCAGCCATGTGCAAGAGCCTCGTCTTGCCGTTCAGTCTTCCGTTCTTGTAGGTCCTCGCCCGCTCAAGGCGAAGACTGAAGCCGCAAGCAATTATTGACCCTGATTAAATTGAAGAAAGTGGCTTACACCAGGGCAGGACTGTTGAGAAGGGATCAATGCCACCGAGGCCTCCCGGGTACGCATTGATGGCTGAGCCGAGGTAGTTTGCTCAATGGCAGGCACGCGTCATCTCTGGCTTAGGTAATCCACATGCAGACTGCACACTCCCCCCCCCCCCTGCCCAAAATTTCGGGCGGTACGAGGCGTTGCCAATCTTATCGGCGATTTTTCGTCATGGATGAGTTTACTTTCCTCCCATCAGTCGATTAATCTTTTTTGTACTGTCAACTTTGACCCACCGCACGAGGGCCACCATCCGAGCCTGCAACGAAATGTGCTCCAGGCTGCAATAGTACAATTGACGTTACCCGAGGGTGGGATTCCGCAGGTTTCAGCAGCCCTGAGTGGCAATGGCGACGCCGGCGGCGACTTACACGATGGCCTCTGACAGAGACGACGGCCGGCGTGAGCAGCGGGCGGCAGACCGCCTCCCCCCGCTGATCCGCTCGAGAGAAACTGGTGAGGTGATGCCAGAGGCGCGTCCCCTCGGTTCAGCCCAGCCCGTAAAGGCTTTGGCGTTTGCAAAATCGTGGCACCACATGGTAGCCGGAGCGTAAGAGAACCCCCAACGCCGACTTGGAGCCCGAGACCGAGAACTGGAACTGCATGGTCTCGAGAGCCGCGCGCGCTCCCCCGCTGACAGCCATGTTCAACCTACAGTGTCGGCGGAATGACGGCCGCCGCCCTGACCGCGCCCCTCGACGTCCTCAAGACCCGCCTCCAGTCAGACTTCTACCAAGCACAGCTCCGGGCCGCGCGGCAAGCCCACGCCAACATGAACCCGGTGCGCGCCGGCATGTACCACCTGACCGAGACGATACAGATCCTGTCGTCGGTCCCGAAACAAGAAGGCTGGCGGGCGCTGTTCAAGGGCCTGGGCCCCAACCTGGTGGGCGTGATCCCCGCGAGGTCAATCAACTTCTACGTGTACGGCAACGGCAAGCGGCTGGTCTCGGAGTACCTGAACCACGGGCAGGAGGCGCCCTGGGTGCACCTGACGGCGGCCATCGCGGCGGGCGTGGCGACGGGCACGGCGACGAACCCGATCTGGCTGATCAAGACGCGGCTGCAGCTGGACAAGAACGTGGCCGAGCAGGCGGGCGGCGCCGCCAAGAGGCAGTACAAGAACAGCCTGGACTGCATACGGCAGGTCTTCCGCACCGAGGGCCCGCGCGGGTTCTTCAAGGGCCTCAGCGCCAGCTACCTGGGCGTCACCGAGTCGACGCTGCAGTGGGTGCTGTACGAGCGCCTCAAGAAGGGGCTCAAGCACCGCGAGGAGAGGCTCGTCGCCAGCGGGCGCGAGTGGTCCTGGTGGGATCACTTCGTCGACTACACGGGCAAGGCGGGCGCGGCCGGCGGGGCAAAGCTCTTCGCGGCCGTGATAGCGTATCCGCATGAGGTTCGTTTACATCCGACCCGAGACGGACGGCATGCGCCGAAATAGGGGGGAGACACAATGCTAACATGCATGGCGAACAGGTTGCGAGGACGCGGTTACGACAGGCGCCCACGGCAGACGGGCGGCCGAAATACACGGGCTTGATGCAGTGCTTCAAGCGCGTGTGGTTGGAAGAAGGCCTGGTCGGCCTCTACGGCGGGCTGACGCCGCACCTCATGCGGACGGTGCCGAGTGCTGCCATCATGTTTGGCATGTACGAGGTCATCCTCCGGCTCCTGGACACACCCTCTTGAGGAGCCCCAACGCCTCTTCAGACCACTGCCTCGGCGCATATCTCATCATATCTCGTCGCGCAGAGACACAGCGCAGCAACTGCGCCACAGCCAAAAAGGAAGGACGGCGGCAACCACATAGGAGGAGGACAATGTAAGATCTACAAGGCATGATGGATGCACGATTAGAATCTGAGAATCTCCCCGCCCCCCACACCCCCACCCTCGCCACAAGCAGGGTCGACACGCTACTCAATTCTTTCTCTTTCCGAGGCTCCTTGTTTCCGGGTTCGACGGGGTCGAACGCACCCTGTCATTGTACCTACCTACCCAACCCACCCCCTCGTGTCAGCTCATTCTGCATATAGCCGGACGGAGCCTTGGTTGTACCATATCTAGAGGAGGCGCATAGAATAGCAAGATCATGGCCCATTGAGCCTGTTTGGCGTTGAGCCGGGGGGCCTGAACAAAAGTATAGGATATATACAACAATATAAGAATACCCAATGCCGACCGAGGCGACAACCGCTCGCCTCATTGACGGTGGTCCTCGAGTGGAGGCCTGCACCAAGTGAAGCCTGAACCTCAGGGATGATGGTTGATATTCTTCAAAACGAGCACTGCGGTCAAAGTTTTTGATACCAAACCAGCCGCACAGATGCTGGCCGCCGGCCCGTCGCTGCTGCGACAAGGAGCCCGTGCGAGCCGTACTTGTTTCTTCAGGGGCGAGGTACCAAGTGGTTAGGACGTCATCCCATCTTCAATGCGCCCGGGCTGCAGGTGACTGTGCGTGGCGTTCCTGACAGCTCTGGGCCGGCTGGGCGAACGGGCACTGGAAATAAATAAATGTAGTCTATTTACTTATTTTACGCATGGACCGTGGGCCGCCGTTGATCGCCACCGGCATGGTGTCGACACGTCTTGAACTACTTGGCCCTCGGCGGATGGGTGTGGCGATTGTGGGGTCGTCATGCCCATCTCTGTGATAAAAGGGTCGTTGGGGGGGCCTCCCTCCCGGGCTCCCGGCAGAGTCAGAAGGACGAATTATTAAGTTAATGCAACTCTGTGAGCTCTGTGGCTTGGCCAAGGACCGAGGAGGCACGAGGGTGGGACGGGACACTGCCGCAGCGGCTTGCCCAATTCCTCGTAGGATCTGCCTGCCCTCTTCTGTCTCTGTCGTACCCAGAAAATACGGATACAATTAGCCAGTTCGAGTCCATCCCGCGGACGAAACAAACCCACCCAACCGCCTGGCTTTATTTATATCCCCCCTGCCCACATATTACCCGCTCGCCTTGGCCCCACGACTCGTCACCAATCGTCACTGGTGGCCTGCTTCCGCGCCATCGAACTGCCTCTCTCCCACGACTGCTGTGACTGCGCCGCTGTGGTCCAGTTCGCCCTCGTCCTGTTCACCCCGACCCGAGCATAACTTCTCTCTCTCCACTGCACGAGGCAGCGATCCTGGAGGCAAGGGCGCCCGCGCAATGCCACTTTGGTGACACGACGTCCGCGACTCGGCCCACACCCCTGCGGAGACACCGGCAGACCTGCGCCCCCAGCCTGCTAGAAGTACTCCGTAGAGTAGAAGCGACATCCCCCGAGTGCAAAAGCACCCCCTAATAAGCCCATGATGGACGCCCGTTCCCCAGCGTAAGTCCACTCACTAGGTGCAGATGCGAGCAGATGTCTAATGTCGCGCGTCATCGTGCAGAACCCCAAACACGCCCTACGGCCAGCCAAGCCAGTACAAGGTCAATGTCAACCGACAGAAGACGAGGAAATGGGTCGAGGCCAAGACCCAGAATTATGACGGCGACGACTGGGGAGGAATCGACGACGAGTTCGACGACGACGATGCCCACGACACCGGCAGCGCAGGCGGGCGCCAGGACTACTTCAACCAGCCGCCGCAGGCTCAGAGGCCCGGGAGGCTGACGGCGGGACTGCGGGCCATATCCAGCAGCGGGCCACCGACGCCCGGGTCGGGGTCGGGCGGCTCGTCGCCCAGCCTCAGGCCGAGCGAGCGCATAGCCCTGGAGAAGCAGGCCGCGGGCAACAGGAGCGCGAGCGGACCGCCGGCCCTGCACATCCAGACACCGGGCAAGACGGCGACACAACCGCCGCCGCCGCAGGTCGGAGGGCCGACCGGGCCTGTGGGCGGTGCGGCGTCCCCGTCCCCGTTCCCGCCGCGCAAGAGCAGCATGACGAGCCAGGACAGGCCCGACGTGACCACGACCGCCGACGCACGACCGCCACGCACGAGCTCGAGGCCAGAGTCCCCGGCAAGCGCGGCGAGGACGCCAGCCTCGGCGGCAGGACCACCGCGGTTCATCCGACCGTCTGAGATCTACAAGCGGATGGAGGAGGAGAAGGAGAAAGAACGTAGGTCAATGGAGTCGGCGGGACGGCCGAGCCTGGACAGCATCGGGGGCCCAAGCAGCAGCGAGGAGGGAGGCGACCCGACAAATGCCCGGAGGCGCCCGAGTTTCGGCAGGAACGATGAAGGAGAGGCCAACCGCAGCTTGCGACCCCTGGAATCGGTGGCCGAGAGGAAGAGCGAGTATGGATTTGACGGGCTGATGATCAACCCAGCAGAACCAGCGCCCCAGATGCCGACCCAGACCCAGACCCAGACCCAGGCCCAGGACGAATCCCGGAATGCGAGTGTGCCAGAGCCAAAGCCAGACCCCATTCCCGAGCCCGAGCCTGCGATGCCCTCACCTCCAGAGCTGCACCACCCCCAGGCAACCACCGCCACAGACGCCCCGCCCGAACCACTCAAGCGTTACTCCACGAGCCCCAAGCTGCCCCTCCTCTCGAGGCTGAGTGGGTTCGGCGGCGACTTCTTTTCTGGAGGTGCAGACTTCATGAGCGACTCGCCCAAATCTTCAGAGCCCCCTCCTACCAACGCCGAGCCAACGCGTCCAACAGGAGACGAGCCAGCCAACGCGCCACAGCCAACAGTAGCAAATGACGCACAACTCAGTAAGCAACCGCAACCGCAACCAGAGCCAGAGTCAGAGTCTCTTGGATCCAGCCAGCCAAAGCCAAAGCCCTTCCGCCCCTCGTTCCCTGGAGCCTGGGTCAGCGAGACTGCCACCACGCCTGGAGACATGGCCACCCCTGGCCTTGGAGACAACACAGCTGACGTCCCAGCCCATCAACCTATTTCCATCAGTGAGAGCCCCGACGACGCCCACGACGCCCACGACGCCCACGACGCCCACCTGAGACCTGCGCCTTTGCGAACACCCTCCCCTGGCAGTGCAAGTGCATTCAGCGCCCACGACGATCAACAACAACACTCCACAAGGTCTGGACGTGCCTCGCCCGCTAATCACCACTACCTCAAAGCTACAGCAGACCGCTCTGTGGATGCTCTTTCGGGGCGAGACAACGAGGATAAGACCGGTCCCCGCCGAGACATGACCCCGATCGCACCCTTGCAGCCCCGCAAAAAGTCGTTCGTGGTCGAGGACGACGCGGCCCCGGCCCCTGCCCCAGCCCCATCCCATCCCAGCAATCCCATCACGAGAGTCGAGACCTTCGGCACGGCGGACAACGCGTCGCCACTCAAGGAGAGCGATGTCCTTCGCGACGAGATCATGCGGAGCCTTAGCCCGGTCCGTCCGCCCGGTGGACCCAGCGAGCCTCCCCGGGATGAGAGTGCGGCCCGCGAGAGTGCTTACCTGAGTGATGTCTACGGTGACTACTGGTCGGGCGACGACAAACCATCCGAGGCCGGCAATCCTCTCAAACTAGGCAGCCTCCGCGAACTCGAAGCTGCGCCAGCAGACAAAGACGAGGCTGCGGATGCCACTCCAAAGCCTCCTCCACATTCATCCTTCGAACCTGTGACGACCAATGCGGCTCCACCACCCATCCCAGCTGTCGAGCCAGAAGCCGCAAGGCCAGAGCCGAAGCGAGAGCGCTTCTCGTGGGAGGCAGGGTCTACTTTTGGTGGCCCCAGCTCGGCTCAAGCTTCACCAACGAAGCAGCCAGACCCAGATTCCACGGACAACCTGACAAGCCCCATCTCTGCATCGAGACATGAGGACCCCACAAGCCCAAGCGGCGACGGCCGCAGCTCGCCTCTCTTGTCCCTCCCGACCATGAACTTTGGCGACAGCGACATATCCCCCACAGTGGTATCAGCAGTAAGCACGCTTCCTCAGGACCAGGACAACCGCACCACCAGTGACATACAATCCCCGCAGTCTAACACCACCGCCGATCAGGACGCCTTCTCCCCGCCACCTGACAGCGCGAACAAGCACCTCTACCCCACCGAGGACAAGATCCCGGCCCAGTCGCCAATGTCGCCCCTGTCCCCGCTGGAGCCCATCGCGACGGCAGACGACGAGGAGGCACAGCGCACCACATCGCCGCCGCCACAGGAACCACCGGAGGGCGTCCCGCTCCCGCGCAGCCCATCACCCACGCAGCCGGGCCCAGCCGCCACCACCACCCCCACCGGCGGCGCCGATGAGAAGCGGCAGAGCCAGGCGGCGGCCTACAACATGATGACGCTCAAGCAGATCCTGTCGCTGCCGTCGCCCTCGGACCGCGTGCAGAAGATGCGCGAGACGCGCGAGCACATGGCGGCCCTGGAGACGGGGCTCGCGGCGTGGCTGGCCGAGATGGCGGCGCGGCCGGCGCACGAGAACGCGATGCCCTCGTACGGCTACGCGCTGTCGGGCGACGACGCGGAGCTGTGGGGCACCAAGGGCGGGGCGGCGCGGATCCCGCTGAACGCGCCCTCGGCTCCCGGTGGGGGCCACGACGGCGGGGATGGGGATGGTGGTGGTGGTGGTGGTGGTGGTGGTGCGCCGCACCCGGGCATGGGCCGCGCCGCCAGCACCAGCATCAACATGGGCAACCTCGTCATGCACTCCGGGCAGGCGGGGGCCAAGGGCAAGGAGCTGCTGCACAGCGCCGGCAAGATGGGGAAGGGGCTGCTGAGCAAGGGGAAGAATAAGCTGAGGGAGAGGGCGGAGAGCAAGAGGGCCTAGGGAGGGGCTGGGGCCGCAAGAGGGCCTAGGGAGGGGCTGGGGCCCGTGTGAGACGAGACGGGGGTGGGAAACGAGACGGTTTGGGTGGTGGGTTGTGGTAATTCCCTGATTTCTTCTCTTGTACTCGGTGGTAAGTAGGGTTGGTACTTGCTGTATGTGTTGGGAGGGAGGGCGAGGAGGGCATAGCGCATTGTTTTGTGCTTCTTCTTCTTCTTCTTCTTGGTACCAACTTTGTTTGTGCCTTTTTGATTACTTGGCTTCCCTCTTTTTTTTTTCTTCTCCAATCCGTCCCTTGTTCTCTCTCACTCTTCTTCTATGTCGACTCTGACTGGATAGGAGGCAATTGGCGGGACTGCAGAATGAGAGAGGAGGCGGATAAATGGGTGGTTACTTGGTCGGGTGGGATGTCTATGTAATCTATTTTCCCCCCAAGGCATATAATCCGGCTGGTCGGGCACTGGCTGGGTATGGGCGTTTTACGAAGCACAAGTGAGAGATAGCAGCAAATTGAGGAATGAACTGCTCTATTCATGTTGTTCTCTTTTCTGGGGGTGGAAGTGACTTGGATGTTGTTAAGTGAGATATAGGCGTTGCTGGGGCCTACGAATCTACAAGTGGCCTTTTCTGTCCGACTCCATTATTTTGTGCTTGAACTTTAAAGGTAGCTCCCAGGACCAGAAGCTACATGTAGCTAGTTAAACTAGGCATGTTATATTGCTCCCACAGTGCCCCATGTCTGACTGAATTATATGCATATAGGCCCTTCACAACACGACATACACAATGCTGCTCTATGGTATGTTTCAACGCCCCAGCTGACCTTGATCTAGGAAACGATATCCATTTGGCACACGAGAAGTCGAGACAGAACGGTCATCGTGCTGTCAATTTGGCTGCCGTCGAACAAGCCGCGCGGATCCGTCCGAAGGCAATACACGTGTAAGCCAATCCCCGCAACAAGACGTCATAAGAGTCAGACACCCACCCTGCCCCGTGTAAGAGACTCGGACAGCCAAGACCATCAGGACATACTATACAGAAACAATTGTTGTGATAAATGCGTTCAGGCGTATAGGCGCATAATCGGCCGTGCAGCGCAGCAAATCATTCGGCATCTGATGCACCGAGATCAACGCGGTCAGATCGGCATGAGTCACATTTGTGGTGTTGCTCGAGAAACACCAAATGGGCGTGGAGCAGATGAAGTTTTGATATGAATAAAGCCCGTCTGGGAAACCATGGGGAATGGACATTTGGAATGCCAATCAATCAAATAGATCGCACCCTTTACTCACATACCAAATATCTTACAGAATTCCCATATCAGCCCCAACTGCTTCAAGTTGAGCCATGGCCGACGTCGAGGGCGCCCTCCCGCTCGCAGCCCGCCGAGACCTTCGGGTCTCGATCGCGGAGACCAAGGACCCGCTGGTAGAAGCACTGCCCAAGGTCGAGCTCCACGTGCACATCGAGGGCACGCTGACCCCGGAGCTCAAGTGGAGGTTCGCCCGGCGCAACGGCATGACCCTGCAGAACCCGCGGACGGGGGCGGCGTTCGCCTCGCTCGACGAGTACCAGGACTCGCACGACAGCTTCAAGAGCCTGTCCGGCGCCGGCGCCGGCGGCGGGCGGATGAACAACGAGGAGGAGACCCTGTCCTTCTTCGAGGCCTACTACGGCGGGTTCGAGGTGCTCAAGACGGCGGCGGACTACCGCGAGCTCGCGATGCACTACCTCGAGCGCGCCGCGGGCATGAACGTGCGGTACTGCGAGCTGTTCTTCGACCCGCAGGGGCACACCCGCACCGGCGTGAGCTGGGAGACGATGATGGGCGGGTTCCGGTCCGCGCAGGAGGAGGCGGAGAGGCGCCTCGGGGTCAGGAGCGCCTGGGTCATGTGCTTCCTCCGCGACGAGCCGGTGCGGTCGGCCGTCGAGCACTACGCCGCCGCGCTCGGCTACCGCGACATGATCGTCGGCGTCGGCCTGGACTCGAACGAGGACCGGCGGCCGCCCGCGCTCTTCGAGGAGGTCTTTGCCCGGGCGAGGGCGGACGGCTTCCGCCTGACGGCGCACTGCGACGTCGGCAGGGCGTACCCGGTCGAGCATGCCCGCCAGGTCATCTGCTCCGTGGGGGGGACGGGTGCCGACCGCATCGACCACGGCCTGAATGCCGTCGAGAGCGCCGAGCTTGTGGAGGCGTTGAGGTCGAGGGGGATGGGGATGACGATCTGCCCCTGGTCCTACATCCGGCACCAGCCCATGGATGAGGTGTTTGAGCGCATCCGCGCCCTCTTCGACGCGGGCGTCCGGGTCTCTATCAATAGCGATGATCCGGCGTTCATGGAGGATACCTGGGTACATGAGAACCTGCTGGTCGTGCGGAAGTTCTGCAAGTTTAGCGACGAGGATATGATCAGGCTTGCGGAGAATGCTATCCTCACCTGTTGGGCTTCTGATTCGACCAAGGCAGAGATCACGGCTGAGCTGGATGCCTTGAGGGGGAGGTACATAACATGATGTATTGGGTTATGGGCTGGCAACTCTCGCTCATTTTTCACGTGATCGGTTGTGGACTGTTGCTGGACCGCATCCATGGATTGCTCATGTCGCCGGAATAAGGGCGAGGGCGTGCCTTAGGGGCAATGGACACAAGTGGTGCGCGCGGAAGTGCCCCAGGGTGAGTGCGATCGATCTGGACCTGTCGAGAGGGCCATCGCTCGGGATGGCCAAGCCACATGTGCAATGATCGGTCCATTGGGAACTGCAGGATTAGTGGGGGGATTACATCAGGAGATACACATTCTCGATGCGAGACCAGTGTCACTCCCAATGACAGCTCTTGGTGGCCGGGATCAATTACGTTTGGAGTCCTTACATGCCACAATGTCCTTTCAGTCTGTGGACAGAGGGCGTAATTATATTGTTGATAAAAGTTCTCGGGGATATTTCAACTTTAAAGAGCGGTGGATAGACCTCAGCGTGAAAAAGAGACATGATGTTTATTAAATATTGCCGGCTAAACCATGTAAAAATGTCTCCACGAATCTATTCCCGTCGCGCGCGTTTACAGCAGAGTCGAATTCCTCGTCCGAAATCCAGCTCATGCTCGCGATTTAAAACGCCAAGCAGCTTCCGCTGACGATGGCCTGAGGCGGCGCAACAGCAGCACTGCGGGCGCCGACGATGGTGACGGTGGCCCCATCAACGCCGGAGAACGAGCAGGTCGCCCCGCCCAGGGAGCTGATGGTGTCCACGGCAAGGCCATTGTCTAATCTCTTGCGTCAGAACACATTATTTTCGCAGGTTGGGAGCAGGTGGAGTTCTTGGGGTGAGGTTTTCATGATCTCTCTTTTTCTCTGTATGTACTTACTTGTGTGGAAAACGGTGGCGTCGGTAGGGACGTCGAGGGTGTAAGAGGCCGCTGCGCCGCTGAATGTGATGACGGCCTTGAACTGGCGGGGCTCGGCTGCCGGGGCGGCGAAGGTAAGGCCGGCGAGGGCGGAGATGATGGAGATTGCCTGGAAGTACTGCATTTTTGCGGTTTGGACTGGGAGATTTGACTCTGAATGTAGCGAGAGAATTGGCTGAAGGATGGTGTCTTGATTATTTATGTGATGGTGGTGAAGTCGACATGTAATCGTGGAATGGAGAGACGCGGCACCTTTTTATAATATCTAGGTACTGCAAACTCATGACGGCGGTTACGTCGGCATAGTGCACACGATGTTTTCAAAGAGAGGTTTCTCGTATAAGCTCAGTAAGCATTATGGTATGCGATTTTGCCCAATACTCAGTGGCGATGTAAAGGGCCGACTAGTAGTAACCAATACGAACATCTGCAGTTATGGCCTTCTTTAGTCTCAGCCAAGACCTACACGATATTTACTATGGTATCCAGCCTCAGTGTGCACGTGCTGATCATCTGATCGTGAGGGTCAACGTCTGGACCATTAGTCGTCTGGTTGCTTCTAGGGGCAGAATGATTCCAAATATCGTAGTCGCACTGCGGCGGAGTCGATGCGCGCGGCTTACTGCTCAGGGCCCACTTGTGATTAATTGATTATTGATCTGCTGGATTAGCCGCCACGCTCATTCATAATTTATCTGACAAGCATCAAGCTAGATTTGTCAACCGCTACCAGTGAAAGTAACAACGGGATAGGCGACTGCAAGTCGGGAACGAATTACCATTTAGATATGATTCAAATGCATGCTAGACTATTTGAAAAGGCTGTGCAGAGACACCACGGCCCAATTCAGCTCGGGGTAACAAGATGCACCTTCGGCTTGAAGGCAAGTTGGTATTAGGGGCATTAACTCGCAAAACCAAACTCAAGTCGTAACAATCCAGATGAGCAAGCTCATCCAAGGCAGTAACGAAAGCAACCCCACACCAGTCGTCACTCATGCAGCGCTAGCCTTTTCCTGGACCTCGCCCTTGGGCAAATTAGTACCCTCCGCAGTCTTAGGTTCCTCCTTGGTCTCAACGTTCTCCGCCGGTTGGGTAGCAGTCGATGTCGGCGCAGCAGCAGCACTTTCCTCAGAAGCAGTCGACGCCTGCTTCTTGGAAAAGAACCCGGCGCCCGGCACGCTGACACTGGGAACGCTGACGCTCGGCATGCTCATACTCGGCATAGTAGGCATGCTCGGCAGCTTTGTTGGAATGTACCCTTTGACCCCGGAGCTGGCCTGGGAGATGCCCGTGCCGGTAGACTGGGCGATCCCCATAAGGTACCTGTAGTAGCTCTGCTTGTCCTTGACCTCGGGGACCGAAGCCTCTACGCCCTCGGCGGCAGCTGCGTCGTCGCCACCATCGGTTGGCAGGGGCACCAGGGAGGCGGCGGCGGCAATGTCGAGGGGCGACTCATCGGGCATGCCGTCGCTGTCTTCCGAGGCTTGGGTGTCAGCAGCGTTTTCTGTTGTTGTGCCCTTTTCCCCTTCGACCTCGACGCCCTCGTCTGTGGCCTTGATAGCGTTCTCGGCAGAGTCAGCGGGGCTGGGCTTCGTGATTTCGGGGTTGTCGACTATCTCGGAGTCATCATTGAACCATGTGATGACCAACTTGGTCGCCTTGTCGATCATGAGTTTGTAATCCTCGTTCTTGTCGGTTTTGAACAGCGACATGTGCGCCTGGATCTCGTCCTCGGCGTTCTCGACGACATGCCTGGAGAACAAATTGCTTGCGGGTTGGTCGTCTGCCGGAACAGCGCAAAAGGTCCTCTCCGGTACGAAATACCCGCCGCTCCAGTAGCCATTCTCACCCATCGAGCAGTAGATGTCGTGGATGCCGATGCCCTTCAGGTTCGCAAGCCGCTCGAGCCTCTTGTTCAGCTCCTGCTGCTTCATGAGCACGCCGACAAACGTGAGGTGGTCACTAAGCCAGGCAAAGGACTGCCCGACGTTACCCTTGTTGACATAAGCAAGACCCTGACCGAGGCGATCCACTCCCTGCTGGTACCCCTCGACAATGTCCTGCTTCTTCAGATTCCTCATGCCCTGGACGCCGTCCATGATTTTCTGGCGGTGGATATAGGCAGCCACGCCGCCCGCAGCGATGGCGCCGACGGTCCCCGTGCGCACGGCAACCAGCTGCCACGTCTTCCACGCCGCCGGGCTCGTGGTCCTGTTGGCGCCCGGGACAGACCCGGCGCCCCGCTTGAGCGCGGTGCTGATGCTGGCGGGCGCGGCGGATAACGCCGTCATGACGTTGAAGACCGAGCTGACTTTCTGGTAGTTGGAGAAGCCGCCGTAGACGAACATGGAGCGCGCGAGACCGTTGAAGGGCGTGTCGAAGGCGAGGATCCCCTGAATCATGGGGAACAGCGGGGCCTTTGGGTCGTCACTGGTGGCGCGCTCGTTCAGGATGTGAAAGAGGGCCTCAGTGGCTACGAAGCCGCCCATGGAGTGGGCGATGAGGATGACGCCGACATTCTTGTCGTTTGGTGGCCAGGGCTTCTCCAGCTTGGCCTTCCTAACGTCCATCACTCGTTCCTTGAGCCTGTCGCACTGTCAGTTGAGAGGCTCGTCTCTCGGACACGCTTGTGGAAAAACAATCTTACCATTCTAGGAAGTTGACGCTGGCTTCGGTGAGCTCTCCCTTGGTAGCATACTTGGGATAAACGACGGACTCGACGTTATGGTCGGAGAGCTGACTGCTGAGGTGCTTTTTGAGATCCTTCACAAATTTTGTTAGTTCACTAGAATAACCAACTACCTTGAGAGAGGCGGCCTATTTACCTCCGGGAAAGTACCGAAGCTGTCATCGCTGCCCTGTAAGTGCAGAGTTAGCATCAATAGTGTTCTTGTGGGTTGTTCTCGTTTCAGCCCTGACTACAGGTAGAAACTTACCTTGAAGCCATGTATATGGCACAAAAGCAATGTTCGTGACATAGCTATCGTTGCTGTGCGTGGTTGATGATGATACACGGTGTTCCAAGGTTCTAGGTTTGTTGTAAGATGGTCCTAGGTATTCTCAATGAGATGATAATTTTGCAAATATGAGAGAGTGAGCGCGCAACGAGCTTGAGAGCATGTATGAGCTGTGTCTACGCATTGTGTATTTGTCTCCGGGATAGGCTCTAGATGTCGTCAGCCACACCTGCCTTTCTTTTACACTCGAAACAGTAGGAGGGTGGCCAAGAGTGTGGCGTGACGAGCCACAACGTCACCCACGACGTCACCGGCAGCGTGGTCGCCCCCAAAAGCTAAAGAGACACTATGCAACTTGCATGTGAACGGCTGAACCCGCCACAGACCATTCTATTGGGTTTTGGAGAAACGGCTGTCAAGGATGACAGCTTAAGCGTGTAGCATAAAACTTGATTTGACGGCGCTAACGCCTGGCGGGCAAATGGCTGTTGGAGGACGCAGCTAGGCTGGTCGTCTGGGCATCCCGACGAACGTCGGAGGTGCAACGGCCCCCACCTCCGGCTCAACTTACCACTGCCGTCTGAGACCGGAGCCGATGACCGGGCGTGCTACTATTATCTTACTTAGCCCGTTTGCATGCTAAGTGAGGAAAGTGATTAAAGTGTATGCGATGCCTTCATGCAGTGAAAGATGGGATTATGCGCCAATGCGACCGGGACTGAATACAGCCCTCAAGTGCTGTTTGACAATGGCTCTCGTCACCCTGGTAGGTCGACAACAACTGAAAGAGTCTGCCTATCTGTCTGAATGTATCATCGTGTGAACCCAGTCTTCTCTGGACCATCTTCACGCCTGGGGGGATACACTCCCATGGAGTGAGCTGCTTTGCGATGATTGTCCTCGGCACAAGTTTCCCCCGGGTGTGACTGTCGAATTCGAAGTCTTTGGGCTTCTCAGGCACGGCAAGGTGTGTGTACACGCGAATGTTTAGCTCCCGCATCTGCTCATCTGGGAACTGGCACGACAACCCGATAGAGCGCGCCTTAAGTCCTTGAATTCTTCGTTGGCATGTCGCTTCAGATTGAAGACCCCGGCGCCTACTCGGCGACCGACAACAGCCTGACAGAATTTGAACCGCTTGGAAAGTGTCTAAGCATATTCTCACTTCCTGACATGACATTTTGGCAAATTCTTTGAAATTGTGACTGATTAGTTGTAATAGTATGTATTGCTTGTGACAAATCGTGAGTCTGGGGCGTGACTCCCGACGCGACGCGAGGTTGGGTGGTTAGGACTCCTCAGGTCGACGTTGTGGCTGCGTGACGGATGTCCGAGCAAAACTTGTACATTACTAAGGTTGTCTCGAGTTTCTGTAGCCTTGGACTCAGGATATAAAGTTCAGCATAGCTATAGAAACCACGCGGTTTCCACATATCAGTATATTGGAGTCTCGGCAACGCCAATTCACGATTATTGCCACGAGACGGTCTCGTCAATACGAGGTAGATGGGGTCAGGGAGAGAGGGACAGCATTTGTGGTCCAGATGTAGTAAGTCGGGGGACGCCAGTGGAGTATTGCCTCCATTCTGGAACGCCATGTTGACAATTATTGCATCGATCGAGGACGGCACCCTCATCTGATCGGCTGGCTGGTGGTGGCGGATACTGCCGCAGCTTTCTGCGGCACTTTCTTCGCCATGTTTATATGCTGAATTGTCGCCCGCATCCGATTGATCCAAATGCGTGCAGTAAGCCAAAACTCCCCAACTCCTATCCATCCATTGTATGCTCCGGTAAACGCCCGTGACTCCACAAATTAATCACTGCACTGCCTCGCGGGGCATACCGATTGGTAACGGCTGTGTGCCATCCGGCACGTGCGTGCACCTTTTTTTCATATCATCGAAGGCCTCGAGACCGGGTATTGCAAGTCTTTTCAACGGTCGGAAAAATCGGGCTTCGACGGGTTTCGGGTGCTGGAACATGGAGAATGAGCATTCGAGCGGGCAGGGCCGGACGGCTTCAGGACCTCGGGGCCGAAGTCGTCCAGAACATTGGGAATCGAGCCATGGGACAAACCTGATCAGTCATATTTTCGACCCCGGCCGGCTTATTCCCAGCCTTCCTGGCTCATAGACGCATAGTGGGTTTCGGACGACCGCGGCCGGTGTCTCGGGGCCGGATTTTGTGTGTATGTGCGCCTCAAGGCCCAGCGTGTCTCCGACTTGGCCCCCAGAAGCTTAATTCCTGCTGAAGCTTATATCCCCAAGCCTTCCCAGGGTGATGATCAAGGCGAGAAGAAGACCAAGAACGATCACGAAGACCTCAACCATGAACAGGGGAACAATAATCATCTTGAGGGATGTGTTGTATGTTGGTCCGGCGGCTTGGCAGGCGGGCCCTCTGTGGTTCACTGTTGACTTGTTGCCGGATGGGAACTCTTTGGCGTGCAGAGGGTGCTGGAACGGGAGGAGATCGGACGCGAACAAGCTGTGACGAGAGTGCTGCGGCTGCCATGCAGTTTATAAAAAGTCAAAAGGAGTGGTCACGACGGTACGTCACGATCTCGCACTCTCCGGTTTTAATCTCGGATGCTGGCCGGGGGGCATCTCTCGGTGGGCACTCTGCATTGTCCCTTGACCGCTCTGCTCGCGCATTCTGGGCTGCTCTGGTGTTGGCCCTTATTTACTATGGGCAGGGGTGAATGCTTGCGCCGGACGGGGCAGAGGTGTTGTGTGTCTTCCCACGTCGACAGGAGGGGGGCACGGATTAGGAGGCCTAGGAGGCTCCATAGTCTCGTGGGAAAAAGCCCCAATCTGCGCCATGGCCCTTGCAAGGGAAGAGAGAAAAAAAAAAACCCACACTCCCAGAAGCAGGCCATACCGTGTATAGCAAGGGCCCCCAATCGCACCTCCGGGCCAGCCCAGCCAGTTGCAGCAGCTCATTGGCGACTCATTTTACAGGATATCCATCGCCGGTGGACCAAGCTACCGAGGAACCGCAAGTGGGCCCTCGCTACATGGGCACCTGGGCCGGTTGAGTCTTGTGGCGTTCGAATTCCCGAGCCCCTGAGTCGTCAAAATTCACCATCGGCCACGCGTTACCACGCTAGACCTGGAGGCCACTTATATAAGCGAACAGCTTCCACCCTGCCATTCATACTCGCCTCCCGAACCGCGAAGCGAACGGGTTTCCCATGATCCAAGGGGCGACTGCACTATGGTATCGTGCCATTGCTTCATTCCGACATCCATGATGCACCTACCGCATTTTGCCGGAGCCGTGCCTTTGCCCTTGTGATAGGGACACAGGTTTGAGGCGTTGGGGCTTGTCGGCCGCAGTGGCGCCCCTTTTCCTCCCACCATGCAGACCCACTCAGAATCCCTGATTTGCAACCCGCATTCCAAGATTCAGAGAGGTGCAGGCTTCCTTCCGATGGGACCTCAGAGTGCACAAAAAAAGCCGCCACCCACCCTCGACTCTCGTGGACGAGGGTAAATCTGGGCGAACACGACCTCATGAGATCCGGTTTTCGGGTGTGATTGAGCAGGAGGATTTCCGCGACTCGGGGCAGCCCCCAAATTACTCGAGCAGACCATAATAACCTTTCCTCGTACCGACTATACTATTGCGCTCGACATCCATGGATACAATCATGGCCCTTGGCGAACCCAACCGACTTGACACAGACAGCGAGCAAGCATCCCAAGGTTTACTGTCAGTGCACAACCCAGGCCTGGCCATCCCGCACGTCTCGACAGTTCCTCCGCGCCTCGCATAAAGTGAAAGCTTCGCGATGCCAACCGCACCAGCTACCCTGGTCCAATGCGACATAATACCGAGCTTGCCTTATCTCCCTCCCTACTATGTAGTACACAGTGTAACCGAAGCATATCTTCAGGGGAGTCTCGGGTAGATCCCCTTGGCCAGGGTCGTAAGATTTAAAAACGCTATCTGACCGTCCGTCCAGCCCGTCCTAGGAGTTAGTATTTGGGCCTAGCTAAGCCCCAAGGGTTGGTCGACGTCTAGGTGATATACAGGCCCTCTAAGGGGCCACGACCTTCATCTGCTCACTTGCATCGGGTCCACTTAAGGGGATTAATGGGACAACATGGCTAGCAGCGTGGGTATGCTGGCTGGCTGAAAGACCCACCCTGACCAGGGTCGGGGTGGTTAGAGACAACGGCCCAGGCTAAAATAACCTCTAGTACCTAGCACATTACCTGAGATTGCTAACCGGAGTCCACTTTCCCGTGCCCCTAGACACGGCATACTAATAGAATCCCATGTCTCGCTTGATCACCACAAAGACTGATCGAGACACTCTGGATTGTAGAGAATAGCAAACGAGAGAATATTGTCCACCTGAACGAGCTTCAGAAGAGGCCAAAATGGAAGATTGGTTGAAATCCTATCTTTGATGAGTTGCTGCATGGACGTTGTCGGTGGGATATGCACTCGAGTGCCCTTCCAAGGTTCGAAAATGTCGGATGCTCCCGAAGCAGAAAGAACTTGTGAAATAATCATCAGTTCAAGGAATAAGAAAATACAGCTCTAGAGCATAACAGACAATGCTCAGTCGCCTCGTCTCATCAATGCTTTCCACCAGAGCCTCATCTCCGGACTCTGGGTAACGCCCCGCCCCCCCCAAATCAGCTCAGGCTGTCAATCGCTTTCCTCTTTGTGTACGCGTCTGTTCCCGAAGTTCCACTTCGCTAGTGCATAAAGTAGATCAGGTTCGGCGGTTCCATCTTCGCAGGGCAGAAGATTAAGAACGCGAGGCGGTCCACTGTGGGCCTTGTTGATCGATTTGTGCTCCGCAGTATACCGAACAGCATTATTTTTCTACGCTTACACGTTAGACAGTAGCCTTAGAATGCATATCAGTCTTACCAAATCGCCCTGCCTTGTGTAAATCAGCGTGGTGCGCGTCGTCAGATCACACGATCATCACAGGCACACTGGCAGAATTGGTTGTACGGTCAGTACTCTTTTCTGAGTCTCATATTGACATTCTTCTACTTTTTTTTTTAATGCACGTGAGTGTCTAAAGCAAAATTTCTATTACGATCTCATCGAATGATCAGTGTCCCACTGTTGTTAAAGCCCTTGGCAACTTGGATAAATAGAGGCTGTGTTGTGTCAATGAGGGACGTTAAGTCAACTAGAACTAGTTCAGTGGCTGGTTTTCACTGAGACCAACTTATCAGCTCACGCACCCCAGAATTCTACGAACCCCAGATATCGATACCTAGGTACTGTTACAATTGCAATTGGAGCGACGGAGGCTACAACGTTGCACACAGCGGTAGTGTTGAAGTACACTACACATGGTCCATCACCATCACTGCTGCTCCCTCTGGTCATTTCCGTAGACAAGATGAAGTCGAAGTCGAGTATTATCCAATTGAGCGTTTTCCATTGTGTGAAGGAACCATGCGCCTCCGGGATGTATACGGATGAAGAACGAAATCACTTATCCATTTGGTCACAAGCTAGCGGAGTCCCCTCTTCGGCATAAAATCAGGGCCAGAGTCCCGTTGTGATAACACTCTGTCATTCCTCATCTGCAGGATAGGTGATGCGCGCCACCTCCAGGATGCCCAAGTAGCCTCTGTATGATATTATCCTTTGATTTCATATGGGATAATATTCTATATAACGTTCTCCTTTAACAAACACCATGCTTGGATCACAAAACACGAGGATACGGGCAATTTCGGACATGATGGACGATCCATCTACACATGTGGCTCATGGTCTCAATTGATGTGACACATTGGTGCCAGACTACCTAACTACCTAATTGCAAAGCTCTCGACGCCTAGACGGAAACCCAAAGTACTGAGTGGCTAATTGCTGTCATTTTCTTTTCGCATCCAAAATTCGCTCCAGACCTCAAATCCGATAACCCAAGCCATTACTTCATCCTGATGCCCACCACCATTCATTCCCCGATGTGCCTCAAAGCCTTGGACAACAACAAAAACGCCAATTCTGTTGCCCGCGCTTCAACTCACTTCGAGTTAGTCGAATGAACGGCCTTGTCCCCAAGAGGGAACGAGACCTCGTACTCGAGGTCCAGCTTGACGCCCTTGCCGGGGTGCAGCTCGACGTCCCAGCGGACCTCGCCGCTCTTCTTGAGCGTCGCGACGGCCGTGCCCCAGCCGCCCTTGCCGCCGTCCTTGGGGCCAGCCACCTGGTGCTGGGATCCGGTGCTGACGCCGCTGCCGCCCTCGGACAGGCCGCGCGGGCTCGCAATGTCGACGCGCAGCTTGTCGTCCTCGCTGACGGGGACCTGGTCCAGGACGATGAGGCGGACGGGCTTGGAGCTGCTGCTGCTGGTGGTGGTGGTGCCGTCGCCGCTGGTCTGGGAGGTGGCGCCGCGGGTGTTGGTGATGGTGACGGATCGCCTGTACCCGGTGCTGTCCTCCTTAGAGAAGACACCTGTCTGGCCGCGCTTGACGTCCGCGTTGGGGTAGATGACCCTGATGGTGGGGTCGACGCCCAGGCTCATGTTGAACGAGTCGCCGCTTGGGCAGTGCGGCAGCGACGAGCGGCCCATGAAGGTGCCGTCGAGGGTGAGGCCCACGGGGCCGCGGAGCAGCGACAGCTTGCTCGCGTTGCGCAGCTTGGCCCTGAGGAAGGCGGCGGGGCGGTACTTGGCCACGACGGTGTGGCTGAAGCCGACGTTGCTGAAGAGGATCCTGGCCACGCGCTGCTTGGAGGCGTTGCTGCTGGGGGCGAGCGTCTTGCTGCCCGGGAGGTCGTACGTCGTCGTCATGCCCATCTCCTCGACCGCCGACTCCTCGAAGTGGAGGAATTTGTCGAAATCAAAGTCCTGGAGCGCGTCCTCAGTGTCCAGCTGGTTGGCATGGTCGTAGTCACAGTCTTGCGGAATCTTGTCGGCGAAGACGCCAGCGTTTGTATTCGCAGCCGCGGGAGGAGGTGGGTTGGCACCGCTCGGGGCACCGAACAGGCTGCTGGCTGGTTGGATGGCACGGCTCTGGGCACCGAACAGCCCGCCGCCGGTTTGTTGGTTGGCACCGCTCGGGGCACCACCGAACAAGGTGGTCACGGTGTGGGCTGGCGCGTTACCGAACGGACCGAATGCATTGTTTGATTGCGCTTGCGCCTGTTGCATCTGCATCTGTTGTTGCTGTTGCGCCTGCGGCTGAACCTTCCTCATCTGCGCAGGATGCGCCGGAGGCTCCTCCTGCCGTGCCCTCATCGTTCGCCTAACACCCTGCTGTTCCAGTAACATCAGTTGCATCTGGTAGTCCTGCAAATCGTGATTCGTGCCGCCAACCGCCCGGGCCTGTTTCCTGAATTGTGTGTTGCCGTTCGGGAAAGGCTGGCCGGGCAGCCCAATCAGGTGGACTCCGTGCCTTTCATGGGACGTGAAGCAAGCCGCGTTAATGTTCGCGGCCCGCTGTGCCACCTCCTCGGGGCTGTTTGTGATGTCACCAGCGGAGTAGTCATCGGACCTCCTGGCGAGCTTGATACGCCACGGCACGAGCTTCGGGATGTCGTCCTGCAGGCCAGAAAAGACGGCCTGGGAGGTAGAGAGGATGATCTTGCAGTCCTTCCACGTCTCGGAGGTGTTGTTGGTGAGCTGGGCGTCGAAGAACAGGGTGCCAGTGTTGGTAGTGGTGTTGAGTTGCAGGTCATAGGATGGGGACCAGAATGCCGCGGACGTGACGTAGGAGAGGGAGATGTCACAGGTTGAAGACGGAGCCTCGGTGCCTGGGGATGCAGCTTCGCTGGGCTCGTCGGCGACAGGCTTCACAAGATCGGTCACGGAGGCGAACGAAGACCGGCGGGACGAGATGGGCGTGTACTGGGTTGCGTCAAGAGTGATGCGGACGGTATAGCAAGAGCGCGGCCAGAACTTGCACCGTTCGGCGTGGATACGTGCCTGCTCCTTCTCTTTCTTCTCAAGGCGGGCAATGAGGAGCTGATTCTTCTTGCGCTTCGCCTCGGCCTCCTTCCGAGCGGCCTTGTTGCGCTTCTTGTCCTCCTTTGCAGTCTGGGCAAGGAGCCTGGACCTCTTCTTCTCAAGGCTGGAAACCTCGGTATTGAGCTCTCGCTGGCGGAGCGTTGCATCCATGCGTTCCTGGAAGGTCTTGCGTCGCTGTGCATCATAGACATCAACGAGCTCGCCAACGTCAGCTCCGGACTTGGGCGTAACTTTCTTTCCATACTCCTCGAGCAGTTTCAGACGCTTGTCTGCGTTAGACACAACCTCATCATCTCTCTTGAGGACATCATGCAAAGCCACGAGCTTCTCCTCCACCGCCTTCAGCTCCTTCCTGGCTGGGGTGAGGGATTCGTCGTCGGAATCCTTGGCCGAAGCATCCTGACCGTCATCATCATCTGACTGGTCGGAGTCATCCTTGTCAGAATCAGGATAGATCTCTTGAAAGATGTCTGCGTTGTCGAGCAGCTGGACTGAGATATCGGAGATGACTGCGGCGCCAGTGCCTTCAACCTTGATGGAGTGCTCATCGACGGTGGGAGTCAGACCAACGACGGTAATATGGTTCAGGCCGGGCTAGAAATAGAGTCAGTACTTGCAGGTCCATGGAGATGACGGGGGATCTAGGCGGATACATACCTTGAGGACGACGTTTCGGATGTCCCGCACGACTTGGGCACGGGTCGGGAAAAGCGTAATGGACCGCGTGGGCAGGTCGCGAACATGATACTCCTGGGCGTGAGCGGCTTCCATGCTGCACGACCGTGGTCACGGGCGTTGAATGGGATGTTGTTGAGAAAGAAATACGATGAGGTTGGGGGTGGTGAGCTTGTGAGCCCGGGTTGTGATGGTCGTGATGGTCGTGATGGTCGTGATGGTCGTGGGGTGGTGTGATGAGTTGGGTGGGTTGGGTGGTTGGTAGGAAGGAAGGTTGATCAAGTGGCGGTAGCTACGAACACGGCGGGATTCTTTATACTTGTCAAACCCACCGTTTGTAGAGGCGCAGGCTGCCAGAAACGGAAATAACGGAAATGGTCGAGGTGAAGCTCTCTGTGATCCGTCAGTGTTTGCTCCCAGGCCAGACGTCGCCAGCAAACAACTGGCCAATGAGCTGCAGCCTAACCCTACAAAAGTTCCTGCCTGAAAGCCCTTCGTATCCTCGATGACTCAGATGGACTGATTTGCTCGGTAAAACTGTCAGTGCAAGAAAGAATACTGAGGCTCGCGAAGAGGTTAAGGCATCTCAACGGCGGGGGGCGGCCTCTTTGGTCGCTAGGCAGCAGCGCCAGTGCAGTTTCTGTTACACGCTATTGGCTGATGACAAAAACCTGATGACAAAGCCAGGGTGGAGAGGGTCCCCCTTTCCGCATTGGTGAGGGGGAGGGGGCCCGTGAGGGGGGGGGGTGGTCGCTCCAACCCTTGATTCCTGTATCCTCCTGCTGGCCTAGTCACATACAACACAATTGATGCACTTCAAGACGAGAGCTACTGTATATGTACAGATGAATCATCTGTTCTATTCTTCACAGACTTCACGAACAAGTCCCAGCCTCAAATTTGCTGAAACAAGCAACTAGCGACGGGCTTATGATGCCTGCTCTAGGCCTCTGCTCCACTCCACAACCTGAGGATGTGCTTTCACCTTCCTCGCATCGAAGCCGATGACCTGGAGCCCTGCCATGCTGGAAGCCCGAGACAAGGCTACATAGCTTTGACCTATACGTCGAGAATTGAAATTAGCCACACAATTTCCAAGTCATTGGGAACATTGTCATCCAGTGTGCCGCTTACCCTTTTCAAACACCTTGCTCAAATCGACCTTGACCCGCTGGATTGTCTGGCCTTGTGCCTTATGGATTGATACAGCCCATGCCAGGACGAGCGGAACCTGAATATGGAGTCAGTGGATGATGCAGACTAAGTGAGTGCGCAGCAAATTATGCAGGAATCAAGCATACCTGTACCCGCCTCGCAAGTAATTTGCCCTCACTGTCCTCAGCCCGAAACTCATCACGGGCCACGAGCATCGTCTCCTTGCCCCGAAACGTGCTGAACTCAACCAGCGGCAGCAACTCAACACCAGCGCCACTGCCCTGGTACGACTTCTTGTTATTGTTGTTGCTGTTTTCACCACCGCCCCCATCAGCCGGCGCGCTAAACCCGAGCACCTTGCCCACGCTGCCGTTCACGAGCGTCTCGCTGACGTTCTTGACCAGCATCACCTGCGCCTCCCGCTTGAGCTCTAGCACCCCGACGGCCATCATGTTGTCGAGAAGTCTCTGCCTCTTGCCTGGCTCCGCGGACCCCGAGTCCCGCGCCACAAATGTGTGCATGGGGCCGCCGAGGGCGGCGAGACGGGACGCGTTGGCGCGGTCGACCTCGGTTCGCAGGGGGAACAGCTGGGTGGGGAGGATGCCGTCGTCTTGTGGGAGGGGTCTGGAGAGGCCGGCCAGGACTCTTTGTGTTGCTGGGGGGATCTCACCGCGGCGAAGCTCATTGAGAAGATTGACGAAGTCTGCGATTGGACGATGCTGTGTGAATATTATAGGGTGCAATATGCCCAGGCGGTGAACGACTCACCACTATCCTTCTGACGAAAAACTTGAGTGAGCGTCACGGTTCGCTCGATGCTCTCTTTCCACGCATCACTTTGGAACGCAAAGAACACATCCTTTCCGCCCTGAGTGACAGGTGGCAGCTGGAAGAAGTCACCCGTGACAACAATCTTGTGGCAGTCAGTAGGCGCAGAGTAAAAAACTGTGGATTCCTGAAATAGCTGACTTGGATTCCTCCAAACGGCCTCTCTGTCTTTCGGCGGAGTGTGGTTGAGAGGGCGGCCAAGAGGTTGAAAAGCTGGCCGTCGACCATAGACACTTCGTCGATAACCAGGACCTTGACTGCCTTCCACCGCCGGTGGGCGGGCCTGCATGTCTTGATGTAGCTGATTTGCTTCTCTACGTCGAAGACGCCAGGCGTGATAGCACCCCAGGCGTGCAATGTCGTTCCTGCAATTCAATCAATGGTTCTAGAACCCATTTATCGGAGAACAGCAAAGACTGGGACACGAACCACCAATGTTCTGCGCAGCCATGCCGGTGCTGGCGCAAATGGCCAGAGAGTCTGCCTTGTTGGCATATTTCTCCCGCAGAGCCTCGATGATGGCTCTCAAAAGCAAAGATTTGCCCGTGCCTGTATGAAAATCAGCATTGCTATATTCCAAGACCCCAAGGTTCGTAAACTACCACTCAGTCTATATGTAAGAGAGTTGTGCAACTAACCTGCCGAGCCAGTGAAGAATATGTTCCTCCCGTCATTCACAACCATCCGCAACACTGCTTCTTGCTCAGCGCTGAGACCGACATCGCTCCCGCCGCTTATTCTTTTCGGTGTTGGCAAGTTGTTGGACAGAGGCTTCTCCGCTGTGGTATTTTCTCCATTCCCAGCAGCAATGTCAGGTGCTGTCTGTCGTGGGGCAAAGAACGCATCCAACGTCGTGCGCTGGAGCTTGACCGGCCCTTTTGCCTTGGAGCCTGCAAGGCTATCGTTTGCCTTCCGCTTGATTGCTCTGGGTCGTATCCCGGGCATTACGGAATGTGCCGGGCGAGTCGTGTGTCGCCTGTCCGTTTGTCAACGCCAAATCCACCCCTGTTTGGCTTCGGTCGTAAGATCACGCTGAAGTGCTCGGCACGCGTCGCCCCACAGAGGTCATTGTTTACTATGCGTCAGCACGCATAACCGTTGACCTAGGGTTAGACCCTCAGACCCATCCTAAGTCCACTGGGACATGCAGCACCGGTATTGAACAACTGCAGATTGTAGACATAGACGGCTAGACAAGCCTTGAGCGAACACTAGAAATGGGACGTCAATAATGATTGCAAAAAGATATCAATGTGTCTGCTTCTAAAGAAATAAAAGTCCCTGAAACCGTTCCCCTATGATTTTCTTAAGATTTCCCTGAAATTTCGTTATTCCTAATACAGGAGTATAATTGTATTTAAGAAAGCCAGACCGTCACAAAGACCTAGTCACAGAGAGGCTGTTATGACGTATACACCTGAATTCTCCCAGCTATTGCGGAGGAACGATCTTAAGGTCAGCACAACCCGTTGTGGGATACTGGGGACCTGACATGATTATGGGAAGTCCCGCGGTCTCGCGCAAATCTTCCGATATATATTCAGCACTAAGGGACAGCCCCTGATTTCTAGTGCAGTAGCGCTATGTATGGGCTAGGATTGTGTGATCGATAATCGAGAGGGGTCAGCCAGCCACAACATGCGTGCTATCGGATGCCTATCGGGGTTGTATTTTGTGTAACAACATCCCGTCATCCCCGCTTGATGCACATTTGCCGAGCCGCTGCCACATGCTCATTGACCACCATCTCGCACCGTCCATACTTAAGTATTCAATCTTCAAGGTGGATTTCTGGCACCTCCAACTCCGAAGCCAGACTCGTACCCCGGATAGAGCTGTCGAAGAGATGGCCGACTCCCTTATCTCGAAACTGATTGCCAGCACTATAAGTATTCCGAGCGAGTTGTCACTGGCCGCCGCGAACTTTAATCTGGATTTCACCCTCGTCAAACTGGAGGCGCCAACCGAGTTTGGCGCTGTACACGACAGCCTTAGTCCGCTTCGGCGAAAAGAAGCAGAAGGTGGGGGACTCCATAGAACTGCCAGGAAATTGGGCGCACTATTCCACGGTATCGTCTCGCCGGCGCCAGCTCTTCTCTCTGCCTACGGAACCCGTGTTTCACAGATCGCAGACAAGCAGAAACTCGATCCGAGCGAGCGAGCGAAACATGGAATTTTCTCTCACATTTCCGGCGCGGATGCTTCGAGTATCTGGGCTGCTGCTACTTCGGGCGAGAATGCGATCGTCGTCCACCTATTAGCCTGCATGGTTGCAGCCATATTCGATGCACCCCAAGCCGTTGCGTTGTGGATGGAACTAATAGACCGAAGGAAGACAGAGCTGGAGCATACTCAAGAGCCTGGAATTGACTACGGAAGGGCTATAGCCTCCGCCATGGCGGCGAAGCAGCAGTTTACGAGAGACGAGCTCGCTACTTGGGACAATGGCGCAAGGGCTTGGCTCCAATCGGCGAATGTCGTAATGAGGCGCCAGCGCGAGACAGCTCTCGAATACACGGATACGGCGGCAACTATCGTCAACCCAATCGACGACGTGTACCTCAGTGTTGTCAGAGCCTGGGAAGATGCGGTGATTTCCATGGATTCACTTGTCCGGGGGGTGCCGCAGAAGGTCCGGAATGGAGCAGTCCTCCTTGCTATGAATTCGTGGCACCTCTATCCAGACCTTTGCGTTCTTAGCAGAGGCCCTGATGTTTTGTTTCAACATGACGACCTTATAGTGGACTCCGGAATTCTGAGCATAGACCTGGAGCCAGCAACTGACACATCGGAATCCCGAAGCGTGTCCTGGTCGCTGCCCTTATCTTATATGAGATATTATGGGGACCCAGTGGTCATCAAGAGCCAAATCAGTGTGGATTCATCACGTATCACCATGGAACAATTCTCTTACGTACTACTTGGCTGCGCAGTATCAGCCTGGGCGGGTTCCAATAACCTGAACACAAGCAGCGAAGTCATCGACACTTTGTTCCTACTGATGGATGCGATGCTTCAGACCAAAGTTTTGGTAACTGAGGAACCGGTAGAAGCGGATATACGGCAGGTGAAAAACGTGCTTGATAAGGACTCATGGGTAGGACAGTTATTTGGAGCTGTTGAGCACTGGAAACATGCCAAAAAGAGCGAAAGGGCGGTTTTGGAAAAATTGGTCAACCACGGTCGTCGCCATGGGCAGTTCCTATGTGACCTGGATCAACATCCAGCACCTTTCTTCGGGCTCAGCCACTTACCCTCACTCTTCAGCCTGTTGAACGGAACAGAGGCTCGCATCGCCTGTCTGCGGCAGTTTGCCAAGGACCAAGGGTTGACGAATGAGAGTTTTGTTATTTCATATGTTGAAGGATCTTACAGGAATCCAGTGTTTGCATCAGTTGCTCCCCTAGGTCAACATCTGACTGCAGGCCAAGAGGCGAATTCATCGGGCCGGTATCTTCGACGTCAATCATCAGTTCCTCAGGACAAATCCAAGTACGCCCGCTGGCTAGTTGTATACACCAGCATTGCTAAACGATGCGCTTGCAACGGCAACTGCACGCGACAGGCAATCGACCAACACAATGATAAGAAGGCCCGGTGGAAAGACTTCATCAAGAGAGACAGCACGAGGCGTAGCTCTGCCGCAGTGCAGACCTGCCCTTGTAAACCCTCAGCTTTCAGTGCGAACCTTCCGCTGCTCGAGAGAGGATGCTCCCTTGCTTGTCACCCATGGAGCCCGACAGCGCCTTGTACTTCTCACCTGCGGGCAGCCTCGAGTCAGATGAGAGCCAGGATCAGCCACATCCAACAGCAAGGCGAATACTGCCTGGCAGCGAATTGCATCACCGATGATCTCGCTCAGACTCGAAAGCAACGCGTTGATTTCGCAAACGGGGTCGACTTTGAGACGTCATTGACCGAGCTATCACACTTCTCGACAGGTATGCAAACCAACTGCCATGCTTCTTCTCATGTCTGATACTCTCAATACGTAAATCATGCTCTAGGAACAACAAGGACTAACACGGCGCAGAGGACCGCCCTGAGCTGGAATTTTATGCAGGAGATGTTACCACTGCTATGATATACAGGGTTTCCAAAATGCCACAGCGACATCAAAAAGACGGCGAGAATGCTGGGAAGGGTCAAATAGATGTTGAGCCAGGGACAACAAGCCAGCCAGTAGGGCAGTACATGAGTGCAAAGGCTTTGCGAGAGGCTCTTCGCCCTGCTGACTTCAACTCCCCCCGTCTCGCTGAATGGTTCACTATCAGCCTTCGGAAGAGCCATCGCCGCTACGTCAAAAGCCTTCGCGCTTGTGCCGCAGCCTCGAATCTGTATCGGACACTGCCGAATACCACGGTGTCCCCTACGGTGGTTGCCAACACAACTATCCCAACGGCACGATGGTGCCCTGCAACGGAACCTCCGAGAGCCTCTCCACTGACGATGACCTTATCTCGGCCGGAAGCGTTCGCCTGCATCGCGATGTTTGAAGCTGGGAAAGTCCTAGAGCCGGACTACCTGTCTGCGGTGTTCGCAATGACGTCGGGCGACTCTATCTACGTGGCTGGCCAGCTTCTCGAAGACCCCTACGAGGTTCCAGCAGAAAATGAGATCCGCAGAATCCCAGGTAACCTGGGTAGGCCCGGGCTGTCATTCTTGGTACCTCCACCCAGGCCAAAAATTCGCACACAGTCTCCAGAAAGCTGGGACATAATTAATCATGCCAAGTTCACGGGAAACATGACGGATAGCTTCTGGCAGACCTCGATGCATCTGACTCTGACGCAGTATCAACCAGAACTTCGAGAGCTTGGGGCCAACGCGAACGAGAACTATATTGACCAGTCATCGTTTCTAAGGGAGAGCCTGGTGCAAGTTCACGACGGGAAGCATTGGCTATGCGACCTGGACATCCTCGGCACTCTAAGCAGTCACCTTTTGAGCCGCGTCACTTGTCAGTGCGCTGAAAAGGTTGATGCGTTACTCAGTATTAGTGGCGTGCAAGAAATGGCGACAGTAGATAATTGGGAAGAGCTTTTGACTCGGCCAGTGAGCTCTGTGCCGTTGGTAGTCCGAGCCGCGGGCAACTTTTTTGGCAGGCTTGCAGCAGCGGGCTTGAGCACGCGATTGGGGAGACATACAGTGATACTCCCCAAGGACGTTTGCTGGCTGTGCACCACGAGACATGTTGATAGAATTATCCATGTTGGCGTTGAGGCAGGTGATATCGTGTTAGTTTTGTAGGCGGTTGTGAACGTCAACGGTGTTCATAGCAGCGCTGGCCGAATCAAGTCAGTCAAAATGGAACATGCAATTATCCTGTGGTCCTCGGTGAAGTTTCAGTCAGACCCCTGGTACCAGCAATCGACATGTGTAAATCCTTCCTGGTTGCCGAGATCCAAACATATAAGGCTTACGAGCCCACCTTAGGTACATAGGTAGTGATTTGAAACTGATATCAATTTATGGGTGCTTCGACATATGCGAGGCTATACACTCTATCATCGCCAAAAAATATGTTGCAGGCATTTTAGTGCCAATCAATATTCGTAGAGTTACGATATGCTTTTCTACGTAGCGCGCGCAATTTTCTAAACAACAGCCCCTGAATGTATGCACAACTACAACACAGTACCCTCTAAACCGTATACCTGAAGAAGGTCGCACTGTCCCCGAGATCCCTCTCTGCGTGCTTATCAGCCTCGGTGTACTCGCTGAGCGGCTTGTGCACCCTGTCACGGCGGGCGTTTTCCCTGCGGAGGTAGATGGTCATGAAGATGCTCAGGCAGGTAGCCATGGCCTGAAACCCAAGCAGCGTGGCGTGACCAGGGCGGTAGGTCGGGCGGTCCTTGGCCAGGTAGATGTATGCGGCGATGAGACCACCGAGGTTGCCAAAGCCGACGTGCATGGCGATGCCGACGCCGCGCTTCAAAGAGCCGCCGATATTATTACCGTTCCAGGCGACACCCTGTGGCACGTTAGGGTAGATGCCCGTCGCGAGGAAGAAGCAACCGGTGTACTTGACACCGCTGCTGGTTGAGGCAAGGAGCATGATGAGGCCGATCATACTGTGGAAACAATTAGTCCTGGCGAAGATGAATCTTGGGCCTGGGTCTGGAAGGGCTGCTTACGCGATGATCATGAAGCCGATCATGAAGATTCCTCGTTGCTTCATCCTGTCGGCGAGGTAGCCAGCCCCGATGCAGAAGATGCAAGCCACAAAGTAAGGAGGCACGGTCAGGAGCTGTGCCGTCGTGTTCTTGTAACCCAGGTCGGCAACGATGGTTGGCAGGAACAGGGCATAGGAATACAGCGGTGTGTAGACTCCAATGGTGATGAACATGTGTACCCAGATCTTCCAGTCCTTGAGAGCGGCCCAGAAGTACTTCATGTCGAACTCATCCGCGAGCGAGGATCGGTCGCGCTTGAGGCGTGCTGTGACCTCCTTTTGCTCCGGCTCGGTCAGGAAGGGTGCGGTCGAGGGATAGTCATACATGAACTTGAAGGCCGAAATAGCTGTACACGACAGTCAGTAAAATGACCGCTATCTACGGACACCAGCGTTGTTCGGGTCTTTAGTTGTTCCAGTGGGACAAACTCACCGACGAAGAAGGTCAATATGCCCTCCAAAATGAAAATCCACTGCCATCCAGACAGTCCTGCGACTCCTCGCATCTCCATGATGCCACGCGCCAGCAGACCGCCAAAAGCACCTGCAGCTGTTGCAGCGGAGAAGAAGATGGCCATTCGCAGTCCACACTCGTGGCGTGGGTACCACATCGTGATGCTGAGGCGGAGTCAGCGCAAAACCTTCAATTTCAAGATTGAGAAACGATGGACTTACTAGTATGTGATTCCAGGAAACAGACCGCCCTCAGCAAGACCCAGCGCAGCTCTCGCAGCCATCAGTCCGGGATAATTGTGCACAATTCCCATGAGTGTGGTGCAGATGCCCCAAGCGATCATGATGATAGGAATCCAAATACTCGGGCGGAACCTCTTCATGGCCATGTTGCTGGGAACCTCGGCTGCGACATAGAAGGGGAAGAAGATACCGAGCGCATTGTTGTACTGTAGACTGGTCTTGGGCATGCCAAGATCCACCTCCAGAGTGTCGAGTCTGGCATTGCCAATGTTGGTTCTGTCAAGGAAGGAGAGCAGGTAGAGGAGCGCAAGAAAGGGGATGAGTCGGAGGTCAATCTTGCGGATGAGCTTTTTGGTTGCGGACACGTCCCAACCTGCGGCCTCGACGGAATGTGAGTCAATGTCCTCGACAGTCTTTCCCACGGGCTTCTCTTCCATGCTTGTGCCGGAGCTGTCCACTTGGGCTTTGATGTCCGCCATGGCCACAGATGTTGTTGAAATGATGGTCGGCAGCGTTGACTGAAGCCTGACTCGCAGTGAGAGGGGCGTTTATGACAAGTAGACGTCCGCTGTTCCCCTGCGTATAAGCTCAGCTAGTGGCGGGTATCAAAGCCTTCAGGCGTATCTAAGCAATGACTACGAGGGGATGGCTTTCACTTTATAGCTGCTGAGCCCTGTTCTTACCCCTTCCGAAGTATTATACCACTTTGGGCCCGCAGCCCGAAAGGTAATCTTGGAAAATGATGCACAATAGTCTTGATTGGGCGTGCTAACACTGCAGAAGGGCTTCCATGGGGAGGTGCCCCGGACACCGAAGCAAAATGCCAATGCCTAGCCAAGACAAAACCACCTGGGGTCTCACTTTTAGTCCACTTGACAAGGCTCAGGAACTAGGAGGTCCCCCTTCTGTCCGGGCCAACGACTTAGAATTCGTCACGAGTGCTGGCCAAGGCGCCAAAAAGGTTTATTGTTGTTCCTTCTCCTCAGCTCGCCGCTTTTTGTTGAGGATACTTGTTACCATCACGGCTCGTAAGGTTGAGGCTCCCGTCAGCACGGCCGCTGCCTATTGATAGTACCTGAGACCTATGGATCAAACGGGCAAGTGGTGTAACCCGCGGGGATTTTCCAGCTAGCAGGCTCAGCTTCTGCTGCAGTTACCTGGCCCGTGTCGGTGGTTGCAGCGAGGCTATTCGTTCGTGTGTAGCTGGCTTGATAACATTTGAACAGAGAGTTGGACAGGATTCCATGCCCAGACAGACTATCCCTGGCGTGTAGAGCCAACAGCCAATATCAGCCGCCTATCCAAAGCCACAGGCTTGGGCCAAGACTTGGCAATACAAGTGCTCACTCCCCGCATTCTTCCCAATTATCCTGAAGCTGGGCCAGAACAGTGGCGCACAATGTGCTACCTGGTTAATATCGTAGTACGACAGGCATGCTGACTGCAACCCCTTGCACCCGAGGCGGTGGTAGACTTAATACTGGTCACTTCGCATGCGAGATTGCTAGATTGTTCGTCTGCTCAACCACACGAGGGTGACATTGGACCCAAGCGGCCGGTCGAATCCCCATCAGGCGCGCAGATATGAATTAGCGCCAGATAGGGCAGGGACATGGATCCGAGAGGTCGGACTTTTGGCGTGTCGTGTCGTGTCGTGTACTCCGTACATCTTTTCTGTTCCGACTCCTCCATTGCGTTAAGCCTCGACTGCCTACCGCGTGGCGTTTTCTGGGCACGGCGCGCCCAGCCGGTGAAATGGAGGAAATGACTAGGTTTCAGCAAAAGGGAAGCGAAATGAGACCCAATGGCGGCACTAGAAGTGGATGGGGGCCAGACAAGAAAAAAAACGAAAAGGATTCCCGCCCCTTGTTGGCGCTCGGCGGTTAGACTTGGTCCCTTGCGGGGAGCCGGTAGTCTGGAAGGTTTGTGTCCGCCAAGTCCCCTCCCCCACAGACTTCCCCGGATCTTGGGGGCTACAAGCTCGTGGCAGTGCACGCGAAAGCGGGCTGGTCTCAGACGTCAGTCAAGAGAACCTCCAACTTGGCGTCTGGACTCAGGATCGGGCCCGGACATACGGAATCTTTGATAAGGTCAATCAAGCCCGTGACCAACATCGACTGGTTCAGGCCTTCACTTTGATGTTCTTCGAGACGGTGTCGTGATCAGACCCTGGTCACTAGTTCGCTTCCCCGAACCAAACTTCATCACAATCTGTTGGTGAGGCCAAGTAACAAATGCGTTCCTTTGTGTAAGTCGCCAAGTAACGACTCCGACAAAAGGTCCATTGACGCCCGCATGATAGCGCACATACCGACTTTTCCGGCTGGCCGAGTGTTTCAAGAAGAAAAAATTCGGTGATGAGTGATCTCGAGGCTATGGCGGGGTGGGGAGTGGGAAGTGTTGTCATTCTAAGCCACATCTCTCGACTGATTTTGTGGTAGAAACTTATCTTGGAAAGCGTTAATGACCAAATGCAGAAAATGAACCAAAATTCTTATTTCGTAACAACCTCGAGCGCCTCGTTCTTTGTTTCTAGGGCTAAACACCAAATTCCGGGTTTTGAGTATACAACAGCTCGAGGCAGTGTTTTGTTACTCGATCACTACCAACGAGATGTCTTGCGCTCTTTTCAGAGCAATATTCGCCATCGCCATCCGCGGAGTGTCTTCAAATCGGCTTGAGTGATTGCTTGATCGCCTCTTTCCAACTTGGCATGCAGCCTCTTCAGCCTCCTGGACATCGTTTTGGCCACGCGCAAAGACACCTCGTTTTGAAAGACATACAGCACCGCAAATACGAAGAATGTTATAGACGCCAGTCCACCAAAGCTGCTTCGAACAGCATTCAGTATGCGTGAAATGAGTGACTGGCTCTTGAAGAACGCATATTCCGTTTTGTTGGATGATTCGCTGTCATGCCGTGGTCGTTTCCAAATCGCCTTCACTGCAGGGATAATTACAGCACTTTGACAAGGCTGGTCAGTAATCGGCGAAAGTGCGAGTCAACGTCGAAGAAAGAAGGCAATGTTTGCTCACGCCAAACCCCCCAATAGCCACTTTCGCCATCGATGCCGCTCTGCCGCCCTTATTATGTCCGACACCTCCCCCCTCAGCGTCATCAGCTCATCGAGAACATTAGCAGATTGTAATCTGAACTGCTCGAGAAAGGCGACTCCGTCAGCCTGAGGTCGTCGCTGCTGAAAAGCGAGCAGCTCCTTCAGGCCATGCTCGACGCTCAAGCGAGCTGTTTTTATGTTCTTCGGGATCTCTTGCGGAGAGAATACTCGGACAGGTCTCGCGAAAGGTTGACCAGGCAGCCCTGCGTCAGTGACCTTGGTAGGATGCCAGCTGTCGGGCAAGGCGCCGGACATGCTGGGCCCGGTTGGTGGGTACCCGGGGACATTGGATGCAACTGATGTTCCTGCCGCATCAGGTTTCTGCTCATATCGGATGACCGTCGTTGGCGATGATGCAGTGGCCATGATTACTACTCCTGGGGGCGGGGGCGGTGTGAGGACGCCTATGCCTGTTGAGACTGACACCTCTCAATGCCCGTGATGTCTGACTAACTGTAGAAAACGCCCAGATGGCCTTGTGAGCAATTGGTTGAAACGACCGTTGATAGCTTCAAGGACTTTCCATGTTGCCACTGCGTCTAGTCACTTGGGCTCCGTAACCAAAGGCGGGGGGAGGCTCGGGTCGGACAGGCACAGCATTGGTTCCGAGCAGAACGCCAAGGATGCTACGTCACAGTGCTTCAGCGGTAGGGGGTAGAAGTCAATTGGGCAGAGCTACTCCAATTCCTGAGAGGTGTCTCGTCTTGAAATACATGATGATCGAAGCTTGCATCAGGTGTCTATAGAAGCACACTTTACGCCAAGCCACTGGTATACTTAACAGGTCGCCATGTATGTCCTCGGACGTATACGGAATAGAAGCGAAACCACATACTTAACAGGTGCATGTGTGAGCAGACCCCGGGATGGGAACATTGGCGAACAAGTCCTGGGATATCGGTCTAATCTATAGATCACTGGAGGCTGCTCGCTCTAAAGATTTGGTACGGCTATTATCGTTTTGACAGCGTCTATCAGCCGTTAGATGGTCAAGGCTGGTTTAGAAAATTGAAAGCGAAGCCTAGACGAGACCATGAACAACTGCAGCAACATTTGAAGCGGCCTCGCAAGTCTGGAAGCATCCCAAGATCACTATCACTTTCGATTTGATATCCGTCGGAAACAAAGGTGCCCAAGAGCAAAATTTCCCTGTGACTGTTCTAACTTTTCTCCTAATTGCAGACATCACATATAATCTTACCGTACCATCGTCCCACCTCCAAATAACGTACCCGGCCCACATTCCGACCACCCCCTGATTCCGACCACCTGATTTAGACATTTACACCCCTCTATTAAGACGAAATAGGGCCCTATAACCCTAACCCTAGACTTAAAAATAGGGTTTTAAATCTATTATTTAATAAAAATACTTAAAAAATCTATTTTTAGTAATAATAGTTAGTTAAAATTAAAAGACTTAAATATTAAAATTTATTTATAAATAATTTTTAAAAAAGTCTAATAACCCTAACCCTAGACTTTAAAAAGACTTATTAAATTATATTATTAGATAAGAATATTAATAGAATTTTAAAAATACTTTTATATTTTTAAAAGTATTTTTAAAACTTAATATTTTAAAATATTAAAAATTATTAATAAAATATTAAAGATTTATAATTATATTAATATTAAATTTTATTTAATAAATATTAATAATATAAGTATTTAAAAATATATTTATATATTAAAAATAGTTAATTATATAAACTATTTATCTTTTTTTTAGTTCCACTACTAAGCTGGAAGCAAATAGTTAGGGTCCTAGAGGGATGAGACACAATGTATCTTTCAAAGATCAGCTCAGCTAAGTTTGCCATACAGGACTTTTCACAGTGACTTCACAATCTACATAGTTAATTATATTATATTTAATTTCTTTTATATAATATAACTTTATTTTTTATAAAATAAATAAATTTATAATTTTATTAAAAAAAGTTTATATAGAAAAAATAAAAAAGTTAAATTTTAAAAATATTATTAATAATTATTTAATAAAACTTTAATTAATTTAAATAATAATAATATTAAATAAAAACTTATAAAAAAAATTAAAATTATAATTAAATTAAAATTAAAGTTAAAATATTAATATTTATATATAAACTCTTATTATTTCTTAATATTAAAAATCTTTAAACTTTAAAATTTTTTAAAATTATTTTATTATAAAATATAATATTTTAATAATCTTCTTTAATAATATAAATAAATAAGTCCTTTTAAAGTTTAAAGTTAAGGTTATTAGATTTTTTTAAAAAGTATTTATAAATAAATTTTAATATTTAAGTCTTTTAATTTTAACTAACTATTATTACTAAAAATAGATTTTTCAAGTATTTTTATTAAATAATAGATTTAAAACCCTATTTTTAGGTGTAGGGTTAGGGTTATAGGGCCCTATTTCGTCTTAATAGAGGGGTGTAAATGTCTAAATCAGGTGGTCGGAATCAGGGGGTGGTCGGAATGTGGGCCGGGTACGTTAATAATAATAATATTGACATGTCACAGCAAAGTCACTGCGATTGAACTACACCCAATGTATCTGGTTTCGCTTCTATTCCGTATACGTCCGAGGACATACCCAAGGTATCTTAGGACAACTTCTTACAGGACAACCTCCTGTAGGATAACCTCCTATAGGGTAACCTTCTATAGAATAACTGCTTACCTCCCAAAGGATATCCTCCTACAGGACATCCTCCTACACCACAGGGTGGTGTTCCACAGGAGGTTGGGGAAATATCGTGACCGCGTAGCGGACGCCCAAGCAGAATCCTCGGGATCGCCTTTTATCCACACAAGAGTGCCTTCCGATTGTGCAGCTTCAATTAACTGTTGCAATATTTGCATTCGCCCTTTTCCCACTGGTTCCCCCCGGCTCAGCCCCCACGCTACTCCCGCGGTCGCTGTCGCTCTCAACGTGGAGGAGCTTTTGTTTCCTGCTCTCTGATGTCAGTTAACGATTCTTGGTTATGACATGAAAAAGTCTTACTCTTTACGCTTGATGTAAACGTCTAGAATGTGAGTGGCGACAATCAATGACACAGCACAGCCAAGGCAGAAAGAAAAGCCTTTAGGATAGTTTGGTGACTCCACAGTGGGAAATGTCAGCAGCGGCGTCCAAGCTGTCGAAGACTGTGCGATGATGGTAATCAAAACTAGCGTGAAGGACCGTTGCTCAGGGGAATCACGGAGGATGGTGTTGACCCAGCCATGCAAGACACTCGAGAGTGCGTTGGACCAGTACATAGTCGCGAACGCAAACCACTTCGCGCCTTCGGGGATATCCCACACGACAAGCATGATTAGCCCGGCGACGTTCCGGAGTGAGGAAAACGTGATTGCCCAGGCCGGGCCAAGGACCAAGTCTGAGAGAAAGCAAGCTACAAGGTTGTACAGTATCCCCAGCGCAGGTGCGATGGTCCCCATCTCATTAACCTGGGCTGGGCTGTACCGGCCCAGGCTCTTGATCCACAGCAAGAAGCTTCCGGTGCTCTTGTGTATTCCAGCGTTCCAGAACAGTATGTCCACAAGGACGACCGTCCAGAACTGTGGGCTGAGGAAGATCTGCTTGAGATGGCCGAGCTTGAACTTGCCGCGCGTAACGTGGCCGCCGCGCTCGAGCCGAGCTTTCGCGATCTTGATATCGTGCTCGTTGAGGATCCAGCGGTTCGGCTGTTCGACGGTACCTGGTAGCAGAAAATAACCGAGGATCCCGACTGGGATTGTAATGACCGCGCAAATGATGTACATCCAACCTAAATATGAAGCCGAAGTCAGCAAGCATGGTTTAATTTGGTGGTGATCATTTGGACTTCATGAGCGATGGCATGGGAATAATACGAACGCCATCCAGACATCCCCTGAACTCCCTCCAGACGATGCGAAGCCCCGGCTGCGATGAGACCGGCCGTTAGGGTCCCGAGATTCAACCCAGTGTAGAAGATGCCGCCTCTCCGGGCGATCTCATGTCCTCGGTACCAAGAACCTGCGAGAGTGGTAAGAATCTTCTCACAGGATTGACAATTCAGTCGGATAAATAACTCACCAAATACGTAGTGCATAGCTGGAAAGAAAGCGGCCTGAGGTTACCAGTTAGTAATGTATCAGAGAACAGATATGATTACGGCAGAACACCAGACCTCGAAGAAGCCAACCAGGAAGCGGTAGGCAGCCATCTCTCCGAATGAGTGCGCGCGGTATTGTAGAAGCGTGAATAGACCCCAGAGTACATCCATAGCTGGAATCGTCCAGTACATGGGCACATAGGTGAAGATGAACATAAACGGTATCATGCCTACAACGGCGCCAACCGTGTACATGGTCTGGAGTTCCACGAGCTCGTTCCCTTTGAATCCGAGTTCCTCCTTCATCCCTCCAACGTAGGCATTGTCTGCAAGCGTTAACAGCGGTTTCGCAATGATGGTGGTGAATGTCATACTCAAGTTCGCCTGATCTACGGAGAAGGCTTAGTTAGCTCTCTGAAACAATCAGCAGTGGCAGGAGAAGGCTAGAGTCAAACCTATGTATTTTACCCAGTATGCAATGACAGCGTACGGCACCACGATCAGATCTAGCTTAACAATGAACTTTCGCTCCTCCAGCGTGTCATCTGTAACACACATTAATACGACGTTCCTCAACCTCGAAGCACATCAACATTACGCCAACTTGGAATGCCCGAGACAAGATGGAAAGCAGAAATGGGGAAGACCACGAGAAGCACTTGCCGTCGGAATACCACTGAATCTTCCACCATTTTCCCCTAGGAACCGTGTCCGCTGCCATGGTTGGGCGCTCAGCGTGTATGTGCGTTGGCCTCAAGCAGACTGGATGTTTCTTTGGAAGAGTCCCAAGCTGAACTCGAAAGATGCAGAAACAATCCAGCTGATATCAACCCATAGTGTCAGTTTGCGAGACGTAGGAGTGTGACATCCGACCTCCGCTGACCCCTGTAAGTCAAAATGTTCTCGCCTGTCGATTGCGTGAGAGCGTATCGGGCTTATGCCATCACGAAGCGAGAGTTGTCCCGCTTTCCGGAAGTGGGGAAACCTGCACGACCATGATAGCACGGCTCGCCTACCGGGAGGCACACTCGTGAGGCTTGGCAGGAATGGTGAACGAGCTACAGTACTGCAGCAAGGTGTTAATGAGAGATGCAGGTGGACCTTCTGCCCATGAGGTGGGCGCATTCGGCCCGGACAGGGCTGCACATAAGGGATGCTGCGTGTAAGATTGGTTGAGGCCGAAGACGAAATCCTTGCGGCAAATCGTCAGGATGGCGACTCATCTTTGCTGATGATGTTCATTTATCTAGCGACAGCCTTTAGAGAGCGCGACTTTGGACTTATAGGCAAGGTTACCACCCAGGCTCGAGCCAGCAAAGCGAATGCACAAATAGGGCCTGGAAAGAGCTACTACGACGTCACGTATATCTCCGACCTTTTGGATGCTCACCTAATTTCCCGCGCACGCCCTGGTCGACGCCCATGACAGGGCCGCACTATCTCCTAAGAGTCAGGTTTATGGTGAGGCTTATATTATTACTAACGACCAGCCGGTTCTGTTTGGGGAATTCAACTGGGCTGTTGCTGCCTCCAGTATTGCAGGAGGATATCAAGGTTGTTTTACTAGGTTGTCATGCTGGCAGCTTTTGAGCATAATTACTCGCACCTTAAAGTGAGATAAGGCCAAGCGAGTTTCGGCTACAAGCCGAAGGTGGATGTCTACGAAGGGTTTGAGGAATGTAGCAAATGGTTTGTTGAGGAAGCGGAAAAGACAGAACTGGCGAAGGAAACAATCTGAAGATGCCAGCAGTCTAGATTTCTGGTGGCGTGATATAAAGGAAGAGTTTCGAAATATTGAAATTTATCTAGTCGACTCTTCTAGGGAGTTTTCCGGCGTCTCGGAAGCCCACAACACCGTTGAGGCTTTACAGAGGATGAATGAGGTTTCTCCAATAGTCTTGACGGACGCGGTGAAGGTAGTATCTCCTAACAATGAGGTGAAGGGCATCGTTCTGTTCTAGATTCAACACGCTTCGAATACAATGAAAGCGTTTTGAGTGTTCGTAGAACCTGGAAGTAGGTGTACTCCTCGACTGCCAAGTGCTTGGGCAAAGGTTGACAGATGGCTTTGTTCTGTGGGAGAAAAACAAGCCATTCTTTGAACTCTTTTTGTCGCCCACTTCGCTGGCTTTGTTGCAGAACTATGATCAAAGCAACAAAACAACCCTTGCCCTGATAACCACAATCGAATATGGCCCATCGATTGTGAAAGACGAGGCCTATTGTTGTTGCGAGGACTGTCTTAATAAGGACTCCAATCACGAGTTGAGCAGAAGAATAGCTTTTGTTGGTCCCCCACCAACATATGTGCTAATTATTACGAACCGGAGCCAAATCCAACATGTCGAAGACTATTACACAAAAGCGAGTTGTTCGTGGCCGCAAAGCCAAGTGGACCACTTTAGATATTGATATTTTAGGGTCGACAAAACAAGACGCTGGGAAACAGCAGCCTGCATATGTGTGTTGAGATTTCCCCTGGAATGATAACTCGACTACAGATCCGCTAACTAACGTTGATTCATAGTACTCATTCGATGGCGTGAGATCAGATTTCCAGGATAACAGTGGACAGACTTGGATGCTCGAGTCCGAGGCATACTGGCAGGTCAAGAAGTCGCTCGAGAAGCGCACGTCCGAGTATCCAAAAACCACGCGGTATGTTGATGCTTCCAGTCTCCCATTGAAGAAAGTAAGTCTACGTGAGGACTCGGTTCTTTACCACATACCTCTGATACCGGGGCAGATCCAGGCCTGGGATATGAGCCAGCGGCCCGGGGCGGTGAGGGCGTATTTTTACCGCGACGAGCCGTGGAACTTTGATGTGTTGTATCATGACCCGCGCCAGCCGAAGCACCCGGAGAGCGGGCAGCATGCGTATAGTGGCGCATGTTATCATCCCGAGGAAAACGGGGATAATTGATCCATAACTTAGAAGCGAGCCTAGCAATGGCCTTAATACTATACCGAAATGTTGTCCTTCACAAATAACTTATCTTTAGAATTGTACTACTTACTATCTAGTGGATGTGCTACGTGAGCAATTGGAATGGGTGTGATGAGTGGTGGTGCTACCCTTTCGATTGTGACTTGGGATGGTAGAACTTGTGGTGCGATATGATGCGCAAGACAAAATTCATGGTAGACTCTATATATCTGCCGGGCGATTTCACATTTTTGATTGAGCTTTGATATATTAATTGTATGGACGAAGTCACAGCTGCTGAGGTAGGGTTGAGCGGGTGAGGGGGGGATGTCAGGGTTTTGGCTCTTGGAACAGGGGTTCAGGGGCTCCAAAGTGTCGCAGGTGTGGCTGGCGCCAAACGCTTGACCTGAGCCCCAAGAGCACATGTCTGCAGCTCGCTCACTCATCGCCATCGCCGTTAGCAATATCAATATCTACACAGATGCCTCTTCACATCAAACAGGACAACTTACTTTAATTTCGTCTCGCACTGCATCCAAAGAACAACAACATCAGGCGCTTGAAGCACAACAGAGTCGAGGATGGTACCGTCGAGCACAGCACTCATCACCGCTGCTGCTGCAGCCAGCCTGTTGCTGGGGCCTGCACTGGCCACCGGCAGCTCATACCCCGACCCTGCCATATCACGCCCGCAGAACCTTAACTCGGACGGGCCCGTGGCGGCACATGCAGCTGCGGAGGCCGACCAAGCCAGCCACGAAATGGACGATGACGAGAGCGCCGAGGTAGGAGTGCCAGAGGAGGACTGGCCGCTGGACTGGCAGCCGGAGCTAAAGAGGTCGGAGGCGGGAGGCGAGGAAGAAGGGAGGGTACTTTTGAAGAGGGAAACCAGTGCGGCGCCCACGATATACGGCGTCAGCATCTGGCTGATACTCGCATGGCTTGCTCTGCTGTACTTGATGTATAAGACTGGCTCTCTATGATTGATGTCTGGGACACTGTGTTCATTGTATCTGGGGAAGAACGCCAGCCAATACTATATTAATGAGCATTTAATTTCATCCGCGTGAGGCGGCAACCTCAAGATGTCCTCTGGCTGCACGTTCCATCCAATGCTCACTTGCCAATTCGCTGAGCTTGTGGAGTGGTGGGGTGGCTCCCCTGCTTGGCCAACGACACGAAGCTGAAATGCCCAACGGAACGCGTCATAGACAGCTTCCGGGCTGCTCTCAGCCAAGGCCAAGGCCATCGCCATTGCCAGAGAACTCATGACCATGGCTGACTTGCACTACTTGCAGTGTATACTTGCGAAGCAGGACTCAGCAGGATCATACATAGTGCAATGCTCTGAGTTCAGAGAAGGACAGGGAATGCAGCTGTCTGGCAAGGATGTAGACTAGCTTTCTCGCTTCATGGTTAATAAGGATCCAGTCCGGCTCTGTCTCAGCTTCGGCCCCAGCACATCCGGCTTCGACCCTTGACCTTTGAGCCTTGACCTTCGACTCCGGACCTCATCCCTCCAAGGTTACTCACCACCCACCGCCCAGGCCCAAACCTCGGTGAGTCTATCAAGACTATCATCCTCGCCTGTGACATCCAAGGCACGCCAATGCATCTGTCAGTCCATGTTCCTCTCTCCAACACAACATGTTAGACAGGTACGGGCCTGTCCTATGGACAGCACTCGCCGTCTTCGTTGTCTACGGCATCAGAACCATCAGGAAATGGCAGTACCAGCGTTTCCAGCAGTATGCCGACTTGCCTCAGCCCAAGACCTCCTTCATCTGGGGCCACTTGGCGTTTATGGGCCAGCTGTTTAAGAATGCACCGGACCCGAGGCGCCATCTCGACGACGTGATACGGGACTACCTCCCCAAATTGGGCAGCCCGCCAGTTCTTTTCGTCGACCTCCGGCCTGTCAACTACCCCATGCTCGTCATCTGCGACCACGACGTTGCTGAACAGATCACCAAGCCCTCCACAAGGTGGGCCTTGAGCACCCCCAAGTCACCAACCCTCGGTGATATATGGCACCTGACCGGCAAGAACTCAATTCTCACCTCCGAGGGTGACCACTGGAAGGCTCAGAGGCGGCTGTTCAACCCCGGATTCGCCCCTCAGCACCTTCTGACTCTCCTGCCCGTCATCCTAGACAAGACCAGGCTTTTCCTGGACCACCTCGATCGGTTCTCCCAGACGGGCGAGGAGTTCTGCCTCGACGAGCTGTGTATGACACTGACCTTCGATATCATCGCGGCAGTGACCATGGGCCACGACATCAATGCCCAGGTCCCCGGGCAGCAGAGCGAGATACTGGTCTCGTTCAGGGCGATCGAGGACGAAAACGCTCGCCATCGAGGCCCCGGCATCCCCGGCACCAAATTTCTGAGAGAGCGCGTCCGCCGGAAACATGCCAAAAAGCTCGACCGGCTCATGAAGGATATGGTCCGCAACGAGTACCATAAGCTGAGTGCCGGTGGCACCAAATCCCGCAGCGTCCTGGCTCTGAGCCTGCAAGGGACCGAGCACCTCACCCCTGAGCTCTTGCAGCAGACGAGCGACAACCTGAGGATGTTCCTCTTTGCCGGCCACGACACGACAAGCATCCTGCTCCAGTGGGCCTTCTACGAGCTGTCAAGGTCGCCACGGCAGCAGAGGGCGCTCCGCTCCGAGCTGGACGAGCTCCTCGGGCCCGACGCCGACCCTGATGTCGTCCGGGAGAAGCTGCTCGCGCCCGGCGGCGCCGAGATCCTGGGCCAGATGGTCTACACCTCTGCTGTTATCAAGGAGATCTTGCGCCTTCATCCCCCGGCCGCGACGGTCCGGATGAGCCAGCCAGGGACGAACTTCCAGCTCACCCTGTCCGACGGCAGGCAGGTCTGCCCCGATGGGTGCATCCTGTACCTGTGCAGCGGTGTCATCCAGCGGGACCCCAAGGTGTTCGGCGAGACCGCCAACGACTTTGTCCCAGAGCGATGGCTCGGTGACACGTCAGGTCTGCCGGCGAGCGCGTGGAGGCCCTTCGAGAGGGGCCCGCGGGCCTGCATCGGTCTAGAACTGGCGAATATCGAGGCCAGGGTGATCTTGGCATGCGCTGTGAGGCGGTATGACTTCCAAAAAACTGGCATCGGAGAGCTGGACTCGGATAGTGATGGCAAGCCCATCTTGGACGACAAGGGATATTACCGGGCAAAGACGGAGCTTTTCAACGTAAGATATTTCCAATACCTAATCCTTCCAACGACACGCATGGCCTTCGCAGCTGAGGTACCGCCCGCTAACCCACCCCTCGGCACAGAGTATGCAGTTGACGGCGAAGCCTGTGGACCGGACCATGATGAAGGTCAAGCTCAGCGACCAGGCCACGAGAACGTGATGGGCCCCGTGGGCACAGGTAATAGTATGCAGAACACGATGAAAAGTGGGTCCTCATCAGAAGATTTATTTTTGTCTCTTGTGTGGCTCTTATCGAGATTGACTGTCGACCATCAGCGGAGCCTCCCGTCGCCCGGCGACCTCTCTGGGAGCCTCGGCATGTCTGATAACGACCGTTGCAGTTCCCCACAATCTGCAAGAGAGAGAAAAAGAGAAAAAAAAAAGCTCCTGGATTTGGTTCCCCCCTTTCAAATTTCCAAGGGCTTGGTATCCTGCCGTTCGTCGCGTACCCCAAAAAAACTGAAAAATGAAAAATGAAAATGTGGTATCACTGAGGTCTCAAAACATATCGCTGTCCTCGAGACGAGCTACTTCCTCCCACATCCTCCACAAACTGTCTCTGAATCTGGGTTGAGATGTCCGCACCCACAGCGCCAGTCGCTTTGTGGGACAAGCAGGGCTGTGGCCGGCGTGGCTGTCATGATTGCATACCAGTTGGGTATAGAGACGGGTAGCTTCGTGGGGGAAAAGGCCGATCCTGATGCCGTGTTAGTGGCGTGGGGTTGGAGGCTTGTTCCGCGTCAGGCGAGATCTCACCTGGACTAGTGGATGACCTTTGGGGGACGCTATATGGTCCGTCTTGGTCCAAGCCTTATTATCGTGTCTTGGGAGACTTGGGAGCTGGTGGGATCTTGTGTGAGGCGTTGGATGAGAGGTCGTCGGATGAATATCCTTCAGGAAGGAGTGTCTTCGAGAAGGGACAGCAGATCAAGATATGACTTGTAAGAAAAGGACAGTGTCGATCACCAGGAATGGCCGGGGCGATGATCAACAAGAGAGGGTGGGCGGGCACGGCGGCCCATCTTATGTCAAAATAACCGCGGTGCAGCGGGAGGCCAGACCGACCTCCCGGGGAATTTCATTACAATATCCACCCGTCTGACAGGCTGGGTTTCTCAACCCCCATCTCAGAAAGGGCAAATGGAAGAAAATGGCCGACGCTCGCCTCGCATTTTGCCAAGTTTCGACGCTTTTTGCACATGCCATATGACGTACGCGTTCGTCAAAGATAGACGAGACCCTTGGGCCGCCCCTCACATTTTCCTCTGCCACCCCCCTCCCCCAATCAGTCATATACAGTGACGGCTCATGGATAGATAGTACATAGTATGGCCTGGCTAATAGATTGAGGCAACCAACCCCCCCTCCCCACCCACCCACCCGACCACTATGGCTGGCTGGCTCTGGTTCAAAGACACGGCACGGGATGGGGCGTGAACTCGGGTGGTCCGGGCCCTGGGAGCAGCCAGTTCGGTTTGATGTACAGTGCCAGTGTGGTGTGCGGTCTGGTGGTGTGGTCTTGGGTCTCTTCTAAATCCCCCAGGTGCGTTTTCGAGTACGTACCGCTTCGTGCCCAGACCTTAAGCAACCACACCACCTAAATCTAGTATAGGGCGTGCTTGGCAGACGGGAAGGCAAATATACCTCTTTTTTTCAGGGCCATCACCAACTCTCTCGTCCCTTCAAACACTTTTTTTGTTTGTTAACTGGCCTTAACGCGTCTAAAAAATCTCTGCTATTGCCAAGAGATTGCTTGGGGACTTTATATAGCGAGCAAGGCGGCAAGCCCCCAGGGCCATCTCTCAACTTCAACTTCCTCCTCTTCTCTTCGTTTCTACCACCAAAAAACACCAAAAACCACCATTTCACTCTCTCTCTCTCCCTCTCTCTCTCCTCGAGGGCACTAGTTGCGGAGCGGACGGCCCTGGTAAGGGCCGTGCAGCCACTAGTGACCAACCCTCCCGGGCAGAGCCCCTCTAGTCCCCCGGCCGAAGGCCGTTACCTCAAAGTTGAGGTTGAATTCGAAGTTGAATTCGTCTATGGCAACGGTTGCTCAAGAGTGACGCGTTGGACACTTTCAAGTGAAAGTACCTCTCCCCCCTGTCTGGTGTGTCACACTGCCTCGCATTCGTGCATAAGCGAGGGCCCACGGGGGATATAGAAGAGACCGTGGTCTTGCCGAGCCGAGCGGGGATACTAATCCTTCCCGCGGGCCTGTCAACTGTGCATCTCGCGCTACACCGGGCTGTCGTGGTGCTATGTCCCCGGTATTTGACTCACCAGATATTACCAGCTCAAACCAGCTCTCGTCAAAACCTTCCCGAGAACTTGATTGTTTCTTTTTCTTTTCCCCCCCTCTGGCTGCACATTCCGCTTGTGTGCCCATCATGAGCAAATGTGGGGATTGTTTGCCCAAGTGGATACCTCCCGAAAGAAAAGAAGAAGGAAAAAAGAGAGAGAGAGCCCCCCCCCCCAGCCCTGTTTTCTATCTTTAGGCAGAAGTCTTGTGGTGCCTGGCCCTGCACTGACTGCACTCTGACCGTTCTACTCGAGACACTAGGGCCATTCCGCAAATAGCGAGGCCCGGTGCCGTCATTGGGTGCGCAAGTGCTATGAGAGGGGCGGGTTAAGATTGAGGGAACCCACTTGGTTGTCTTTGCTCTGCCCAGCCAGCCTGACTTGGGCGGAATACACAGTAGATACACTGAGTATAAAGCAGCACACAATAATTGTTTGGCCTTAACAATAATAATGGTGGTGGGCAAATTTCAGCCCGGTTGCCCAGATCTGGAGATGCCGAGCCCCAGGGAGACAACCCTCGAACCGAAACGTTACGCTGGAGCCACACCTGGCCAGCCATGCCCAGCTCCAACTGTGACGAGATTTCCCCGAGAGCCTGTGGCCCTGTGGCCCTGTGGATGGATGATGCTGCTGGCCCAGGCCGCACCCCAGCACCCCGGCACCCCGGCCCCAGCCCTGGGAGGGCCTGGCCGGGTACAGACCGTGGGAAACAATGGGCTCCGCCCAGGGTCCCGCTTTGCTGGGTCCACGATGGCGAAACTTTTTTTTCTCTCATTCCCAATGCTCTGTTCTCGCCCTGCTTCACGTGGCTCCCCACGCAGCGCAGTTCATGCAAGGCCCGGGCGGCGTGGAAAAGCGGGATTGTGACGATCATCTCTCTGGTGGGGCTGCATTTTGTTCGTTCCCAGCTTCCCGCTCGACCCTCGGGCTGTCCGCGTTTGTTTCAAGATTCTTGATTCTGTGGGCACATCATTCCCGTCACCGCCTAGCCCTCGGCACGCTTTTGCCAGTGGTTGTCGTCATGGCCTCGTGGAGGTTGGGAGCCTCGTGGGCGGCACATGCGCTCTACCAAATCTTCGAGGTCTACTAGATACATAATTTGTGTACATGTGATAAGGGCAAGCTCGTCGTCTTTGATCCAGCACATGACCAGCTCATTAATTATGCCGTAGCACTTGGCCATATATCCCCGGATGATACATCGTGGTGTTTTGGTGTAGAACTCCGCAGGGATCCTCAAAATCGGTAGATAGTCTTCTGACAAGCATACCCCTCTGGCATAATAAACTTTCCCGGGATCACATCCTCGAAATAATTTCCCGCCGAACGACCTGCCCCATCTCGCTGCACACATAAATCTGTGACATATTTTGGGATCAATGCCAGGACCGCTCTGTGGACCGACCTCCCTCCTGACCCCCCATTTGCCCGTTTGCCCGTATACGTGTAGTGTATTACACCGCGGATATCTCACTCGCATTCGCGTGCATGGATAGCTTGGGATGCTCACGGGGCTGTATCTAAGTGACGCGTTTCGAATTCTCAGCTTCCTACATAAGTACTGATCGGGCAACTCTAGGCTTCGCTTCCGCACGTCCCCGAGCATCCTTCCTTGCCTCTGTGTATAATCCCGAGTTGTTTCGGCGAGCGAAAATCTCTACTCATTGTGGAGCTACATCTCCGTTCATACATGCACAAATGTGAGTCACAATATCAACATCAAATGGTGGCCGGATGCCCAGCGTCTCCGGTACGTGGATCGAGTTACATGTAGAAGGGGCGTCCTCTTAACAACATCCATACCGAGGCCACGTACCTCATGACGGGCATAGACTCATCCACGTATTCACCGCCTGAGTCGTCGGCTTTGCAGGCATTTGATCCTGCTTGTAGGGATATGGACTCGAGAGCTCGGGGGGCGGGGAGGGGGGGGGTTGGACACATGTGAGCCCCGAAAATTCACGCCGATGGCAGCTTTTCAGCGGAGTGCTACGTGTCAACACTGAAAGTGACACTGAAAGTGCTGACTCCCAAAGCTGCGATTCGAGAATCTCTATTTCCGATGTCTCGCCTAGCACCCGTGGACTTGAGCCCGCAGACTTACTGTGGAAGCCATCTCTTCGAGTAAGGCAGTTGAGAATGTGAGTTTGAATCGAGAATATCAGAAGGGTTTGAGTCATGGAGACGGCGGCGGCGGATCTTTGGTAGGTCTGTAGGTATCACTACTACGTAGTACGGGAACCGAGTTGACTTCTTCCGCCTCGCACCAACATGGAGCGATCCGACATCAAACAGATCACGTATATCCCCCCGTGATAAGGACGGCCTCAAGCTAACGCGGTAGAATATCGGCAAGGCGAGTCAGTTCAGTCGACCAAACAGTTCTAGATCTAGACTTACTCGAGGCGGACCACACGACAGACGTCAAGTGAAGCTTATCTGACAGCTCCAGGAGCTTATCTGACATCGAACCGGCCCTGGTGTTATTTATAGCAAGTCCCATCCATCGGTCTAAAGCCGTTGAACTACCAGGTATTGAAGCTAAATATGTCCTCAGGGCTGAGGTGCGAGTGGGGCAGACGTTCAGCTGTCATGTCGCAGTCCTTCTGATGTTGACTTAGCGAGCCATCCACATGTCTGTTTCTGGATCCTTATTTTGGGTGTTCAGCCGACATCAATGTGCGTTGGTGTTGTGGGAACTCCCTTTCGCCTACGGAATACGAGGCCGCGAATGGGGATGGCCGGATGGTCAACCTCGGAATACGAGGAACAAGCCCCCGCCGAACCGGTTCCTGCATGACCCCAGGGGAAGGTCACATGGCAACACTGCAAAATTATGAGGATGTGTGTTTGTAGATACCACCTGGGCACGATATAAAACAACATTCTGCAAACGTTCCTAGGGTTTCCGCCATTTTGGCCATCCAGCGCCCCAACACGCTTTCTCAAACCCATAAGAATCGAGAGCGAAATGCGGGCTAAGGAATATGCCCTGCATTCACGAGCTAAGATTTCTGGACTAAGCGCCACGACTGCCCAGTCATATTCGGAACTTCTCACTATCATCGTAGTAAGATATGAGCTTTGCTCATGTCCGCTACGGGGCCCTGGGCATCTATCACTCAGCTTCCATAATAGGTACTATGCGTGTGACAATGAAGCAAGCGGTCGATTATGATCTATCGTCAGTCTTTTCACAGTACTGGTATTCCATCTTTGTGTTTCTGCAAGGAATTGGCAATGTTCTTGTGGCTCTGCTGGGTGCTGCGTTGCTCCGTGGTTCCACGATTCGCGGACCACGATTCGCGAGAGCTTTGGGGCAAGGCGATTTGCTGGGCTGATTGCACGTGTGTACTTACCCCGACGACATCAATAATAGGGCTGTGGCACAGCCTCAAGTGGGTGGAATGGCTATGCTTTAGAGTTTTTGTATTCCATTACGGTGATCTTCAGCGCATTTTCTTAAAGCATTCTTCAAAGTAGTAAATTTGGCCAAAATAGAAGGGGGTCAATACGGATCATCATACTTGTTTAGAAGATGTTCCCGTTGCACACGTACATAATCATTAGCAAAGCAGACCAGAAAATACTGAATGAAAGCATGGTGTATAGGATGAATACATGTCTACCTTGCACAATCATTCTTTAGTTGCGAGCTTGTCGAAATTCATCGCTGCTTTGAATGTGGCTCTTGGTCTTCAAGCTCGGGCATTCTCCTACCATCTGACCATCACCTGGATGCTAATAAGCCAGGGTCTGAATCAGCAGTACCTAGGTACCTACCACCTGTCGTATTTTCACCACTCTTATCGACATTGTATGTTTCCTAAAATCCTGGCCTTGGAGCGTTTACCACCGTGTAATTAAGGCGCCATGTATGTCCTCGGACATATGCGGAATAGAAGCAAAACCAGTTATCGCTCTTCCAGCCTTCACGTGCCTGAAGACACATCCCTCAAGCATCCAGCCTGGCAGAATCACACAAAAGCTGGATCTGAGCTTTTTCAAGAGCACTGCGTTCTGGGTACTAATGGGATAGCTTGGTAATTTCATCCAAAGTCTTGGCTATTTTATGCCGCTTCTATACTTACCCTGCGAGTTATGCGTTGTTTCTCTGGCTGTGTTATTATACTTTTCAGACATTAAACTGAGTAAGTATAGCCTTCGCCGTAACTCAGGGCTGGGGCCCCCTGGCAGGGACAATTGCTGTATCGCTGTGCGATGGAGCCGATGTGGTCGGGGTGACCTTTGTTAGCTGGCTGGTCTGGAAAAAGATGTGGGATGGTGTAGTTGGCGCCATTGGTGGACTCTCTTTCGCGGGCCGCCTGTCAATATTCCTTGAGATCTAGCCTAGTGGCCCTCAACCCGTAGGTCCAGATTGCCCTGTTATAAAGAAGTGACGTTGAGAAGTCGAGCTAGGCTACGCGGCCGCCAATTCTCCACGTGCCCATCTACCGCCCAACCCGGACGACCGGAAATTAGACGCGCAAGAGCTGCCACTGCACACAGTCTGTCAGGGAAAACCAAACCTGAGCCCCTCCCCTGTTTTCTTATGGTTGTCCGTACTACTACTAAAAAAAAACACTCTCTTTTATACATACCTATATCGCATAGATACCGCCTCATCATCCTTTTAAAACTTTCAGAACAACCAACCCTCCTATCAAAAAAGTTGCTATTTATAGGAGGACTGGCTATTTTGAGAGTTTGATGAGGATGAAGAAGTGGTATTTATGCTTTGTAGGGGCGCTCGCCAAGAGAGCGTTTTTTTAGTGATACTTGCGGATACGGGCAATCAATCAGACAGGGGGGGCCAAGTCTCGGTTTTTCTCTGGCAGCGTCCTTGACGCGCCCCGGGAACTTGGCCCGCGAAGGCGTCCATGTTCGGCGAGCTGTGGACCAGTCACGACTGCCCAAGAAGGAAACCACGGGGTTGGCGCCGCCGGGCCGCGGCACACTAGGCTTGCCTTGTTCTTAGTGAGCGCCTTTCCGTCCACGGGTGGTCCACGGGTGTCTGTCTTATGCACCGAGCTGGCCGTCCTCAGGTGCTCTATGCCTCCACTCTCCATGGTCCGACCGACATGTCGGTCTATGGCCGCCCGAACTCTGCGTCTGGTTGCACCGCATGCGCATATACACACGTGTATAAATAAAATGTCGCTCGCCTCGCGTGGAAGAACATGCAGGCTCTGGGGTTCCCCTCTTTGGTCCCGAGCCTTGCAACGAGCTACACATTTAAGGTGACCCTCCACGATGCGTCTCATTTTCAGACAGGCGCTGAGCCTCCTCCTCGTGGGCGCCGTGGCCGCTGGCCTGGCCAAGCCCTATGAGAAGAGGTCCCTTCGAGACATTCAGGAGCGGACCATTCTGCAGAATGGCCAGGTTCGGATTACGAACTACCCTGACACTCGCATCGACCCTGCAAAATATGACTTCAACACATACCCCCCCAATGCCACAGAGATCTCGTACAAGGGAAGGTGGGACTCGAAATATGTGTCCTGGTGGAGGTGAGCTTGCTTGTGCTGTCCCATCACTGAAAACGACCCCTGCGAAGTGAATATACTAACACAACTTGCAGCGCACCTGGAATCAAATTCGGTTACACCGGACAGACAGTCGCCGTGAGCTTCGGAAACCTCACCTCAGACGGCGTGCTGGTCGGATACCGCATTGCCGGGCTGGACTGGCAGTTCACAAACATCACCACCGGCGGCACGCACCTTCTAGTCACTGCAGACACCCCAGGCTCGGACCTGACCGGCCCCATCTCCCCAATGTCTCTCGAGCTGCGCGTGACCAACTGGGCCTATGGCATCCAGATCGCCGCCGTCCACGTCGCCAAGGGCGAGACGCTCGTCAAGATCCCAGACTTCGGCCGCAGGGTCGAGCTCATCGGCGACAGTCTGACGAGCGGCATGTACACGACGTACGAGGGCCTGTCGAGCTTCGGGTATGGGATCGGAGCCGGGCTGGGCGGGACCGAGTACAGCGTCACCGCGTTCCCGGGCATATGCGCGAGTGACCAGCAATGCTGGGACAACGTGAGGGGCCAGTCGCGGCAGTGGTTTTATAGCTGTGACACGAGCGAGAGGGCAGTGAAGCAGTATGGAGGTGAGCTGGACCCCTCTGTATTCGTGATTATCCTGTGTTGGATGGGGATCTCCATCTGTTGTGGATATTTCTCATGTACGAAAGCAGCCACTGACCGCTGCTCGTATCGCAGAAAAACTCGAGAACGCAGAGCCCTGGGACTTCTCGAAGCAGTCGCCTGCGGACCTGGTTGTCATCAACATAGGAACAAATGACCAGAATGCCTACAACAACGTCTCTGCGCAGACCTACCAGGACAACCTCACCAGGTTGATTCAAGGCGTCCACGGCGTCTGGCCAAACGCCCAGGTCGTACTGATGGTAAGCTATCACGCCGCCCAACCCACCCTGTACCTGTCTCGCCGGGACACGCAGCCGCCCGGGTATGCCAAGCCTCGCTAACATCACCACCACGGCAGACCCTCTGGCTCGGTGTGTCCCAGAAGGGAAACACCTACTACTCCGACGAGCCCGAGGGTTTCGTCCCCCAGATCCGCGCGGTCAACGACTACTTCAACTCGCCGGCGTACCTGGAGAGCCCGACGGTCTACGACGGCGTGGCGAACCAGACCCGGAAGCTCAACGGCACGAGCGAGCCCTTCCTGCACCTGTTCAACACGAGCGGCATCCTGCAGCACAACGACATCGGCCCGCAGTACCACCCTACCGACGTCGGCGCCATCAAGGTCGCGAGCCACGCGCTGCAGTTCATCAGGCTGAAGCTGGGCTGGGAGCTGCTTGCTACGGGGCCTGAGATTCAGCATGAGACGCTCTACTGGAACGATGAGCAGAATTATTAAGGTTTATCGGTCGCCCTGTGTGTTGGGAACGCTGGCATGGCAGTGTTGATTTGCTGTATGCGGCGGGGATAGTGTCTCGGGGTATATAATTGTGACACGGTACCAACGCTTTCTATCCAGGGAGACCTCGGGAGTCGAGGGTGCCTCTCGCTACCCAGGTGGCCTTTTATCGGGAAACACATTTTAATGCTAATGAATGTGCCACTTGGCTTGAATTCACTCTGACATTTGAGAGCGCCCCTAGCGGCGGGTGCCAATCACCGAAACGCTCAGTCGAGTGTGACGATGACGAATGGTATTTTATTCCCACTATAGCGGAACCAGTCCCAGCACTCGCTCACACATCTATTTCTTACCAGCATCCTCCTTCAGCGACACAATCCTGTTTAGGACAATCTTGTCGTCTGTGCTGTCGACGTCCATAGCCTATGAGCGGCGAGTGTTAGTAATGAGGCCGGTAGGATGGACTAGTGGAGATGCAACTCACGAAATAAGCAACTCTCATTCCCTGGAAACGGACAGACTCGGGCCCTCCCTTGCCCAGCTCACTCTCGCCCGCCGCCTCAGGCCAGGGCGCCCGCTTCTTGACCTCGTCTATGCCGGACTCGATGATCGCGTCAGGGTAGATCACCTCGCTCTCAGGATTGAGGTCGGTGAGGAAGCCACCTTCGACGGCGCTCGGGTTGTCGCTCTTGAAAAGCTGGTTGTGCACGCGGACCTCGCAGCGGCGGGAGCCGTCCGTGCCGACCCACTGGATGTACGTCTTGGGCTTCTTGGTCTCGCGGTCGAAGACGGCACGCACCTCCGTGACCTTGCCCGTCGCGTCGTCCTTGGTGAAAGAGGTGGCCTTGATGGGATAGGGGGCCTGAAGCAAGCCAACGGTCTTGCCAGGCGCCAGGCGGAAGTAGCTAGGGTCGTCGACCTCACGGAAGTCGGAACGGTCGATGTACACGGTCTTGGTGAGCCTGACAAAGTGGCTGCCCATGTCGGGGTTCTTTGGCGAGAAGGGCAGCGTGAGCTTCTTGCCTTCCTCATCCCCAATGTCCTCGATGACGACCGGGATGGGGTCGAGAACCAGCATCAGCCGGGGGACTGTTCGCTCCAAGTACTTCCTGATGGACTGCTCAAATCGGACAATTTGGATCACGGTGGCGTTGGTCGTGACACCGAGCTCGTTCACAAACTCGAGGATGGCAGCTGGCGGGATGCCGCGTCGCTTGATCGCCATCAGTGTGTACAGCCTTGGGTCGTCCCAACCACGCACAATCTTGTCTTCGACCAGCTTCAAGATCTTTCGCTTGGAAAGGACCGTGCCGCTCAGAGAGAGCCGTCCGTACTCGCGCTGCTGGGGCTCGTAGACCTCCAAGGTCTTGTTTAGCCACTCGTAGCTTACCCTGCTCAGGATGAACTCGGTTGTGCAGAGCGAGTGAGTGATGCCCTCGAAGGAATCGCACAGGCAGTGTGTGAAGTCGTATGTTGGGTAGATCTTCCACGTGTCTCCCGTGCGGTGATGAGGCTTGTCAAGAACACGATAGGCAGCAAGGTCCCACATCTGGGGGTTGCCGTCTGTTATGTCCTGCTTCATGCGGAGGAAGGCTTCCCTGGGTTTGTATTTGCCATCCCTCATATCTCTGAACTTCTGGAGGTTCTCTTCCACCGACTGCTCCGCATCTTTGCATCGATAACGAGGGCTCTCCCCCTTCTCGCCGCCACGCTGAAGCTTGAGTTCCGCGTCTGTGTCCCCTATTAGCACCGGAATCTCTTCTCCCGGCTTGGCTTTACTGACCGTCACAGTGGCATACATATGCCTTGCCGAGCCCTATGAGTTTCTCCGCGAGGTCGTATAGCTTCTGGAAGTTGTCGCTGGAGTAGGTTATCTTGTAAGGTTTGAAACCGAGCCACCGAATGGTGTCCAGAATAGCAGTGAAGTAGATCTCGTCTTCTGCCTCGGGATTGGTGTCGTCGTATCTGCAGTGATAAACCTCAGCACCAGAAGACAAATATGAAGAGGCCTTGTAACGCACCTGAGGTAGCATTCGCCGCCGTGATACCTTGCGAAGCCAAAGTTGACTGCAATTGCTTTCGCGTGGCCAATGTGCAAGAACCCGTTTGGCTCGGGAGGGAAACGCGTGAAGACCGGCTTCATGGGCCTCTTGTCGAAGACCTCAGCAAGGAAGCCCTGCTTGAACATGGCGTCGGTGTCGATGACTTCCTCCTGCTTCTCCTTGGGCTTTGGCGGGGCCTTCTTTGCTGCCCCATCAAAGCCTCCCTTGGCCGGTGCATCCTTGGCATGGGCTTCCTTCGCAGCCTTCTTTGCCCTCTTCTGCATCCTCTTCTTCAGCTCTCCCTTGGAGACCATCTCTCCCGTCTCCTCGTCGAGCTGGAGCTTTGCCATGGCGGCATTGGCATTCTCGACCTTGTCCGCCATGGTGGGCTGTTTTGGCGGGGAGACACACACAATCGGGACTGTGCGGACGATTTGTGGTGCCAATTGGATTCCTGTCGATGTGTATTGGTTGCAGGATGTGAGTATGGCTGGAAGATCGCTTCGAAGAATCAGATCAGAGGGTTCGATCGTCCGGCGGTCGTGGTTGAACTGTTGAGACGCTGCCCGGTGTGAGTCAAAATTGCCAGGCGCAAATCACACACAGGCCGTTGTGAGGACGAGGGGCAGTGCCTCTCCCCGATAAGATAAGCACCGCAGATCATGGTCTAAGCCCCCGCGACCGTTGGAGCTCACAGCTAGCTCCCCGCTGTCGTCATCCCTGATTGTTACATAGTACCTGCACCACATCTGTTGGCTGTGTTATTAGCTGTGTTGGCTCTGCTGGTTCCCTCTCCACGACCTGAACACCACACCGTCAAACCCCACATCATCAACACATCGCAAGTCGCCAGCATCACGCCAGTAGATTTTTGATGCGATATTTTGCAGCCGCGCGCCCTTTTGCAACCATAGCAGCCAAGATGTCGCTCCTCGCAGCCGACGAGATCCCGAGCCTCTCCCTGCTCTACAAGCTGGGCAAGCTCCCGTCCACGCCATCAAGCATCCAGATCCCCACCACCCTCTCCTTCAAGCCCGCCGGCTCCATCACCCCTTCCAAGGCGCTCAACGACCGCGTCTGCCTCGTGCGCCACGACATCACGAAGCTCGAGGTCGATGCCGTCACCAACGCCGCCAACAAGAGGCTCCTCGGCGGCGGCGGCATCGACGGTGCCATCCACGCCGCCGCTGGACCAGGCCTCCTGGCCGAGTGCCGCACTCTTGGGGGCTGCGACACCGGCGATGCCAAGATCACCGCTGGACACAACCTGCCCGCCAAAAAGATCATCCACGCCGTCGGCCCCATCTACAACGCCTTCCAGCCCGACGAGAGCGAGGGGTTGTTGACGTCGGCCTACAACAGCGTGCTGAACCTGGCCGTCGACAACGACTGTAAGACACTGGCCCTGTGTGGTATCAGCACGGGCGTCTATGGCTACCCTCCTCATGAGGCTGCCCCTGTCGCCATCTCCACCGTCAAGAAGTTCCTGGAGAGCGAGAAAGGGCAGAAGCTGGACAAGGTCGTCTTTGTCACTTGGGTGAGGCAGGACGTTGAGTCTTATGCTGAATTCCTTCCGTAAGTAGATCAGTATTAGTTTATGAGTTCGTGAATAGGGGAGCCAGACTGATTGTCCACTAGGGTCTACTTCCCTCCGGTTGAGGACGCTGCGAAGACCGAGCCAAAAGCGGAGGCCGAGGCCAACCCCGACGAAGATGTCGAGGCGGCCAAGGAAATCGCGAGCAAGCTACCCGACGTTCCCACGTCCGAGCCCGGCGAGTCCGAGCATCCCGAGAAGAAGCAGAAGCAGTGATTTGGGCCAGTTTGGATGCATCAGATGGAGTTTATGGCAAGCAATCGGGCACGGCTGAGGCGTTACGGAATGGAACATTTGGTCAGACACGTGATTTGCGAAGTAATGCATTGCATAACGGCAGCTATCTTGAAATACCCCTCGATCTCTTTTCACGGCCAGCGGAGTAGCTTCTGATACGCCTCGGCTGGTATATGACAGAGGAGACAGTAATGGAATTAGTGAGAGCTTGCGGACCTCACCCGCGTGCTAATATACATCTTGCAGACGCCGAGGGAATGTATCCTTCGACAATTGTCCTTCCGCTTACCCGATCTGAAGCCCTCTCATCTCTTCTCAAGAAGCCATACCGATGATCAAAACGTTCCGTTTGGAATCATACTGTGTCTATGGCGGTAGAAACCCTCATTGGCGTGGAAACCGTGGCGGTTGAGGGGCATTTGGTGGACCTCCTTGAGGCTGGGACGGGCCCTGCTGGTTGGGAGCTGTCCACGCTGGGTTTGCCGGAAAGGCACTGCCTCCGACGGGCTCATAGGTCTGAGTTGGTGGAGCGACGCCCACCCCCGGGCGCAGGCCGGGGAAGTTCCCCAGCGTGGCCTGCGGGTTTGGTCCCAACGTTTGTTGCCTGATCAGAGCCTCCATCTGCTGCTGAGCCAGGCTGCTCTGGGCCGCCGACGCCCCGAAGATGTTGTTGGCGCCAGGCATGTTGGTGTTTACTAGGGCTTGCCCGTTCGGCCCCGCAACAGTCTGCAGGGCCCGGTTGTATATCTCCGGGACGACGTGGCCCGACAGTGCAGGGTTGGCATCATGCTGGCGTCCTCTCTCCCCGAGCAGGGCGGACATGGCACCGAGAGGGTTGCCACCTTGAACAGGCTGGCCCGTCTGGAGCCCTCGCAGGAGGCCCCTGAAGCTGGCCTCGGCGTCCCCTTGGGCCTGGGGCTGCCCGCCGGGTGCTTGCGCGTTGCCTCCTGGCGTGAAGGCCCCGACTAGGCTCTGACCCTGGGCCTGGGCCGCCGCCGCCGCCGCGGGATTGACGAAGGGGCCCGCCTCGGTCGGGATGTTTGCCTGGTAGAACCGGGTGAAGCCTGTCGTGGGGTCTTGGTACGGCACGAATCCTGAAGCCTCGGCATACACCGCCTGCCAGGAGTTGATCTGTCCTCGCTCTGGTGATACTGTGTTGAAGCGCTGCCGACGCAAGCTGGGGTCAGGGTCGTTCTGGTTCTGGCTCACTATATTGGCCAACCTGGGGTCACTCAACAGAGCGTACGCGCGTTCTCCCGAGGGGGGAGGAGGATATTGCTGGTCCACCTGTTGTCTCTGAAGCCTCTGGACCTCACCGACAAAGGCGGACGCTGCAGCGAGCCTGTTGTTGATCTCAGCCAACGGCGTGCCTTCTTGCGCAACTCTCAGTAATGCCCCGGTCTTAATAATGAACATCCATCCTTCTACTACTTTCAATACAGGCCCGGACATCTTGCGCATGTGCTTCCTTGCCATCCTCTCGATCCGCTTCGCATTGTCCTGCGCGTTGTTGGGGTGGACGTTCGCAAAGTCCCGGATGTGGAATGCATATGCCTGATGATTCTCATCAAACGTTTGGCGTACCGGCCGGAAGGCGTCCTGCACTGCCACGAATCTCTCCCTCAGCCGCGGCCGTGCCTGGTCCAGCAACTCCACGGCTGGTTCGCTCTGAGCTATTCTCAGGAGGATCAGTGGATCAATGGTTGTGAACGTGTCGAGGAATGCGATACAATCGGCGATGATTCGGAGGTGAATTGTATCCAAGCGCCTTCTCATATCCGCGGCGTAGAGGTTGTAGATGTCTGCTCTTGTTGCAGGATTCGGCTGTCTATGGTAGTCAGCACAGGCTGCCTGGTAGAACGACGCCTCGTTGCTCAGAGCCCTATGCATGCCTGCCATGGCGGCAAATGCATTTCTGAAATGAACATGTTCGATTGGCGGCGTAGGGTTCGGTAGCGGTTGTTCCGAGTAAACCTCGTTATGGAGCTGCTGTATATAATTCCTGACTATGGTTGCCTTGTTGCTGCAATCATTTCGCAGGCTCCAGAGTGACTTGTCCGTCTGTTTCCACTCCAGCTTCTGCGTGTACCACCGCAGACTACAAATCCTCGGCTCGACGGCGAGTCGGGTCAATTGTTTGAGCCAGGTCCAGACCACCACGTTGTCCCAGTCGTATCGCACTCGCCAGTCCACATCTTGCAACCATGCCCTCGCTGCCCAGCCGAATGTGAATTGCACTTGTCGCCAATTGAAGAAGGTCCAGTGGCAAGTCGCTCTCGGTGGGGATATGGGCCACATCTTCATTGCCTCGTGGCCCCACTTCTCTAGTTCATAGTTCCAGAAATGACGGGTGAACAGTCTGCCGATGAGGGGAAAGGGCATCCTTTTGAAGATTCTTAGTCTTGAGTCTCCCGGCCATGAGACCAAAGTACACATGGTCAAAACCTCGTCAATGAAACGTGTTTCCGGGAGGAAGCCATTCGTGCCCAATTGGACCGGAGCGGCACCCCAATACTGATTCGGAGAAAGAGATGCTGTCAGCGTGCAACTTTCTACTGCCCGTGAGAGCTGTCCGTGATGGAGGATGTAATCCATAGATCGGACTGCCTAGCCAGAGCGACGGGAACTCGTACTCACCTGGTTTTCAATTGCCCAGCCTTCTTCTGATTGCCGCTCATCAGAAAGAAAGGTGTGCTGATCATCCTCCGAGGTTATAACCAGGGAACGGGTTGCATAACGCGCATCGTCCCACACTTGGCGATATCCAAACTCCATTAAGTTTCTCAGACATGGCGGCCCTACCATCCGACGCCACTCGTCGGTTGGGTCGAATCTCAACCACGTCGCCAAAGGATTGAACAACTGTTCTCGTGCGTAGACTACAGCGTGCTATCGGTTTGACAGGGCTGCGTTAGTAATCGACAAAGGCGAACAAGGACCTCAACCCGCGGGCAGGGTTCCCACTCACTTGTAATTCATGCAACATGGTTGATGCAAGATTGAAAGAGCAAACCGCCTTCTCGGCTTGCGTATATTCGTCAATCAGTAGCGGCCATATGTAATCTGCAGAGATACTGATTCTGATAGTGAATGGCCGCTCTCGAGGACTGTCCCGAGGATCCTCTAATTGGGTGACACCCATCAGGACGGGTCCCTTATTTCCGTTGTCGTCGTACTTGGCCATTATATCCCAGGTGAGACACTTCTTCAGGATTTCGCAGACCCAATATACCGAGTTGAACTCCAGACTCTTCAATACCTCCTGCTCCGGCATGAACTCGTCCGGATCTTCGTCTAGGTACGTGGCGAAGTATTCTTTCCGGTTGACTGCCGCCCAGAGGTGTCTGTTTGTCTGTATGTATGAATCATTAGAAGAGGTTGGCACACTGCTTGAACACATTGCAAATTGGTTTCGTCTGAGACCTTGCTCTTGTATCAAAACCGTCCAAGACAAAGCCTTGTACTACGAACGGTAGCCGCTCTCCAAGCCGAGCTTCAACCACAATGGATTCCGACAAGCAGGGAAGGATCAATCAACGAAGGACGCCATACAATTCTTTGCTGGGCCCGACCGGCTCTCCTGGAATCATAGCACGCACGCATCTTGTAAATGTCTGCAAAAGCCCATGTTGCTGGGTGCTCACTGTTAAGAACAGTTGTAGCCAGCTGAAGGGCAGGTTGGATGGCCATCCAGAGAAAGTCGTTCGCCTTGGACAGCTCATTTTAGTATGGCATATTGCGCTCCATTTTCAGGAACTGTTTGAATACCAGGGGAGCACATACAGCGCAGTATTCGCCCTTTTGGGTCGGGAAATTGTACACCTTTTTGACCTTCTTGGGGTCCTCGCCATCATGGCTTATGCCCCTGTCGGTAGTCACTGCCCATTTGTCCCTCGTGAGGAGGCTGCGCGCTCATCGGTTAACTAGATTTACATGTGGTGATGTAATAGGCTTTTGCCGGACTTACTCGTGTAATGGACTATTCAGCTCACAGACGGCGGTCTTGTCCATCGTCCATGCACCCTCCTCTACCAGCTGCGATTATACTTGATCAGCGAGCCCTTTCATCACAGCCGTTCCTTCTTGATCTGAGCGGATACAGAACTTCCATACCTCGTTGGTCGAGATGCCGCCAAAAAGCATCCGCTGGTAATCTTCTCGCAGGTCAAAGTCGGTTTTCTGATCCATGTATTGCAAGAGTGCGTTGGCGACCTGCCCGTCACAGCTTGCGCCCAAGTCCGGATGTAGAGTTCCAGGAGCGATACTTTGAAGTGCCGCCCGGAAGTCATCCTCGGAAGCATATCCGCCTCGAGCAGACAGAGCGTTCTGGTACTGTCGGTACACCGCATCGTAGTCGGCTTGGTCGACCACGGGCTTCACTCCTTGGTTGCTCGGTGTCACCCGGGGATTCGTCAGGGGAATATTGAAATCCACCTGCATTGGAGTCGCTGCGGATTTACCGTAGCCTGCTCTATACACGTTGTTGGGGTCTATGCCGTATCTTTTGGCGGCATCCGTCGGGTTTCTGACCGCATCCTGTTCCAGAAGAGCGGGCCGCAGAGTCTGGAAGAGGCCCGGCCTTGCATACATTCGATACAATGGGTCATCGTTTGGATTTTGCTCTTCCGGTGGGTCTTCAGCCTGCCTTGGCTCCCGACCTGTGTGCACAAAACGCGCTTCCCACCCTGGATCGGTCCAGGCAGGCACGAACTCCACATGATGGCCTGTCAGCGCCAACTTCTGGATAGTCTCTTGCCGCAACTGCCCCGCGAGTGGCTGCTGAGCCACTTCTGCGGGGGTGTTCCAGCGACCATCCCTATCCAGGAATTCATATGGGAAATGGAGCCTGAATTGTCTGAGTGTTTGCCAATCATCCTCACCTGGCTCCGCAGAATCAGGTGGCAGGTTCGGAAAGGCCGCCTCCTGCGCGTCGGGAGTTGTGTCATATATATCGGAATTCAGAGGAAATCCTACTGGGTAATAGTCGACCTCTGCGCCGTCATCGGACGGAAGTTGGCGTGGGGATACTAGGGAGTCAGCATGGGCGCTACTACTGCTGCTATAGTCAAAGAAGTCGTCGTCATCGCTCATGGTGAATTCCCGGGATTGCCTTCCAGTTCACTTGGCTTTCCAAAATCAGTCCGGGTAAAAAGATAAACCAATAAATGAAAAGAAAACAAAAGAGGAGGGAGGCAGTCCGGAGATTCGGGGGAGCGTTGGTGGCCCTAGTTGATAGCAGAGTTTTGTGTAGCTAGTTAATCAGGTACTCGTAGAAGTCCACATGGGCGCAAACTTTGTCCTTCAGTTACGGTGGCTGGCGACATAGACAAAGCAATTTTGTATTGGGTTCCTGTCTCAGCCTTGAAATTGAAAGGAGGTTAGTTGCCGGCACCGCTTCCGGCGGGCATTTCCTCTTCATCCTCGGTACACAAAGGGTCCCCGTATTGGAGAAGAAATTGAGACTCTTGAAGCAGCTGGCTCAATATTGGGCCTGTTGTCGAATTGATTCAACACAGTTGGTTTGAGTAAACCAATCCAAGCAAGCCTACCAACAACTTGGCGACACCGTAGACAGATCCGCTTGTCCTGGTCACCAATGTGGTTTCGCTTCTATTCTATATATATCTAAGGATATATATAGCGCCTTTATATAGTAGTAAGCACTTAAGATCTAGTATTTAAAAAGAATATAATATTAATAATAATAGTTATAATATAATAGGTATTTATAACTTTAGCCTTATAATATATAAATAAAGTTAAAGGGTATTATTTTAATAATAATATTAATTATAAATAAAAGAAACTTATAATTTAATTATTATAAAGGAGTTATATAGTAAGATTAAGTTTAAAAATAGTTATTATATAAATAAATTATATTAAGGGAAGTTTAAATAAATAATTATCCTTTTAAATATATATATATATATATATATATTAATAAAACCTTTATTAAGTAAGTATTATAACCTCTATTTAAGTATATAGCTACTAACTTTAAAAGAACTTAAGATAAAGAAATAATTTATAATATATTACCCTTAAGACTTTTATAATGAAGTGTTAAAACTCGTAGAGAGAGTTCTAGAAGTGATTTGCGAGAAGATGAAGGGAGGGTGTAATGAGCTTGTCCTCCTTTAAGTCTACGCTCTTATTACTAGCAACCACCAACTCCTCACCCGGTCACCAATAAGTGGGAAAGGAAAGTATCTTCACATCGTAAGGCGACTTTCGATTTAATATTAGAATCAGAACTGCACGGCAGGTGAGACAGCACCGTCGACCAGCAAATTGGTCCCGCTCACAAAGCTCGCTCTGTCGCTAGCCAGCCATACAACCGCATCGGCAACCTCCTCTGGCCTTCCCATCCTCCCCGTCGGGTTCGCCTTGAGCTGCTCTGCAAAGAATTCAGGCTTCTCCCTCTCGATATCGCCCCAGATGCCGTCCTGAACGTAGATGTTGCCCGGGCTGACGGAGTTGGCCCTGACACCGTCGATAGCGAGCCTGTGCGCCAGCTGCGAGGTATAGTGGTTTAGGGCGGCCTTGAAGGCGCCGTAGGGCGAGGGGGCGGTGAAGTCGATGTAGCGACCCGAGACTGAGGAGATGGTGACGATGCTGCCCTTAGACTCCTTGAGGTGGGCCAGGGCGGCGTCGACCAGGCTGTAGGTACCGACGATGTCGGCCTGGTATGCTGAGTCCCAGCTTGTGCGGCTGTTGTCCACGGCCAGGGCGGAGACGTTGGACACCACGACGTCGATGCGGCTGCTGAGCTTGACACACTGGTTGACCCACTCGGATACCTCGTCGGGCTTGGTGATGTCGACAGTGTGGCCGTGGACTTTGCCCTCGCGGTGAGATGAGGATAGGGACTGCTCAGTGGCATCGACGCCCGACTGGGTGCGCGAGCAGAAGTGCACAGTTGCGCCCTCTTCAAGAAAGGACTTGACTATGGCGAGACCGATGCTCTTTGTGCCGCCTGGGCCTTGTCAGAACCGGCCGGGCTGATGTCGTGCCTGTCATGGGATCGCATATATGCGTACCTGTCACCAGCACGACCTTTCCCTGGAGTCCGAGTTGCATTGTCGTAGAGGCGAGATATGAGCAGAATATAGCATGAGGCCTACTGGGGCAGGAGCTGAGGAGACGGGTGTCGTCGAATTAAGCTCAGGCAAGCTGCGTAGTAAGTCACATAGTCAACTTCCGAGGTTGTAGTTGGAGAGAAGCAGCACTTGAGGCCCACTGCCTGTCGGTCCACCCGCTGCGGTTGAGGGCGGGGACACTAGCGTAAAAGAATTTCGCATCTTGCCATTCACCACGACGAATGCCCGGTTTTCGGTGAAGTGTTCTTCTATGGCAAGTTGCTCTCATTCCTATCGCGAGCGTAACACGAGACATACCGACCAGCATATCTATCTGGTAGCGTGGCGAGAGCCGGATTGGTAGTCTAATATTCAAGGCCAAACCCTGGTCTGATTTCAAAGTGGCAGACGATGGCGGGAAAGGCAAGGTGACGTACCACCGCGGTCGTAGCACTTGAGGTCTTCCATTCGCAATGCTCCGCAGACAGGCCAAACCCAGGACCCGGCATTATACTTTGTCAGACCAATACCCCTTTCAATACGCCGCGTTGGTGGTTGGCTGAGAATGCCCAATGGTTTGTATGTTTCCTTGGCTTTGAAACATGCATCCCTGCAGAGGTGACTCGGACTACAATAGGCACTTGTTTCCTCGTGAATGCCGCTTGGCCAATCATTCCGAGCCGCCCACAATGACGGCCAGATCGAAGGTCTCTCATAAGGTCGGCCACCACGCCCATGGCCACGACCTTGAAGCGTGATGACCGACAACAAATCCTACCACCGAGATTGCAGGCCAATTCTCCAGACCAGTCGCTCATTATGCACGCCCTTCCCGCAACTCTCGTCACCCTCATTCTGTCCATCGTGGGCACAACAGCAGCTGCTGGCAGCGATGGCCTACCTCAGGCCACCAAGTACATCGACAGCAACTCAAACATTACATTCCTCGGCTATGCGAACCAAGGATTTCACTTCGGCATGGCCCTGCCCCAGGACCCCAAAGACGACCTTATAGTCCAGCTCGTCTCACCCTTAAAAGACGGGGCCGGATGGGGCGGCATCGACTTCGGCGCCTCCATGACAGGGCCCCTGATGGTCGTCGCCTGGCCCAACACGGCCAAAGACAACACCGTCATGATCTCGCCCCGCGTTGCCACCGGCTACGAGATCGACAACGGCGCCAACCCCTACAAGGCGAACCCCATCACCATCACCCAGATCCCGGACGGCACCTTTGTCAACGACACCCACGTCTCCGCCACCTTCGTCTGCGGCGGATGTCTCAACACGGACTCGTTCGGCGCCGCAAATACGACGGCTACTTTTGCGTACGCGTACGCGTATAATCCCGTCGCCGACCCCGCCGACCCCGACACCCCACTGTCGGACCACACTGCCAACGGCGAGCCCTACGGCGCTTTTGGGGTCGCTGTTGCGCAGGCCATGAGCGGCGAATATTCCAATTGGGCTGCTCTGACTGAACCCGCTGCCGCCGCTTCTGGAACGGCCTCGGCTGGTGCCTCGGCGACGAGTGGGGCTGGGGTGGCTTCCCAGACTGGTTCGTCATCATCTTCATCGTCGTCGTCCGGTGGCCAGGGCGGGCACTCTGCCTCGTCCGTCGAGTACTCCGACGTGTCTGGGCTAAGCGGCGGCGCCATATTCGCACTTGTAGGCGTTGGTTTGATATATGTGCTACAGGCAGTTCAGATCCTATGAGATACCCCCTTTTTCTTCAACTTGAATGTTTTCGTCTTTTATATTACAGGCGTCCGGGTCTTCGTCTGGTGGGACACATTTCGAGCTGGCTTTCGCTTGTGGGCAGAGTTCCCTGCGGCGTTGTTAGAGGGGCGAACAGGCGTGTTTTGCGAGTATTTTGGAAGCCTTGGAGGAAGGCAGCCGGCACCTGGGCAGGAATGGAATACGGGGGGAGACCGCCGAACGGGACAGCTTTCCTTCCAATGAAGCATGAAACGGTTGCTAGAATCTCGCTGGTTTCTTGAATCAACATTGAGGACTGATCGGAACGAAGGTGAAAGCAAGATAGATAACCTTGAGAACGAGACTAACAAAATCGAAGTCGATCAACAATCGTCCCCCATACGCTGGATAGGAACATTGAAAGTTCGCGCGGAACCTTAGAATGTGACCTCTTTCATATATCACCGATGGCTTTGGCAAGTTGATTGTCGCAGCAAAAGATATGCAATATGTCCACTAGTTGATCTAAGGAGCCACACCACCGCAATGTCTGCTGCAATAAAGGATGTGCTGGGTGGTCCATCGGTTTGACCCAAATTTCTGTGCTGTGGTGGCCTCTCCTTCATATTCGCTCCATAAATGTCCCAACCAGGGGTAGCTCTACGAGCCGCAGTAAAATTATACCAAATATTAAGCTATCTAAGATAGTCCTCATAACTTATAATAAAAGAGGCTCAAATTATTTATAAAGAATTCAAATGTTATTAATTTAAAACTAGAGTTACTTAAGGAATAGTACGGGGGAAGTAATAAAGTTGAAATCCTGTATCACAAGAGGTATAGAGGCTACTTGGGCTGATAAGATAAGCAGGGTGTACGGACCTACTGGTTGGTCCTGCGGGCGATCAGCCCATGGCCCTGATACTGTCTGCCTAGGTGGGTGGGTGACGCACGCTGGGAAAGCCGATAGCCGCTGCCGCGCACATATTATCCATCTAGATACTTGAGTATGCTGTTTGCATCAAAACCATATGCTTGGCCCATGCATAAATCAGAATTACCAAGATATCAAATATCTGGGCGATCAGACTCATCCGGTAGAGGAGAAGAATCGCGATTGTCACCGTCGCGGTGTGGTCGAGCATACAACACGCTTGTCCGATACGCACATGCAGCCACAGCATCCCTAAGTACCTACCCAAAGGGCTCCTGTCGGACAACCTCCTATGCCAGCACCACCCCCCGGCTCCTCCCATAGGACAACTTTATAAAACACAGCAAACTAGCAACAGCCTTAGGGCCTCTGCTACGACTGTATACCAAATATTATTGATGTGACGGCAGTGCGTGAAATGCTTCACCGCATTAATGTTCTGGCCCTCCTTCCCTCAGCCCTGCCAGGATGTTAGGCAGCACTTGAGCTACTGCAAGCCACGCTGGCCAGGAAACCTCAACCAACATGATTGATCGCGTTCCACTTGCGAATGACTCATTGGAGAGTGGCGTTCATTGTTGTTTCACTGTTGGAATTGATATCCCTGATTCGCTTGGCCCTGTTGCTGCGCCATGTACCTGAAAGATGGTCCCTAAAGGTAGACCTCAAGCGCCAGATGGGCCTCCTACCAGCTTCCCCGATGTCCTGCTATCGCAAGACCTTTCCGATCGCTAGGTGCATAGATATTTCCTCGCTGTTCTCTCAAAAGCAGCAGGCCGGCCTGACGTGTGATCCAAAGTCCATCTAACCTGCATAGATATTCGCGAGGCACAGCGAAGTGTGAAAAGTCCCAAGCAGGGGTGACTTGCCAGCCAGAAGCCCCTTGTAAAATACCTTTGAATCAGGGAAGTGCCCGTGTGATAATGGGACATTACCTGCTGTGGCTGCATGAGGCGGCCACGCACTCCAGGGCTGCGACTGGGACCACCCCCCCCCCTGATGCCGGGGAAAAGGCCCCCAAAGCCTGCAGATCCTGCATCAGCCAACGTGAAAGGGAAATTTTGGTGCTGGAGAAACATGTGTGCTTCACCCACTCCCCTCACTTCTTCGCCTTCTGGCAGCCTGGGCTTCAGCCTCGATCTCTCTCTTCTTTCACGACCAAGCGGGTTCCAAGGTTATCATGCATCCGTTTCGGTACGGAATGCGGTACAAAATTTTCTTCGATTTTGACTCGGAGGTACTGAAATTCGACTTCTGAGACAGAACCAGTGTCTCAACACCCTCTCTGGGTTCGATGAGATAGCCAGACCAGGGCATTAGGAGTTCTGCGGCAGAAACATGCCCATGACTGCAAGGTATGCACAGACAAGCAGTAACCGACGACCCTCACTCTTCTCCATCGATTCAGCCAGGAAAAACACTAACACAGCCATTACCAAGACTAGGGAAACACTGACGGCGGCATTCGCACCGAAGAAGGTCAAGACAGCCAAGGGCATGAGGAGAAAGGCAATTATCAGGATCAGCGCAACTCCAGTGCCGACCCGCTCGAGCCTGCTTTCGACATAAACACGATATTCGAACATATCATCCTCCGAGCTGCGAGTCAGGAACGGACCCTTCGATTCGGTCAGTCCGAAGTCTGTCGATAATCCACTAATACACCGCTGAAGGTTGGACCACTCACAAGAATATATTTGGCCAAGTCCATGGCCGGGACATACTCGTGAACAAACCGCGCTATCGGTCCTCTCTCTGGGCTAAGTAGACGAAAGAAATCCACGTCTTCGACATTGTACATCTCCCACTGCCGATCTGATTGCTTTGCGATCCAGTTCTGCAGCACCTTAAGGGCTCGCGGTTGTGGACGCGCGCATTCATCCATAGCCTTCCATGCGATGAAGTCGGTACCTGTGAGCAGACATTTTCGTCAATGTTTTTGACCTCAAATGGATGAATCTTGGTGAGTACGATGCCGGGGGGGGGGGGTGTGGGTGGGCATACAGTGTTCTTTCAGCTTGGCCCTCAGTGTCTTCGACATTCTCTCCCATCTCCTGCGGCTTCGGTGACCTCGGCTCAAGCTATGTGGCTCGACCCCAAATTTTTCATTGATTCTCTTCCTTAGGCGGCGCATCTTTCTCGACAGGCTGTCTATTGCCACGACAGATTGGTCTAGGACCATGTTCCTCTCTGTCGCAAAGGCAGGAAAGAAGTTGAGCTGTTTGTCTCTTGACTTTAATCGAGCTAGGCCTATTTGCCCCACGTCTTTCTCTGAAAGATGTCATCAGCTTCATCTCGGCAGTTTTTTTGCTGGTGACAGTACTGACCAGGACTAACTTCATCCTCAGCAGCTGCAGGAGAAGTTACTGTCGAAGCCGAACCTTCCAAATTGACGCCGCCGCCGCCGTCCTGGCCAGTCTCCGCTGTCCCTCTCCCATTCTCAGACGCAGGCGCATGGCTCACGCCCGCACCTCTTTCCAGCTCGTCAAGATCGATGGGTGTTCTCGGCATTTCAAACACAAGTGAGAAGGACAGGCAGAGATGTGTGATCTTTGAGGTCCTCATCTCGACCGTCTCATCATCATGGGCGGGGCACGCTAGCTTTATACAAAGGAGTCGCCCCACCTGGCAAACATATTTCACGGGATAGAGAGTCGTCGCAGGTCGTCGGGCGGTCGTCGCGAATGCTTTGGAGCTCCCACCACACCGAAAACACTGCCACTCTATGATCTGCGACCATCGGGCCGCTCGATTGTTGTCGGGCGTTACCTACCCGGCGAATGGCATATCTCCGCCCCCCACACCAAGAGCCTCGACGATAACCAAGAGACGGATTCACACACCGCTCAGGAGCCTGAATGCGTGAGGTGCCGCAGGAGTCGGGCGTCATCTCCGCAAAACTCTAATGTGGGTTGGCGGGTCACGTTATACTGTCGGCCCCCAAAGTCATGCGATGGGAGACACCGACTTCACGATTCATTGGGCGCCGCCGCCGATGTGCAGCTGTGGTGGTGTCCAGCAGCTCCTAGCGCAGGACGACCCGAGCCGTCGTGGCGAATCCCGAGTCTTCGGCAAGCACAACAGCGTTTGGGTCGAAATGTGGAGGCCTTCACAGCCAAGAGTAGATCTTTAGGTGTGCGCATATGCGGTGAGGGCCAACAGTCCTCGATTATGTAGCCATCTATCTTCTGGTTGTACGAGAGACGCAGGGTTGCTCTGAACCCCGAAAGCTGTCCAGGCTCTTCTTACATCACTCGACCCCTGAATTGACCTAAGCCACCTCCGCCAATAAGCTTTTGAAGAGTGACTTTCATCACGTGTCCCTGCTCAGATGGCCTCAAATCCTCGACATCGATCTCGGTGGCCACAAAGCCCGCGAAGCACTACTGAACAGGAAGGCTAGTAGTATCGTGCGCAAGAGCCTTAAAATCATGGAGTTAGTGTGTCTTCTTTTTTCTGTGAAAACTCGAACGGCCGGGATGCCAGGCTGAGATCGGGGTTGATGCGTACAATTCGCACAAATCTCAAGTGAACAAAAGCCTTCGGGTTGCACCATCCTAGCAATCTTGTCGGCCTGAGTCTTTCCTTTCGTTTCGTTCTTGTGTTTACGCTTGTTCTTGTTCTTGTCCTTGCTCTTGGCTTTGGTCTTGCTGGGGGTCTTCTCCGAGTCGTTGGTCGACGGCCTCGGTCTCGGCTTGGGCTTGATGATGATGGTCTCCCTATTCTTGATGGCCATTTCAAAGAGTCTTGAGTATAATTGGTGTAGAGAGGTTTGTGGAAAAGTATGTAGATACGTGGGATTTGTCTAAGAGATAACTGGGAGCGTCCGATGAACTATGAGGTCGTTTGGAACTCATAATTTGGTGGAAGAGTTCTCCAGCGCCTTTTGTACCTCTGGACTACGGTCTACGCCGCTTCTAGGCCCGTGAGCCCCATCTTAAAACAGAGCTTTGCAAAGCGAGCCTGGGACTGTGAACAAATGCCTTCGGAGCTTCGAAGCGGGTCCGAGATGCCTGTAACGCGCCTGAGAAAATGCGGACCTCGATATCATGGGCTCCCGGATGTACAAAGCGCGTCCCCGGCTGGATTGCAGCGACGAACACCATACACGCCTGCCGGGCCCAGACCGTGCATAGATCCCTGGGTAGTCATGCATGCTGCCATCCAGGCACGAAAGCTGCCGGCCGAATCATCTCACTCCACTGCTGAAGGCCTGACACTAAGCCAAGGGTTCCTGCGGTGATCCGTCATCTTCTACGGCATCGAGCGGATGCAAGGAGGCATTGCATTGTATACTTTTGAGTAACATGACATCGGGGCTGCAGGATCTAGGCTAGCATTATGACCTACGAAACCGGCTTGCAGGTTTCGACGAGGCATCAGCGTCTGACTGGTGGCGTACGCTTTGGCCTCCGAGCTCCTTGTGCCGGCCTTGTTAGTTTGCATTAGCTGTATGTGTTCAGCGTCTGCAGGTATTTGGGCGGCAAATTCGAAGTCTCGCCGGGCGGAAGACGCGAGACAGGCCAAAATTGCTTGAGAGTTTCGGTTATCTAGGTATTTGATGCTCGGATCTACAAACACCATTTTAGAAAGCTCCATTAGATCAAGTCTCAGTTACAGAAAACGATGGAGGTGGAGTTGTATGAGCAAAAAGAGTCCTGAGTACTTTTGTCCTATCACCTTCGTCCGTGACGATCGAGCCTGAAGACACAAGGCCATACGAAAGTCCTCACTTGCATCACCGTTCTAACACAGTGCCCGACTAACGAGATCAACCCGTTGAGAAAGAGATAAGCGCCATAGTTTCATGTGGGAGACGTTCCATTGGTTCCAGTGGGTCAAAGGAGGTGGTGAGACTCGAAATAGATATATCTGGGGCTGGGGGATCGGCGCCGGAAGGGTGCCGGCGGATGTCCAAAGGAGAGGAGGTCGCGCGGAATCGCGTCAGACGCGTCGGCTGGTCCCTATCAACCGACCCGGCTAGAAGGTACCTGCTTTTTTATCGGCTACCCCTGGCCTGTTTTGGTTGTAGCGCAAAGACGTTGACAGCCGTTGAAGATGCAGCTCAGGCAGTAGGTAGCATGGCTAGGTCCATATCCGCGGTACTTTGGTATTATGAGCTCAAGTCTCCGGTGCCCATCACCCCCGTCCAGGCCATGGATCTACCCTGTTGACTCCTCGCTGCCTCAGCGCCTTCGAACAGGACAAGGTGAATACAAAACAAACTCCATTGTGCACTGTCTGTCCTCATCACATGGTCGATCATGCGGGTCACGGTCCGCTTCCACCCAATGACATTTCCTCGCCGCGCACAACATGCAGATAACGCAGTATGGTACATATGAACCTCCTTCAAATAGCATCTGTACGGGACGGGTGCCTGAGAAAGTATTCGCTGTGTTCGAGCGACTCACTCTCATCCCTGGCCCTGTGCATCGGTCAGCCCTATCCCCCATACATAGAGATAAAACAGCTAGTGCTTGAGGTGGCACCATACCCAACAGGTAATTACGGCTATGGATGAGTTTAATAGTGGAAAACTGAAAGGTTGGCGTCTGGATATTATGTGCTCCTGTCCCGGAATAGGGGAAGTTACCTAGGTACCTAGGTAGGCAGTCTGGGCGTCGCTACCTAGGTACTGCACAATTGAGTCCGTAGTGCCGACATTCAAATGTTATACCTTGACAAACTCCCCGGGTCCTGTTACTGAATAGGCTAGTCTAAAATGATTACTGGACTCTATCAGGGTGCTTAAGTAGAGAAGGAAATGATCCACATTTGCGTCTCACGGTCAGACGCAGTCTTTTCTATGTGGCAAATTGTCGAGGGGTGACCACCTGTGAGGACTATGGCAACCTGAAAATTGGATAGCGCGGCGTTGCACACTGCTCCGACCACCTGAGCAGTTAATTTTCCAGTTACCTAGTAAGTGCAGACCTGGTCGGGACTACCTAGGTACTGGCCCACGAGCACGACCCGTAGCCCTTCAATGTTGGCACCACATAGCCTGGGTCTTGGCAAATAACATCCATTTTCTGAAAAAGTCAAAGTTTCAAAACTGCACCTAGTTGCCTAGATACCTAGGTACTCGTAGAGGGCCGAGCGCTGGCAGCCTTGTCTCGCACCAGGCAGTGATTGCGGCGCAGCTCCCGAAAGTTTTATCCATGTGGCTCCCGAGCCGCTCCTCCGCTGTCTTTGTGCATCGAAGTTTCCATTGCCCATGCAGCTTCTCTACGAAAAACCTTCTCTGGTTCACATCCTACAAGAGCAGGGGATTCTGCCCACGTGGTGACCGTTTCGGCACCAGAGCAGGTTCACTCCGGAACAGCTTATCCACTTCCGCCCCCTGGAAAATATGCAGGAGCCTCTAGGGCTGATTCTTTCGAGCCAATTTCGATGCCTGCTTTGATGCTTGGTACCTTGGACAAATCGGAACTCTAACCCAATGTCTGCCGGGCATACCGAGCGAGCACCTTGGTACCTAGGTACTTACCTAGGTACCTTTATTTCCCTTGCACTGTGCTGATGATCAGCGGCAGGTGAGGCTTACCGAAATCACACCAGTTAAATCTCTGTTCCAAGATGAAGGCAGGAACAAGAACCTGGCGTCATTTTGCCTTGCTGTATTTAGCGACTGCATGCTGGTCAGTTGGGCGCGCCCCAGCTGCCCCAGCTCGATCCTGAACATGTTTACCTACGTACGTGTCCTGCCACCCAGCCCTGGGCAAGCTAGACCTACTCGTTCTCATCGACGGGACTCATGGTCAAGTTTATCGGGCTTGCGTTGCGGGCAGCTGGGACCAGCGAGTCGATGGCTGAAATGACGCACTTGTTTTGTGTCCCCTGGCCTCCCCCGAAGGCCTTCAGAAATTCCGTCGATCCGTAGAGCCTTTCTTCCCACCTCTACTATAAGCAGATTCGGAAACGCCTTTTCTACTCCTCAGTCCCCTCCAGCTTCGACCCAACAGTACCCACTTCCTCACTTCAGCGTGGCCTGCACAGACATGAACCTCCATTAATAATCAAGTATTACTTATTAAAAAGAGCTATTTCAATTGCCACTTTACTACCATTATCCTTTGCAGACTACCATGTTGAAGTAGAGATGCAGTTACCAGAACATTATTATTGTTATTTTGTCAATATCAGTTCCTTCTACTGTATTACCAGCACCGCAGCCGCCCCAGCAGAACGTCCTTGTAGCTCGAAGACGACACATTCAGTCTTCACGATCCCATATTCAAGAAATGTGAATGATTCTTCTCGAGCAGTCTCTCCTCAGCCTTTCAGATCACTCTCACGCCTGCCTTTTCCCCATCACAGATCATTGATAATATTACCGGCCACCATGGCTCCCGAGGTCCCAGACGTGGGGCCCAAAACAGCTCACCCGTTGCTTCAAACACCCCTTCTTCGGGTTGCTACCAGGATTTCCAAGACTTGCGTATGGCTTGTTGTATTTGGCAATTGGAACAGACCCAGAGTCTCCTCTTGGAGCTAGCTCCACAGCGACCGTTGCACAAACGGCTACCACTGGCACCCCCTCCGAGAAATCCGGTTTTAACTGGGCCCCTTTCCACTGTGCCTCCGTCGTGAAACTTTGGTGGCAGTATCAATATGCCCTTTGGAAATTCTGGAGGAACCTATGTAGACCAAGCAAGCGCCACAACTTCTTTAGGCACGGGAAGGAATGGGCCTTCTCCAGTCCCAACTGTCACCTCCATCGAGCACGTCCGGCTCGTCCTAGAAAGTAGATCAGGTTTCTTTGGAGCCTGGTCCACACGTTGGATTTGAAATCTCAGAGCATTCACTGAAGTCAGGAGCACTGGCCTAAATATTGGAACGCGTTCTTGGCTGAGATGATGTGGCTGAGGAAAATGGGTCAGCCAGTAGCTTCGTTGACAAAGCGAGGTGACTTCTGGAGCCCGCATTTTCCTGACACGATGCTCACCTCAATCGACTTTAGAACTTGTCTTGGAGAAGATATTAGCGCACAGATGGTCGTGTAACAGCTAAGGATCCATATGAAATCAAAGCCCATTACACATGTAGTTCAAAAAGCTTCGGATAACTTTCCAGGGAAGAAATTAGATTGGCGGGCTATTTTCAAATGTTGCTGCATCATGGTTGCAAGGTATGACTTTTTTATTGTGCGCGGTGGCTCTAAGCACGGGGTGGGGAGTCACAGTTGATCCAAGTAGAAAGTAATTAGGTCGATATAATTTGGTATCTCAATTATCTACTTGAACAACACTGCTGGTTTTCAAAGAGACTCAACACGACCGCAGTCTTGCAGTATTTCCCATTTCATCATTGATGGAGACCCGATGGAGCTCTTGCGGGCGATCGACCAATGGTCAGTGGAATCAGATATCCTATTGCCTTACCACTAAAGCATCGGCGGAAGTAACGATAGATCAAAGCACAGTCCCTGTAGCTGAACTTCTTATCAACATATTTACCTTGCATGCAAGGTTCCTCTCAAGTGCTGTCTAAAATTGTATAGAGGGGAGGCATGCTATAATTAAACCATGCTTAATGGAACAAAAGAATCTTTCTCGTTGCTTACTGTGTATGATTAGGATCAGTCACATCTTCAAGACTTGGATGGTTCTCTACAAGTCTGGAGGGAAGACTGGGACATCGGATCTGGTGACCAGCCGCCTCTGCACGGTATGCTCGCATGTTGGCAAAGCGATGTTGGCCGCCGAATACCAAACCGCAGGCTCAAGCAGAGTAAAAGAGGTCACTCTTCACTAGAAATAATCTCACAGCCCCTTTCAGCTCGGACATCAAGGATCCCGCGGATGAGGGCAGAAGACCAAAAAGCAATACCAGTAGAGTCCACTCTAGAATGGCTCCTAAACGAGCTCCCAAACTCTATCCTTACAGACCTTGACGCCTGCGACATAGCTGCACTGACGCAGTGCAGCCGACACCTCCAGGGCCGACTCGAGAACCGTGCTCTAAGAGGACTCATACCGCTCGCCCACCCCGCCCCTCTCAGAGTGAAGCGCAAAGACGGATAACATTAACGGCGTGCGGGTAGCGGTGCGGCACGGCGCGAAGTCTGACGTGTTCAAGGTCTCTTACACGGCTGGCGAGGAAGGGCCAGGACGAGGTGTGTGTGTTCATGCTTGACCACGGGGCGCGCATCGAGGTCGAGCGCACGCATGACAGGCCGCTGCGGCACCTGGTGTGGAAGCTTATGAAGTCGCTGTGCGCCGGAGAGTCCGGGCACGTTGAGACTGTTCTATGAGGTGCTCCGGTACGACCAAGAACTGGATAGACTGGCAGCTGCTGGAGCGAAGAGCGACCGTGGCTGAGTCGCCGGTCTGACAGCGAGGTTCAATTGTTGGTTATGAGGAAGCCAGGGGTGCACCAAGGTCGTCCTCAAGTCACGCTATATACAGGCAAAGCACTGATTGGCAGTTTATAAACCACATGCATAAACCTAGGTAGTTATGGACGGCGACCCTTTGATAGAACAGCGGGATAATAAGACTCAACGTAGAAGAGTGACAGTCGGCAGATGCCACTAGACAACTGGCTGGACTCGATCCCTGCCGTTGCCGGGCGCATGAGGGAACGCAGGCGCAGGGTAGACTAGATGAGATCCAAGCTAACAAGGCAAAACCTGGGGCCCCGCGAAAATAACATGGGGCCGGAGGATGGCAGGGGTCAGCAGCAGGCCCATGTCAAGGAGCGTGTAAGCAGGAGAGCGAGGGATGCAGGTCAGCGTGCCGTGCGCATTGTGCTGATGATAATAATAAGGTCGGTGGGATTCCGGATGCCACTCGCGTGCAGAGACGGGCTGAGATGCTGAATGCTGACATGACAGCTTGCAGGTCTGTCTGGATGGGCTTACGCCGCACATACATAGCCCCATGCAACGCAACGAACAAAAAGTTTTCTTGTCCTTAAAGTTCTCCTGCTGGGCGGCGGAAAGGGACGAACCTGGTGGATGTGGTGGTCGAAAGTGGCACTGCCTTGCCCAGCTTTGGACTGCTGTCAGGACTGTCAGGACCGAGAGCAGAGCCAACATTGCCAGCAGGCTGGGGCTCGTGCCTGGCTACGTTTGAAATTACCGGGATGTTGCATGCTGCGACAGTTCTGGCTGTGGTTCTAATCCTGGACACCACACAGTTGGGGCTCGGAGTACCCGTGGCGGACCAGGCTCACCCGACTGGCTCGAGCAACAGACATCGGAGGAGGGAGCGTGAGGCCTGCGGCTCTATGGGCCGTCTGAAAAATACGTAGATGTTGCATTCACAGAGCAAATAAGCCGAACGCCGACGGTTCGCGATGGCCGTTGGGCTTGTGCAGAGTAGTGGGTGGATCAATGGCCAGGGCTCCACAGTCGACACTGACAGAATAGCTTATCGTCCCTGATAAGGAGGGTGAGAAGAGGGAAAAAAAGACGAGATTCAAGACTTGAAACAGGGCTCGTTGTCCGGTTGCTCGCTCTGGCAGTGCTGGCAGCTCTGGCAGTGCATTCTGGGAGCTTTGTGACGTCGTCCAGGGAGGGACACAGTCTTGCAGTGTTCGAGTCGTGTCAGTGTGTTGACGAGGCCAAGTGGCAAACTCTGTTGATGAGACACGGTCTGACAGTCTGTTACCTGTTACCATGTTCGCCTGTGGTTGATGCAAAGAATCCAGACGGACGGAAAAGTGAAAAATGCCACCCACGCAGCCCTGGCAGCCCTCCTTCCTCCCTCCCGCCCTCCTGCCCCTCCGGGCTGCCGCATGAAATTTGCCGCCCTCACCGCCTTGACCTGGTGCCTTATCAGGACTAGCGCCACCCATCGATAAGCGATAACCAGCCAATCAATGGTGGGGTAATCCTGGCCCAAGCAGGATCGGGTGGCCACCACCCCCCCATCTGCTCCCCCACCCATCATCCCTCTAGCAGAGGCGGCGAGCCATCGAAACAGTGACTTGGGAGAGAGCTAGGCTGGGCTGGGCTGGCAGCTGGGCACCTCTGGACCCTTGGGACGCCTAGGCAACCCCCCGGCGGCAGCACTACTACGCACCTGGGCAGCAGGTACTACCACTACCACCACCGGCAAACAATTTTTTGGGCAGAAAAAAAGTTTTCCAGCCATTTTCAAAATTCCCACCCTTAGCCACTTAGTCAGTCAGCCTGCCCGCGCTCCCTCGGCCCCCCCTCCTCTGCGCTTTTAATAAAAAGCCACCTCTTCCATTTTCCCACGCACCCTCTTCCTCCCGACACATATCCACCCTCCCGTCTTTTCTTTCCCTTAATACCCATCCTTTTATTCTGCTCATCCTGCAAGCAGTTGTGGTCTCGTCGACGACAACGATCAGCAGCAGCCCGAGCATTTCCTGCACTCGGTCTTGGACATCTAGACTCGAGGCCCGGATCCCCTTTGGTTAGACCCGACCTGAAGACCTCGATAGAGCAGCAGGATTCGACCTCCATCGACTCTCTTGCTGTGGGTTTTCAGTCTCCCTCCGACCTTCCCTCCGACACGAGCCTGCCTCTATCTTGAATAGAGCATACACCCGGTCCGACACACCTCACGGCCTGTCGACAGTCTCTACAATCCTCCCATTTTCCCGCACATTTTACACCGGAAAAATACACAAAAATGGCTTCCAAGGAGAACGCCCAGAGCATCAAGGTGCTCGACGAGCTCATGTCCAAGCTCAACATCTCCAAGGATGCTGCTGAGATCAAGGGCTCCGCCCTCGAGCTGGCCTCTTTCATCAACGGCCCCATCCAGGACTTCGATGTTCCTATCAAGTGAGTAACAACCCCACAAGCCCTTGTTCATTTGCGCGATTGCGGAAAGCAGAGCCAGAAGCCCTGCGGCGTACGTAGCCTGCCTTGGCTATCGTTTGGCGCTGCTGAATCATTTGCCCTACGGGTTTCTTTTGGCCTGTGGGGTCAAATGCACACAGGGTGCGCCTTACGGGTTGCATGGGCTTTGCCGGTGCAAAATTTTTGCATGTGCGCGTTTCGGGTGGCGACCTGGGCACTGCGACCTGGAAACCCCGCTGCGAAAGCTGGTTTGGGGTGGCCTGGCTTGCACCCTTGGGCGCTGACTGGTCCACCCAACCCGCTCAAGACACCTGGCTTCCGGCAAAACCGCGTCTTATCAATTTTGGGGTGTAACAGAGCCGCTAACATGTGAATCCCTGCAGGACCATCGAAGGCCTGAAGAAGCAGCTCGGCAACAAGAAGGATGCCGCTGCCCGCGAGAGGGCTCTCAACGCCATCGAGACCATCGCCCGCCACTCCGAGGTCTCCGCACATGTCGAGCCTTTCCTCGTCGCCCTCCTGCCCGGCGTCCTGGCCAGCGCCGGTGACAAGATCACCGCCGTCAAGACCGCTGCCTTCTCCGCCGGTCTGGCCATCGCTGAGGCCATCAACCCCAACGCCATCAAGAACCTCATCCAGCCCCTGAACGAGTCTCTCCGAAATGCCCAGAAGTGGCAAGAGAAGATGCTCGACCTCGACATCCTCGACAAGCTCGTCGAGACCGCCTCCGTCCAGACCACCTTCCGTGTCCCTGACCTGCTGCCCGTCATTTCCGAGGCCATGTGGGACACCAAGAAGGAGGTCAAGGAGCGTGCCTACAAGGCCATGGAGAAGCTCTGCACCCTCATCTCCAACAAGGATATCGAGAAGTTCATTCCCGAGCTCATCAAGTGTATCGCCAAGCCAGAGAACGTCCCCGAGACCGTTCACCTGCTCGGTGCCACTACCTTCGTCACCCAGGTCGAGCAGCCCACCCTCGCCCTCATGGTTCCTCTTCTGGACCGTGGTCTGGCCGAGCGTGAGACTGCCATCAAGCGAAAGTCTGCCGTCATTGTTGACAACATGTGCAAGCTTGTCGACGACCCCAACATCGTCAACCCCTTCTTGCCTAAGATGTGGCCTGCTCTGAACAAGAACTACGACAACCTGGCTGACCCCGAGGCCCGTGGCAAGACCAAGCAGGCTCTCGACACCCTTGCCCGTGTCGGTAACATCCAGAACGGCGTGATCCCTGAGCCTACGCACCACAGTGAGATCAAGATTGTCCTGGGTCACCTCAAGAGCGTCCTGTCCGCCAAGCACAAGAACGTCACCGAGGACAAGTTCGCCCCTGTCCTCGAGCACATCTCCGCCATTGCCGGCGAGCTGATCGACGAGAAGGACAACGACGCCAGGTCGTGGGTTGACAAGCTCAAGACCTACGTCGCTGTGCTCGTTGGCGATGACAACGCTGATGCCGTCATTGAGACTCTCCGCCAGAAGGCCTCGCCCGAGGCCGCTGCCGGTGGTGACCGCCCCGAGGACGAGGACGACGAGAACCCCGACCTCTGCGAGTGTGAGTTCTCGCTCGCTTACGGTGCCAAGATCCTGCTCAACAACACCCGCATCCGCCTCAAGCGTGGCCGTCGTTACGGTCTTTGCGGCCCCAACGGTGCCGGAAAGTCCACCCTCATGCGTGCTATCAACAACGAGCAAGTCGAGGGTTTCCCCAAGCAGAGCGAGGTCAAGACCGTGTTCGTTGAGCACGACCTCGACGCTGCTGACACTGAGATGACCACCATCGAGTGGACCATGAAGAAGCTGGAGGAGGCCAAGGTCTCTGCCACCGAGGCCGATGTCCGTGCCCGTCTCAACGAGTTCGGCTTCACCGACTACATGATCAACGGTCTCATCACCTCCCTCTCTGGTGGTTGGAAGATGAAGCTCGCTCTGTGCCGTGCTGTCTTCGAGAACCCCGATATCCTGCTGCTCGACGAGCCTACCAACCACTTGGACGTGAAGAACGTCAAGTGGCTCGAGGAGTACCTGGAGAACTCCCCTTGCACTTCCATCATCGTGTCTCACGACTCGGGCTTCCTCAACCGCATCTGCCAGTACGTCATCAACTACGAGCGCTTCAAGCTCAAGACCTACAAGGGTAACCTGGAGGAGTTCGTCCGCAAGAACCCCGCCGCCAAGTCCTACTTCGAGCTCGGTGCTTCCGAGATGGAGTTCACCTTCCCCGAGCCTGGTTTCCTCGAGGGTGTCAAGACCAAGGCCAAGGCTATCCTGCGTGCCAACAAGATGTCCTTCCAGTACCCTGGCACCAGCAAGCCCCAGATCACCGACATCACCTTCCAGTGCTCTCTCGGCTCGCGTATTGCTGTCATCGGCCCCAACGGTGCTGGCAAGTCCACTGTCATCAACGTCCTGACCGGTGAACTGATCCCCACCTCTGGTGAGATTTGGGCTCACGAGAACATCCGTATTGCCTACATTAAGCAGCACGCTTTCGCCCACATCGACAACCACCTGGAGAAGACTCCCTCCGAGTACATCCAGTGGCGTTTCCAGACTGGTGAGGATCGTGAGACCATGGACCGTGCCAACAAGGTCATCACCGAGGATGACGAGCAGGCCGCCAGGAAGATCTTCCGTATCAATGGTACCCAGCGTCGCATCATCGGCATCCACTCCCGCAGAAAGCTCAAGAACTCTTACGAGTACGAGTGCTCCTTCGCCCTGGTTGAGAACGCCGGCCAGAAGAACGAGCGTGAGGTGCCCATGATGACTGCCGACAACGAGTGGCTGCCCCGTACCGAGCTGCTGGCTTCTCACCAGAAGCTGGTTGCTGAGGTCGACATGAAGGAGGCCCTCGCCTCCGGTCAGTTCCGTCCTCTGGTCCGAAAGGAGATTGAGGCTCACTGTGAGAACTTCGGTCTTGACGCTGAGCTGGTTTCCCACTCTCGTATGAAGGGTCTGTCCGGTGGTCAGCGTGTCAAGGTCGTCCTGGCTGCTTGCTCTTGGCAGCGACCTCACCTGATCGTCCTCGACGAGCCCACCAACTACCTTGACCGTGACTCTCTCGGTGCCCTGTCCAAGGCCATCAAGAAGTTCGAGGGTGGTGTCATTATCATTACCCACAACTCCGAGTTCACCCAGGACCTGACTGAGGAAGTCTGGGCTGTCATGGACGGCAAGATGACTCCTTCCGGTCACAACTGGGTCCAGGGTCAGGGCTCTGGCCCCAGGCTGGACAAGAAGGACGATGATGAGGAGGACAAGTTCGACGCCATGGGCAACAAGATCGTGTCCACCAAGAAGAAGGCCAAGCTGACTTCCAGGTTCGTTCCACCCAGTATTCCTCCTCTCCAACTGACGCATAGGCTAACCATGTTCACAGCGAGGCACGAAAGAAGAAGAAGGAGCGTATGGCTCGTCGCAAGAGGGGTGAGGAGGTCTTCTCTGACGAGGATGACATCTAAACCACCTTGAGCGTCCTTGAATGATTTGAGAAAGAAAAGAAAAAAGTTCCGGGAATTGTGGGGCTTCGGCGTTCATTTGGGTCTGGCTTAGAGCATTCATTGTCTATTTCTACGAATTATGTGGCCCGGAAGGTTCAACACGCAAGCAGCTTTTCTAATCCCGTCATAGAGATAGACACAGGATCTACAACGTCTTTTTACTCGGGGAATGGAGGCCCCAGAGGAGGAGGCTTACAGGTCTGCGTGGTTTGTTGAGGATGTTGGCTGGAAGGGAAAGTCCAACGCGTGCGCAGTAGAACCAGATACCAGTAGATGAAATAGAAGGGCCAATAGACGAGATATGAAAGAGTTGTCGAACCATTATTTGACCGTTCATCACTTGACGAATTTGTGTATGCATAGATCGCTAGTACCAGTAGTAGGGTCGGAAGTGGCGGCTGACCAGCTGCTGAGCCTGGAGACTGCCGCTGACATTCTTCCCCATATGAATGAAGTATGGTATCACCCAATGTCCTATAGGAAAAACTAATCCCGCATTTAAGAACACCGCACATAACCTTGCAGCAACATGTCTTGAAGAACATCTCAGTAGTCTATAGAGCTGGATGTACCTACATACCAGTTGACCTAGGTACATAAATCTTTCATGAATAAGAGAGTGCTTAACAGGTGTTGGTTTTTTTAATGTCCGGTCAGTGTAATGCATTATTATTGTACGGAGTAGATGAGACGGTCTCTATGAGCTTAGGGTGAAAAGGCGTCACCTCAGACCAGATCATTTACATGTACGATTGGGTAGATGAGAAACGCGCTGGCCAGCCGAACATGTCTCGGCTTCTGTAGTTGTTGCAACGTTGATTTCTCCAGTTAGATCTATGGCCTGGCCGCATGGAAGATCGACCAGCCCGCAGGTTACCTAGGTACTTAAGTAGGTACCTAGGTAGGCTGTCGAAAGTACCTAGGTCGTGTGGTCTGGTGATGTCGACGTTGCGGTTGAGGCGCGCGAGTGTTGGATGACGTCAAGTTGGTCGAGTACGTCATGTTGAACGCGGTGCCGTCCTTGTGCTGACATCGACCGTCACCTCCTTTTCGTCAACGACAAGTAAGCTTTTGAGATCATTTGCACTATATTACAATCAATACCCAGAAATTTGCCGGTGCAATCCTGAATCAGGAGTCACATAGTTCCCAAGGAAACATCTAGCACTGAACAACATCAAATATGTCCGGCACCGAGAACCAGCAACCCAGCCTCGTCGGGGCACACGCTGAATACGTCAAGGGCGCCGCGCAGGTCAGTTTTCTCCCCTGAATCTCTCTAGCACAATCAACCTAGAGACTGCCGAAGAGAGGGACTTAGGAGGGAGGCACTCCCTTGCATTCTTTTGGCCGGCTCCCAAAGCATCTGTCTGTCTCATCGTTGACACAAACACACACCACAGGCTGCCATTGGCAACGTCACAGGCTCGGAGGCATGGAAGGCATCGGGAGAGCAGGCCAAGGCGCACGGCGTGTCAGATATGAAGGCTGCGAGCGAGGGCCGGGACCCGAGCAGCCAGGGGTTCGGCAAGGCCGAGGAGCTCGCTGGGAAGGCGGTCGGCTGTGAGGGCATGGTCAAGGAAGGCGATGCTAGTGCGAAGAAGGACTAATAGTGAAGTGAAGGACGAATGAATGGAACTTAATGCGCAAATGGTTATGTCCAGGACTGCGGGACTCCTCGTTCTGTCTTGAACCTTGCCGTAGTTCTTGATACAAGAGCGGGATTTAGTCCTCCTATCACAGATGGTATCATGTGCTCTGGGAATGATAATATCCCGAGATACTTATGACGGCGCGGTTGGCAATGAGGAATTTTGAAACCCTTCACAAGCTCATATGAAAGGTATCACAGTTTGCACCTTTGCTCTATCTCTGCAAAAACGGAGCCCCTCCCGCCGCTCATCTGTCATGGGATTGCATTATTGGCAAGACCATGCCACCAGGCTACGACGCTGTATGCGAGAATTGTTTCCACGGTGTATACCGCCTATGCCAAGTCTGTTAGGCGACTCGCAACAGACACGTGGAAAGTGATATGCTGCTGCAAAGAGCATGAGGTAGTCATCTGCCTGAAACCCACGACAATCAGCACATTGTGTATCTCAGGGACGTCCGTAGCCACGCCCAGGAGTGTGGACACCTCAATTTTCGCCAGAGATCTGTCAGCCACCCACAAGCACAAAGGACTATGGTTACTCTTTAGCTGCGATATGCTAGGATTGTTCAGAGTGGGGGCAGGACATCGCGTACGATGAAAGAGTCGCTCATTCTCACAACCAGACTTGCCAGTGGTGCGACGACACAGTGGTATTATTGCATTGAATACAGGTAACATTGGAATATTTGGTTTGGGGGAAAAGCTGATAATCTAGTTGATAAATTTGCTGCTCCAGTTACAATGACCGCAGCATGGTGGTGGAATAGATGGACGATAAGCCGAGTCATACGGCAAATGTAGTAACTTGCTGCGCGATGGCTTCACCTGTCACACCAAGCAGATCACAACAGTAATTCTGATGAAGCACAAGGAAGGAGGTGTTGACGGCCCGAACCAACGAATCCAGATGAGCATTTTCTGGACCCCAAGGGCTTGGTGGCCGCAGGCTCTCGATATTGTTGTAAGCTGCGCTAATGGCGGCGCGGTCCGGTCCACTACCCAGGCAAAGACCCTCGCAAGGAATAAGGGTCTTACTGAGCGGCAATTGGAACGACGTGAGGTTATTGCTTATTCACATTCATCTCGCGTCCATGCTGTTGACTGGGTACAGAGAGGTATCGTAATGAGTCCGTTGTAGCAACAAGAGACACGACGCCTTGGACTCATTAAGATGGTGAGTAACGCGATCCAAAAAGGCCATGAGTTGGGACTTTAAGGATGAGAAGAACGCTGCCGTCTGGCAGGCAGGATCAGGTCCCTACTAGACGCTAGAGATGTACCCCGAGAAATCCAGGGCCTTGGAATCGGCTCGTAAGCTGTCAAGAAAATGAGCGGGGTATCTATCCTTAACTGGACAGTGTAGGATTCCCATCCATACCATGAATACCCGCTCTGGCATAAAAAATTGTCGCAGGATTCGCCAAGTGGACGAATGAGTACGTGTAGGTAGAAATTTGGTCCAAGCGTCAATGTAAGCCCTTATCATCAGGTCCACCCCAATTTGGCATCACTTCATAATTCAACTTGCACAGCATCGGGCCGCACTGGTCCGGCTGACTTGTCTCATCCCAATTAAGATTTTTCAGAGGCACACGGGTTGTAGACCTTACCCGCTGATCGTCCTTACATCAGAACTTTCCAGCCCGTTTCACAGAATGGAGGAAGCAGATCTCGTGGTCATAGGCGCTGGTACGTGCACATTGAGTGTCCGCCGTCTGCCCCAACTTGAAGTGCTTGCAACCGAGCCCCGTACAAGTCACCAATTGAAATTGACAAAGTGAAATTCTAGGTTGGGCAGGAATAGCTGCAGCCAAGACCTTCCACCAGATTCAGCCTTCGAGAACCTTGGTCATCCTCGACTCAAATGAGTCTCTCGGTGGAACATGGGCAACTGAGCGCCTCTATCCAGGCCTCAAAACCAACAACCAGCTGGGGACTTATGAGTACCCCGATTTCCCCATGAGTACAAATGTCTTCGGCGTGAAGCCCGGGCAGCACATTCCTGGCCAAGTGGTTCACGACTACCTGGAGAAGGTTGCCGAGAAGTTCGGCATCGCGGATAAGATTCGTTACTCAACAACGGTTGTTTCCGCGGAGCAGAACAACCCGTCGGGTGGTTGGATTGTGAAGAGTGTCAAAAGAGCGACTGGGTCTTCAGAAGACTTCGAGTCAACCATTTTGGCCCGAAAGCTCATCGTTGCATCTGGGCTTACTTCGGAGCCTTTCATGCCGTACTTTGAAGGGCAGTCTTCATTCGGCAAGCCAATTTTCCACGGTAAAGACTTCGCCCGACACGCGGATGCTGTTGAGACCACCAAGCGGGTGACGGTGCTTGGAGGTGGCAAGACTGGATGGGACGCGGTGTATGCTCACGCCATCAAGGGCGTGCATGTGGACTGGATAATTAGGGAGTCTGGCCACGGTCCTGTGTGGATGTCGCCTCCCTTTGTCACGCCTTTCAAGAAATGGCTGGAGAAACTGGTCATGACGAGGGCCTTGACTTGGTTCAGTCCTTGCTCCTGGTGTGTACTTTTCTACGGAGCTTCAATGTTATGGCCCTTCTCCTTGCGCGCAGATGAATTCTGCAGAACAACTCTTGAGGCTGACCGTGCTATGGTAACAGGGGCGAGGCAGATGGCTACTCACGTATCCGTGGTTTCCTTCATGGGACTGCCATCGGACGACTAGTAACCAATGCCTTCTGGTACATACTGGGCAACGACGTAAAGACTCTGAACAACTTCAAGTCCCACCCTGAAACAGCCAAGCTCCAGCCATGGAGCCACCCTATGTTCGTCGCCTCCAGTTTCTCAATTTATAACTACGATACGGATTTCTACGAGCTGCTGAGGAACGGCACGGTGAAAGTATACGTCGCCGACATCACATGCCTAGGGCCTGAAGGCATCGTGAAACTTTCCAACGACACAGAGATCAAGACTGATGTCATGATATGCGCAACGGGCTGGAAGTCGGCGTGTCCAATCAAGTTCCTACCTGAGGGCATCGAGGCTGAGTTGGGCGTGCCTCACGTACCCTCACCGACTGAGCCCCACGATCTCGTTCATCGAGCTGACAATGAGATCTTGAAACGGTGGCCGCGCCTGCGAGATCCACCTGTCCAGAACAAAAATTTCGTGCCTTTCGAAAAGCAAAAGGGTATCATCGCCACTTCTGAGGGCGACCGAACCACCTCAAAGCTCACCCCGTGGAGACTCTACCGCTTCATCATCCCGTCGTCGCCGCCCCTAGTCCGCCGTCGCGATATCGCATTCGCGGGCATGATGATGAACTTCAACGTCCCGACAAATGCACACTTACAGTCGCTGTGGATCAACGCCTACTTTCTTGGACGTGGAATCGCCATTCCGAATGTCGAAAATGACATTGAGAGAAACGAGATGCAATACGAGACTATTTTGCATAGCAGGTTCGGAAAATGGCGGTACACCGCTGGCCATGGAAGCCAACTCCCTGATCACGTGTTCGATGCGCAGCCATACATTGATCTATTAGTTGGCGACTTGGATTTGCAGAAGCACCGCAAAGGTGGCGCGCTCAAAGAGATATGGGATCCCTACGGACCACAGGACTACGTGGATGTTGTGGATGAATGGAAGCGGAGGCATCATATTAGCAGTTTTATAACTGGCTACAGTATATGAAATCAATATAGTAGATCTCAGGATATCTCTGACCCAGAAGACTCGCCCAAGGGACAAACGCCATGAGGGCCGCGGGGGCCTGAAAGTCCACGAAAGCGGGGCCCTCGAGCGTGTACTCTTCAACGTTGGTGGGTTTGGCGCATGTTAGGAAAAGGTGCGTGCCGGTATAGTCTTATCTGAGTCTTATGCCTCAAGGGATCATAGTTATTTGAAATGTAATAAAGTTTCTGTCCTAGTCGAAGTGGCCGCGGGTGTAGTGTTAACCTGTCAGTTCCGTGCCGCTAAGCTTGTCGATGCAGCTGGTGTCAAAATTGAAGCCAGGAGACAGAATGTGTTTGCGGCATCTTTCATATGCAGAAAATGATCTTGAAGAAAATGTTTACAATATTTCCCGTACTATGGTTATTTCCCTAACTCTACGTCTGGTTAAAAGCCCCCCTTGCTCCTCATGTTTGCGTCATATCATCATGTTTCTTCATAGTTCAATCACGACGTTGTCGAGTGCTTCTAATGAAATATCCGATAACAACTCGCATTGAGTTTAGAAACAATTCGCAATTGTCTGTTTAGAGTGTGGTTCTGTTGCGTATTGAGTTCATTGGACGTGTGAGTTGTGATCATGGGGTCTGTTTGAATCTTAGTATATAACAAATGCATACACCATGACCGTCACATACGACCATAGACACAGGAAAATACGGGATCCCGTCCGCTCTCCCTTAGTCAAACCCGTGATCGCCGGATCAGTAGTTGGGTCGGTGACGACCAGCGAATACCTGGTGTTGTATGTTTTGCCTCTCCTTTTTCCTTCTTTTTTTCATGGGATTTTCGCCCCACTCGGGAAGTAGTTATGTCCATAGCAGCAATTCTAAAACGATTGTATGTAGTTCACATGAGTGGCCTGGCTTACCAATACTTAGTAAGACCGACTCTTGCCTCTCAAGGCCATACGAGGCAATGTTGTCTGGAGGGACTTGAGATGCCGTCTTGACTCAGTGCAGATGGACGGTGCGTCAATAGCAGTAGGATTACATGCATTTTATATGTATGAGGATTAAAAACGAAACCACACTTGAGGTCACTCACGCCGTGGCGTAGAAATTCTGAACTGTTCCTTTACTACAGGCATAAGTTACTTTTTGTTATGAGGATTAAGCTCCTGTTGTATTTGAACATGTGCTACCAATGAAGTACTACTTCCGTAAGGTTCTACTAGAATCAATTGATAGAATATCTACAAGGGCCTCCTCGGTCCCCGAAGAAATACAGCCCGGTTATGGATCTTGTGCGCGCGCCCGAGGTCCCCATCAGTATTTCACATTTAAAACTCGAATCGATGGCTAAAAAGACGATTTTCGGAAACATCGTGGACTTGCTGACTCGCCAAGCCGAGTATGTCGTAAGCGCGGAAATGTGCAACGATGCCTACCAGAAAAGTACTAAATTTGCTCGCGACCGACCGTTAACTTTCGCAAGTACCCAATCAACAAGTGTGTTCGGGTCTAACTATTGCATGGATGCTAACAAGATCTATTTCTTATTGATAGGCACTCGTCGTACTGGGCCTGGCTTCGGTGTTCGCACCGATCCTCACGGCAATGACTATTGCATCGATTCAGCACGGTGTATATCTGGTCACTCTTGGACTACCTTGCAATCATATTCCTAGCCGCAGTACTGGTTCCTTTTGCGGCGACAGAAGGTATTACATGGCTCAATTCCACCGCTATTCGGTCATCTGCCAACCTGTTCGTGAAATCGCTGGTGGGCTCGGGGAACGAAACCAACCGCGTTCTGATGAGGCCACAGGCCGAGGAAAATGATAATCAAGCTCATGCCCTAATTGTGCTTATTCTGTTTAAGGTGGAGGACAAGAGCTCCCTCAGCAAGAGGAGGACGAAACAGAAGACTACTGCTGGTCACCAAGTACCATAAACGGTCGTATTTACCATAATCGGTCGTATTTTAACTCTATACAGGGTTTAGATTTGAAACACAGACTCTTGGAAATGTGCTGAGTGTTGTATTGCCGGGACTCGATGTTATACCGCTCTGCCTCCTAATGTGGCAGCAGACAATGTACGATCTACCGCCCACGACGTGGCTTTGGAAATGCTTCTCTGCCCATTACCATTTCTCGGTGGAATTTTGCTCTCCTTTTCAGAAGCGGTTACTTTGAAACTGTACTCAATGTTGTCCCATCTTGTCTGCGGCACAGCCCACTTGCTTACCGAGCCTCCCTCAGGCTGTGTTGGGCTCGTTGAACTCACAGGGGAGTTTAAAGAAATAGACTGCCCCGGCGATTTTCCTGGGGGTCTTGAGTGACTAGATATCGCTGTTCGCATATTGTTAGGCCCTCCGTAATGAGTGTTCAAGGCCGTCATGAAAGTCCTCAGGATGGGCGATGTAGTCGCAAATATGGCGAAAGAAAGTTGTATTTGGGTGAAGACTGAGGCCAGTACACCGTCTAGAGTAGGATCAAGACTCTTGTATTGGACTTCCAACCAGTGGAGGCGGAAGATGGCTGGAATTATGACTCTAGGAACAGTTTCAGTGACTCGATAACACAGCTTGTCAGATTCCAGATGACTGACGGTAAGCGAAGTGCAAAGGCAGACAGCACGATCAGTTTCTTCGTGGTTCTAAAATTCAGGCCGTGAAGCATATACAATGAGATCCCGAATAGAAGGAGCTCAACAACCACGTCGAATGCAGTGATTGCTTGCCATCGGATAATCTGAACGAAGTTTAGTGTTTGTTCGCATGGATTTCTGGTAACCAACTGACCAAGTCTCTGCACTCGACTCCAATAACTATCCATGGCTGTGGCTCATCGCAACGAATAGCTACCAGTAATTCCGAAATGAACATCAGAATAGTAGATAAACCCAGCACAACGTAAGAAGCATTGACGTGCCTCGAGTCAGGAGTCAAGCGGATGAAGAGAAAGACCACCGAGCACTTGGTCAACCATAGAATGAAAATGTATAGAAGGTCGCAGATAAACGCACTCTGAAACATAGTGGTCAATCTCCCTCATCTTTGTATGGAATCAAAGGCTTGAGACTGGTGCCATACCTGCTGCCACGAGACGACATCTTGCGCTGAAAGACCATGTATAGTGTTTCCGAGTCCGTTTCTGACCTGGACAAAGACAAATGCAGATTGGACTATCATGGTAGCCTTTTGCCCCGGGCTTGGTTAGTCTGATGGTTTGACAGGACAAATTGAGGCAACAAACCATTGAAGTGATAGAGGCCATGTCATCCCATCCCAAGTCACTTGCAGGCCGGTGAAAGTACTGCCGCACGAAAGCCCTTATGGCCATCGAAAACACGCTGAATGCTAGGCATAATGCCGCAGCAATGACAACAATAGCGCATTTGTCCGTGTCTGTTAAATTTGCAAGAGGAGGCGATTGCCCTGGTAACAGCTTATGCGTCGATTGCTCTAGTGCTGCGGCCGCAGTAGGGGAAGCCATGCGATGGGCTTGCAGGGCAAAAGGCCGTCGAGTCTCGAAAGGATGCCGTATTTTGTTCAATAAGATCAAGCAAAAGTTGATGCACCTGTTCGGGTCCGCGGAGATATCGAGTCGAGGATCCGAAGATGAATTCAATGACTTGTGTTTCGCTTTTAGTCACCCTGGGCCATGGTCGCCGCAGGAGCACTCATGGACCTGAAGTTGAGAAGCCCGAGAGTTCGAAACACTGCGACAGCCAATTCCCAACCTGAAAGGTTGCATACAATTACACGCACTTGACGAGCCTCGTTCCACTGTCAGTGTCTTGATTCGCGCTGCCCATGGGATAGCCTCCGGTGGCGACCACAGCTTAGCTACAGCGAAAATGCTGTTATGTGTGTGACTGAGGCGAGGTGCACAGAGAAAGCCACCGAGACTACCGCTGAGATTGGGGTTGCCGAATTTTGTACGCCCAGGCAAGCACCAGAAGAGGAACTAGGGGCCTCGGGTTCAGTTCAAGCCCTCGGAAAGCTGAGGATTCTTTGTGTTCAGCTGAAGTTTAACGCCGGCCCGTCGTCTGTCTGAGCTCCGAGCCAAGCGCTTTGAGCATGCCCGTAGAGTACTTGGGTACTAGTGGCGGTTCCACGACATGAGACACCGAAGGCGAAGAACACGGCGGGGACCCGCTCAGCCGCTCTCCTCCATGTACTTTGCCTTGGGCTCGGACGGTACCGAAGGTCGGGCCTTGGAGCCATTATTTTGGTTACTAGTCCGGCACGCAGATTCCACCACTGACATCATGTCTCACGTCGTTTTCAGCTTAGCTCAAGGAAAGCGCAGCCAATGCCATTCCAGGTACCTGAAGATCTAGGTGCTTTGCGTAGCTTCTATTTCACATGTTCGCAGTCTATTGTAGAAAAAGTCTGGCTTGGAACGCTCAAGTTGCACCGTTTGTCCTTGCCTGCTCGCTATCCACACCGGATTCTTCCACTCATTTTAGCCTTGAAATGTGCTGAATATTCCACAAAAGCAATGGACGGAAATCCTCTTGTGGCAGAGGCTTCTTGGAAGCCTCTGACGAGCATGGAGCTGCGCAGTCTCTCCCGCGAGGATAGAAGTTCGCAAGATGCATACGAAATGTCTTTGTTAGGACGTGATCAGGAGCTAAACGTCAGTACGAACACCCCACATATCGACTCAAGTCTAAAGCTCATTTTGTGGCGAACAGCGTAACTTTCGGTTCATTTCTACCCTGGGATTTGCGTGCACGTTGATGAGCACGTGGGAGATTTCTCTGATGTCAGTCTCCCAGCGGAAAAGGTTGAGGTGATAGAAACTGACAGCAGCATAACAGGACAAGCTTCTATGGGCTTCTGAATGGAGGTCCTGCTGGTCTTGTGTGGGGCTATTTAATAACATGGGTCGGATACTCCCTAGTGTTTGCCTCGATGGCCGAATTTGCCTCTATCTCTCCAACATCAGGAGGCCAGGTAATACATGTTCTCGCGCTGGGTTTGGCATGAAGTGACTTAACTGACTGTGATCTCAGTACCATTGGGTGTCCGAGTTTGCGCCTGCTAAGGCACAAAAGTTTTTGAGTTACACCACTGGTTTGTCATTTTACCTTAGCAGTGTGTTCGCGCTTGAGAATGGCTAATCAGCACGCATCATTAGGATGGGTCTCAGTGTTGGGCTGGCAGGTTGGCCTCACTTCGCTAGCATTCCTTGCTGGAACCATGATACAAGGTCTGCTTGTCCTTACGAACCCACAATACGCATTCGAGCGGTGGCATGGCACCCTTCTCGTAATCGCCATAGCGGCATTCTGCATGATTTTCAACACTGTGCTGGCGAAAAAGCTCCCTATGGTCGAAGGCCTGGTCCTCTGCATACATATCTTGGGATTTGCTGGCGTCCTTATACCACTTTGGGCATTCGCGCCACTTAACAGCCCAAGTCGTGTCTTCACAGAGTTCCTCAACCTCGGTGGATGGGACACAAAAGGCTTGAGCTTCTTTGTGGGTCTTCTGTCCCCAATCTACACGCTGATTGGGGCTGATTCGGCTGTACACATGTCCGAGGAAATAAGGAACGCATCGTTGGTTCTCCCCAAGGCGATAATGTGGGCGGTGTTCATTAACGGAAGCATGGGATTCGCCATGATCATTACATTCTGCTTCACCATTGGCGATGTTGAGGAACTTTTACACTCCCCAACAGGTTTTCCTTTCATACAGGTATTTTATGATGTGTAAGTGGAAATCCATTCGTACTCTGTAACCGTTATACCTCACCTTGATTGTCTGTTTCTCAGAACTTTGACCTGATGGTTACTACATGAAGCTGATATGATCGCACTGGTAGAACTCAGAGCTACTCCGGTACATCAATCATGACAGCACTACTAGTTGTTAACATAACATCCGCGTGTATCTCAACCGTTGCCACGGTCTCACGTCAAACATGGGCATTCGCTCGAGACAATGGCCTTCCATTCTCAGCGTTCATTGCCCATGTCAAACCGGGCTGGAACATACCTCTCAACGCCATCCTCGTTACCTTTGTGATCACAGCCGTCCTCTCGTTGATCAATATTGGCTCTACGGTCGCATTCAACGCCATAGGATCACTTTCAGTCAGTGCTTTGCTCGGAACTTACATACTATCCATCACTTGCCTGGTGATTCGCCGTCTTGAGGGACCACTCCCTCATCGCCGTTGGTCTCTTGGCTTCATGGGGCTGTTTGTCAATCTTGGGGCAATCATGTTTTTGCTTGTGGTTTGGGTCTTCTGTTTCTTCCCAATTTCGCCACAAGTCACACCCGAGACCATGAACTGGAATTCGGTCATGTTCTGTGGCGCCATGTTCTTCGCTATGCTTTATTATCTCCTTCACGGACGCAAATATTATACGTCTCCGAGGAGCTTGGTCAAAAGAAACGGTTGATATAATTCCACACAGAAATTCCAAATTGAAGTCCAATCTTGATAGCTGATCTTTTATGGGAGGCCTTCGTCACTGACGGCTCCCATATCCACATCGGCAAAGACTTTTTTATAATTCTGATCGCTTCACAACTAATTAAACGATACTGACACACACACTCGAGCGTCCTGCTTCTCTGTTCAAAAAGATGATCTAAGCGGCTTGAACCGTCCTGACTGGTTATAAAATCTCATAAAGCAACGATATAACACGCAACACAAAGATTTACTGGAAGGGAGAACGATAGCGTGCTGGTGTGCCTCTTATTGCACAAAAGGTACGCCTAAAGCTACCCGCCTGGAGGAGCTCTGTGGGTCAAGGTATGGTCTCCTGGCTTGGCGTCAGCATCTAGGTGGGAATTTCAATACCATGAGTACCAAGTAAATGATCCCGTCAAAACAAAATGAAGATATGAGATGAAAGGCTGAAGTAGAATAGGAACGTACTCGCCGAGACCAACCGCTCGATTGCCGAATCTGTCACCCAAGCCATTATAGTCAAATGTTGCAGTGTGGAAAACACTGCGGTTGTCCCAGATTGCTTTTTAAAAAAAAGTAAGCTCAAGTATGAATTCGAAGCGTAAAGTTAGGACAACGCACCAATGTCATTCTTGTTCTGCCACTTCAAGCGGACCTGCAGGTCGTGATTCTTGTAGACTAAGTCGAGGAACCACTTTAAGAGATGATCACTCTCCTCCTGAGTGACGCCATTGATATGACGCACATGACCGCCGACTGGGAAGATGCTTTTCCACCCTGTCACGGGGTTGGTGCGAACGACTGGATGGATGGCCTTGAGGTCCAGTCCAACGTTCTCGGGCGCACCACGGGGCTCACTGTAGAGCTTGAATCCGCCCCTGTCGGCGACCTCCTGAAAGAATGGCTGAGCAAATGTCCCTGTTAGGCCCTCGAGAAATTTCTGGTATGGCTCGCTAATCCGATCATAGATCTCATAACCCGAAGCCCAGAGGGTATCTGTTCAACGTCAGCCTCTCTAGCCTACCTAGTTGCCAAAATGGGCCAGAAGCCAAGGTCAGACAAGGCATGGTCACACTCACCCCCACCTGTCTCGGGAAGTTCTACCAGGCGCAGTGAGGTGTAGTCAGCTGGCACAGGCTCGAAAGCTATGTCCGAGTGCCACTGGGCACTATTCTGCTTCTTGGCGCTGAGCTGATCCGCCGTGTCCCGTTTGTACAGCTTGTTGTGCTGAACGGAGCTGATGGTGGAGATCTCCTTGTCGTTGCCACCAAGCTCCCGCGAGTCGTTGAGAATCGGATGAATGTGGAGCCCAGAGGTCTTGGGCCTCCCAGTTAGTTCTCCGAGGCGCAGGATCAGCTTCTTCTGGAGGTCATTGGTGAGCTCATCCTGGGCACGGAAGAAAACCACCCCACGTTGCGAGACTGTAGGCTTGACATTAGCGACACTTGCGGGTTCCCCATTGAAAGAGGCGGCCTACTAGTGATTGCGAGATCTCTGAGCAGCTCGTCGGAGTTTTCCGCATTCAGCCAGTCTGTGAGGCTGGCCTTTGGGAACTCTCGACCAATGCTAGGTGTGACATCGAAAGACTCGAAAGAGTCCAGGGCTCCAGACAGCTTCAGCGGCTGTCTGTGCTCTTCCTTGGACCGAATCGGCGTGTCAACCTCGATGGCGGAAGGCGTCATCTTTTCCCAAATGTATAACTTGCTTCAGCACTGGCACTGATGACACGGAACGTTGTAGTTAGCGTGGAGACTACCTGGGGCTCATCAGTTTATACTGGTGTTTGAAAATGTAAAGGATGTGCGCGAGGTTCTTTGGAGAAGCTGCAACAGAGACGTAGAAATAAATACACATTTCATAGATGACAAACGACCGGTGTCGCTGCGGTCCGGCAGTCAATATAGGTGTCTGGATTCCTGAGCTCGAATCAGCTCCGACTAAGCCTGGTAAATCATCAATCCGCCTCGATGGTGGAAGGCAGTCTAATGATTTCGTGCTTTTAGTTGGTCTGCGCCATCGAGTCGTCCTCTTGTTCACGCAACCAACCCAGGTCGCCAAGCCAATCAGGAGCAATCACATCCCGCGGGCGGGGTCGTAGAGCACAGAAGGACGATGCCAGGACTCGGCCTGATATTATCACCAGGTTGCTATTTTTCTGTAAGAGGCAACCGCCATTTCAGCTTGTTAAACAGATTGACTTTCCTGGAATTACTAGAATATACATCTACTAGTTATTTGCGATCTTGTCTTCAAATATAACATATATCATATTTTTGTCACAATAAGGCAGAGGAGAGCATTCGCATAGCGCTGGGCATGTCCGAGCAAGAATGGGATTTCCTCCGGGAGGAGGGACCAATCTCCCCACACGAATTTGGTTCGATTAATGACAAGCGAGCGCCTCTGTCTCTGATTCCGGACGAATCAGCCGTACTCGTTTGGAGTCTGGAAGTCTTGGTGGGGTGGTGAGGTCGACATTCGGGGAGGTCATCACGCCATCCCGCCATCCCGCCAAGCATCAACTCACATGCCACGTAGGATTGTACACAGCAACGATGAAGGGGACTTCGCATATAAGCTGTATACTTGATCAGGCTAGCACAATTCCCCAGCTGAGGGCCGCAAGAGCAAGACAAATACTATGTTTAATGAAAGTCGCACTGTGATAGTCTGATACGACCATAGCCCACATTGGGTTATTAATTCTGCATGAAAGTGCCGTTTGAGGTAATGATGATCTTTGTGCGTCTATGATATGTGCCTCGCCCAAATCTAAACTGCATTTGAATACGATGGGGGTGTTTGGCCCGCTTAGCCCAATAGGAAGTCATATGGGCACATCACGCAACCAGATCCAAGGCCTCGGTCAATGCCCTCGGTTAATCCAGGAATCTGCTCGAGGAGGCGACATCGGCGTCAGGGGCATGGTAGTGTGTGTCGTGGACCAACTGTCCTGTTGTTGGGAATCATGCGGCTTTCCTTCGCCATCGATAGACTAGGAGGACAATCCCAGTGCCTTACGAGTAAAACAAGCTGCTTGAGGATACTATATATGAACGGGAATGGTGGTTCTGTTGCTCGATATTAAGTTACACGTGGCAGCTCTTTATTTCTTGGAACTTTGCTCGGCAGAGCTGAGTCCACGACATGCCTCTTGTATTGGGCATTTGCTTCCAACGTTGGCATCATGACCACAGTAGGGCTGTGTAGGGTTGTTTCCCTTGAGACCTGTAGACACGCTTAAACGTCACATACACTCACACTTGATGCCCAGGTGGCTACTGAACGAGTGTGGCCACAGTACTTACAAGAACCCATCCGGATCCACACAATGGAACGACGGGTGATGAAAGATGAGCTTTTGACGTCGAGTACCCTGCCGACTTGGCACATGGCATTGGGAGTCCCCATTCAGACCGTGACCATGTGGACCTGGGGAGGTGGGGCAGGGATTTGGACCCTGACAACAGATAAGCAATCTTATCGATAAGCATTTTTTCCCCTGGGCCTAAAATCGCATTCTGTCAGACGGTAATCCTGGTCTTTTCTCGCAGTGCAAAACAAAGCCATCCATCTCGAGTCCCCCTTTGAAGCGGACAAGCTCGTCCCTCGTCCCTCGTCCCTCGTCCCTCGTCCCCCATCCCCCCTCCGCTTCTCTCATGTCTCGACGCCTCCTTTCTGCCACATCTCTTCCCAGTTTTCGATCACCGAGTCTTCACTTGTCACTTATCCAGCGCAGTCCTTTTCAGGGACTCCGCACGCTCTCGACAATCATGGCCTCAAACGGCGATGGCCTCCCGAGTACGAAGCCCGCTTCCTCCACCGACAACAACTCACCCGTTGCCAGGGGAGGTCGCAGGAGGCAGAACAGAAGGCATCCATACCGCCCAAGCGACAGTGCGAAATTCTCGTCGGGCCCAGCGTCGTCCTCCCAACATGCCTCGCAAGCACGGCGCCCCCCGGTGCAGAACAACAAGTCAATCATCGCACCTGCTCGCCCCACGTCGTCGCCTCCTCGCGTCCGCTCTGGTCCACCACCTCGTGCCCCCACGGCCGCGACCCCTCGCGTTCGCTCTGCCTCTCCTCGTCGCCCCGCCGACACGACAGGTCTTACCCGATTTGACGCGCTTGCACAATACAACATCCACCCCACCCTGCTCCAGACCATTGCCCAGGACATGAAGTTCGAGTACATGACACCAGTCCAGGCCGAGACCCTGCCCCTGCTGCTCTCCGGCCGCGACGTCCTCGCCCAGGCCAAGACCGGGACGGGAAAGACGGTGGCATTCCTCCTACCCGTCATTCAGAAGCTGGTCCAAAATACTGAACCTACCGGGCGCACAAGCCTGCTCGTTATCTCCCCGACCAGAGAGCTCGCATTGCAGATAGCAGCCGAGGCCAAGGAGCTTCTGCAGCGATTCCCAATGTTCAAGGTCTGCACTGCCATCGGTGGCACCAACATGCGTAGCGAGACCGCCAGCATGCGCAGGGGCTGTGACATCCTCGTCGCAACTCCCGGGCGACTCCAAGACCATTTGACACAGCCCGACGGGGCCATCCGATCCATGATGCAGTCTCTCCAGGCCCTGGTCCTGGACGAGTGCGATCGTCTCCTGGACATGGGCTTCCTCAGGGATCTGAAGAAGATTATTGGTCTTCTCCCGGACAAGACAACCACCCAACGCCAGGGCATGTTGTTTTCCGCCACCATCGCCCCTCACGTACAACAGTTTGCCAGCCTGGTTCTCGCCAACGGCTATCAGTTTATCTCTACCATCCCGGAGGGCGAGGCCCAGACCCACGAGCGCGTGCCGCAACATGTCACCATTGTTCCCGAGTTCTCCGACCTGGCAGCTGGCACGGTCGGAGCCATACGCCAGGAGATGGCAAGAGTTGGCAAGGCCAATTTCAAGGCCATCGTTTTCGCCCCGACCGCTGCGCAGGCCGACTTCTACGCCGACGTCCTGGGGGCCTTCAAAGACCTGCCACCCATCTGCGCCCTCCACTCACGCATGTCGCAAGGCAAGCGCACCCGCGTCACCGACGAGTACCGGAATGCATCCAACGGCATTCTCTGTGCTACGGATGTGGTTGCCCGTGGCATAGATTTCCCCGCGGTTTCCAACGTCTTCCAGGTCGGCCTGCCCATGGACAGGGAGTCCTACATCCACCGGCTGGGCAGGACTGCTCGTGCTGGCGCCGACGGCCACGGCACTCTGGTTCTCGCCTCCCACGAAGCCTTCTTCCCCAAGACGGCCCTCAAGGATTTGAAACTGAACGAGACACCGGCCGACCTGAGCGCCCAGGCTGAGGTGTCCGCTTTCACCAGGAACATGGACCCTGATATGCAGGGCAAGGTCTACCAGGCATGGCTGGGATACTACAAGAGTGCCAAGATGAAGATGTCTGTCATCGAGCTGGTCCAACAGGCCAACAAGTTCGCCCTTGAGGGTCTTGGTGCGGCGGGAGTGCCTGCCCTGAAGAAGAAGACCGTCGGCCAGATGGGACTGAAGGGCGTCCCGGGACTCAACGTGTCCAAGGTGTAGATAGAAGTGGCGTGCCAACCTCCACGCACAGTACGTACATGAACACGAGGAAGATCTCTGGTGGCTGGCAGGTAGTTGAGGCGTTTCCTTGGGTTTTCACAGCTCTACTTAGATAGGTTCTCCTTGTTTGTTAAGGCTCTCGGCGATCCGGCGAGTCCACTGCATCCCTTAGAACGGCTAGGTGGGCACAGGTTGCTGAGGAGGAATAGACATTGATACCCACTACATTATCCCATTATCCTCTCCGCAATTGTATTAGTCACATGGAAACACCGTAAAGGCCCATGCATCTGGGGCCGAATACCAACCCTCACTGCCAGCGTGTCCGATCTGGCCGGGGCTGAGGGTAAGACATCGGTCTCCACGGCCGAGTCCCGCTAGGTCCCAGAGGTCCCCCCGGGCTGACCGCCGGCTGCCCCCGTTCCGGGTCATTAACCACGTCCGACACGTCCGACACATTCTCGCTCACCGAGTCCCCGGTCGGCCCATCAAAAACACTCAGAGAGAAGCCGTCTCCCAGCGACGACGGCGTCGTAGCGACGGAGAAAGGTCGCGTCGTGTCTCCGCCGCCCTCTGGCCCGGGGCTGCGCAACGTATGGGATGATGAAGGCTTTGGTCGCGGTGGCGCTGGTGGCAGCGCCTTCATCATGATGCTCTTATCATCGGTCGGGTCCTCGGTCGGTATCCTCTGCAGCGTCCTGTCCCTTGACATGATGTCCGCTGACTTTGCAGTAGTGGTGGCGGACTTGCCAAGCCCGCTCTGGCCATTTGATGCCTTGCTGCCCCCCGTGGCGATATATGAGAGGCCGCTGCCGAGCCGGGACGAGAACCGTGAAATCATCTCTGGCAGGACTGGGACGTACTTGACCACCACCTGTCTCGTTGCGGGGAGGCAGGCGACCGTCACGCCCGTGGTCAGCTCGAGGGCGGACCATAATGCCACGCCGAAGAAGTCCACTATTTGCATGGTCATGTCAGTCGATGTAGAGGCGGGTCTAAGGGCTTGGCTATGAGATGCGGCTTCCCGGGTGTACTTACTGGTTGGATTTTGCGGATAGGCTTGGGCGAAACCAATCAAGCTTCTCAGGCGGATACAGCTCACAGTGGTGATGCTATCGAGGCGACGTTAGCCTGCCGATCTGCCCAAGAACTCGGAAGCCTCAATAGCTCGTCACGAGAACTTACAATATGCCCAGCCCGAACATGACCATGACACCGAGTTTCCTTCTGAGTGGCATCTTCAAACCCCATACTTGACTAGCCGGCAGTGCCAACATCCAGACGTCGAGGGCAATATTGATTATGGCATGCGCCCAAGCCATGGCGTAGATATTAATACAGCGACCGACGTGCTCGCCACTATGCAATATCACCGTCAGCATGCGCCTACGTATATGTGCTGATAGCTCAGTCTTGATATATCGTTGCTGATATGTGTCTCAGGTTGCACGACTTACTCCCACATGTCCCAGAAATAGCTCATAGGTTGACACTGCGCCAGGTCGACTATCACGAAAACCCCGACCAGGGTCACGTTGAAAATCTGGGTCGCCCAGAGGAAGCGTCGAATCCTCCTCTCGGGAAATAGTCGGAGGTAAAGAAAGGTGATCGATATTTTGATAGTTCCGATGGTGATTGTGTACAGCACCTCGAAAACGAAGAAAATTTGGAGAAAATTTGTGATTTGGTTGAATGGGACAAACCAAATGTCCTTGCCCAGTCCGTTCTGGTTGGCTATAGTTTGCCTGTCAGATATTGTTGACTGGATTTTGGAGGGCGTAATCTTACCAATAATTCCGCCGGCAAGGAACACATTCTGTAGTACCTGCTACGCTGTTAGCTTCCACCACGAGCGTCTTGAACACTATTCATTGTTTCTCACAAAGGCAACGACAATAGTCGTGTCATCTGGTCCCCATGGTGCGAGCTTGAGGATTCTGGATGATATTCTGACAAAGAAGAAGACATCTTGGATGATGGTAACCACTATTTGGAGTAAAGTGACGATGGGTCCCCGGTCGACGACAGGAAGGTTGCAATTAGTTGATGTGATACGCTTGACGACTGTGTGGGTGTTAGCGAAATCCTCTTCCCAAGTAATACATGACTGCCCTCCAAGTTATGTGAAGGGTTGATGATGAACGCACCCAACTGGTCTTTGACAATGCAACCCAGGATGACGCAGTTCGTCACCGCATCATTGTAGACCTTGTCAAGGCACAGGCAGGTGTAATCTGTCAGGCCACACTTGGATGTGGAGAGAGAGGAAACAAGACAGGAAACCTGGACTTGGCGTCAGTATCCATCCCATCGATCATACTGAGGTGAATGAACCGGACATACACCACACTGTGGAACTCCAGTCAGATTAAAAGACATCTGGGGTTGATGCTGGTGAGCCTGGTCCGGGCGACTGGAGACATATGCAAGAAGGATAATCTGCGGCAGGGTTTGTGCAGGTGCTGAAGAGTATTTACGATCTCATCGGCAGCGTCGAGCCTGGAAGTATCAGAGTACGTTGTTTTCTTTACATGCCCACCCAGCCCATCTGCTGTGGGCAAGCCACCGGTTTTCTGAAATTCTACCGAAATGATTAGCAATCGTCCGAATACAGCAAATGTTACGAGGGTCTGCAGCATATAAGCTGGGGTCGTTCCCGTTACGGGGGGGAGGCATCCGATACGGTCATGTTATCCCATGGTTGCGTTTAGCATGCAAGTGCTCAGATGGCTAAAGATGAAGTGCAGATCACAGGATTTGTGAGACTAAGAAATATTCTCCGAGCAACGCTTGCTAGTGAGCCATCCTGACTGGATAACGCACACCTCCCTCCCAGGCCTCCCCCTCCATCGCCACTTGACTTTCTAGGCGGCCTAGGGGGGTCTCACCGTACAATTCCTTGAGCTATGGCCATCTGTCGTTATGTGAGACGGTCAAGATCTACACTACTACTGGAATGGTCCCCCCCTGCTCCCGAGTGGAGTCAACAACATCAAGGCTATCTTGACCCACTCCATCCCGGAGCCGTCAATGCTGTCAAGTCGGGAGATCAAAAGCCAAATGAGCCGCTCCAGTACCTCAACGGCGAGCTCGGCACGTTCCCCTAGTGGCTTGACTAAAGGAGGAAAACCATCCAGGGACTGAGCTGACCGCCGAAACACAAGGGCCAAGAAGCTAGTACCTGTCGTTAAGTGAGGCTCCCCTGTCAGGAATGTTCACGATGCAATCGAGTGGAGTCGATACCTGTAGGGGTCGATAGCTTTGACTTCAACATAACAGACTCGATCCGAACGAAAGCCGGGTACCAGGTCAGGTGTCCTCCTAACTGGGGTCCTGTTGCCAGGACGGCCAAGGCAACAAGCCACCTTGGGAGTCATGCTTGACATTGGTCTGGAGAGCCACAAGGTTTCTGCCTCCCAGGATCTGACACCCTCGAAACCCTTCAGGTGCTGCAAGATCTCGTTTCAATTGTTGCTCATGGAACTGTCAACCCCATAATGCAGTGTCTGTGCCATCATGAGCAACCTTCGTTGTTCCCCCACATGTTCGACTTGTTAGGATCCGAATTAGCAACACCGTCGAGCTTATATCGCCTCCTGAGGTCGCGGCCGGAAAGCATCGCCAGCTCCTCTTCTGGCCCCGGATGCAAATGGTCACCCGGAATGTATGACAGCCCGTGCGCAAGCCTAGTTGCCAATACCTATGCCAGTGGCGCCTAACTCCACCCAGTACGGAATAGCTTGGGAATCCATCCATATCTCATCCCGCTCGGAAATCCGCGCAGAAAAACAAGGGAAAAAAGATTTTTGAGGGTGCACCTACCACATTGGTGAATAAGGTTTCTATGTAAGACCTGACTTATGTTACAACCTTAACCGCCCACACCGGGCCGATGTCACACGGGTGATGAACCTCGTCCGTGCGGCTGCGTGCGACTGTGGATCTCTCAGAACCAGATAACGTCTCGAACTTGGAAGAGGGCCGTGTCACGACATGGTCCAGGTGACTGCATCGCCTGCATCTCATGTACTGAGAAGCAGTGCATTGCCAATGCTTGAAACTGGGTCTCTCTCTGCAAGGGCAGCTAGCTGATGTTGGCCACAGACTGTCGCCGGCTGGAAGGCTTTCTGGCCTGACACGGAGCCTCCCGTGGACGACTCACGGCAACAGATTGTGCGCATATCCATATTCTTCCATAAAACCTTATCCAACTGCCGATATATGCCGTTGGGAGCCTGGAAGTCTCGCCGAGAATGTCTTGTCTATATATATAGAAATGCAATTATTGTCTTCGGACAAAGGGAGTAGGGCACGACTGGTTTTCCAGGAAGCCTAGCCGAACCATGATGTATATTACACTGCCTGTCTAGCGGGTGGCCAACTTTGACAATACCTGATCATAGCTCTGATGGACCCTTGTCGCATCCGGGATTCAAGATGGCGATCCAAGGTAGCAATCCAGAATCGAATCGGTGCCAGCCGGCCAGAGCCCGAGATATCAGATGATATCAGGAACATGAAACTCAATGGAGTAGCATCGGCCATAACGGACGAATCTGGTACGGGACAGCCACCTTGCTCGCTGAACTGACAGGCTGGTCGAGGGCACTCGCCGATTAGTGCACCACGATCATCTCATCATCGGGGGACTTGAAACGTACAGGTGGCATCAGCGTCCGTGCATTTGAGATACCTGGGCTTCGGTTGAGGGGTCAACTTGCCAGGCCTGCTGGACCCTGTCGACCATTAGCTTGCCAAGTGCGCGCGCGACGATCCCCTGGCAGAAGCGGGCCCGGGGGGGGGTTCCTATCTCTGGAATGGGACATTGTGTAAGGCACGCACTGACACATGGATTCGATGTTGTGGATATCTCATTACCTACTCCGTACTAGGTATTAGTATAATGCATACGCACCATCGGCTCGTCGAGCCGGAGCACCCAAACGCGGGGGCTACGCAGCGCTACAGACGCCACAGACGCACCTCGACCGAGGCGAGGAACAACTCAGACCCGAGCGTTACATCGACGATATCATTGGGACCCGCGGCCCAGGTTGGTGGCGTCGAGCCTGGCGGTTCCGCGTGACAAGCGTGTAACGAGTACACAACCGACCAGCCCACGTGGGCTCCTACGTTGCCAATATGTCGTGCGCATTTCGCCTTGTGCGGCTGGGAGAGTAGCGAACCGCCGAATATCGCCGCATATAATGACCGGGCTGGGATGAAGTGGCGTGGTGTGCAAGCACCGCGCTGTCCTGCGCTGGGACGGCCAGCATTTGAGGCGTAGTGGCAGCCCGAGATCTTGGACACATCGATCGGAATCCCGTCCGACGGGTTCTACGGTTCGTCAAGATCCGAGAAACATCGGGCAGTCGTTCAGGTTTCACAGTAGCCGTTCACGACGGCTGTGCATGGTTGTTTAAATAAGCTTGTTTGCTTTAGATTCCACAAGTGCGGGCCATTATTACCCCAGTTTTTTCCACGAGCCCGTGTTCCGGAAAGCATAAGATCGTGTCATTAGCATGACTGCCCCTTTGATACCAGTAACAGATGCCGCAAGCAGTACCGGCTGACATGACAACGGCATTTCCATACATCAAAAGAAGAGCCGCCCGCCTCTCGGCCTGACCGAGTAGCGATCCCGACCCCACGACCTCGGGAGTAGCCACTCCTGCACGCCTAAAAGACCAGCTGCGCAAGACGTCCAGTCAAGCCAGCCAGTACGACCGAGCTCGTGATGAAGATGGGCAAGCGGACCATGACTTTGTTCACCAGGGACTGGAAGAGCGAATGGACGACCCTGATGCCGACGTAGCCCCAGGCAGCGTACTTGGTATACTTGTGGTTGTCACCGACGATGGTCAGGGCCAATGCCACCGCGAAAAAGGTAGTCGGCTGCTCGTGCAAGTGGTTGAAGTTATCCGCAATCTGACGAATATGAACCGGGATCTTGGTGTTCAGTTCCTCCTTGCACTTGATTTAAACCAGAGAATTAGTACCGTAAAGACCGCAAGGAAATTATTGAGATAGTAATCTTATAAGCAGCTCGCACGAGCTGTATTTGGAGACGAGAGCGTACCTTGTCCGGGTCAGTAGAAACGCCGTACTTGCTTACGGCCGGGATGCGGGTGGCATACATCCAAGCTTCCATGACGAATGTCCATCCGGCCAGGGCGGCGACGGGCCGGATCAGGGGGGTTGGGAGGCCTAGGTATGATGACATCTTGTTGAGCCCGGTGTGTGCACGTGGTCAATTGGGTGAATCGTGTCAGGGTGCCTTGGTGACGTTTAGTCAAGGTTCGATAACGAGGTTGGTTGTTCTGTTGCTGCTTGTCGAAGAATGGCCGCGGACATCCGTCGAGAAGAGGGGTTCAGGTGGAGTGCTGCTATCTGTGACAAGCGAAGTGATGCTGCCCCCTGGAATCCTTCGGGTTGTACTCGGCCTCCAAATTTGCAGCAGAAATGCGCTACACCCCACAGCACAGGAAAGGGCGTGTGTAGTTACCCAAGTTACCTGTCTAAGCGGAGTTCTTTTCACTCATATTACTAAAAGCACTGCCTACGCTTATGCACTCCTCCCTGTACATAGTACCAGAAAAGCCCAGCAGTATTACTCGAAGCGCCAGACATTGCTACTCAATGAAGTGTTATACAGCGAGTAAACATTCGTTACTAGAGTCCTACGCGGTCTGTTGACCATTTGCTGCGCCACTCCGACTCGGATGCAGAGCCGTGCATTCGGATGCATAAAGCGGTGATGGAACCCAAGTGCCTGGGGCAGACCAGGCCGTCTCGCGGCATCAAGCCAGAAGCGTACAAGTGCGACTGCGGCTGACTGTCCCACTGCAAGCTGTCGGGTAAACTACGCACCGTGACATGGCACAAAGCTGACGGGAACCACGATGGCCCACTGGCGAGGACGCCGCGCTTATCCCAAATGGGATTTATACCACGAGAGGCCACTGGCTATCTCGTGGCTCAGGTGTGTCATTTGCTCCTTTGCGAATGCGCCTCATTCCACGCCCAAGCCGTGACCTATCCAAGGCTGCCTCGACCCAATATGGCGTTCTGGTTCATTAGAAAATGTGATGATGATTCCTTACTTAAAGACGCCTGCTGCGTCCCATCAGTCTCGAGCGCTGGTGAGCCAAACACCAAAAGATTGTACCCAGTCTTCTCGATATCAGCGCTCAGACACAGTGCTCAGATCCTGGGGACTTGAACAAATCTTTTGAGCAAAATCTCGTCTTCTTATACAAGTACTAGTAAATACCAGGCAACATGATCCTCGCATATCGTTGGGCGCGCAACAAGCACCAGCAACGCCAACAAGCGCGCGATGAGGAGCCACTGGGATCGCCCCCGACCAACACGGTAGAACTCCCTGTGCAAGCACACACGGAAGCAACAGAACAACTTGGAAAAACCAAAAAATCATCTCAGAGTCTCGAACCGCCGGCAAATGCCATCCAAAACGGCACCCCGGCGGCCGTGCCAAGTGCCAAGGCCGTGGCCAAGTCGGAGAAACCGGAGGCCACCCCGGAGGAGAAGGCGGAACAGCGCCGCAAGAGAGTGTACCGATGGAAGATAGTCATCGGCCTTTTCGCACCTTTCACCCTGCAGAGCCTGGACACAACTATCATTGCTTCTGCTCTGCCATTCATAGCGTCTGACTTCAGTGAGTACATTCTACCAGCGTGACTACCGCCGTGATTCTCGCGCTACGACTTTCCATCAACGATCTGCAAACTGACATAAACTCATCACTACCTCTATAGACCAGCTCTCCCAGCTCAACTGGATAATATCCGTATTCAACCTCACCTCAGCCGCCTTCCTGCCCTTTTGGGCCCAGATAGCCGACATCTTCGGCCGGCACGCAACGATCCAAACGACTATCATCCTCATGATTATAGGTTCAGCAATATGCACAGGGGCGCCAACAGATGCCTTCGGTGTCCTTCTCCTTGGGCGCGCGATCCAGGGCGTCGGCGCTGCAGGTGTCAACATCAGCGTGCGTGTTATCCTGGCCGACAAGGTCTCGCTAGCCGACTACGCCGTCAACTGGACGCTGTTTGCCCTCTTCTCCGGCCTTGGCTTCAGCATCGGCCCCGTGATAGGCGGGTACCTGACGCGCGCGAGCTGGAGATGGTGCTTCGCCATCAACCTCCCCGTCGGCGTCCTCGCAATCGTGCTGGTCGCCGTGGTCCTGCGCCGCGAGCTGCTTGGCCCGCAGCCCATCGCTGGGCTGGACGGTGAGAGCGGGCGGGACCATGCGGTGGTGGCCTGGCGGGCAAGACTCGGCGCCAGGCTGATGACTCTCGATCACGTCGGCCAGTTGCTCTTTCTCTTCGGCCTCGGCCTGCTCATCCTGGCGTTCACGTGGGCTGGCGGCACGTACGGTTGGGGGTCGGCGGCCGTCGTTGCGCCACTTGTCATTGGTGCCGTGCTCAGCGTTGCGTGGGTATTTTACGAGTACTCTATGGCTTCGCCGCATCTCATGTCCCGGGTGTTCCCCAAGCAGAGGGCCATGATGCCCTGGGAGCTGCTTGCCAAGCGGGATATCTGCCTATTGTTCTTCGTGAACTTCGACATCGGGGTGGCTATGTTTTCTGTGATGTACTTTATGGATCTGTACTTCTCACTTGTCGAGGGCCACAGTTCCAGTGAGGCTGGGCTCTCCTTGTTGTACTTTCTTCCTGGACTCGGATGTGAGCAGTCTCCCTCCCCACTCGGTCCTATATTCACGGCGCTCTCACTGACATCCCTCACCTGGCAGCTGGTGCATACTCCGCGATGTTTTGTGTGAATATCTGGCCCCGTCAAACTCTTCACCCACTGCTTCTGGGTACCATCTCATCCTCTGTGGGCATCACAGTCCTGGCTTGGGCTATATCTGCCGGGCAGACCAACACCATCTATGGCATGATGGCACTCACCGGTTATGGCGTTGGTGTCCGTCTCAGTCCAGCATCGATGCATGGGCTAGCCTACTTTCCAGCGAGTACAGCAGCCATCACCTCCTTGTTTTCTTTTGCTGTGCCGTTTGGCGGAATGATTGCCTTGACGACTATGAGCACCGTATTCAACAATAGGAACGAGGTGAACCCGAAAGACGGCGTGACATGGGCGTATGTTTCCGTCATTCCGTTTGTGTGGCTCTGCACAATTTTGACAACTTTTCTTGGCAACGTCTGGGTTAGGAAAGAAGGGGACCACGAAGTAGTCAATGGAGCTTACTTCTGGAGCCTTTTCACTCGTAAATCGCTACACAAGGAGAGGAGGTCTCGTGAAGGGGCTGGCTGGGCTGGTAGGGCTGTCTCTAACACCAATACTCAAGCGGTTGTAAGTGGTGACGAACACAGAGATACACAGACGGTGTAGATTATGGTCATGTTACCCGGATTCTTTAAAGACGCTTCATGGGTTTAGCGGCTGTAGATACAATTAATCTCAAGGTACCAGTTCAAGGAGCCGCTCGCCTCTTTTAAGTGACCTTTGGCTGCCTGATCATGTATCTAAAAGTATATGTCCCCCACCTGTCGTCTCCCACCGGTGCATTGATGTCCATTTTCTGCGCCCAGCTGTCCAAATCGATCTCCAGCGTGCTGTCCGGCTCGAACCCGCACTTCTGATATGTATGAACACCAGCCTCGCTGGAGTGGACCCAGCATAACACACCCTCGGAATCAGCGCGATCCGTGCCTTTCTTGATAAGAGCAGGGCCGACGCCGCGACCTTGGTATTTTGGATGCACGGTAATCGTTATCACGTACATACACCTCGTATCCTTGAATCGCCCCTGGAAGGCCGCTATGTGGGACGATGTGAACTCCTTGAGCTGTCCTAGAGCGTCAAGGTCCGAATCTGGCTTCAGAATGTCGTCTGCAGAAACAACTAATTTCGGCTTTTCGAGGTTGGTCCCTGCACCTCTCTGACCCTGCCCTGTCGCGATGGTTTGTTCTGACTTGGTTGGGTCTGTGTTCGGGACAACCTCGTCAAGGCTCATGCCCCAGCACACAAACCCTAAAATCTCCCCTGTTGCATCGTCGACTGCCTTGGTCAATTCTAGGCTTCCGGCTGGACGGCTGATCCAATACTCAAAAGCTCCACCCATTCCAGCTGCGTGGTTGTAGGGCCTTGTTGGGTGGGCAGCCTTCAGCATTGTGTGTCTGTCGTCCTCGAAAGCGAGGCCGCACATTTCTGCCATGGCGGGGAAGTCAGCTGGGACGACAGGCTTGAGTGAGAACGACGTTGCGCCGGTGGGAAGTGACATTTTGACGTTAAAGAAGAGGCAAAGAATGGTGGTTGAGTTGCAAATTTGTTGTGTTGGAAATGAGATTGTGTGGACTTTTACAATCAAGCAACGGGCATCTGACAATAGTCAACATTTGAATAGGCGGATATGCTTAGGTATCCAGGCTAGCCCTATTGCGTTCGCCGAAGAAAAGGTGCGCTTCTGCAGCCTTTTAGTGCGACGACCTATCTCCGAACCGGGCCAGTGGGATTTGATACGGGATCCGAGTTTGTTCTAGAATACCATCTGATGAAAACTAGAGACTCACCACAACGAGATGCACTTGATCTTACTGTTTCTTGCAACTCAGCGCTGTTCCTACACAACGAGCTATGCTCTATTATCCCTTACCTAGGTGCGCTTCCGCCGCATGGTAACTTCCTACAGGATAAGCTCTTATGAGACAACTTCCTGACCTGTCATGGGAGAATTCCCTATGGGTGAACACCGAGTCCATCGGTGCTATTGTACTTGACTTCATCACCAGAGGTCCAGAGCATGTCGTCCTGGATCGCAAAGAACGATCCCGCACGAGCTATGGGCATCTAGGACACCGTCCACTGGTGGTGACCGACCGAGTCTCAGGGTCGTCGAAGTCCAAGGATCAGATGGTGGTTTTTATTTTGGGCTGGCAATTGATGCGGCCATGCATGAAACAGCCTGTTTCCGACAATGCCGCCAACACTGGGTCGCGAGCCTGAGGCTGGCTTGGCTGGCAGCTGCTGGTGGAAGGTCCAAAAATGATCTCGCAGTGACATTTTAGGCGATCACGTTGCCTTCTAGGGCACTAACTGTTGTTCCGGCTTAATGGAAGAACTGGAACAATACAGATAAACGACCTAAACCTGGTATCAAAGGCGAAGCGTTTCGCCCAACCGCTCCCGAGTGCTTTCGATACCATTATCCACGCCCCTCTCCTCACAGTCTTGAACTAGTTATGAACTGTAGCATGAAGCCCAGGCAGGATCTGCAAGTCCTCAGGCTTGTGTTCGTACTTTCCATCCTCGGTTATCTTGGCCCCAGGCGTCTTCCTCTGCTGCTGGGTCTGGCGGATCTTGACCCACTCTTCAGTAGTGAGATGCTTCCCCAGCTCAGTGAAGACGTTTGAGGTCTTTCCCAGGCGTGCCAGCAGCGGGCTGTTCTGGAGCGGATCCAGAATAACATGATTGTTGGGCCGGGCAAAATATAGGACACCGAGGCGGTCGACGTGTGCCTGGTCCTGCGGCGGAGCGTGCACGCGATGAATGGATGACTTGATGAGCCCTCCCGTCAAAGCGGTCAGCGCATCGCATGTGTTGATGGTGATAGTCCCATCCACAGGCCGGACCCATTTCCATTGACCCTCGTTGTTGAGGATTTGCAGGCCACACACAGGCTGTCTGAAAAGCAGCGTGATGCTGCCAAGGTCGGTATGCCCAGGCGAATACAGTTCGCCGACCTTCTTGTTTTCCTCCTGCGAGCGGGCAGCGTAGTGCATGTATCGCACTATAGCACAGCAAGTCAGCAATCAAACAGTTTAAGGAGTAGCTTTGTACTGATGAAGCCAAGAATAGGCCTCTCTTCAAGTATGCAGCCCCGAAATCTTTGTTGTGTAGACTGAGAACGTGGTATGTTTGTTCCTGAAGGGGTAAGAACTGTGTCCAGAAGTTGCTTACGGTGGTCCTCTCCTTTGATATCGTACTGGTGCTCGTGAACCAGCTGATCCTCATCGGGGAGCTCTAGCAAGATCGCAAAGAGTTTCAGGAGCTTCATAACAACTTCCTCGTGGCATTTCTGTAGTGACAGCGTTAGAAGCACTTGGCCCTTCAATTAGATACAGGAGGACTGTTTCATCACCTACCCGTGAAAATGCCTCGATCTCTCTAATGTTCTCCTCAAGGACCGGTGGCTGTTTGCGCTCGTGAAATCCGTCAAATTTCGGAATATTGTAAACTTGAACATTGTCCTTGATTCCATTGCCAAGGCTTGTATCATGCGGTTAGCATTTCACAAGGCCACCTTGAGGGTCACGAAATCTTACATTCTGTGGCCAGCAGGCCGGTATCCGTTATATTCACCTCGGACAAGATCGTCGCTGTTGTGGTACCTCAGCTTCTCCTCCAGCGGGAGATTGTAGAATTCTCGGCCAAGGGCAAATTGCCTGTCGACTTCTTCTTGCGTGATATTGAAGTTCTTGACATAGAAAAAGCCTGGAAACCAGTTAGCATTTAGTGGCCGCGTAGCTGGAGGTGTAGGACTGGTTTCAAGCTCACCAACTTTAGTGACAGCATACTCCAGCTCCTTGACGAGCTCCTGTTTGCCGCCGGGCGTGTCGAACTTGCTCAGATCGATAGTAACCAACTCCGCCCAGTCCACTGTTATGGTTAGCATCGCTAGACAAGTGGTGACCTTCCATGACTACAAGTCATAATTCTGCAGGAGCTTACTCACGGTCTTCCTTGGTCACGGGGACCTGTTCATACCTCTCAATGATTCTTCCAGGCATCTTGTGTAATCGATGTAGTATATTCTCTGAATAACTACGAGTTGAGACTGAAGCTGAAGCGTGCAAAGTCTGGGCCTGTAGAAAGTGATGTTTCTCCAGGAGAAGCTAGTTATGGAGCGATGTGGGAAAAGTCAAAGAAAAGTCGAAGATGCCGCCACGACGAAGAAATATGACTTTCAACTGGCTCGGCCTACAATCAAATCACGTCATACGGCTTATCACTAATGCTCTTACAACCATGTTGCTCTCCAAAGGGTGGACCGGGTCCTTTTCAACTGCACATGGGCATCCACCTACTACTCTGCCCGCATCGACCACCAATGATAACGGGCACGAATGTGTGTCAATTGTCAGAAGCTAGTGTACAATTGGCAACCCGCACGCCGGTCCCTCCCAGACGCGTCGACCTCCACTGCCGGAACGAGTGAAGGAGTGCGGAGATGCGAACACGCAATCAGAGTTATGGAGCACACCATCTCACAGCCATTGGGTGAAATATCAATGTCATCCAACCGCAACAGTTTTGATGTTTACTCTCATGCTGATGAAAGGTTTAGAGTCGGAACACGCGGCTTTCACCTCGTGGGTATTATTGTGTTGCCTCTCTGGAAGGATGCGGGCCCAGTCAGACTCCGACACGGCCGAAGGCCCAAATCTTTGAACTCACCAGCACGCCATTCGGACCCCGCCAAGCACCACTTGAGCTCCGAATTGGTCTTGAATGTCGATGTGAAAAAATAGTGTGTCGCTCGTCAAGCTCAAGTATCTGTGTTGTAATAGAAGGAAAAGGATAATTGCCTGCTAATTCAAGGTGAATGCTTTATGTATTGGAAGCTTATTGCCTAGTTGCCTAGTCACGGGCTAGAAACGCAAGATCTGAGTTGCAAACTATATTAATATGTCAGTCTCACTCTCATTTCCGAGCATTGGTACGCCTTTAAGAGATGCGTTCATTATACCGATTGGTCTTGAGCGTTCACTACTAGGTGAAGGGGTTATATGCCTTCAGGGTGTATACGGACCAAGAACGGAACCATGTCAACATTTAAGTTATTATTTTTCATTATCTTCTTAGCTTTTAGACTAGCTATTAGCTTGTACCTTAAATATAAAGTTAATAATTACTCAATATATACCCTTAAATTTATTTATATATAGTAGAGTTACTAGCTTCCTTTATAGAGCTCCCTCTTTTACTATATTCCTTATATATTGTATAGAAGTAGATAAATCCTTAATAATAAAGTAGTATACCTAAAGGAGGAAGATTTAGTTCTTAAATACCTAGACTTTTACTTTCCTTATATAATGTTTATTTAATATATAGTAAATAAACTCTACTTAACTTTTTAAAAGGGTTTTAATTTTTTTATAAAATTTATATAAAAAGGCTTTCTTAAATAAGTTTATTATTATAATATTATTATTCTATTAACTATATACTTAAAATAAGGATTATAGTATATTTAGTTTATTTAATAAAAATAGATCTAAATAGTTATATAATAAGTATATTAATAAAAAGAGTTAGTTTATTAAATCTTATATTATAGGATTCTTCTTCTTATAAAGGCTATTTTAAAACTATTATAATTTTATTATATAACTATTTTATTAGTTTTAACTTTAATATTATAATAAATTAACTTTTAAGTTATTTATATTAATAATTCTAATATAATATTATTACGAGTAATACCTTTTAGTCTTATTTATATAGTATAAAGTTTAGCTATATATCTATATATTATATTCTTTTTCTATTATTATTAATATTATATTTCTTTAAATACTAGGTTTTAAGTGTTTACTACTATATAAAGGTGTTATGTATATTTTATATATATAGGGATTAAAAACGAAACCACTACTTGAGTCATTATTTCTAGGATGATCAACAGCCAGCTATAGCAGAAAAAACTCGTCAGAATTTGGTACGCTGAAGAGAATATTTACATTCTGCTGATTGCCACATATGCCTGGAAAATCAGCTCGACCGCTCAACAAGCGATCTTATTAACCCGCGAGCATACACTTTCTTATGCCAACTCGAATCCCTTCTGTTCCAGTCATCGTTGAAACCCTCACGCCGTCAGTCCACTTCATGATGCATAGCTTTGTGCCGCTGCGACGTCAGCACTCAGAAGCATATTACTCGATTACGAAGATGCGCGTCAACTTGTCATATCATGACTTCAAATTCACCTACAATCTCTATCATGTCCTCTCAGCTGCGTGATCGAAGCCTATCAGCAGCCGGTCAGAATGAGGGTCACCATACTCCTCGAAGCCGTCCCTCTGGCGGCCAGCATTGTCTTTGCCGACGGCATCCTTGGACGTGACAATGGGGAACGTGGGCCAGAGATCGAGGAGTCCCACTACTGCTTTGAACAGTGCCGGCCACGCAGTCTCATAGTCTTATCAGATGGTCGTCTCTTCGTCTGCTACGCGCGAGGAGGTGGACCTTCCCCCTTCACTTTGGGGTCAGCCGTCAAAAAGACAGCGGACGGCAGCCCAGGCTTCGTGGTGCTGGACCTAGGCATGGGCGATTCGTGGTGGCCGCTCGACGGGGACAGTCACGTCCAATAACGGCGAGGCATTCATCAGACCCCTCAGGGCGGCCGGTCCTTCACCCACACGTAGGAGGGCAACAACGAGATATCGCTTTCTCCAAGCCTAAAGACCATGAAAGTTACCACTCTGACCGGCAGAGAACACCCCTTCCGCCGTTCCCACACGCAACGTCCGGACGCGTGCGCGGGATCGTTTGCTCGCTGGGCCTGGCGGACCTGGAGGCTGGGTGGACGCGGCGCCATGTTCGGCATGGCAGACGGGCTGCCATAGAGGCTGGCCGGGGAGAGCAACTTCAGCAGCCCCAATGGGAATCCTTGACCAGGTCGAGGTGGTCAATGTTCAAGATATCTGACAAGACCTGGACTAGGCTGTGGCCGATGAAGGTGCCGCACCACGGCTTCATCCCGAGCTCCATCGACGGGTCGCTGTGCCTGCCCGGTGCTGCCTTTCAGTGCCGTTCACCAGGGCGAGTCCCCAACCACGTATCATGGCAGATACATCCTTCCGTCGCTGTGAGCATCTGTATGTTCCTGGTTAGGGAAAGCCTTGCGGGCCTTGGGTAGTCCTGGGTATGGTGAGGTTGGATATGCCAGCTCTATGGTGGTACAAGAGCACAAGGGTACAAGGGTACAAGGGTACAAGGGGACCCAGAACCCGAGCGAGCGTGAACCTCTTTGGAGCTGCCCCACTTTGAAGCTCGTCGGGCCGGGGTCAGTAGCTGGGAGCCCCACCTGATTTGGTCACAACTCTGGATCCATCGTCACTGCTGCCTTCCTGTCTCTCCTGCAGCCTGATTCACCTTGCAACACCGACAACAACACCAACGCCAACAAGCAAACTTTCCACTTCTTATTTAAACCTTTACCGTCCACCAACGAAAACAGCACACCATATCCATCCCACACTGCTCCCCATTCGCTCAGTTCTCTTGCCCACCAGCCACTTATCAACCAACCCTTTCCCAAGGGAGACTCCCAAGAAGCAACACATTCGAGTACTGATACACTCCGTACATTCACACCCGACACTCCAGCAACAGCACAACCTCCGTCAACATGTCGAACAAACGCGTCGCCAAGGTTCGTGCACACCCCCGACACCAACAACCACCCCCACAGCCCCCCCAGCCCAGGTGAGATAAACTGACCACGCCTTCCCACTCCCACCAGGAGCTCGGCGAATGCACCCAGAACCCCCCGGCGGGCATGACAGTCACCCTCCCGTCCGAGTCCAACATCCACCGCTGGCACGTCACCCTGCAGGGCCCGCCCAACACGGTCTACAGCGCGGGCCAGTTCGGCCTCGTCGTCCAGCTGCCGCAGGAGTACCCCTTCAAGGCGCCCCTCGTCACCTTCGCGACCCGCATCTACCACCCGAACGTCACCAACGACGACGCCGGCAACATCTGCATCCCCCAGCTCAAGCCCGAGAACTGGAAGCCCGCCTCCAAGCTCGCCGCCGTCCTCGAGGCCGTCCGGAACCTCCTCGTCGAGCCCAACCCGGACGACCCCCTCGAGCCCCGCATCGCAGACGAGTACAGGTCCCAGCGCGCCCAGTTCGACAAGACCGCGCGCGAGTACGTCGGCCGCTATGCTAAGGGCACGCCCAGGTTCGACGCCGCCCCGGCCGCCGCCGCGCCCCCCTCCGCTGGGCCATAGGTACGGTCCATTCCTGTCGGGAGGCCCCCCCCTCGGCCGCAGGCGAGGTCCAGTCTTCTCGGGATTCCCCCTCCTCGGCCGGAGGCAAGGCGCGATGATGGCAGGCCCGAGGAAGAAGAGAGCGGCGGGGAAGCGGGCGCTTGAGGAATAACCACACTGCATCCCCCTACCCCCTCAGGCTCACTCGGCGGGTCCCTCCAGGTGTTGACACGGTCTCGACTAGAGGCCACAGCGGTGTTTTTGTGCGAACTGCCGCCGGAGGTCGAGCAGGAAGCGTTCTTACATCCCTTAACATACCAAGCGCCGCGGGCACGGGCACGGGCACAACAGCCTAGCGATAGGCTGGTGCTTCATGGCAGCGGCGCTCATTTGCATTTCGGGGGGTCATGGGTAGTGGACGGCGTTCCGGTTGTGGGTTTGGCATGGCCGTGGAGTCCTCTGACATCTCTATTACCATACCATAGGCCCGTCTTTGTAATGAATTAATGACGAACTACAGTTCTTTACCTCAATCTGCTACCAGGGAATGGAGTAAAATGGTCGGAGCACAGTGTTCCGACTGCACACACTTCAACAAGACGTGGAATCACCATGGCTGACATCATAGAAGGCACATTGGTTCCTGTTGGAATGCGCAGCAGACGCATATGTCTTCTGATTCCTCTCTTCTCTGCCAAGACGCGGGTAACCGCTCCGTGCTCTCTTCAGAATTCTTCTTTTCCCGCCCAGTCTTCAGAACCCTGGGGTCTGTCTTTGCGCCCCATATGCCGGTCAATGCAAACCAAAGGAAAACATCTTCGAGATATCTATCTGTACAACATCGGAAAACAAGCACAGGTATTGCTGCTGAGAAAACAAACAGAAGAGAAGCAAATATAATAATGTCGTTAGAAAGGAAAAGACCAGTTGTGTTTGTCCAGTTCAGCCCGAAACAAAGAGAAGAAAAAGGAGGTAAATCAAGAAAGTGATGGAACATTGAGAGCAATTAACGCCGATGCTTTACCGTCCAGCCCAATGCGTTGCCAGAAAATTTTTGTTCGCCGCCTGCTGATGCGTGCTTGGCCGTCCACAAAGTTGGCACGGCAAAAGAATCTCTGTTCCCCTCATTCCCTTCTGCAAAATGTTGCCTCCAACGCTATCGTTCATGTTCACCACCAGGTGAAGTTCGTCGTTCCCTACCCGTGCCGACGCGTCCTCCCTTCCCGTAAGGTAGTATCCAGGAGGGTAGATCTCAACCCGGAGATCAGTCGACACCATTAAAATTAATACAATGAATCGAAGAGGACGCCCTTGCGCCCACTAACTCATGACACCACCACCGTCGGGTGGGTCCCGGAGCGAGGGCATCGAAGGACGTCGCCAGAATCCGGGCTCCTAGACCTCGAGACTGCGCTCCTTGTGCCTGCGTCCGAAGAGGGTGTGTTTCCTCCGCACACTGCTGCTGTCGCCCGATGTGACGCTCAGCATGTCTGCGTTGCGAGTCCTGGACACCGCTATCGTTGCGGCGGTCGCGATTCCGGGGGCCGCCTCCGCAGCAGCCACGGCCTCCTTGCGCTGGATCTGTAATTTCTCCTTTCGTTCCGTCCGCTGCTGGTCGATGGCATCGCTGGTGAGGTGGTTCAAACCCGACCGCTTCTTGAAGCAGATGTCCATGAAGTGGTTTGCGTCAATCATCTTGCGCGGGAGACTCTGGACCACGGCAAAGACCTCCATAGGGTCACTGATCGACTTGATCTCATTCTCTCCAGCCTTGAAAATGGCGAGCGCAACCCGGAACAGGGTCTTGGATCCCTCGTAGAAAAATACATCCCACACGCGCAGTGTCGTCTCGATTGGAAGGGTACCTATGTAGCACGACATGAACCATGCCGTCAACGCGAGAGTGACAGGTGGGAGGTTGTCGCCGCTGACTGATGCATTGCTCTTGTGATATCGAGCGCGCCTAGACTTCTTCTTGGTGGTTCCAGAGCCGTCGTCGGAGATCTTGGACCAAACATTGGGCAGCACAGTTTCCAGCTCATTCATAAGCACGCTCAAGTCGACTTTGGAGCCCTCTAGGTTCATTTCGTGCGTCCCTGGGAGGTATACCCTCGTGATGATGTTGAGCAACCAGAAAGCTTGTTCCTCCGAATCCACAAACAGTAGGAGCATACCACCGAGGAAGTTCAAGGACTGGCAGTATCCGATGCTAGGATTGAAGATGGCGAAGGCTGATAGGACGCGGCGAAGGCTCTCGATGATCGCAGGCTCAGAGCCTGGGGCCTTGGGTGTGGGATTCGCAGACTGCGTGGAGTTGTTGCGGCTGTGTACTGGAGTGCTACCTGGCGATGGTGACTGCGACGCCTGGCCCGGTGCAAGACCCGTCGACGGTGCCGAACGCCTAAAACGCACATTGTCCGGGAATGTCCGATACAGATCCCGCTCGATGTCGTCCCGACATACTTCCTTCAACTCCCCGTTCTGCGCCTGCTTGACCAAGTTGTCGTAAACGCCTCGGTTGTTTGCCAGAATCTTGGGGCCGCCAGCGTAGTAGAACCATGCTGCACCCCTCCATTCTGGCGGTATGCCCTTCCTGATAAACCTCTTCGCTTTGGCGGAGTGCTGAGGGAAACGATTGGGGTGATCGGTCATCAGTCCATTCTCATTGAGGAAAGCCTCCCACTTCCTCCGCCTCCTCGCGAGGTACTCGGAATATTGCCCGTTCCAGTCGTCGTACTGCTCGCGCGTGACATACTGGTTTGATTTCCGGAATCCGTAGCGATCATTAGCATCTGGGTCCAGGTCCTCTGGCTGCATGGCTCCCTGCACGGGCTGTGGTGGAGCAGGCATGACGTCGATCTTTGGCTCGGGAAAAGTCGGCGACATAGGGGAAAGAAGCTCCTTGTCAGCAAGTGTCGCCGTGCTGTCTGTAGTCGGAAGAGTCGAGTCCGCCTTCTCGAGCGCATCAATCGAAAGGTACTCGTCGTGGGGCCCAACCTCTTTGCCCGAATCATGTCTGCTATGCCGCACGCTATCCGCCTCGAAAGTTTCCGCGTCATCGTCTTGCTTCTCAAAGTCCACAATGCCGGTTTCCTTCTGCTCCGCGTTGATATAACTCAGCCTCATGTCTTTGGGCAAGGACGAGGCGAGACTCTTGCGGAAGAAGGCGTTGGTGTCCCGGAGACGAACAGCCCCATCGGCGTTCAGGGGGAAGCTTCGGCCTGGGATGGCGATGGAGCCAGGGCGGTTCATGGCCTCGATCAGGCGGCTCGCGGCCTCGCTGTTATGTGAGACTGCCGATCCCGGCCTGGATTCGTCCTGGTCGTCCATTCCTCCCGGGGTGAGCCGCACGACTGGTACATCGGTGCCGACGCTCGGCTTTCGCTGAAAGACGTCCATATCGCTGTCGTAGAAGCCCTGCTCGTACAATCCCATCACATCATCCACGCTGAGGCTTTCCCGGATTTCGATGCTTGGTGAATGGGGACCGAAGAAGGGAGAGTTCCTATTTCTGTTGCCCATGCTGAAGATGGAACTTGTTTTGGTCTGGACACTAGACCTCTCGGGTTCCGTGAACAGGGTATCCTGGGCTGTGGACGTCGTAAGCTGACTCCGCATGCTGGAACGCATCTCATCCTCGTCTAGGTACGGGTGCTGGGCCCAGGGGCCTGAGCCGTTTCGTGGTGGAGACCGCGGCCGGACCGCGTGGGGGAGGCCCATGTAATTACCTGTGGCGGAATTCTGAGACACGTTGCGAGGTGCAGCACCAAAGCGATCATAGGAAGGTTTATTGTAAAGACTTGGCGCGGCGGATGCAAAGGTGCTGGCAGACATGTTGGAAGCGACCGAGGGTTGTCGGACAGGCCTTGGCCCTGCACTGTAGGGTATGTAGTTGGATGCCATGGGCCTTGACTCGAGACGGGCGGAGTCCGAGTTTGAGGTATTGGCTGTTCCAGGTCGGAGGTACAGGGGTGTTGGGAAGTCGGGACGGTTCGGGCTCCCCAGACTAGGCTTTCTCGGCCGTGAGAAGTTGTAAGTGTCAGTTGCAACGCTGTAGGCAGTCTCTCCAGACTGCCTACTCTCCGGCCTGTACATATTTGTAGGCGAGCCGGGCGTCACCGCGGCTGCGTGCTCATGTCGATTTGTCTCGGTCCGGTCCAAGTTCAAGTCCAAGGCTTGGTCCTCAGGGATCTGAGGATGTGAGTACAGGCACGCCTGAAAGGTGGCCGACTGGGGAGAGCGGATGGGAGAAGGAGGGATGCCCGAGTCGGAGGCTACAGGCGCGTCTGTAGTCGTTGCAAGACCTGCACTGGTGTGTTGCCCCAGGCTATTCTGACGCCGCACGGGCAGGGAATCCCATCGAGGACCCGGGTAGCCTGGAGAGATGGGGGTGATGGGGGTGTTTGGAAGCGACCGTTGGCGGCGGGTGGTGACGGCGTTGGCGGGTAGGTGTCCCGGCCGGTGGCTTGGGATGCACGGAGCCTCGAGGGTGTCTCGACTAGGGGAGGCGGCGTCCTGATCGAGGCGGCCGTAGATGGGATGACCTCGGAGGGGGGTGAAAGGCGCGTGGGTGTCGGGAGGGTATCGTGTTTGTAAGAGTGGAAGTTGAGCCCTCGCAGGAGAGAATGACGAGGAGGACAGGTCGGGCTGCGGTTGTGCTGGCGTCGTCGTGTATTTTGGGTCTTGGGAAATAAAATGAGGGTCCGTGTGAGGGAGGACCCGGCGCTGCCGTGGTGAAGCTGGGACCCAGTGCTGGTGTGGGTGCGGGAGCGGGTGCGGGAGTGGGTTGGGCGGCGACAAGGTGAATTGGTCTTGTCGCGGGGACAGTGCGGGCAGAGATTGTGGTTGGGAGTGACTCGGCCGATGTTCAAGGTGAGCCTGGGTCTGGTGTTGGTTGTGGTGGTGGTGGTGATGATGATGCAGAGGCGAGTACTGCGAGACCGAGGCGGGTAGTGAACCCTGCCGCTGCCGCTGCTGCAGCCGAGGCTGTTGTTGTTGTTGCTGATGTTGTTGGTGGTAGTGGTGGTGTTGTTGTTGGTGTTGTTGTTGGTGTTGTTGTTGTTGGGGTGGCAGCGGTGGCAGCGCCGAGTCGAGACGGAGGTCCCTCGGCGAGGGCCTCTGCACCTGGTCATGATGATCTGGGTTTGGCATTGGCATTGGCATTGGCACCGGCAGAGCTACGCGGCCCGGGTCTGATTGCGCATGGTGGTGATGGGCCAGGGCAGGAGACATGTGAATATTCTGGAAGGCTTCCAAGGCCCGCCCGACTGCCTCAGCCTGGTGGTGGGTTTCGGCGCCCCTGTCTCGAGGAGGAGGCGGGCTGAGGTGAAAATGTTCGGGCGGTACTGCGATTTCCGCAGCACTCTCGCGTGGTTGGGACCAGGTGCTCGTCTTCTCTCGGTTGAGACTGCCGAGATCCACCGCCATCTTGTTAATCAGAGACCCTGACCCCCCCGGTCCTGCACCTCCTGGGCTGGCCATTGTTGGCTGCCGCTGCCCGTCTTCTCCTCAGTCGTCCCGCGCGTGGTTGAGCCTCCAGAGTTGAGTTGGCGGCGCGGTCTGGGCATGGCGGACAGGGACGGGCGAGTGTCGAGGGCGGCGAGACGACCTCGAGTCGAGGTGATGCGAGGACGGAGACTAAGAACGTCTGCTGTGGTATCTCTTTTGGGTCGGGGCCGCCTTGCTTGTACCTGGCGGGGGAGGTGGTTTTAATTAGACCCGGCTCCTCCTTCGATATTGGGCCAAGGCAAGGCGTGGGAGGCAGGTAGGCAGGCCAGGCAGGTACATGTACGAGGTACCCACCTTGTGCAGGACGGGCGTGACGAACAAAAAAAAAGATGTCCCAATGATACGTCAACTTCAGCACGGTTGTTTGCTACCGAACATTCCTGCAGTCTGGTGGAAGAGCAGTTATACCACAGTACTGTCTGACTGGTTCTACACTACATCATGCATGCATATCCTCGGGGCCTGCAGCTGATGCACTGCACAGGACGGCGCCACTGCAGGGTCAACAGGATCAGGAGCAGGATCAGGGTGGGGATGTGCAGGCAACGCTGTGCTCTGATTGAATGTCAGTGCCAAATGCGACGGGGTTACATGTGCTGTAGTACGTTGGTTGGCTGGTGCTCCGTACAGGTGGTAAGGTAAGCCCCATGTCCGAGTCTTACTGACGGGCATCGATCAAATTGGAATTGGCAAATGGCAATTGCAGTTCTGATTTTGGGGCAGCCAAGCACCTTACCAGGCTTGCCAGGCTTGCTTTGCCAGACTTGCTTTGCAGAGGTCCCCCCATGCTCCCAAGCCAGCTTCCAAGGTTCTACCACAGTACAGTACAGTAAACTTGAGGAGCCACAGTCCAGCCCCCAACGCAGGAGGAGGAGGAGGAGAAGGAGGAGGAGCGGGAAGGAGGCCCAGTACTCCGTACATTTGACCTCTTTTTTTTTTCTTTCCTTCCAAGGCGGCCCCCCTCCCCCAACACCTCCTCCCAGGCAGGCCAGGCCAGCAGCTAGCAGACCATGGCTCGGCCGTTGGACGAGGGTCCCCCCTGGTTCCACACCCCAAGCTCTCTTCGTCCACCGCTAGCGAAAAAAAGCAAATTGGCGTTTCTGCTTCCGTCCCCTCATCGCCGCGTCCGTCGCCCGCGCTGGCCACGTCCCGCCGTACTGTCGTATAATTGCACACCTCGCTCAGACCTTGCGCCAGAAGCCAAAACGCCCTGACGCCCCCGGCCAAATTGTGCCCAGCGTCGAATTGGCTTCGGATCGTCGATCCTAAGCTGGTGACACACACCAATGCACGCACGCACGCTCTCTCGATCGCACAGAACAGGCCCGTTGTCCGTCCAGGCCGTTCCGTTCCGTGGCTCGTGGCTCGTGGCTTGTGGCTCGTGGCTTTGGCCACCAGGACAGCGGCTTATAGGATGTCCTCCCGGGCTGTGACTGACGGCAGATGGACGAGTGATGGCCTCGGTGTGGTCAAAGGGGCCCAGAGATTGCGATGTACGACCGGCGGGATCCTCCAGACGTGCGCTTCCTGACTTGCTGGCTTCCTGGCTTCCTGGCTTCACGCGCGTCGCGCCCAGCACACGGCAGGGGATCATGCCTGGATGTCTGGACAGCCCTGAGCGCTCACTTCAGCCGACGAGTTGACTGACATGACAGCACGCCTCAGGTTCTCAGCATGTGTTGCTACTGTGTATGACCTCACTCCCGCCGCGGTGTGCCCACTTCACCCTGGCCCGTCCCCACATCATCAGCGAACGTTTCAATTTGACAGTGAAAAGACTCTGTGAGCCCGAGTCTGAGTCTGATCCCCGAGTCCCGCCGGCCCGCGGGTTCCCTGTCTGCCTGTTTGTAGGCAGGCACGGCACGCATAATCTCATGATGGACGCCCCGTGGCTCAACAAACCTGGTGAGCCACCGAGGACGACGCCAACTACGGCCTCGAGAGGGCGAGTCGAGCCGAGCAGCAGACGGGGCACACAGGGGAACACGAGAACAGGACGCCGGGGGGCCATCGTGGCCATTTCCCCCTTTCAGCACAACTTCCGGGCTGCCAGGCTGCCAGGTTGCCAGGCTGCCTGCCACAGCCATCATCACTTCTCCTATATCTCCTATCATATTTTGGCTGCCAATACGGGAGGCTAATCCACATGTCATCACCGGGTCGGCTGCTAATAAGTCTTTGCGACCCGGCCTTTTTGCAAACGGCCGGCACCCGCCTGCAAGGAACCCCCATGCGGCCTCCCACGCCACCAGGCCTGTTCAGGCCCGCCAGCATCTCTTGTGCCTGAACCATTCCTCATTCAGCCACGGCGCCCTCACCCTCAGCTGCGCCAGCAGTCGGGTCCCCCCCACAAGCTTTGATCTGGCTCTGACTGGCAGACTGGAGAAGGCTTCCAATGCTTCCATTCTGGTTCTGCTTCGTCTCGGCAATCTCAGCACCAGCGGGTGGTCTGTACCGAGAGCATGCAGTCAATCTATTTTTTCGAAGACGGGTCTGCGGGCTGCAGGTCAATTGTCTCTGACTTAGCACACAGCCATCTTATTTGATTCACCCCCGTCGTGCTCTGCTGGCTCTTCTGATCGGCCCAAATAGAGACCGATGACAAGCCTGAAGCATATGAGACAACGCTACCAACTCTTTTTTTTTTTTCGGACCTCGACCATACAGGTCATAAAAGTTGGCCGCCACCGTGGTTATCCCGAAGCTGATTTCTAGCCACCACCCTGCCGACGACCATTTGGAGGGCCTGTCGCCCAGTCTGCCAGGATCACCAGCTCGCCTCAATTCCGCCCAGGTGCCCTCATTCATACGATCTTCCGCTTTTGACGATGCTGTCTGTGCTGGTCGCAGGTTTAATTGCTTTTTTTTGCTCTTGTTTGTGCCCACCACTGGCGCGCGGGAATCAGTCCCCCCTACCATGGCTTGTGCAACCAGCGGGCACTTATTATTATAGTGGCACAGACACGGGAGGCTGCGGCGAGGGCGCCGCTTCGAAGTCGAAGCTACCCGGCGGACCGTGCCTATCGTGACTGCTTCTTCGCAGGCCGGCAAAAGCAAAAGGCATGGTTTCTTTTTTCTTCTTGATCGTCGCGCCTGTTCTGTACGGTACATCAGGGTTCGCGTCTCCCGCAGCGCTGCAGATGATCGGTCTGCTCTGGACCGCCTGATCTACAGGGCTCGGCCCGTTTCATTCTTGTTCCCGGATGCTACCTTTTATTTGCAATGGTCACTCGTCTTCAAGCACCTTCGTTTGTTCCAAGGTTCTTTGGAAAAGCGCGGACATCCCCGCCTTTGTCATGAGACCGCCGGTAGCGGTAGAAGGACCTGAGTCTCGGCGTTGAGTCTTGACGTCTCCTATTTACACGCATTCGAGAACAGCCGCTTGCAGGTGCAGGCCAGCTGGGCTTTTCCGTCAGGATTAAGGGTGGGATGCGTGGGATGTTGGGGGCCAGAAAGGCACTGCCCGGTGGGTCAACCCTGGGGACGAGCCGCTTACTGCCTCCTGGCCCCTGCCTCCTGCCTCCTGCCTCCTGCCAGTGGCGAGGGGGCGATGGGAGCTGGGGAGGATTTGAAGCACGTCCAAGGGGGCCAGACACAATTGATGACGGGCAAGGGATGGTGAGGGAGGGGGCGTTTGCTCTGGCCGGGCTTCATCGAAGCAAACACGTGCCTCCTCGAATCCATCCACCGCAGACGACGGACGTCCTTGGGGCCTCAAGAGTCTGTGGAGAAGCTTGGGGAGGGGGCTGATGAGGAGAGGGGGATGGGGATGGGATGGCAGCATGGCAGCATGGCGGCATGGCAGATGGCTGGCATCGCCTGGTGATGTGCGGAGGTCCGAGCTGCACGCCTTATCGCTCATCGCTTATCGAGCTGCTAGGCGCACCGGCCACCTTACGGCACCGGCGATCGCTGCTTCCTCGTGCCAGCCACCCCGCTTGCCCGCCCAACCAAGGAGAACCGGGGACTGCTGCTGTTTCCCCTTGCAGGCAGATGTTGCAGCCGGCTTCCCCAGAGGTCGCGGGTTCGAGCAGCTGCGGGGTATTGACCTCGGCCGGGGAAGTACAGAGTACTTGAGTTCCGCACTTTCGTCATGGCCGCCCGCCTAATACGCTCCTCAGGTCGCATCATGCCAGATGCTGCAGCCCCGAGTACCACAGTACTATGCTGAGGGGGGGATGGGGGATGGGGGGTGGGAGAGAGGGAGAGGGAGAGGGGAAGTGTGGGCAGGACTCTTGAGCAAACAAGCAAGTGCTTGCTGCACCAAGCTGAGCCTCTCTGTCTGGCTGTCTGGGCGGCTTGAAGCTCCCCCGCTCCCTTCCCACCCAGGTTCCCAGCCAGCCATCTCTCCAGTCTGCCCTGTCTGCCAGTCCAGTCCACCACCAGCCCCAGGCTAGCCGTCCTGGCCAAGCTCTGGCTCGTCTCTCCTGCCCTCATGCCCGTCCGTCCGCCCACCCCCTCCCTCCCCTTCAGCCTGCCTGTTTGCTGTTAGAGCTCTCTGCTGCCCTGCCCGCGCCTGGCCGGCGCACATGGGCTCCCACACCAGCCCAGGTACCTACCTCCTCACTCACCCTCTCTCCTCACTCTGGTCCTGGCCTCCCGCGCGGGCAGCACAGTAGTAGCTCCAAGCTCTCCACACCAACAGACCGCGACCACCCCCCCGAGCTGCCCCCTTCCTCTCAGCCGTCCGCCCGTCCCCTTTCCTTTCCTCTTTTTCTCCTTGCCACTGCTGTCCCATCTTTCTAACACCAGATCCGACACCTTGTTGTCCTTCCGAAGACCCCGTTTTATCCAATTGGATCTTTGCATACCCATCCTTGCACAATGTCGTCCCGCAAGAGAAAGGCTGGCGAGGAGGAAGAGCTCGTCAGCCTCCCGTCCGGCGACGAGGAATCCGAAGAAGAGTAAGTCCCTGTGTTCGTCATCAGAGCTCTTGTGCGCCTCTGCGCGCCTTGCGCCTCCGTCCCAGCCGGCGCACAGCGGGTGCCGATGCAGTGGGGCCGCTGACGAGATATGCGCCGCCCAAGCGCATAGCTCAAGGCGATGCGCCGTCCTCGCCCCCGCGCCCCCGTCAGCCTGGTCATGCGCGAGACCCTCGGGAGAACTTGCGCAATGCCCTGTACCGTGGCGCGTCCGCGGCTTCGAGTCGTTCCCTTGGCGCATCGACCCGCGAGACGGCGAGGACGGCCAGCGCCTTGTCGCCAGACCCTGACACTGGGCTCTTTGGTGTCGTGCGGAGGCTGCCTTCTTGGGCGCGTTGTATTAGCCAGGCGTGCATTTGTGCGACGTATCACCGTACACATCTTGCGGCCTCGCAACCCCATCTCGCCAGACCCTGGCACTGACCTGACTGTCCAATAGATATGTAAGCGACGAGGAGGACGAGGAGGATTATGAAGATGATGAGGAGCAGGAAGAGGACGACGAGGAGGCTCCCGCTGAAGGTAAAGTGCCCCCAACCCACCTTCTCGCAAGAGATGCCACCCCACACTGCTGACACGGCGTCTTCCCGTAGACAAAGCGCCTCCGGCGAAGAAAGCAAAGACCGCGCCCGCCGAGGAACAGGAGGAGGAGGAGGAGCCCGAGGAGGAGGGCGAGGACGAGCAAGAAGAGCCCGAAGACGAGGGCGACGAAGAGGCCGGTGGTGCCGAAGACGACGACGACGCCGCCGAGGTCGTCGGCAATGGCACCGAGAAGGCCAAGGCCGACGTTGCGGACGCTCCCGAGGCCGCTGGGGAGGATGAGGCCGAGGCCGTTGCAGGCGAGGGTGATGAGGAGTAAACCCAAAGTTTGGACAGCGGGCCTCTCGCTACCGACAATGCATTGGTCTCTCTCTCTCTCGCTCGGTTGCTTTTTGGTCTCAGGGGTTCGCTTGCGCGTAGAATCGGGTCGGGACAGATATTTCTGTTCGGAGCATTTTCTCTTCGCGCCATTCGTCTTGGATGGTCCTGTCTTGTAGCTTCCCCGGCCTTAAATACACAGTGCCTTTGTTAATTAGTTTTTCAAATTACCTGATCCAGTCTAGCCTCGTTATTGTTATTACTTCATTGGAAGACCAGTCCTGCCTTGAACACCATCAACTGGTCAAGGTCGATGAGCAGACTATGAATCTTAAAACATGTAGCGCCGTGCAGATAGATGGTTGAGAGCGGAGACCCGTACTAATCGCCCTGCAGTGCCACGTCAACTGGCTTGCCCCTCCTTTTTGTAGTCAACGAAAGCTGTATGGCGCGCGTCTGGGAGGCCATTGAGCCTCGACGGCTCAAAAGCTTAGCTATTAGCTGTTCCAGAAACAACGTGACCAGGTCTCGCCCGGGAATTGATTCTCTGCTCGCACCATCTCTTTGCCAGCGGCCGACTCACACCAACCAATACACATTCAGTCAACTGCATATCGTCACGCACGGTGGGCTTGTAGCCCTACTTAAAGTTCAACAAGTCTACAAACAAGGCTTGCATAAGTTTGGGACAAAAGGAATACCAGGTTTCCTCGCCTGTGGCGGCCCAGGCCCATGCAAGCAAGTTACCTACTTATTAGACGCTCGCCATCTCCAGAGGTTTCCGGTTAGCTTCCTTTCCTCCACGGCCGTCTACTCCTCAGAGCATCGATTCTACCCTCAGCAAGGTATGGCGGTACACTTAAGCGCCACCCATTCCCACGGCCAGTACATTCGGCAGGTAAGTGATGTAATAACATTTGAAACTAATATTATCAATTGAAGTCTAAATAGTGGGCTTGTATTTATATCCTCTACTTTATTTCATGTGAGTCTCTAATCTCTTTTTGAAATATTGGCGGATAAGAATGCCTATTCTGGGACCGTAATAGAGTTTCAGCGCTCTCTATCTTCCTTTGACAGCGCATCCTTTTTATCCAACTTAGCAACCATAAGCGCCGAACTTGAGTGTGCTTCTAAATTGCACCGTAGGAGGTTGCCGTGTTGTGTCGCTAAACTCCCGAGGTTTTTGCACGGTGGGAAAGCTGTGCTGCTGATGGTCGTTCGACATAACTTATTGTTGAAGCAGCGAGTAGTATCACGCCCGCTTCAATCGCATGCCGAATCGAAGTGGTAATATCAGGCCTGACTGGACAACAGAGTACGCGAACCGTTCCCTCAAGCAAACTACATCTCTCTCGATGATACATACACAAAGCCCTCAAGTGATGTCCACTTAATTATCCCAGCAACGCCTGAATACTCTCACCTGTTGACTAGTCGACCCTGGGAAGAGGTACACATGCCTCATAGAATATATATTAAGTCTCTCATTGGGCTATCTGAACCTTCATTTGCATCCCATCTACTGGTTTCGCATTCACCTGTCGTGTCTAGAGGCAAGGAATTAGCATCGACATCACAGCAACTTGGATCCGTATAGCACCAGACATGTGGTATTAACTTACATTATAGACCTCTGACCTGACAGGTAGGCTGCCGTTCCTCTCGACTGCCGGTTGACCCTTCCCATCCAATCTTATCTCGCCGAGCCCAACCTTAACGAAGTCATACCGACGGGCAATGAGAGCAATGATGATGCGCATCTCAATCATGGCAAAATCTTGTCCAACGCAACCACGCGGTCCCCGCTCAAATGGTCTCCAGGCACCAGCGGGGATGCCGAAATCACCGGTGTTGTCCAACCAACGCTCCGGCCTAAACCAGCCTGCCGACTCTCCATAAACTTCTGGGTCACGTTGTATCAGGCCCTCACAGTTGTAAATGATCATGCCGTCCAGACAGTAGCCACTGCCGTCTGGTGCGCGGACTGTGAACCCCGTTCCTGGCTTCACAGCACGCGCTGTAGCTGCGGGTGGGTTTAGCCGTAGCGTCTCCTTGATCACTGCGGATATATAGGCCATCTTGCGCAGGCAATCCGGACCATCAGGTGAAAGAAGCTTGGCACGTATTGCCTCTGGGTCTCTTTCCTTCCCGAGAACGCTGTCGAGCTCGTCACGGACAGCGTGGAGAGCGCGAGGTGTACGTCCGAGCCAGTAGAACACCCAGGATATGGTGATGCTTACAGTGTCGTGACCTGCCAGCAGAAAAGTTTTGATCTGGTCACACGTTTCATTCAAAAGTGATGTGGGAAGATGGCTGTTGTTGTTGCTGTCCTGTAAGCTAAGAGATAGGATACTGCGGGATTGGTTCTCTCCTTGAGCTTTCTGTTCGGCATGCTTGGAGCGGATAATGTCTTTGACAAGCATATTGATTCGCTTGCTTAGACGACGGCGCTTCATTTCTGTCCTGGGAATCATCCACCAGGGGAAATCGGCTTTATCGTCCCAATATGTTCTGTACAGGTCAATGTACAGGCGCACCAGCTCACCCTGTTGTGATAGATCTAGCGGCTGAGCTTCGAGGTCCACGTCCATGACCACAGAGCCAATGATGTCGAAAGCAAGGTTCGTGGCAAGCGCAACAAGGGAGAATTCCTTTCCGGTTCCGCTTAAGCTATCGAGATGCTGGATGAATTTGGGAGTCTTTTCGAGAATACGTGGCAAAAGCGTCATGAGATGTTGCGGGGCGAAAGCCGGGTTGTATTTTTTACGGAGTACCCTCCATTCATCTCCATCTACATGAAGGATGGAGGTAGGCCCTGTGAGAGGCAGCATATAATTGAGGTTCGTCTTCGGAATACTAGTCGGAAACTGGGGCGAGGCTTTTGATATTTGTTCGGCGACTTCATGGAAGCTGATGAGCACCATAGGCCGATTGACAGGCCGGAGATCAACGAGCATGAGCGCCGGCCGGCCAAGCTTTTCATGCATCTCCGAGAACATGGAGTCTAGTTGCGGATCAGACATCGAATGGGGGAACAGAAGGGTGCTCGTCAGATACCTGGATGACGGTCCGTTGCGCCGCGTTTGATCAACTCATCGAGAGTCTTCAGGTGACCAAACAGCAGACTGGATGGCAGTTGTGGGATTTTGGCGTGTTGCTTGAAGCGTTTGTGTCGCAGCTGGATGAACAGGTAGGTGAACAGCAGCGCGATGGCCGCGAGTGTGATGGGTCTGAGCATCTTGTCCGGTAAGAGGGCCGGGTGGGTGTGGCAACATGTCCAGCCCAAAGTTCTAAGATGGTGGCGAGCGAGACGAGCAGGTATTCACGATTTCGATTTCGGCAAGTTACAGTGAAGGTTGGCTGCGCGATTGGACAAAAGTACCCAGGTTGTGGCACTCGACTAGGCAGGTACAATGTGGGCACATGTAGATGACTGATGCCTTCTCCCATCCACTTGAGGTAGGCAGTATGGACTTAGCCTGGCAGAAAACCCCCTGTTTTAACTCAATACGTACCTTTCGCGACGCGGCATTGCAACTCTCCTGCTTCCTCCCTACTTTTCCATAGGTAGCCATAGCTTTAAATTAACAATTCTTCACTGATAATTTGAAACTCTTTTGCCACAAGTCGTGAGGACCGTCTCACTTCACAATACGGATCCTATCCGGTCAAAAAAGGGTATCTAGGTACTTAGCATGATGATACTGTATGAAAATGCATATAGGTACAAATAATTCGGAGACATGTCGCCCGATCATTGGGATAGAATTCTAAACTCCGTCCTCACATGTGCAGCAACAGAAGCGATGCTAGTCGGCGGAGAAGCAGTTGGAATGTCAAGCTGTGACACTGCCTCGCAATTCAACACCCATCAGTCCGTCGATTGGACCTCATTTGTAGGAGAAATGCAAATATTTGTTCCACAGTTCCACAGTCATCTCTTCCCATAGATCTAGCCCACATATACAGCCCACCACTGGCACCAAGAGCTGTCGTAGATGGAGACATGCTTCAAATGTGGACATGCCGATATGAAAAGCCGCATGGCATCCACCGCGGCCCTTAGTACTTCTGGGGTCGATGTTGCAATGCGCTGGATCGCCTCGTGATCCTCGTCGACCTCGTCGTTCTCGTGCTCCTCATGCTCCTCAGCTTGAGCGAGCCTTTTGGTCAGAATCTCTTCAAGCCGCGTCGCTGCCTCGTCGCATGCGGCCCGGACGGCGTCGTCGTCTGTCCAATCCATGGTAGGGATCCCGACCGCCACGACCTCAGAAAGGTCTCCACGATCATGGTTTAGGATGGGGTCCAACGGCTCACTACCAAGGTCAACTTGGATATGAACATCCTTGTCTGGCGTCGCGCTCTTTGTTATAAAGTCCAACATCATGAAGTTGACATGTCGCAATGAGCTCTGCGCCCTGGACAAGCCAAGGGGGCCGCTGGTGAACGCATCCAAGGCCTTCTTAACATATCCAACCCATTCATTCGAAGACTCCGTTTCAATCAAGAAGACCGAAACCGTCCTGTAATATCGTGAAAGGGTTTCGGCTCGAGTCTGTCTGTTGACTCGTGTGATGGGCGGCTGATCAAGAAGACCTCGTTCATTTATCATAGCTTCGTGAGAGGCCAAAATATGGGCGTATATCATGTTTCTTATCTCTCCTGGCAGTTTGAGGAAAGGAAAAGCGCCCTGGGCACGTCTTGTTGGCTTTGTTGGGCTGAGGAGAGGGTATGTACATCGTGGCTTACCTTGGCTTGTTTCTGTATTTCTGCCTCTCCCGGCTGACCGTCCACCGAACGACTCTGGACTTCCCGGTCCTTAGGGCCCTCGAGTGTATCTGTAGTACCCATCATGGGCGGACTGTGGTTCTTCACAAGCTGTGTAGTCATTGGCGCAGCGCGCACATGAGGTCAACTACCCGTGGCTCATGCGGATTTGGTTCGCGTTTTGCAGGACGTGTGCGTGCGTTATTACGCGAGGCGTGATGTGAAATCGGAAGCGGAACCAGGGTTTAACCCCGAGCTTCTTGCGCTCATATTCTATTGGCTTAGTTAGTAAACAAAATAACTGCTTCGTCTAATTCAAAACTAAGCACCGATATTTTTAATTGAGTTGCTTGTGGGCAATCGATTTCATCTTCGGGGCAATAGTTCATGAGAGAATTAAACAGACGGCCATATACAAAGCGACTATGCCTTGGCGCGTTCCCAGCAGGATATCTTTTAGGTTACTGGACGCTCCAGACTCCCCTTGCGCGCCTTGTGTAGCCTCCCCCTGTCCATCTTGACCAGCCTCACCGGTAGAGCTTGCGGTCACGGGAGCCGTAGCTGTCGCCGGAGCCGCAGTGGTCGGAGCAGGTGTCGGAGCTGTGAGTGGATTGGAATTGAGCGGACACCACCCGTAGCCGTAGCAGTCAGACGTCGTGCCGGAGGCCTCGTAGACATATCTGTTGAAACCGTCTGGGTAAGCATAGATAAAATCTCGCTCGTAGTCCCATGCCGCTTCAGTGGTGATGAGAGGGGATGTTGAGATCGTGAGGGTCACCGTTTGGTCGGAAAGAGGTGTGACGGTGTTGGCGCGACAAAAGAATGTGCTGAACCAGTCTTCGCCGGTGGGTACCACCTTGTCGAACTTTGTTGCAAACTCATAGGCCCTGTAAATTGATCAGCCACTGGGGCTTTGACTAGGGAAACGAGGCTCAAGTGCTGGGAGAATGAGTCACTTACGAAGGACAACAATATGTCCCTATTTCTTTGATCCCGTCGCCCACCTCATTCGTTATCTCCAGTGCTGATGTCATGCCCACGGGACAGTCGTTGAACCTTTCCAGGTCATAACTTCCCTCTCGAGGCGCGTAGCAACTTGCGTCCTCCAAATCTGGTGGACCCAGCATTGTCACGGTGCACATGGGGGGAGTCGGCGCATGCATTGTGTCCGCTCTGAAAGCAGATGTGTCGCTAGGTAACCACTCTTCGCCGCATGGCATAGTTGTGAGCCATAGGTTTGAGGGCGTGAGACACGTGGGTCGTGGCTCAAAAGCCGTGATTGTACCATCGGTATGAATTCCGGCCATGGCGATGCGTCGAGTACTCGCAATTTTTACCCGAGAGAAGTGTAAAATTGGATATCAATTGATGATTAGACTTGTCCAGATTTATAGCGTTGGGCAGACTGTTCTGAACCCAGATTGGGGATGCCCATGCCTATAACTATCACGAAGTGCAAACTTCTCAGATTTTATGGCCCAATAACAAACAGCCAAGATCAAATCCCGGCCCTCAGTAACATATGAGCAGGGTGTAATGTTGCTAAGCCATAGCTTGCTGGATATAAGCCTATGAAAATAGGTACAGCATGAAGGCAACAGATGTTGCGTGCCGGTCCAGAACATCGATACCCAATCCTCGCCTTCCGTCTTGAGCCCACTGTGGGCACCTTAACCTCTTGGCTCGCTTGGGTAGCGATCCTTCAGGAACAAGTCCCCACCAGATCACGGGTATGCGGCAAATTTGAGGCGCTAGCGAGCATGTGCTGGAGGCAAGGCTGTAAGAAGGCTGGTGTCTCTGATAATTACTGTGATCCTGCCTGTGCTCGAAAAGGTCATAAGTGCTGGCGGAGCTTGCTGAGCAGCGTCCACTGGCGACATACATATTGAGGTTGGAATATGCCCTTATCGTACCTGTCAAGGACGTGAAGGCTGCATAGAACGCCGCGCCGCTGTTCCTCATCCAACGCGTGGCCAACAGGAGCATCAGAGTGTGATGGCTCAGCATACAGGCCGGCTTTCTGAGCTGCCTGACTTGCCATCCAAGTCGCTCCCAGAAGTCCCCGGTCTTTTTTCACACAAACCACTGTTATCGGTATTACATGTTTTTTAAACGCTGGGTCTTGAGTGCTTACCGTATGAAGGCGCCGCGTATGTCCTCGGACGTATAGGGAATAGAAGCGAAACCACATAAAGATATGAAACCTTGAGCAGGTTCGTCATCTCATGGCATCCAGTATCGAGCCTCTGAAGTATAAGGATCATGCTCGTTGAGAGCCTTCCATCCTAACGTCAGGACACATCGTTCCAATGTAGCCAGCAGCTGGGTTTTGAACAGTACGCTAGCTCTGCCTACCTACGTATGTGAGGGCCATGGCATGCCCATCGGGAAAGGCTCCAGCTAGGGCCGACTGATGCTGGTGTTGATGTGATGCAGGCGCAGCATGGCTGCGTCGAAAGTACAGTTCGGCAAAACGCGAGAGCACATGTACACCAGTCTCGAGCGGTTGGACGGTGAGAATTGCTTTGTTGCGTAGCATCATTAATTCAGTCGTGTCGCAAGAACAGAGGTACTTGTCAAAGCCACTTCGCTACAGACGCCTGCGCAAGTAAAAGCCAATCATGAACCTGAGAGCAAACTCAAAACTCCTGCCGAGCCAACGCAGTAAAAGAAACCAGTGCCTCTGGTGTATCCACGAATCACCAATCTGTTGTGCACCGCCTCCACCAACACCTAATGCCTTGCCATGATTAACCCCGTTCTCTCTGGACTTCATTTGTGACCACGGCGACATCTTCACCAAAAGTTCTACCACCGAAGCACCCTCATAAAATTTAGTCCATGGGGTCTGTTTCGAGGTGCCCGTCATCATCACCGGGCGAGTCTATGAGCTGACTGTCTGCGACGGCCTGTGGCAAAGGTCAGCAAAGTTCTCGGTGTCACAAGTTGAATCGGTGTCACTTACGGTACTGGTCCTACTAAGACCAGCAGTTGACTTCTCGCCATTGCCACCGCCACCACTCTTGCCCATGGACTTGGTCAGCTGGAGGACAAGTTCCTGCAGCTTCTCGACCTCGGACCGCAGCTTCTGCACCTCAACAACGGTAGCGTCGACCTCGAGGTTGGTCCTGGCCTGGTTGACCGTCTTGTTCCAGCCGTCGCTCTCAAAGTCGATCTGGTCGGCCATCTGCTCCCATTCCTCGATGGTGTCATCGTCGTCATCGCCGCGGGCGCGGTTGGCGCGGATCTCCTGCGCGCTCTTTGTCTCAAAGTAGGCGGCCACCACCAGCAGCGGGGAGTATATGACGGCCATGACCACGTCGTTGAGCTTCTCGTACTGCTTCTTGGGCATCCACCACTCGAGCGGGGCGGCCAGGCAGAACACCTCGATGAGGTTGAACGGGGCGATGAAGACGTTCTCGTCGGGTGCGCGAACGAACTGCATTGTTTTCTGGGCGAAGAGGGCGAGATATTCGTCGTTTGCGTTGGTGTAAATGTCCTCGTACGCAGAGTTGTACAGGGCAATGAGGATGTTGAGGAGTACAACCATGACGACGAATGTGAACAGGTAGTATAGGATGAGACCAAACGGCGCACCAAACCTGTCGAAACCGTCAAAGTCGGGGGACTGCATCAGGGCGTTGGCCATAGCTTGGGAGATGAACTTGATGTCGGTGATGTTATCGTCGGCCTTGTCCAGCCCCACAAAAGCCTGCATAAAGCCGATGACAATTACAGCCAGGAGTGCAAAAAAGATGATAGATTCCTTCATCATGACCTTGAGGACGACCAGCATCGCGCCAAAGAAGCGGAAGCTGTCGAGGTACAGCAGGAGGCGCATCCAGAACATGGGCGCACAGCAGGCGAGGAAGTTGTAGGATAGTATGTTTAGCTTCTCGCGGGGGCCCGGATCGTTAGGCGGTGGGGACTCTTCGTGGCTGAGAGCAGCGAAGCGGATAGCAAGACTTGTGGTGAGCAGGGCGTAAAGTAGGGCATTGAATGCGGTCCAAAAGCCCCAGATGTGGTAGCCAGCTTTCCAAAACTTGGTGAACTCGTCAAAGACGAAGCCCAGCGTAAAGAGGTAGAGCAGAATCTCGACGAAATCCACGTCGGCATCCCTGTTGATAGAGTTGATAGCACCGGTGTACAGGCCGAGGTAGATGAGGGAGATGAGAAGCTGGGCGGCGTTCTGGTACATTGGGGCGCGCATGCGGTCCGGGTCGAGGTGGACATGGAAGGTGGTGTTGTCCTTGTCCTTGAAGTCGACGAAGCTGGCGGGATCGTTCTCGTCCTGGACCAGCCAGCCCTTCCAGAGATAGCTGACGCACTTCTGGTAGCCGGAGGAGCCGATGACGCGCAAGGCGTGCAGGTCGACGGCCTTCTCGATGACATTGCTGGGCGGGGTGGACTGGTTGTCGACGACGATAGAGTAGCGCTTGAGGAGGACCGAGTGCAGCAGGTACTCCTGGTCGTCCTCGGTCTCGATGATTTGCTTGGAGATGACCTCGCAGGCGGTGGCCCTCAGGGCGTGCAGGTCACAGTCCCAGAGCTCGGCCAGAGACTGCTGCTTGAACCAGCGCTTGCACACGAGCAGACAGTAGACGACACATGCGGCGTTCTGCGAGCCACCGGCCTCCTTGGCAGCCTGGATGACCTTCTTGGTGATGACCTTGGAGTGGGGCCTCGTGATCTGCTCCTCGTCTATCTCGACGGGCACGGCCTCCTCGACGAGATGGCGCAGGCGCAGGGCGACCTTGGTGACCTCCGGGGCGGGAATGGCGGACTGCAGGGCCTCGTCCACGTAGCTGGGGAGCAGTCGTTGGTGAGACTCGTGCCACCAATCTCTTCCGGAGTGGGAGCGAGTTCGAGAGCGCGGGTTGTCAAAGCCCAGCAGTCTTCTCGGGTCGAACCAGCGTCTGGGAGCCATGCTGGAGAAGGCTGGTGGTTAGGATGCCCGCCTGAAGCTGCCACAATATGAGAGAGAGAGGAGCTTGGCCGCGTCACGATTTGCTGGATGACGATGCGATCAATGACGGATTTCAGGACTGGCGAGGACGATGTGGACGGACAATTTGGGCCAGATGGCAGATGGCAGATCCCAAAAAAGCCAATTGAGTCCTGAAGCACCTTCTTGCAATGCCCGGCTTGTCTGTTCTGGCAATCTCTTCTTTTTGGAAGACAGGCCGAGGTCGAGGTCGACAGGACGCAAGCTTTCTTCCCAAAGGGCCTCGTTTTTGGCCCGGTGGAATGACGTGGGCCCGGCAGGGGGGTCGCTAACAAACAGGCACCCCTGGCCTGCCGTTGACCTGTTAAGCGCGGTCTCCAGCCAAGACAATCTATGCCAAAATCAGGGAACCCGCCTGAGGCGCTGCAACCCCAAGCTATCCCCCTCTGCATCAGATGTACGCTTGCAAGCTCAACCTGGGCTCCTGGGCTCCCACACAGGGCACCCACACACCACTCTTGAGGCCGCCTCTCAGGCCGCACACGTGAGATGCAGCCGCAGCGCTGGCCTGCATTTGTTTCAGTTGCTAAATTCAGCACAACACGCTATTCACAGCTCCACGATAAGCGACTGATAACATTGCAAGTCTCAGAGCTTGCCACACAATAATTCAAAGACTTCTCTATGCAGCACGCGGCACTTATTTAACCTCGAATTTTCAAGGGAAGGACGTGAAATATTGTACTCAAGTGCAGATGAATTTGGGGCTGGAAGTTGGACCCCTTCAGAGTCAATGGTCACAGTTGCAGAGCTAGCATATAAGACTCTCAGGGCTGCCCACATATGTACCCAGGAAACTATCAATGTGCAATCTAATAGGAGATAACTTTGCAGAAATGTTGATCAATAACACCGCTCGGATGGTTCACTCCATAGATGCTGCAGCATCGTAGTAGATACGGACACCCCACGAAAGCTCATCCGCTTGGAAACTTAGCTGCATGAACATCTGCCTGCCTGCTTCTGCTGAAAGTACAGAGCTCGAGTGCTCTGTCCGAGGCGCGGTGTACTTGTAATGCTGATCGCAAAACACATGACTCTTGACTGCACTTTGGAGCGCATTCGATCCACTAAGACGAACAGCTTATCATTAGGATGGATGGCAGGAGCAGCTCATAGAATTGAAGCCACCCCCGTATTACGGCGCCCGAGTTGTATACTAAATCACATGAATTATTACTCCCGATGGCGAACTACCATGTCAAACACAACCCAACAAGCATCTCGTTAAACTGCTTTACTTCGGATCAGGCAATCAGACCTCGGGCAGTGTGTTCATGCAATATTTCTTGGCTTGCACGAGCCATGCTGCATGTGAGATGTCACAATGGAGAAGGCTGGTTCAATTCAAAATTGATTCCGCTTTGGGAATAATCACATCAGTGAAGCGCTCCGCTGCCTGAAATGCACGTAATGCTAGCAAGGCAGCGCGTGGGAGCCTTGCGCTATCACCTATTGGGGAAATCTCGTCAGTCTTGACTTCCCGGGGTTCCTGTCATGGCCGGAGACTTCAAAAGCTCAGTGCTGTCCCAAAAACACTCGCCGCTCGCGATAACTCGGCTACAGAAATCTTGCAAACCTCTCGCTTGCGTCTCTCCGTTTCATTGAATCCCAGCAACTGCGAACTGCCAACATGCGGCGATTGGAACTCGGCCTCGAAGAGGACTTTGACAACACTGGCGATGGTCAGCTCAGGGTCCCCGGGTTCGGATACGATTATTGTTTCGAGCTGGACTACATGTTCCCCAAGAATCAAGACAGATTCCGCCATGGTGCCAACGACTTCAAGCAGTGGCCTCGCTTGACCGCCAGAGAAGTCGCTATGATGGGAGTCATGAACGTCCTGACAGACAAGAAAGACTGGCATGAGAAAGTCTTTGACGATGTGATCGTTGCCAGGTGGAAAGAGGAGGCTCGCAGCGTCCCCCTTATCAGCGACATGGCGTGGGAGTGGTGTCTGACTGAGCTTCGGGACAAGGCCCGGCGATTTGAGCACACTGGTCGAGTCCTTGTCTTCGATGCTGGCTCAAGAATCTCCAAGTCTGACCAGCGAGTCACGGAGACTCTCAGGCAAGAATTGAAGGATGCCGTCAGACCACTGCTGGAACGACCTGATTCCGAAAGAGACTGGCATCCGGGCTCAGATGGCAAGGTGCTCAATCTCGTACACCCGTCTCTTTTCCCTTTAGTCTACGGGAGGACAAAGGTTCTGGTCAATGGGGGTAAAGTACCTCTCGACTTCTCCAGTGCTGGCTCATATAAAGAGGCAGAAACCGCTTCAGATAACCAACAGCCCCCGCCGAGTCGCGGTGGTCGCTGGTGTCAACCGATCGAGGAAATGTGGTCCAGGAAATTCCAATGGCTTCCTTGCGAAGTTGAGTTCACCGAAAGCACTGGAACGGATGTTGAGATCACGTCGTACATCAACAATCTTCATCCCACATATCATGCTGCAGTGTATGCAGCCATTGAGAAAATCATTCCGCTTGCAAGTATGTTGATTTCGCGAAGCATACCTTTTGACGTCCTGATGTGCCAGCCGCATATTACTTCTATGAGGCATCTCTGCAACCAACCATCATGTCTCCCTTTATTTTCATGGCACGGAACGGCTTCCTAATCAATTCCCAGTTGCACCTTGGAACGAAGTGCTTGTTCACGGATCTCGTGGACGGACACCACCACGCATACGAACATACGGCGCCCAATTCACACCAGAATTGCCCGAATGGCAACGAGGTCTTTATTTGATTGAATTTAATCGAGAATCTAACCCGGAGGCTTACGCACTAGCCCGAGAAAAAGTGTTGGATTACGTTAGCCAGCCCGTCAGCGCTGATCAATCCGCGAGGGAAGTAGACAAGGTCAAACATCCAATGTATGAGCCAGAAAACATCATGGAAAAAGGCGGGCTTGGGCCAGCAGTGAGACTCTTCTATGAACGGAATCTTCGAAAGGTCGTCCACCCTGAGCCAGGGGTTTCTTTCTCCTATGATCAATGGAAGGCGGGGCTTACTGGAAAAGGGGTTGTCGAGAAAAGACGGCCTCCTTTTGAGTGGAACGGGATCAGTTACGGTGAAAATTCACATCACTCACTTGACGATCATGACTACTACTCGCTTCGTATCCAGGACGACTTCCGTGACGAAGGACTCCAAGTCATCATCAAACTCTCCAGCATCGAGCTGACACCGGAAAAGCCAAAATACGACGGAGGCAATTGGCACATTGAGGGCCTATTGAACGAGCATATTGCAGCTACGGCTCTCTACTACTATGACGTCGATAACGTAACAGAGTCAAGAATATCATTCCGTACCGAAGCAAGCTTTGATAACGCGGATATGATATATGAGCAGGGTAAGTGATGAGAGTCGATACCAACATCCAACTCTCGAGATTGGAACGGCAGGGAGAAGAGACGAACTAACAGGCTGGGCCCCCAAGATGACCATGCCCCTTTGGTCGAGATATTCGGCATCGCTTCAGGCAGTCTCCGACAAGAACCGCCATACCAAAACCTCGGCTCCGTGTCCACGCCACAGGGCCGCTTGCTGGCTTTCCCCAACACGCTCCAGCACAAGGTCGAGCCGTTCGAGCTGATCGATAAGAAGAGACCAGGCCATCGGCGATTCCTCGTCCTGTGGCTGGTGGATCCGCATTACCGCATCTGTTCGACGCGAAATGTGCCGCCACAGCAGGAGTCGTGGTGGGATGGGGTCGGAACCAAGCCACAGTGTGACCCTGGTGCTCCGGTGACGACAACCCCGGGTGAGAAGATCCCCGAAGGTCTAATGTCACTGAAGGAGGCAAAGGAGTTGAGGTTGGAGCTCATGGCAGAGAGAACGAAAAGGGTAAAGGACATGGAAAGTGCGGCAGAGAATTATAATTTCTGCGAGCACTGAGTTCCCCGGGTTGTTTCATTTCAACGAAGATTCTGTTGGGCTTTTCTTTTATCTTCGTCTGGCTGGTGTATTGGCATTTCCTACAGAGGGTGAGCCTAGCCCAACGCAGTGACAATCGCGAATACTACCTAGGTAGCCTTCTGGAGCTTGACAAATCTTTGCCAAGGCCTCGCTGCGCTGCAACCTACCTAGGTACCTAGGTACAATTCGTAACGGGATATTTAGGTAGCTTCGTTGCTGATCCCTATATCTATAAAACGCGTGTAGCGTCTTTATACATTAGTAAACGATCAAGTCCTAGCATTTGAAACAAAACATAATTCTAATATTAGTATACCTAGGTAAAGAGAATACGATATGTCTGTGGGTATGCCCAGGTGTGGCCTTAGCCTCGTGCCGGTAAGACAAGGCTAGGAGGCATTGCTCCCGACGGCGCCGCTGACTATAATTGCTAGTACAAGTAGCCCAGGCACTAAAGGCTGGCACCAGGGTATTTGAGATGTAGCCAGGTCATCCAAAGAATGTTTGGTTCTGTTCTTATTCCGTACATATTCAAACATCTGAAGCTGTATACAGTGGTAACCGCTTAAATCTTGGAAGATCTAATGTTTTAAGACATGTAAGGCCCATAGCAGTCGAAAATACAATAAGTGCAAGAATAAATCCACTATTCAAGCACAGAGCGAGGCACTTCTAAATATCTAAGTAGTTTCGTTTTGAATCCCTATATATATAAAATATATATAGTACCTTTATATAATAGTAAATACTTAAGATTTAATATTTAAAGAAATATAATATTAATAATAATAGAAAGAGAATATAATATATAAATATATAGCTAAGCTTTATACTATATAAATAAAATTAAAAAGTATTACTTTTAATAGTATTATATTAGAATTATTAATATAAGTAACTTAAAGGTTAATAACTAATAAAATAGTTATATAATAAAATTAGAATAGTTTTTAAAATAACCTTTATAAAAGAAAAATCCTATAATATAAAACTTAATAAGTTAACTCTTTCTTATTAATATACTTAATAGCTATTTAAATTTACTTTTATTAAATAAATTAAATATATTATAGTTTTTATTTTAAATATATAATTAATAAAATAATAATATTATAATAATAAATTTATTTAAGAAAACCTTTCTATATAATTTTATAAAAATTAAATCTTTTAGAAAATTAAATAGAATTTATTTATTATATATTAAATAAATATTATATAAAGAAAATAAAAGTTTAAATATTTAAGAATTAAATTTTCCTTCTTTAAATATATTATTTTATTATTAAGGATTTATCTACTTCTATATAATATATAAGGAATATAGTAAAAGAGAGAGCCTTATAAAGAAAGTTAGTAACTTTATATATAAATAAGTTTAAGGGTATATATTAAGTAATTATTAACTTTATACTTAAAATATAAACTAATAGTTAGTTTAAAAGTTAGGAAGATAATAAATAGATAAATAGTTAAATAAAAAATATAATATAGCTAAAGCCTCTAAATATCCAATTTAATACCTAACTATCCAATTGGTAAGATGGCCTCCAGATGTCAGCTGTTGCTTACCTAACATGAGAATTTTTATGACGCCTCCCCTGGTTCATGAGACTTTGATGCGGTGACGACATGACCCAAGGGGACCAACATGAATCAATACATGTGGGTTCGCTATTGTGTTACATAGTGTTGCCAGGCCACATGTGTACAACTCGGCCTGTCATGACCGCCGATCGATAGTGACTGGAGATCAATACCGGAGCGCATTCAACACTTAAGAACGGTGTCTCAACCATTCTAGAATGTTAAAGAGATCCCTGGGGATCCCAGATGGAAAATGGGTGACTTTCAGCCTGAGTTAGATTACAGGCGCGGTGACGACTCAGTAGTGCCCACGTTGACGAACCCTCGGCGGGCTGCACAGGCTCCAAAAGCGTCGTTCGCCGAGGGCAGCACCGGCTTCCAAACGTGAGCTCGAATTGCGTCCTTTAGATGCTCGTGGTGCCATGTATGACCCCAGACATATGCGGGATAGAAACGAAACCAGTTAGATGCTCGTGGACTTCCTGCTCTTTACCTTTTCAAGAACTCTTGCCGAGTGGGGCTCTTTCTTCATCATTGAATCTGTAGTCAAGCCAAGCTAGAGTGAGGCCACGTGAGTCTGCTGCCAACTCTTGGCATGACAGCTCTGGCTCCCCAGGTAGAATCAAAACAATCTCCGAAGCGCCTTGACTGCGTTCAAGGTTTCCCTAGAATAACAGAAATTTCCAATATCAAATATTAGCAGCACGATGAGGCTTGCAGTGTTCATATGCGTGGACAATGGCCGTACCAGTCAATGTGAATCCAAATAAATTGAATTCGGCACTGATAAGTGCTACTCGGGCCGTCCTCCCGACTCATTAGAGTAGAACCAATTAGCTTAAGCATAAGGTGCAACGGAAGATCTTCGAGTAAGGTCGATCATAAAACCTCAGTCTGTGCATTTCGTGATGACTAAACCTGAACACATTTTGCTAAAGCACCCCGGTGTTTAAAACTGCCAAAGCTTATTCACAGTAAGGGCGCCTGTCCAGGTGGGCAAACAGTCCTGCCCAGAGATTCGGTAATAACCGCCGCAATTAAGGTCGATCTGGCTTGCAGCCCCAGAGTGCATGTCCATGATAATTAGTAAAGACTAAAGCTTGAGGAATGAACCGCTAGAAACTATGATTGGGGCTGGTGGTGCAAAATTGGTTGGTTGTCTTGGCTGGAAACCTTATTACCCACCTTCATTTGCAATTACTGTATTTGTCTGATAGCGAGGAATCGCTTGACAGACGATTATGAAACACATCTTGACACGCTACCATTCATCCAGCGTTTATTTCTGGCTAACTAGGTGAATCTGAAGATTTCTCCGTCCGCATTGAAATCTCCTGAGTTGCTTGTCTAAGCGCTGCTTAAAATTCAGCTAACTCCCACTTCATCCCAGTTGCGAAGTCTACATGAACGGCGGGCACAGCCGCAGAGGCTAGACAGCTTCGGGGGCCAGAATGAAGAGTGCAGGAATTGACTCGTCCGCGATGCCAGATGCGGACTGCTGAGACACTAGGAGCGTATGTTAGGCACATGGGCCATCGTGGTCGCCGGTCGATCAGGGTTCATCAGACGGACACATGATTCGTGCGCGAAATAAGCCACCCTTTTCTACTCACTTTGTGCAATGTCTCCATCCTAACAATTACGGTGGCCCGGGACAAGGCTGCTCCACATCATCTACCGATAACAACCAGGGAGTCTTGTCGAGTTCATCCAGGGGGGGGGGGATCTCCGTGACTTCCCGCCGCCCAGAGCCGCATCAAGGGGCAGCGTCAACTTCAAACATGACGGCCGCAATAAGGTTATTCGGAGGCTTCAGCAGTCCGTTACAACGCGCGCCCCCCGATATCCCTCCCCTATAACAATCCCGCTGGCCCTGCCACCCGAGACAAGATGTGGGATCGTCTCATCCTTTCTTAACCGCGCTACTTTATATTCTTAACCCACAGTCATTCGTTGCCTTGCTAGTACTAGGCCCCACATTCCTTTCGTTCGCTAGAATAACACAAATTACTTCAAGATGTTCTCTCAAAGACTCCTCACCCATACTTCCCTGTTCTCACTTGCGTCGCTGGCGGCCTCGCAGTCTGCTATCCAGTTCGACGGCCGCGTCCCTGCTGGCACTCAGCTCTCTGCCTTCGATTCAGACAACGGCCTGTTCAACCCGGGCAATGTTTTCGGCAAGAACGTGACTTTCAGCAAGCTCCTGCAGCTTCCTGATGTCGCCCCATCTCTCTTTGACGTCGGCACCGTTCCTCTGGAGGTCACAATCAAGTGAGTACCGGTTGAAGCTGATATCGACATATCTCGTTTGCGATAGACTGGCTAACAAGTCCACAGCGACGAGTCCATCTTTGCTCCTAGCGAGACCAACGTCCAGCTCGGCTTCCGCCGTGCTGAGCTTCTTCCTGCTAGCAACAATGGCACCGACCCGTCCACCCTGGGCGTGAAGAGCCTGCACTTCAGCTTGATGAAGGATGCTGCTCGCCCGCTCAACATCTCGCACGAGTACCAGCTTGCTTTTGTCGAGAGCGCCGACTTCAGCACCAACCAGTTCGTCCTCAAGACTGGTACTATGCTTGACACCTCCACCCAGGGCGGTGTCGACCCAGACAGCCTCATCCTCTTTGGAAATGTCAAGCAGAGCCAGCAGCTCTTCAGCACCCCCTTCACCGAGGGTGTCTTCCACAACTTTGGCCTGACCCTCGACTTCAACGCCAAGTAAGTCAAGTCTCTCACCGCTGTGGAAATTCTGTACACATACTAACTCTCTTCCGCGTCTAGCACCACCCAGGTGTTCTACTCCACCGGAAACGAGCCCCTTGCCAAGGTCACCGAGCCCCTGACCAACGACATCAGCGGCCAGGGTCAGTACCACTTCGGCGTGCTCAAGAAGGGTGTCAATGGCGGCGCCGACATCACCAAGGATGCTCAGCAGCCCGCGGGTATCAACGAGGGCATCATCTACGGCGGTATCTTCCAGGAGGACAGCTCCGCCAGCACTATCACCCTGTCGCCCCAGGGCGGTGCTGCCACCAATGCCACCGCCGCCTCGAGCAACGGCTCGTCCAGCTGCACCAAGAAGAGGTCTGTTGGGAGCATCGCTGGTCGCGTGAAGCTTAACTAGATAGCGAGATGACGGAATTTTTGCGTGACTCGGAATGAGACAGCCACATAGTGTAATGTTGCCTAGCCTTTCAAGGTGACCTCGGGCAGTGATCCCCTAGAAATATATCTTTTCTTCAACTCCAAATAAGCGAGACTTCAATGAGCGACGTAGATTCGTGCTGAGCCCTCTTTTTAGGACACATAGTTGTCGATATCGTATCTTTTTGAGCGCTGAGTCTTGAGCGTTTACCACCGTGTGAAGGCGCCATGTATGTCCTCGGACGTATACGGAATAGAAGCGAAAATAGTTACATGGAATATGCTACTATAAATATTTAGAAATCAAGGTATTAGCGATTCTTCATTTTTCGGTATGTGATGACCTCGGGACACAGCGTGCTTGAACTTGCCTGAAAAGTGCATGTGCCCGGTCCGGGTGTTGCTGCCGGAACTCGGTCACAGGGTTTGTCTATGCAGTGGGTGAGAGCAACTTTTAAGGTCAGGAGACACGGTATGGCCTGAGCATCCCTTTCAGTCACATTATCTGTCTCAGGGCCAGGCGGAATGCTGCGCGGTCTTCCTTCACGCTTGGTTCGTCTGCAGCCGGTGGTTTGTGGAATATGTATGTTGACAGCTCCTCCAGCGGACGATGGAAAAATGGGTCCTGGTACTGGTAATATCCAACACTTGGGCTGTTTGTTTCAATGATAAAAATTGCTGGGCTCGTGTTGATCTTGCACGTAGACTAGCCTAGGGTCAGAGACGTCGAGAGGTGGGTCTCTGAGTCTAATATTGCGTGACTCCAGTATCATTGATGGGTGAGGACTGCATCAGCACTGAGTCCGTTAGGGAAGGTTCCCCCGCAATGCGATCACTCATGACACCAATCACAAAAAGGTCGTCCAGTCGTCCGGTACCGTGTAGCGAGTCCCGCTAAACTAGGCTGATCTTATGTTGCGGGTTCCTGATTGAAACACGATGCATAACAAACGCGTGTCTAACAGCATATATCGGATGTTATGACACAATAGGTGTGAAGCCGCCAGAGACAACATATGACCAAACGTCACACCACAGCATATTTATATTAAACTCCAAAAATATCCGTGAGAGTATTGGAGGGCAGTTGAATTCCTGATTCTTCTTCCAACAACTCTCCATACTTGCCGAGCCACCAAAATGAAAGTCTTCATTGTTTTCGCTCATCCAGAGCCGCAATCGCTTAACGGCTCCCTTCTACAAGCTGCAGTAGAGGAACTGGAAGCCCAAAGTCATGAAGTTCAGATCTCTGACCTATACGCCATGCATTGGAAAAGCCACATCGACCGTTCTGACTTCACACAGCTCACGCCAGAGACCCGCCTGAGGGTGGGCTACGCTTCGCGTGAGGCGACATTATCGGGCACGCTCACAGACGACATCAGACGCGAGCAGGAGAAGCTGATGTGGGCCGACATCCTCATTCTACAATTCCCGCTGTGGTGGTACTCCATGCCCGCCATTATGAAGGGCTGGGTGGATAGGGTCTACTCGGCGGGCTTCGCGTACGGTATTGGGGAGCACAACAATGAGCGGTGGGGGGACAGGTATGGAGAAGGTAAAATGCTGGGGAAGAAGGCCATGGTTGTGGTGACGGTTGGGGGATGGAAGGAGCACTTCTCGCCTCGAGGAGTTTGTGGGCCCATTCACGATCTCCTGTTCCCCATAACCCATGGGATGCTCTATTACACCGGATTCGAGGTCTTGCCGTCTTTCGTCGTGTACCAGTCTAACCGAGTGGACGAGGTCCTTTTCAATGCAACAGCCGAAGAGCTTCGGAAAAGGATGCGAGAGCTTTCCAGCACGCAGCCTATTCCTTTTCGCCCCCAAAACGGTGGAGAGTATGAGATCCCATCTTTGACCTTGAAACCGGAGGTGGAGGTGAATTCTCAGTTGTCAGGGTTCTCTATACATTCTCGGCCTTCGAAGGATATTTAGGATTCAATGTATTTATATGGTTATGAATGCAGCTTCCTATCAAGCGAGTATTGGACACTTACTTGAAACTCGCAGTGATAGTGTGAAAGCGATGAGAACTTGACTCTGCATATCAGAAGCCGATAAGTATCTAGGTAACTCTTGCAATAATAAGCCTTGTTGTAGCTGAGCTTAGAAGCGTCTGGAAGAAGTGTTCGGCTTTCTGGAAACGGTTTCGCCCTAATACTTCTAGAGTTAATTAGCATGGATGGGATTTCGGTACCGTCTTAATGGGGACGGGTACCTACCTCCATCACTAGACTAGACCAAGTCGTTCAGATATTCGGAGCCACGGTCGACTGCCTCGATACATGCGCTTCCATTCCGAAGCCTAAGCTTGCTACCCAAAGTAAATGCTTGCCACCACTAATTTGCGCCAGCTCTCGCCCTGCGAACCTGCAATCTTGGCACCCATCTATCGCCAGACTGTTTCAAGTAACGGCTCGTCAACTCGGGCCGTAATTTGAACAAACCACAGGCGATATCTGGGCAAGGCTAACGAGTGGTATACGTCATCATCCTGGCTGTTCAGGTTCGACCGGCTTGGGCGGTCTGAGCAGATGAAACGCAAGACATGGCTGGGTATAGGTATAGTACATAATATTGAGAGAGTGGTAACTCCAGCACGCTCCCCTCGTTATTTACTTGTAACCTTTTGTTCCATCCATTCCGGTCTGTCGATTACAGACAACTTTGGAAGCTCACTCTGTCTGATTTCGCGATTACGAATGTGCGCATATTTGACGGTGAAAACATCATTGATCGTGGCTCGGTCCAAGTTAGAGGTGGTGAAATCTCAAAGATATCATCGAGAACAATCGCGTTTGATGGACCCACCATATCAAAACCCGGGCACACTCTGCTGCCCGGATTCATCGATGCGCATGTTCATGTAGATTTTGGCAATGAATCCGGGTTAGCACAAGGCTTACGGTTTGGAGTAACAACGCAGTGTGACTTGGGAAATGCTCCGTTTCAGATCGACAAGCTGCGTAGCTTGGTGCAAGACGGTGACTGCTCGGATATCAAAGCTGCAATGCAATCAGCGACGCCCGAGGGCGGCTGGCCAGCACCATTACTCAAGGTACCTGGAAAGTCATGTGCCAGGTTGTCAAAAACTCTGCATAGCATGCTGACAGACCTTGATAACACAGAAACAGGGTATCGAGCTCCACCTGATGAGAACCCTCTCAAGACGCAGGAGGACGGTCACAAGTTTGTGCGCGATCAGGCTCAAGCTGGCGCTGATTACATGAAAATTATCCACGAATCTGGCGCTGCATTCAAGATGGTGCTTCCCAAGCTTCCAGCAGTTGTGGAGAGAGCCATTGTAGAGGAAGCGCATCGGTCAAACCTTACAGTTATGGCTCATGCATTCACTCTTGATGATACCCTAGAGGTCCTCTCCCAAGGCGTCGATGGAACGGCCCATGCAGTACTTGACAAGCCACCAACCGAAGCGCTTATCAAAGCATTTCAGAAAAGCGGTGCTTTCTGCATCCCAACACTGGCAGTGATCGGAAGTAACACTGAAGAAGGATTAGAGATGCAGAAGAAATATGCTCATGATCCTCGCACTCAAGGTTTGCTCGAAGAAAAGGGAGAACAAATGATGTGTCAATGCCTGGCAATGACAAAGCGAAGTGATGGGAGTCTCCAGCATGCGGTTGACACAATCAGGAGCCTGAACAAAGCAGGTGTTGACATTCTCTGGTAAGAGCATGTGAAATCATCTGGCACGGTAAAACCATCAACTAGTCAAAGCTTACCAATCTTGCAGTGGTACTGACTCAACTGGCCTCGCTGCTGGGACTGCTTATGGGCTATCACTTCATCAGGAACTTGAACTGTTGGTTAAGGAATGTGGATTCACCCCCTCTGAAGCGTTGAGATCTGCAACCAGCTTAACCGCCAAAAGACTCAATTTCACGGACCGTGGATGGATTCGAGAAGGGATGCGTGCGGACTTGGTACTGGTGGAGGGCGATCCTATGGATGACATCAACCACACAATGAATTTGAGAGGAACATGGATCGCTGGCAGGCTGTGTTCACATTATCAAGATAGAATATAAAATCAGGGTAAAGCCAGCTAACATGGACTTGTTTTTTCTGCTAAACAATTACGTTGTGTCTGTAGATCACACAACTTAAGAATCACAAGTAACCACGGCTGCAACCCTTTTAACATCATTTCCTGATACCACCCATGGACGGTACCTAGGTATGCCTCCCCCAACCCCCCCACCAGGCGAAGTCCTATACGTGAGATCTTGTGTGAAACAGTTGCACAGATAGCAGAAAATTCACAGGGACTTGTTGGTACTTTGAAAATGTGGTGGTGGTACGGTAATAGTACATGTGACAGTATCCTACAGAATGACCTCCAATACGATGCTACGGTGGGATGAAAGCTTACCCCAGCATTTCCATTGCAACTCAGTGCAATGCCTCTTCTTCTTTCTTCAATCCTACAGTACCAGAACCGCTTGGTCTGTCAACGAACAGGCAATGTTCAAATCTCCTGAACACTGTGGTGAACTTCCTCGCTAGTCTTTCCAATCCTGGAACGGAAGAAAGACCAAATTGCCATCCTCATCAAACCTCGGAAGGGGCTTGAACTCGACGACCATACTCATCTTCTTCGTATGCTCGATCGCCTCCCTCCATACGCGGACAGCTGATCGAGATGGAGTGTGCATGGCAACCGTAAGTGCTGGCCGTTTGATGTTGCGGCGCCTCAGGCTGATCTTGGACAATTTTATGGAGACGTCAGGCGTTAGGAACCTAATCGACATCCCAACACCTTCAAATCCGAATTCCGGCTGTGACTCAATCATGATCACGGCGCAATTGAGCCTTGGCATTTCTCTTGCGGCACGGCCCACAAGTTTCAGAAACTCATCCTTCAAGGGGAAGCTTAGAGGGCGCCTTTCCTTGATGATTGGTCCTCGAAAGATCAATACTTCGAGGTGCGGCCATGAATGTTGCGCTTTCGGTACGAGGCTGCCATGCTGAGCGTCGTAGAATGTCTCAAAAAACAGGGGCAGGTCAAGAGGGCCTCCTAATATAAGCTGCTTGAGATGGTAGCTAGTGTGGCGCATGGAAGCAATAGACGGCCCAGTCAAGATGCCGACAAGTATTCCATTTGAAATTTTTGTCTGCCCTGAGTTTGGTCAGTTGAGAATTGGGTGCTTTCAGCGCCCCACGGGAGTGAGAGGAGGTGGGGAAAGTTAGTAGAGGGAACAAGGAAATCACTTACTGCCGAGGAATGGCTGCGTCATTTCCAGTACCTTGAGCTGTGGTGTTTCTGTACGGAAGCCACGCATGACTTCTATGAGATGGTTGTCCCTATCATCGTCGCTTGAGAAGCACCAAGGGCTGAGACGGAAATGGGCTGCTCTCAATCGAGGTAGCTTGCGGAGCAGGCAGAGCAGAGCCAGCGGCAATTTGCTGAATGTTCCTGTTTCCATAATGATATGTAAGACTCCGATGGATTCGATCTTTGGTGTTTCTTCGATTTCTTGTCGCAAGTGTTGTACGGGAAAGTCCTGTAGCTCAATGTCGAGTTCCACAACGAGCAAATCAGTTGTGACTTCCTCTAACGACCAAGTTCCCAGGGTCCGAAGAAGCCTCAAAATGCACTCATAGCTGCCTCCGATGCGATGTGGCCTATCATCTTCCGAGCCAGGGTGCTGGTAAGTTGGGTACTGTCGGTACGATTCGAGCCGCAACACTTTCAAGTATCGGCGTCGTGGTCCAGTGACAATGGCCGAGAAAGCCAGTATATCGGCGTACTCGTTAGGCCCAGAATCAGGCACCACCCAGAGGTCGAGGGTTGAGAACAGTTGCTTCTCAGCCTCTACTTGCCACTCTGTGCTTACGCAAGCAAACTGGGCCAGACTAGGTGGCTGTTTGTCCTGTAGCTGTGAATGCAAGATGCCGCGACGCGACTGCACCACTATGGGGCTGCCTTCTTTCTCGAACCATCTCTTTCGGCGCTCACGAATGCCATGAATGAAAATCTTTATGACCTCTAAGCGCAGTTCAGCGGGAAGCCGCTGGAAGTAAAAGAAACACTTGGTCGTTTGACGCCGTGACGTGCGAGCTCGTGCTAGTAGGGAGCGTGAGCTGGAAATCGGGCGCTGGTCATCGCGTTCGGGGTTGACAAAACCAAATGGGATCCCGATGTCAGCCATGGCGGCTCAGTGTGGTCGAATTCATCGGAGACGTCGATGTCGGCACTGAATAAGGGATGATGACGCTTGTCGATGATGCTTGAGGCTGTTGCCTAGGACCTATCGCATGAGAGGGAAGGGAGGTGGGAGGTGGGTGAAGGGAATGTTGTGGCAGATCAGACCTCAGATCAACAATCCAAAGTCAAGCGTCTTTAGGCCTCGGAGGTCGGCAGATTTTGTTGAAATCAAGATGCTGTGAAGGTCGGCAAATGGGTATTAGACGCTAGAAGGTAGACAGGCGTTCAGAAAAGGACACCGGGATCTTGTTGGGTGCTGAGAGATCTCGGTTGGATCAAAGAAAGAGACTGGGAAAGCAGCTCACGAGTGACGCGATGCAAGGTGTGGCACCAAGACAGTTGAGCTGTTTGGCTAAACCAAAGGCTTGTCCAGGGCACAACAGTGGTCAAAGTTACTTCTAGAGCTCACGTGCTTGCCCTCTTTTTCTGTACAGGCGGCTTTGCATCTGATAAATTGACCACACACAAGTTTCTGAAATCACCCTGCAATCTTGTAATCTTCAAGATGGTGCTCCCTAGCCTTATCTGTAACATCACAAGGCTTAGGCCACTTGCTACTCTATGATATTTTCACCACTGTAATCAACATTGTACGTTTCATTTCTCTCTTTCTCTCTCTTCTTATTTTAAAATAAAAGAAAACATGGTGTATTCTAAGTGCTCACGCCTGCCAGTTTTAAACACAATCAAGAATCCAGTTATGAACATGAAACATGTATGGATAGCACTTCTCACTTGCAATTTGCATCAGAACTGATGTTGAGGATATTAAGGAGTGGCTTGATTAAAATTAATCCAACTTTGCAGAAACCAAACACTACCTAGGCCTAGGTACTCTAATAATGATAGTCTAAAAGCAAACACAGCCATTCTATAAGCACAATTCTTTCGCCTGCATGCAAATGCCAACCTGGGCCAGATCCCAGCTCCGTCTTCCATGCGTGTATTTGCCAATTATGAGTTTGAAACCTGTTCAGTGCCGTGATGGGTTTACGTTTTGGCCCATAGTGCGCTTAAGCACCACAGGTCAGATCACCGGTGTTGGAGTCAAAGGTGCAGCGGTTGCTATAGGTGTAGCTCAGCTATAGGCGTGCCGGGTTAATTCTCTGAGTTTGTATGCCTAGATGGGGTTACGACTTTGACTTACGTTGATGTAACCGCCGTCGCTCTCGGTGTAGAACTGGTTGTTGGCAGTCATGTACATGCAGTCATAGCTGGAAACAACATATTAGCCTCGCATCTCATCAAACACCGAAGCATGTCAGTGTCCGGTCTGCAGATAGATAACTCACTCAGTGTTAAGCTGGCCCAGCTCCAGCTTGGCCGAGACAAGGCCGTCCTTGCCAGCGGGGTTCTTGAGCTTGTAGCCCTTGTTGTAGCAGATGGCGGCCGGGTACTTTTGGTAGTCCGGGTTGCGGGCCCACATCTCGGCGGTGGTCTTCTTGGTGAAGGCCTCGCGGGCATCGTTCCACTTGCCGAGGTTCTTGATGGTGTCTTGGCCGATCTCAACCGCGATCTTGGTCAGGATGGCGAGGCCCTTGACCGCGGCGATGCCGGCGATGGCCACGACGGGGGCGATACGCTTCTGGAGCGCCTCGGAGGTCTGGTCCTCGGGTGCGGGCTTGACGGTGAACTTGCCATCGGGTCCCTGAGTGGTAGCGTTGTCAGCAGGTGGTACGAGGAATGGGGCCTGCATTGCAGGTGGGGAGGGTGTCTTTTACCTTCTGACCCGTCAGGTCAGTGGTGGTAGAAGGAGGGATGTTGGCATTGGGAGGAGCGGGGGCCTGGGGGGAGGGAGCAGCCAGGGCGGTGGCGCAGAGAGCCAGCTGGAGAAGAGTGGTGAGAGTGAACTTCATGGTGAATGATTTTGGTGGATTGGTGGATGGGTTTTGGTGAAGAAGACTTTTGGTGGTAAAGATGAGGAGATGATTGCTAAAGAAGCTGGAGTGTCTGAAGAGTGTAGTGAAGAAGGCTTGATGAGATGATGCCAACAAAACGATGAACGTGAGGAAACACGGCTCTTCTTATAGAATTCATCGTGACCTCAACATAGGCGAGGGACGATGTCTGTTTCCATACACGCTCTCCAGCACGGAGGCAGCTCTCTCAGCTCTCAAAGCACTTTGCCGCTTTGTCTTCTAACTTGCGCATCTTTGCCGGGCTAGAGGCAATCGCAGGGCGTGCTGTAGGCCGTGAAGCTGGGATGAAGCAGAAGTTTCTGGATCGAGTTGAGTGCCTCTCCCTCCAAACAACAGCCGAAAAGCTAGCTCGACCCACATGGGGTGATGTCCTGCGATGTTCCGCTGCGCATGTCATGCGCAAGGGTGCCTCGAAAAGCCTGCTTCGGTGACAGGACACGATGAAAGCTGCGCTTTGGTCGCCTCGAGGGGACGCCATAGCCCTGCGAGCCGTCACGTGGCTTGTGCGTTGCAGATGGGATGAACTCCAGGAGGTGTTTGGCACGAGAAACGTGGCGCTGCCCCTCGATCCACTTGGGCAACCGACTATTGTCCAGGTGTGGACGAACTCCCCCTGCCGCAGAGTCGTTCCAAGGTTCCAACCCGCTTCCAAGGTTAGGGCTGGCTGCCCAGGTCCCATCCCGGACGCCAACAAGCTTATTCTGCGTTTCGATGGACCGTTGCCAATCGCATCCTCGACATCTGAAGCATGAGGCGATCACCACGCCCCGCCCCTCACCGGCAGACATTACGACAAGGAAGACTGTCGTTGAAGCCTCATGTGCTCGATCATGCGGCTGGAATGCAGCTGCCCCTGGTTAGCAGTTTATCTGGGGAAATGGCCAATCGGGCTGTCCGTTTGGATATGGCTGGTACCGGCCTGACGGCCAAACATCTGCCGACTGGTCTGGTTTCGCGATCTATCCGAAGCTTGTCGTTTCACTGACAGCTCGCCCTAGTAGCTGCCTAGCATCCCGGACTCGTGGCTGACAGCTGACAGCGTCAGAGCGTGCGCGAGACAGTCACATTAGCGAGGTCCCATGGTGTCATCCGAGTAATTGATGTCTCTTGGGAAGAATGCTCTCCCACTGGTAGTCAAACATGCCTGTTAGCCGACAGACACCCTCCAGATGTCATTGCGGCTGCATAATGCTGCAAACCGAATCCACATTACAGGAAGAACCAATTACCAATCGAGGTTTCATATTCTCCAGGTCAAGGAACGGGGCCAGACTAAAGTCATTAGAACCTGAGCGTGAACCTACTAGTTGTTTGACTGTAAGTCCCTCTCCATAACACCTCGATGGTGCTATATGATCGACGTTCTTGGAGGCATGCAAAGAATGTGTTCTGAAGTACCAATCCACCTTCCAGACTCAATATAGAACAAGTTTCACAAGAGGGCCCTGCGTCGGGCCGTGCCCATAAGGCTTAGTTTGTAAACGTGTCTGTGCTCTGGTTGCACTATCCCCAAGCTCATTGGCCACTGGATGGCAGGTTATGAAGCAAGCCACGTGCAGAAAATACTGCCAGTGCACCCAATGCCACTCTAAAATTAGAGAAGGAGGTTGGGAAAGGCCAATGTAGAGAAACATCCAAACGCCGCGATCTTGTTTGGTGTGGCAGCTGCGGGTACTGCCTAGGTAGAACGCACGGTCTGGTTCTTCTCACTTGCTTGGACTAGGAGTGTGAGCTTCGCTAAAACGATCAAAATCGCGCAGGGGGGGTGGGTCACACCTCCTGGCGTCTTTGCTGGACTCGCGCCGAGGCAGACTCGGATAGTATCCCATGGGATGCTAATGAGGTGTGGCCGTGTCCTGCAACTGCGCAAAGGACCTCGTGAATAGACTCGTATTAAGTGGGAATGACGGAGAGGCCCCCTGACTTGCTGTTAAGCGCTTCCGTGGCTTTGAAAGAGCCAATCGCGTTTCACGTCGCACAGAGACAATAGTCCCGGTCAACCACTTCCGTCAGGAGCGAGTTTTACGGTCTTCTCTATATCCCCAATGGGCCCCCCCTTCTACCCCTTCCTATCAGCCTACTCTTTAAATAGATTAGTTATATCTTAATATAAAGTAACCCCTATAAACTATCTATATAAAGAATTTATAAATAATATATTTAAACTAAAAGTTTTTAATATATTTATTTATTACTTTTTATAAAAACTTTTATTATTTAAAATATAATAGTTTATATTAAATTAATTAATACTTTTAAAATAACTTTATTAAATTTAAATTTTTTATTTTTAATAAAATCTTATTAAATATAAATAATTTTTTAATATAATTAATTAATTATTTAATAAAAATTCTTATAAAAATTATTAAAAGTTTTTTATAAAACTATTATAATTTAATAAAAAAATAAACTATAAAGTTTTATTAAACTTTTAAATATTAAATAAAATAAATATATAAAAATATTTATTATTAATTTTATTATTAACTTTATTAATTATAAATAACTTATTAAATAATTACTTTTATAAAGAAATTTATTAATTTATAAATTTTATTAATAATAAAAGAATTAATATATTAAATAGTTTTTAATTTATTAAATAAAATTATTAATATTATATTTAATATTTTATTTTTAAAAAATTATATATATAATTTTTAAATAATAATTATATTAAATTAAATATATTTACTTTATAAATTATTATATTATTTAATATATTTATTAATATAAATATTTATTTATATTTATTAAAAATTAACTTAAATAATTAATAATATAATAAAAATACTTTTATAATTATTTAATAAACTTAAAAAAGTTTTTATATTATAATAAATTTTATAAAAATATATAAGTTAATATTATATACTTTAATAAAATAAATAATTAATAAATTATTTTATAAAAGATAAATAATAAAATAAATTTATTAATATAAATTTTATATATTATCTTTCTTTTATAATATACCTTTTAATAAATTTAATTATTTATTAATATATTTAAATTATTTTTATAATTAATAACTTCTTTAATTAATTATTTAATTATCTTTAAAGAAAGTTTTTATTATTAAAAATATATTCTTTATAAATATATATAAAAGTTAATATTTATAAAAAATAAATAAATATATAGTTTTTAATAATTTTAAATATAAAAAATTTTATTTTATAATAAAATCTTTATTTTTATATATTTAATATAATTACCTTATAATTAATAATTATAAAAATTTTAAAAATAATTAAAAGTTAAAGTTTTATTATTATAAATAAAGTAAAATATTTAATTTTATTATAAATTTATTAACTTTTTTATTATTAAAATTTATAATTAATATATATTTATAAACTTTATAAAAAAATATAATTATATATTATTTTTAATTTTATTAATTTTAAAGTTATTATAAAACTTTTAAAAAAGATTATTATTATTTAAATAAATATAGAAATATTTAATTATATTTACTTAATTTAATAAGTATTATTATTATTAAATAACTTTTTTAATTTATTTTTAAATATAATAAAATTAAAATTTTTAAAGAATTATTATTATAGTTTTATAATATAACTTAATAGTTTTATTTTTAATTTTATAAAAATAAAGTAAAGTTAATTAAACTTTATATTTTTATATTTTCTTTTAAAAATATAATAAATTAATAATTTTAATATTTTTAATAAAGTTATAGTTTTACTTTTATATTAAAATTTTTATTTAAAACTTAAAATTTTTATTTAATTATTAAATTATTTATAATAATATATTTTAATATTTATAATAATATATATTTAATTAATTATTTTAAATAAATTATAATAATATATATTTTTAATTATTTAATAAAAGTATATATTAAAGTATTATTATTTATAGTTATTATAATAAAGTAATATAAAAAAGTTATTTTTTAGTTAATATAATATATAATATTAAAAAAATATTATTTTATAACTTATTAATATATAATTTTATTTATAATCCTTTATTTTTTAAAAGAAATTAATATATAAAAGGTATTTCTTTTTCTTATAAGTATATAATATATAAATTAATTCTTTTATTTTAAAAAATATTTTTATATTAATAATTTAATTTTTATTTAATATTTTATATAATAATTCTTTTAATTATTTATTACCTTATAATAGTTATATTAATATAAAACTTCAAAAAAATTTATTTAATTTATTTATATTTATATATTAATTTTTATTTTTATATATTTTATAAATAATTATAAACTTTATAAATTAATAATTATTTTATTTATATTTTTAATAACCTTTTATTTAAATTTTACTTTTTTAAAATATTTTTATTATAAACTTTAAATTAAAAACATTTAATAATATTATATTACTAAATAATATAAATATATTTATTATTTTAAAAAAGTATAACTTATTATAATATTATAATAAATATTTAATTTAAAAGTTTATAAATATAAAGATTAATTTTATTTAATTATTAAAAATAATATTATTAATTATTTAAAACTTTTTCAACTTTTAAATTAAATATTTATTAATTAAATAGGTTAGTTTAATATATTTATTATATTTTTTTAAAAAATTTATTAATAAAAATATTTATATTTAAATTAATTAATTATAAAAGAATTTTTAATTTTTAATTATATTTATATTAAATTATATATTTAAATATTTAATATAAAGGTTTAAAAGCTTTTATTATTTATTAATTAAAATAATAATATAATTAATTATAAATTGTTTTATAAGTTTTTTATAAATATTAATTTATATAAAGAAAGTTAATATTTAAAGTTATAAGGATATTAAGAAGCTTTAAAAGTTTATTTTAATATAATAATATATATAATATATATATTTTTAATAAAGATAATATTTTAATAAAAAATATTAAATAAATTAATATAATTAATAAAAAAGAGTTAAAGAAATTAAAATTAGTTTTAAGTTAAAATAATATTTTAAATTATTAAAATTATATATAATTTAATATTTAATATATTTAATAAATAAATAAATATATAAATATATAATTATTATATAATTATTTTATTATAATATAAATTATATTTATATAAAACTTTTAATTAAATAAAAAAATTTTATTAAATAAAAAGGAAATAAGAAACTACCTTTATTTATTAAGTTAAGGTTATTTATTTTAATTTAATTAGGTAAGTCTTAGTTAGGAGGATATTAAGAAGATATATATTTTAGAATATATATTTAGGATTTAGAAAACCCTGAGTTTTATACTACTAGCACTCTCGTGTTGTCGTTGGTAATGTAAATCTGGAGATTACGGCAGCTGAAATGATGTCTTTAGCCTGAAGGTTTGGGAATATACTGCAATATTCAACTTTCGCCATATTGGATCTAGCGAGTCTGTCTTCAAAGCAAACACCAGTTAACCTCACGATTTCGTTAATCCGGCAAAAGATGCGATAGAGTGCCGATACTCCCAGTCCGAACCCACCCATTTAACGGAGAAGGAGAAAGTGGTGTGTTTTGTCTATGGCAAGCAGTAACCTCCGTCCACTATGATGTCTGTTCCAGTGGTGTAAGAAGCCGCATCCGAGGCGAGGAACAAGTACGCCCCCTTGAGCTCGTGGACTTCTCCCTCGCGACTAGGGACAAGACTGGTATTAGCGATCTCTCGGGCCCCTGCCATGCATGAATCACTCGGGAAAGGTTCGAGCAACTTACCCCATGGGAATCTTGTCCTTCCAGATCTTTTTGGTGTCTTCGTTGACGAAGGTTGAAATCTCCGTGGCAATGTACCCCGGCGAGATTGCGTTGGCGCGGGCAAAGCCCACCCACTCAACAGCGAGCGACTTGCCTAGAATCCCAAATGGTTGTCAGTCAATCCGATGGCCCCAGGGCCGGCAAAGACGGCGGGAATCAGAGGCGCAACTCACACATGTGGCTCACACCAGCCTTGGCCGCATTGTAAGCCGCCTGCAGCTGGGGCACATTGACAATATGACCCGACATGGACGCAGTGGCGACAAAGCTGCCGCCACTGTAGCCCTCGAGCTTCCCGCCCGCGGCGTCCTGGCCCGTCTCCCTCTGGCGCCTCCATATCCTGCCGCACGTCCGCGCGCAGTAGAAGACGCTGTCGAGGTCGTTGGCCACGACCTTGTGGTAGTGCTCGAGCTCGCCGTCCATAGCGGGGCCCTGGGTCCACGGGATGCCCGCGTTGGCCACGAAGACATCGAGCCGGTTGTTGAACTCCTTGATCTGGGCGTTGACGGCGGCCTCGACCTCCTCGGCTGAGGTTACGTTCACTTTATATGCGCGGCCTGCGGAAGATGTCAGTTTGGGTACTTGCTCGATGTCCTCGAGGAGCATAGGTTCGTGAAGGAGCTCAATCCCCAAGGAATGGAGTGAAATAGGGGTTACTGACACTTCACGCCATACTCGGCCTCGATTTCCTGTGCCCGCTCTATCGCCTTTGCATTGCTATTGTACCAGATGATGACGTTCGCGCCAGCCTCGGCGTAGGCATGAGCAACCCCCAGGCCGATACCAGCACCAGCACCGGAGACGATGGCCGTGCGACCTTTCAGGGAGAAGAGGTCGAACACTTTCGTCTTGGTAGACGCAGCTGATCATAGACGAACAGATTAGCCTGCCATCGGAACAGTGTTTAAGAGGTGTGATGGTGGCTGCTTACTTGTGATATCGTGCTTGAACTTGCCGTCCTCCATGGTGAATCTGTGCTACCGATGAAAAATTCCCTACGAGCGATGAACCTTGAGTACACCTTTCATCTTTGCATGGTAGGACCGTGTGAGATGTTTATATATTCGACGCTGACTCGCGTGGGCTGCCACACTGCTTGCCGGCTCGCGCCGCCGAGCCCGGCCACGATGCCGTCCCGCTTCGTAGGCGGTGAGGTCCACTTCAAGGAAGCTAAAAACCCAAGAAAACCCCAGAAGCCTGGGGTTGCAGGTCCGTACTGGGTCCGGGGCCCCACGCGCTCCGCAAGGCGTGGGATTGTGTATTTGGTTCCATCCCGGATTAGGCAGTTCCGCCACGTCTAAAGGTGTTGTCGCCAGGCTGTTCATCTCTTAGTCCGCTTCGCATCAATTCTCGCTTGACCGGTTGACGAGATGGTTATCTGACTGTTTGAAATTCCAAGGCCAATTTTACATGCAGTGTCCACTTGATACTCATATCTTGTCAGACTGCGTGATTTTCCTTTTCTGACTCCTACCGTCCGTGTAATGGACGAACCCCGCGAGCTTATCTTGGAAATCTCTTCACAGACTGTGACGTTTCATTGCGGCTGTGTACGGTGTAAGTTGGGCCAGGTGAGGCTTGTTCCGGTCGCTGCAACACGACTACGAGGCAGGCAGTGTGATATTCCAGGCGGCGTAGAACAAAACATGAGACCAGCACTGGCTCCTCAAAGTAATGTCCCGACAGCAGTGTCAAACGCTGCTCATTGACCCTCCGTCAAAGCCCTGGTCCAGTCAAACTTCCTCCACCTCTTCTTAAAAGCCTCAGCACGAGGGTCACCTCTGCTCCATCTCCCCTGCTTCTTGATGTTGTCGGGCTCGCAGTCCAGCATCCCGCCAATAATCTCCCTTGCAAACAGATCACCCTTCGGCCACCGCGAGGCATCGTCCACAACGTGGCCCAATCCACCGTCAATGGTAAACCAAACGTGGAAGTACGGCATCTCCTTGGCTATGCTCCTCCGGAACGCGAGCTTGCCGGCCCCTTCTCTTGCCTTCTTGGCAGTGTCTATGAGCTTCTTGTGCTGGCTCCACTCCTCCTCGGTCGCGAGCACAGCCTCGCGGAAGAAAGCTGGCGCTGTGTCCCCGAGGTCCCACGGGATGGGAACTGCTACTAGTGCGGCGTGTAGTCGGCGGTGAGGGGCGGCCGCGTTCTCGTAGAAGAGCACCTCGCGACCTTGATCATGGTACAGCCTTGTCAGGCACTTCATGAAGTTGCGTATCTCCTCCCACTCATCGTCGTCGCATTCGAGCAGATTCGTCCTGTGGCTGATGGGAACGACAACGGCCCCGCCCTCCGCGCCCTTCAGCTCTGGCTCTGTGGCCAGAGTCAGATACACGCGCGTCCCAAGCGCAAGGATGGGCGCAATGGGCTGGTCCTTGGGTGGCTCCCGGTCCTCGTGATGGCATAGTGGGCAGGTGTCCAGGACCTTGTTCATCTTCTGGTACTCGTTCACAGCCATGTTCTTGAGGTTGATCTCGGATTTGTGCACGCGCTTGGCCAGCTTCTCGGCGTTTTCGTCCAGATATTCCAGGTCGTCGTCGAATTTGGCATCCTTGGCAATACGCTCTGCAAGTCGACCGCCCTCGCCGCCTGCCTGGCCTCTGGTGCGCTTCTCTTCGCGGACCATGTCCTCAATGCTCATGTCTTCGTTCGCCTCGACTGTACCGCGCTCTCGGCCGCGCTTGTTATCCACCGCCTTCACCTCGTTCCGCGTCCCTGCGAGCATTCGACTGTGTGTGGCGTCCAGAACCACGGCCTTGTCTCCGCTCGCTGTGCCGTTGAAGCGCGCCAATGCCGCGTTATACTCGGCCTCGAGTTTCGCAGCGTCTGGGGCCTTTCTCAATTTCGCCTTCATTACCTGTGCGCGCATCCTATTGAGGGTGGTCTGGTCGACGGGCGGAACAGCGTCCTCCATGACAGCCCCTTGCTCCGGCTCATCATCATGGTCGTAGAATTCTTCCTTTGGTGGCGGACGCGTCTTGGCCATGCGTTCCCGGTACAGATCCCCAGTAGGCTTTTCTGCACCTTTGTAACCCTCTCCATAAACCTTGCGCCTGTCCATTTCGACTTTCTCCTCTCGCACGTTATCAAAATCCTTCAGGCTTCCGAAGCGTTCCTCGCCGATCTCATCCGCGGAACGGCCCGTCTGTTCGGCTGTCCTATAGACTGCATTCAACTTCGTCATACGCCATTTTGAGCCTTCGTCGCCGAATGTATAGTCGACTTCATTCGTCAGCTCGTCCAGGTCGTTGGCTGAAGCACCGCTGGCGCCCCCCAAGCCTGTGTTCAGCTCTCTGTGGTGAATGACCCGTTCTGGGGCCTGCTTTGGCGGTGGCGTCTTCTCCTTCTTGCCACGTTGAACGTAGTCGATATCTATGGCGCCGGTCATCCAGGAGTCCCGCTCCAGTGGGGCCTCATCTCGAGGTGCCTCTTCCTGTGGCGCGGGTAGTTTCTCCTTCGGATCCGTAGATGTTATGAAGCCCGGCTCTTCGTCGCCGGCATGGCCCCTGTCTCTATGTCTGTGCCTGCTCCTCTTGGATTCATCTTCGCCGTCCCCTCTCGAGTGCCGGGACCGCTTGTGGCGGTGACCTTCGTCGTCAGAATCGTGCTCCCGAGAGCGGTGGTGCCGGCTTCTGTGGCCGTCTCGATCCCGACTCCTGTCCCTGTCATGCCTATCTTCGCGACGACGATCGCGCCTCTCCGGCGACCTCGAGCTTCGATGATGGTGACGATGTCTATGCTTCTTCTCACGCCTCTCAGAACGCTCCTGGTCCCGCTCCCTTTCGGCCTTTTCAGCAGCAAGCTGCTTCTCGAAATCGTCAAGCCCGTCCATTGTAGATTACTGCGCAGAACGGAACAGCAGTTGTTCTCCAAGGACACGCTGAAAGCTCTGGCCTGGATGATTAAGAGCTTCAGAGGGGCGTCGCAGAAGAGGAGGGATTGAAGAATTAAGACTGTGACGTGATGGTTCCGGAGCCTCAGCTTGTTGGGGTAGCTCCAGAATTAAAGCCACTGCAGCCTGCAAGGTTGTTTGTTCTGTTGCGGCAGGCAACTGGAGCTACTACATGGTACAGGCTACAGTATATGGGGGCCCCACAGTGACATCGGTAGTGCCCCGCAGACACCTGGGAAACTTTTCATGTGAGTTTGCTTCTCCCAGCCCGGTCAAGCACTTGCTTAGTCTATTCCACCTGCCACTGCCAGATCTTGTCGCACTGCCCGCACAAGGCAAGCAAAGCACAATGGCATCCGCTTCAACAGCATCAACCAGCCAGCCTGCCGCTGAGAATGGCCAGCAGCCTGTTGCCGTCGTGTGTGTCGGCATGGCCGGGTCGGGCAAGACGACCTTCATGCAGCGCATCAACGCCCACCTCCACGGCAAGAGAGACCCGCCATACGTGATCAACCTCGACCCGGCGGTCCTCAACGTCCCCTTCGACAGCAACATCGACATCCGAGACAGCGTCAACTACAAGGAGGTGATGAAGCAGTACAACCTGGGCCCCAACGGCGGCATCCTCACCTCCCTCAACCTCTTTGCCACCAAGGTCGACCAGATCCTCGGCCTCCTCGAGAAGCGCACACAGCCCGACCCGGCCAACCCCAGCAGGAAGCCGATACACAACATCCTGGTGGACACGCCCGGCCAGATCGAGGTGTTCGTGTGGTCCGCCTCGGGCACGATCCTGCTCGAGTCCCTGGCCTCGAGCTTCCCGACCGTGCTGGCATACATCATCGACACGCCGCGCACGAGCTCGACCTCGACCTTTATGAGCAACATGCTTTACGCCTGCAGCATCCTCTACAAGACCAAGCTGCCCATGATCCTGGTCTTCAACAAGACAGACGTCAAGGATGCCAGCTTTGCCAAGGAGTGGATGACCGATTTCGAGGCCTTCCAGGCCGCGCTCCAGGACGACGAGAACAGCAACGCCTTTGGCGGCGCAGAGGGCGGCGACGGCGGCGGCAGTGGGTACATGGGGAGCCTGCTGAACAGCATGAGCCTGATGCTGGAGGAGTTCTACGCGCACCTGAGCGTCGTGGGCGTGAGCAGCATGACGGGTGCGGGCGTCGACGACTTCTTCGAGGCGGTCGCCGTCAAGGCCGAGGAGTTCAAGAGGGACTACCAGCCAGAGCTGGAGAAGAAGAGGAAGGAGAGGGACGAGGCGAAGCGGGCGACGAGGGAGAAGGAGCTGGACAAGATGATGAAGGGCATGTCCATGTCCGGCCTTGCCAAGGACGTACCAAAGGCCGGCGATGGCGATATCGATGCCATCAGCGACCAGGACTCTGACGAGTATGATGACGACGTCGGAGGATCTGGCGATGGGCTGCAGGCGAGATATGAGGCGGCGATGGATGGTGGCGATGAGACCCTGAGCCAGGAGGCCAGCTTTGCAAAGTTCCTCGCCCAGCAACAGAGGCAGGGTTAGCCGTGGGCAGCCTTGGTGATTCTTTTCGTGATTGTGCCCATGGGGGCGAATACTGTCGTCAAAATTGCATATAAGAGCGGGTCTGCTCTGGGGGAAAGGTGCGCATCTGCGGCGTTCGGTTCATAGGGTCTTGATACCATCAGACATTGTCTTGGAAAATCCATTCGGAAGTCATTTACTCCTCAACTCCAGTTGATCAAGTGCTCCACCCGTATCAGCAGTGTGGACGGCTGTCCGCTTGCTCACCATGCTTCATACAGCTCAGGGACCGACGCCGTGTTCGCCGGGTCAACCCTTTCCCCTTCCAATGCCAGCGCAATGCCCTCTGACCCTTGCCCTTCCGCGGGCTGCGAGCCCCCTCGTATATGCCGTTGCGACCACTCACTTGCCGTGCCCTCGAAACACCTTCACACCCTCACCACACCTTCACGCCGTTATGTGCGTTCAAATGCTGTCTACCGAGCCTCGAACTGGATCATCCTGCATTCCAATCACGTCAGACAAACTGTGCCTTTCGCCACCCAAATGTATGCCGCTGGACTCACCTCTTTGTCCGCTCCTTGTAGAGCACGCGACACCCGCAGTCCTTGCATCTGATAGGGTCTGCCTTCCTCAGGTGGGTTGAAGAGCCGCAGTCACCGCACAGGTACTTCATCTGAGCATTGTCGTCACGGAAGTCGGGGTTGAACGCGCTGGGCTTGGCGGCGAGGGCAGCGCCGCCGAAGCTGCCGCCCGGGGAGCCGGTTGGGACGGTGTAGCCTTCGCGAGACATTTTTGCTGTGTCAGGGCCGTACGTCCGAAAGATGCGGTCGAATGACGGGAGCAAGTCGTGGCTGGTGATGCGTATATGGGCGGCGGGCGAGTGCTTGAGTCTGGGAGATGCAGGGTCTGATGAAGAGATGTCACTGAGAGGCAACAACTTTGATACTGGGCAGTCAAATGTCAAAGTTGGGGCCTGCTGTTAGACGCTGAGAAAATTGGGCGGTAGAGATGGGCAGCGGCAGAATCCGAGCTTGCCTGCCGCGCACCCGACGGTTCAAGCAGCCCGTTGCGACCAGGGGCCGAGCCGAGGCTCAATAAACCCAGGAACCCAAAAGGTGCATGGTAATGACGTGCTGCCATGGTGAGACTTTCCGTTCATCCTCAAGCCATACATGTACATATACCACCTGATAAACTGGCTCTGGGAGCTTGGCCTGCCAACCTTTCCCTCATGACAGAAGCTCGACACAGTCCCTGCAGGCTGGCCGACCACAAACGCTCCTCCCACCAGAACCGGTGACACGACCGGCACGATGGCGCCTCTCGTGCCAGACGCGTCCTTCGACGGACCAAAGCCAGCAAACCCAGCCCACACTCCAGTACTGGCCGACCAAAGCGAGGCCAACTGCCCCTTCTGCCGGATAGCAGCCCTCTACAGGCCCTTCGACCCGTCCTCGCCCCCGGCAACCGACTCCCCCGCCCTCTCGACCACCAAGGCAGACCCGAACCCAGAGACCTACGTGCTGCTCTCGACCCCGGACGTGATCGCCTTCCTCGACATCATGCCCCTCTCGCGGGGCCACCTCCTCCTCTGCCCCCGGCGCCACGCCCCCAAGCTCACGGGGACCACGCCCCGCGAGGCCCGCGAGCTGGGCTACTACCTGCGCGTGCTGTCGGCGGCGCTGAGCAGGGCCACGGGCGTCGACGACTGGAACGTCGTGCAGAACAACGGCGCCGCCGCCGCCCAGGTCGTGCCCCACATGCACTACCATGTGATCCCGCGGCCCGAGATCCGCGCCCAGGGCCGGTGGAGCGAGAAGTTCACCATGTTCGGGCGGGGCCAGAGGAGCGACCTCGATGCCGAGGACGGGGAGCTGCTGGCGGGCAGCGTCAGGGCCGAGATCGCGAGGGTGCTGGCGGAGGAGGTGGCGCGGCCCGTCAAGGGGAAGCTGTGAGTTGTTGTGGGCATGGGGTTGCACAGCCATTCTGGTCTTTGGGTGAGAGGAGAGGGCTCGGCCGACCTCTTTTGCCGGCCTGGCCGTGGTACGACGGCGAGGTGAGTACTGCCTTTGGCTCTTCATCTTCACTATTTGACCTGTGAGTTCTTTACGCTGACTCAATAAAGCGTCGTTAACATTGTGACAGGTTAGGTACACTGGATGATTCACGACTCTCGATGCTTTAGGCGCGGCGGACAAGCACCCAGTTGGGATGCGGACCTAACATCAAATGCATTCGTGCCCTGGCGCCGATCAAGCGATGGACCATAATTGCATGCGGAGTCTCAAGAGCCTGCCCGCTTCTGCTGTAACTTTGGTCACCGGCTCACTAATTGAAGCGCATTTTGAACAAGTTCGGCAGAATCACGAGTAGACACGAATTGTAATGGGGCATCGTCTACGGGCTCAACTTACGAGCCGCGAGGGCAACTAGACATAACATTGGCCTCTCTTTGTTTGTGAAGACAACTGACGCGAATATGGGGCGCCGGCGGGGACATTAATGAATATGTGGAAGATAAGACGAGAGTCAGGAGACAGGAAACATACCTGGGCAGCGAGTGAGCAGTTGCGCATGTAGAATATTACTAGAGTCAAGACGCCAGCCACATATAATGCAGATCGTTCGGCAAACTGCCCGTTGGCACACTGCTGGGTATCGATCATTTTATTTCGTTTCTAGTAGACCATTCCCACCATTCTTTTCAGATGCTTCATTATCTATCTTGTACATGATCATGATCCATCGACAACAAATGTCTACTCGTCGTCACCGTGGAACACCCGGATGGGCAGCCAGGCGTCGCCGCAGACCTTGAACCTCTCCTTGATGCCGTCGAGGGCGGCAACCTCGTCGTCAGTCAGGCTCCAGCCGTCCAGCTCCCTGTTGGCGACGATGCGCGACTCGGTGACGCTCTTGGGCAGGACGGAGAAGCCCTTCTGCAGGCCCCAGACCAGCAGGACCTGCTGGGGCGACTTGCCCTTGTTCTTGGCGATGGACAGCAGGGCCTCGTTCTTGCCGAGGGGGGAGTCGGTGCTGCCGAGGGGCGAGTAGGCGGAGGGGTGGATGTTCTTGCCCTGGAGGTACTTGATGAGCTTGGGCGAGGGGTTGCAGGGGTGCAGCTCGATCTGGTTGACGGCGGGGGTGACCTTTGTGGTCTCGGCGGCGAGCAGCTTCTCCATGTTGGTGATGTCGAAGTTGGAGACGCCGATGTTCTTGACCTTGCCCGTGTCGAGCAGCTTCTGCATCTCGCGCCAGGTGGCGACAAAGTCCCAGTCGGGGTAGTGCTTCTTGAGGTCGTCGGGGTCGGTGGAGCTGGGCCAGTGCATCAGGTACAGGTCCAGGTAGTCGGTCTGCAGGTTCTCGAGCGACTTGCTGAAGCCCTCGGTGACGCGCTTGTGCCAGGGGTTGTCCAGCTTGGTGGTAAGCCAGATCTCGGAGCGGGGGACGCCAGAGGCCTTGATGCCGTCACCGACCTCCTTCTCGTTGCCGTAGGCGAAGGCCGTGTCGATGTGCCGGTAGCCTCTGCAGCTTTGGGAGAAAAAGTTTTCCCATTTTTACAAGAACTTCTACTATATATAACTATAGCTTCTACTTAATAAGGTAGATTAATAACCTATATTAAATAATCTATTTTTTTAATAAGTTTATAATATTATAAGGTATAAAGTATTATTTAATAAAATTAGTAAAACTTAATTATAAATAAAGTTAAAATTTACTTAATTAATAAACTTTCTATATCTTTTATTTTTATTTAAACTAGTTAATTTTTAATTTTAATCTTTAATTTAAACCTTTATATCTTTTATAAAAATCTATTATATAATCCCTAATAGAAGGCTTTATAAAAACTTATAATACTTTTAATTAATAATATATTAAAAATCTTTTAATATAAAAGTAATTTATAATTATAAATTAAATAAATAATATTTATAAAATAAATAAATATATTAAATAGTTAAAAGATATTTATATAAATAAAAACTTAAAATATTAAACCTTCTTACTATTTAAAATAGTATTTTATATTATATTATAAATAAAGGGTTTAATAATATAAAACTTATAAAAATTAAAACTATTTTTAAAATTAAATAATAATAATTTTAACTTTAATAAACTTTAATAAATCTTTAAGTTAATTATTAAATATATTATATATATTAATATTATTAATTTTATATAATAAAATAAATTTTAATAATATAAATAATTAAATTAAATTTCTTTATAATTTTATTAAATTTAATTATATTCTTTATTATTTTAATAAATATATTTATATTTTAATAAATAATATTTAAAAGATTATAAATTTAATATTAAAATAATTTAATTTATTATTATTATTAAATAAAAACTTAAAATTTATTTATAAAAATTATTAAATTTAATTAATAAAAATATAAAAACTATTATTAAAATATTTTTAATATATATTTATTACTTTTAAATCTTTAATATATATTATTATTAAATATTAATAAATATATTTTAATAAAAATATTTTTATTATTATAAAATAATAGTAAAAGTTTAACTTAATTAAAAAAATATTATTATAATTTTTATTTTAACTTATTATATTTTAAATATATATATTTATATATATATAATTTATATTAAAATAACTATTTACTAATATATAATATATACCTTTTATTTTCCTATTATTAAATAACTAACCTTATAATACTATTTAAAGTTAATTAAACTATTATAAAGTAAAATAAAAATAAAATTAATAAAAATATATAATAAATATAAAAATAATAATAAAATAAGGTTACTATTTTAATAAATAAAAAGCTAACTTTTAAAGTTAATATAATAAAAATATTTATAAAGTCTAATTTTAAGAATTTTAAAATAAAATAAATTAAATTAAACTTTATAATATTCTTTTATATTAAAAATATTATTATAATACTTTTAACTTATTTACTTATAATATTTAATTTAATAATTATCCTATTATCTTTAAAAATAATATATTTATATATACTATTATAATTAAATACTTTATATATATTCTTAACTTTAAAAAATAAATAAAAAAACTTTAAAATAATCTAATATAGTTTATTAAATTCTTTAAACTTTTATTTAACTTTATTATTAAAAAAGTATTAAATAAATAAATTAATATTAATATATAAATTTAAAATATATAATAATTTAAATTAAATAATATATTTATTTAACTCTTTAATTAAAACTATTTTATAAATATTAATAATAAAATATACTATATTTAAATTAAAGTATATATATAAAGCCTAATTATAGAGCCTTAAAGTTAACTACTTTAAAGTTAACTACCTTAAAATTAATTACCTTAAAGTTAACTACTTTAAAATTAACTACCTTAAAGTTAACCACCTTAAAGTTAACTAACCTAACCTCTATAAAAACTATAAAAACTATAATAACTATAATAGCCCTAATAATTATAATAACCCTAATAATTATAATAATTATAATAATTATAACCTCTTCCTACCTAACCTTATATATACTTATAAACTCCATTAACTCTATATAATAGTAATTAATACTATTTATATTAAATAATATATATATATTAGTATTAATTAATAACTTTTAATTTTAAATATAAGTTTATTTATAAACCTTTTAACTAAAATAAGTATACTATTACCCTTATAACTATTATAATAAAGTCTAATATATATTAATAGACCCTACTACCTAACTAACCCTACTAATAAACTATAATTATACTAAAAGTATTTAAACTTTAACATTACTTTCTAAATATTTATTTTAAAATAAATAAAGCTAATATATTAAAAATAAATATATTATTTAATTATAAAAATCTATTAATTAATAAAAGTTTATTTAATAAACTTTAAGTAATAATAAATTATTATTATTTATATAAATAATAATAACTTTATATTATAAAATAGTTAAATTAAACTAACTATTTAAATAGAATATTTATAATTTTATAATATATAATATTAAATAATTTTATTAAATTTAATAATAAAATACTCCTTTTAAAATATAATTAATAATATATATATTTTATAATAAATTCCTTTTATTTAATAAAACTATTTAAAAAAGACCCTTTTAAATATTTAAAATAAAAATTTTATATTTATAAAAAAATAATAAAATAATTAAAAATAAATCTAAAAGTTTAAAAGTTTATTTTTAAAAATTTTATTTAAAAATAATAAAAAAACTATTATAGATTTAAATCCTTAAATTCTACTTACTAAATTAAAAATATAATTAAAAAAAAAAAAACTATAACTTATTAGTTTTATACTTAAATATAAACTTAAAATTTAAAACTAAAACTAAATATTTAAAAATCTTTATTCTCTTTAAGGTATACTTTAAAAAAAAAAAAACTATATAAAATTATATTTATTATTAAATTATATTAAAAAAGTATTAATTTATAAAAACTAATATAAAGTATAATAATAATAAAATATATAATTATAATTATAAAAATAAATAATTAAAACTTTAAATATTTTTATAAACTTTATTTATTTAACTTCCTATAATATATTAAATAAACTAATATATATAATAGTAACTAAATATATAAAATATAATAAATAAGTATAAAATAATAAGAATAAATAAAGTTATTATAAACTATTTATATAAAATAACCTATTATTACTATTTATAAAGTTATATTAACTAATAATAAAAGTACTTATTTAAATTAATATAAAATATAAAAATAATAAATATAATAATATAATAAAGACCTATTTATATATAACTAACTATAATAATAATAGAATTATAAATTAAAATCTACTTTAAAACCTTAATTATATAAAGTAATATAAAATAATAATAAAAGCTATTATATTATTTTAATAAAATAATAACTATAAATCTTTATAATTAACTAAAAATAATAAAGATAATAAAAATAATAACTAATTCTATTATAATAAATACCTTTATAATAAAGTATATATAATAAAACCTTTATTTAAATTAAAAACTTATAATAATACCTTTATATATATATAGACTAAAATACTAATTTAATTTAAATTTATTTAAATAGTCTTTAATAATAATAATAATCTTAAAAGTATAAAATAAACTATAATATTAAAATAATAAAGCTAATATAACTATAAAGGAATTAAATTAAAAACTACTTTAAATTAAATAAACTATAATATAAATTAATTATAATATATACCTTAAATATTATTAATATAATTATAGATAAAGGTAGTAATATTAATAGTAATATAGTTAAATAAGTAGAATATAATAAACTATTAGCTATAAAGGTAAAAATATATAATAATATCTTATTATAATAAGTTAGGGATCTAGTATTTAAGTTTAATAAAGATATTTATTTTAAATAAATACCTTCCTATATAGTTAAGTAATTACTAACTACTTTATTATAATAATATACCTTAACTAATTTTTAAAAAACTAAATAAAGAGTAAACTAAATTATAAACTAGCTTATATATTTTAAAAAGTTATATTAAACTATATAATATTATATATTTTAATTTTAATAAAATAAAATTAAAAACCTAATATAGATTCTTAATAAACTTAAACTAAAAACTTTACTATTATTAATTTAATTAAATTAAAACTTAAAGTTAATAATTATTAAATAAACTTTATATATATTACTATTTAATTTAATAACTAAGGTTTAAAAAGATATTAACTTAAATAACTTTTAAAATTAAACTTATTTTAATATATAATAAGTATATAAACTAACTTATAATAACTTAATTAATTAATATTTAAAAAGATAAAAACTACCTTTATTACTAAAAGATATATATATAAGTAAAGTACTCTCTATTTATAAAAAAGCTATTAAATCTCTCCTTTTATACTTTAAAAAATTAAAACTATCTTAAATATAAACTTTATTATATTAATTTAAGCTATATAATATACTTTAATAGAGCCTAGTAGATAAAAAGGAATAATAAAAAGGTCCTATAAGCCTACTTACTTTATAACTTACTATACTTATTATAACTTATTATACTTACCCTATTTAAAGTAATCCTTATTTAATAGTTTATATTTTACTATAATACTACTAATAGACTATTATAACTATTTTAATTAAAATAGTATTAATATTCTACCTTTAAAACTAAAATTTTATTTTATTTACTATTAATTATAATACTTTAAACCTAACCCTACTAGTATTCTTATATATAAACCTTATTAATATTTTATATAAAAGGGTGTTAAGGTTTAAATTATACTATTATTCTATTTAATAGTTAGAAGGACCTTTAATAGTATTACTAACTTTTAGAGCTATATTTTATATAAGTATAATAATAAAAATAATAATAAATATATAGTTATTATATACTTCTACTTATAATTAGAAATATACTAGCTAGCTATAAACTATATATTACTATTAAAATTATTAATATTAATATAAATTACTTAAATATTATCTACTAACTTTTATAAACTAATATTTAATTATAAATTTATAATAATAAAAGTAATAATTTATT